CACAACAAACCATCACAACAAACCATCACAACAAACCATCACAACAAACCATCACAACAAACCCATGACATTACCTACCAAACACTCCCAGTCGTTCCCCTTACTCACTTTGTTCCCAGCCCAGCAACGCCACAACCCACGAAGCGTGGAGACGCTAGTCGCGTTCCGTGGACGTACAAACGGCCGACATTCTGGCGAAGGAGATGGTGCGTAGGAGAGCGGAGAAGGTGGCTACTGGCAGGTTCAGCGAGGGTCGACGGGCAGAGCCTCGGATGCGGATGCGGGTGGGAGGGACATCACGCCCCCCAGGGAGGGCATGAGCAAGGAGTGCCTGTGAGACTGATGAATCCCGTAGCGCCGTCCTCCTGGGCCTACCCCTTGAGGGAAGCCAGACTTATGCCGGTATTGACTACACTGGTCGGAATGCGTTGACGGAGTGCTTGCGTCGCATCTTCACCGCGAGTGGAAAATCAACCAGAAAACGTGTGTTGACCGACTGGGCATGTCTCGCTGAAACGCACGGATTCGAACAGGTGCAGAGTCACAGTGCCCACGACAGAGCTCATTCGGGTGAGAACTGGCAGGCGGTGAAGAAGGAAACGTGGGAGCGTGTAGGCGGGTCTATCAGGCACAACGAAAACTTAGATGGTCCTGACCGAGGGTGCTTCAGCGACAGGGGGCATTCTCATGGGGTCGGATTACTTACAACATATACAACAGACCTTATACGAGTTCCATTCTTGGTTTTCGACGTTGTTGGTGGGGGGGGGGGGGGAGTTTCCTCTATTGATGTCGCTTTCGACCTGTGCTGCCTCGTTCCTGCCTTGCTTCTAGAGTGGCCTGCTCCGCATCGCCTCCTGCACAAATACCTCCACAACTCATTGCTACACGATCCCCACCCTGCTTGCGTTGGCTTCTTGTCCCGTGACAGCCCATCGGCACTGAATTCTAATCCCATCATCAGACGTTGCGCTTCGCGTCATTTCGGGACTCTTTTCGACAAGAGGCTCCTGCTTCGCAGAAGCAACAAAGAGGTGGATGCTCCGTCTACGATATTTCACTATGCGTTTAAGACATGAAGAAGCGCAGACTTCGGCACTTGCTCTCGTATAGCAACGATGGCTGGTATCTCCAACGCACATATCTGTCGCTTGAAATGTGTGTAGATTGTTCTTATGATGATGAATCTGCCGACGGATCAGGATGTGGGGTGGATGGCGCAATCACGAGGGTTCTCCCAATCGGCGTCGAAGGATGTTGTTGGTTCGCCTCACCTTTTGTGAGAGATTGCCCGGTCATGTCCGTTGGTGTGTGCCGTAGCATTGGCGGGAATAGAGGCTAGCAAAGATAGCTGGCTATGGGACAAGACGAGTGTGTATGTTCCTGTGCTTGCTCGGTGCTTAACAAGTTGACGTTGTCCCGTTCGCCACGAGATGCCTGACATCGAGCTAGACTACGATAGTAGACTTCCTAGAAGGTGTGCTAAGACTCGTCAGATGGTATGTTTGCATTAGTGAGGCAACAATATGCGGTGACTTTGTTTTTAGTCTTCTAAAGCACTTACTTGAGATGTCCGGATTAGCCGGCCAAGGGGGTTTTGGGGTGAGAGAAGTAAAAAAGCTTTACAATAGGGCATGGTCGTGGCTGCCGTAAGCTTCACTTGGTGGCTGAATTGCTTTTGATCACGGTCAATGACCTTCTGAACCTGCCGGTACTTAGTAGTGCACAAGTGTCGGCCGTGAGAGCCCTGGCGTCTTCAGCCTCGACACAGAGAAGAGAGCATCCTCCGAAGGACGCATTAACGACAGCCTGCCTGAAATCCCTTTGTGCCCTTGCTGTGTGAGGCGTGCAACCTAGAGGTTGGAGACCGAAAATCGTGGCCCTTCTGTCAGCCCGAAAACAAGGCGGCGAAGGATATTTGTGCATCATGAAGCCTGTTGATGGTGTCGTTACATTCTGAGTGGCGACCTTGGTGCCATCTTCGGGAGTTTCGGCTTGTTCGATGGAGCATGCAATGACCTGAGAGAGTTTTCGAGTGCGGCTTATAGAATCCACGTGGTTTCACGACCCATATCTCCGGTCTGTAAAGGTATGATGCTTTCCATTGGCAAGCCTTCTCTGGTCAGTGAATCCCACTTTCGAACATCAGCTCACTGATGGAATGTGATGAAAATGATGGAAAGACTTGATTCGTTTGCAGGCAGAGTGTCTGGAAATGGACAGCTCAGAACGGTCTGTATCGATGAGCTGCATGCGGTCTGCGGTCTGCAACTCGACCTTCCAGTGCCCATGAATGCATGTTGACGTGCCAGACCCAAATGCTAACAGACGTGCGGGGTACGCTCCTCCGCCGTCCGTCAGGCATGGTCCTGCATGTCAGGGTGTGAAGTGGTCCGAACCGGCTCCTGTGGCTCGGCCCTTGGGCATTGGGCAGAGGTTCGTCTGCCCACGAACGCATACGTAATATCGGTTGATTGCAACGATACTGGTAATGCGCGACGAAGGATCATTCAGCTTGATGCAGGTGACTGTAAATGGCCGCCGGTAGTAGTGTCTTGGACTGATGGCGCGCGGTAGGGTGAGGCTCTGCGTCTATTTGCATGTCTCCTAAGCATCATCGGGCTCGCGGGGAGGGCAAGATACGAAAGGCTCCTCCAGGGGGTATCTCAGAGACACCAAGGCGCGTAGTGTCCGAGATGTATAGCGAGTGGATCTTGGTAAATCGTGGGAGTCCCGTACAATTCGGTGCAGCCGGACTCATTGCAGGCTATCCGTGTCTTCGCCTTCTGAATTGCTGATGCTCAATTCTGCTTTGCATGGGGTCCCCAGTATCAAATAATCAAGCTGTCTCAGAGCGCAATAGAATAGACAGGCTGTAGGTTCGCTGCTGGAACTCACATCTCACAGATACCAAGTCAAGTGCCGAGAGCTTCCTGGAGGATCGAACTTGGTCAGACAGATCATGGTCGGTGCTTGCAAGTATGCGTTGTCTGTGTTGCATTGTAGCAATGAGGATGCAGAGATGCCCAGCGGTCCGGACATCTAGCGCGTTCTGGAAAGGATGTCCCTGCGATCGTCGAACACTTCGTGAACTTGACAGATCTTGGTAGTGGAGGCGGTGAGGCGGAGGGTTCCCCATGCGAGACACCGGCGATCTGTCAGTGCGAGTCCACAGTGTCTCATGCCCAACCGTATGGGTGTGTTTGCTTTTGAGGTGATGATCGACATTGATGGTTCTTGAGGGCGCGCGATTGCCAAGGGCATTGTCCCCACAGGCATAGCAAGTGTACACATGGAAACACAACACATGCGAGTGAAGCTTGTCGAAGAGCCCAGTTGATAATGTGGTGGCGAAGAGATCGACCTTATACACTTGTGGTATTTGCGTCCAGTATGGGGGGTGAAGACGTGGCAGCTATGCCATTGCGTCGAAGCCGTATGCTGAATTGGTAGTTGTACGACAGCGCCTCTAAAGCTTCGGATCTCTCTCAATGGACAGGCCGCACTGGAATTGCTGCTAAGACGAAGACAGAAAATAAGGCGGCGCGTTGGATTGGCTCAAATGGCTGCTGCCCAGTGATCGTCGTTGGGCCGATAAGTTAGGGCGAGAATGAGGCGAGCGGCATCAGCGCATACCAGCCCAACCAGGGGCTTCCTCGGTAACGCTCCCGGACACGATGTTGAGACTGCGCTTTGCAACAGTGTACTTGTCTGGTTCAGCAATGGATGTGTGACCTGAAGACAGGGCTGCCGGGATGTATAAAATTGTGCGAAGCCCAAGCTCATTCTCGCTACGACAGCGTTTGAACATAGTGTGAACCTGGCTTGTATATCATCTACTGCTTTGTCAGCACTGTTCTTGGTTTAGCACTCCATAATGACAACCCCCAACTCATACTTCGTCCCCGGATATGGCATTTCTCGGGCTGTGATCCAGAATGAGATAAGATATCATTGTGGTCCCGATGCAATCGTCAGACCGTACACATTCCAAGTAAGGGGTCTTCAGAAGGTGTCCCGACGACCATAATCAAGGGCTAACCGACTGTTAGGGACGAGACGGCTTTCTCATATCGACTATTGGACCGCCATTGACAAAGGTGAGGCTGCGATGAACATTCAGGTCATTTGAACTGACTCCCGCAGGCGCAAATCGAGGACCTGAAGATGTCATCGCGCGAGTACGAAGAGAAGCAGTCACGCATAGCCGGCGAACATGACGTCTTCGTGAACGCACCCATACCCATCAATCAAAGGATACGACGCAGCCAATAAGCCACGCTTCAGTCATGATCGAGCTCTCCATTTTGGCATCGGAGCCATAGAGCAGCCGGCCTGGCTCTTTTACGGACCTTACACCTCATACGTTCGTTGAAGGTCCCCGAGGACGAGTGATAATTGCCGATGCCCGACCGATGCATATGTCGTAACGAGTCTTCTTTCCAAGCGTCATCGTTGCCAGATTCTGGCCTGTTATCATAGTATTGGCTTTGGAGGAAGCCGCAATGCTTTGACATCGCTGCTTTTGTTGTGTTTCCGCATTCTGAGTTGTAGATGTATCAACAGGCAGCTCTGGCCAAGCAGCTCTAGTTCAAGAGACAGGGCAGAACCAGACACCGAAATACGCCACGAACAATATGTTCCTTGGAACGACGGGGCAAGCGCCAGGGCCAGGGTAGCTCTCAAGGTAGATCTCGTAGGTAAATCTCAGATCTTGCTGGTACGAATTCCGAACTCCAAACGCTGCGAAGCATGATGAAGCATGATCGAGCCCGCACTGGCCATTGGTGGTATATGACCTTGGGGAGGCTACAGCTGTCCCGTACACGCTGTAAAGGCGAGAACTAGGTGTGGTAGAAGTTGGTATGGTTTATTTGGAAAGGAAGCGTCTAAGTAGCAATCACGACTAAGCCGCGCTAGGGAGCTTTCCTCCAGCTTCGCAGACGCGACGCGATCGACAGAACTACACCACGCGTTTCGCACAACGTGATATCGCCTTCGAACGTATGTCAATCTTCGCAAACCATCAGTAGTATTTCAAACGCGATCTTTGAGCCCCGTACCTCCTGATGTTCACGACGTTGACCAGACTTACCCTGCCTTACCCTGCGTCGCGATTACCGCGGTTTTCAGCAACGGAACCGTGGTCAGGAATGGGTTTATACTAATTTTAGGTTTGGCAATTGCGCAGGCTCTAGAACCACCTGCTACAGCTCCCTTCCCGTGTTGTGAACCGGTACCTGAACGCAGCTCACTGTCTCTAGAATCGCCTACCCACGAGATGCGCACCTTCGCTTGGTTAAGAGAAAGGGCTCAGTATGTTCCAATGCCTAGATGGGACGAATTGTCGCCTTAGGGAGCAATGCGTCTGGCGAATATCGATGACTCCATGAGTAACGATCATCGAGAAGGGGTTCCAGGAGGCTGACGAATTGAATGAGACAATGGATCAGTGCACCACGAAAGTTTGGGTGAGATTTCGACGCCTCCCTAGAGCTCAGCGGAGATTCTCTGTAGATACCGCCGGGGCTACAGACCTCCCGCTGGCAGTCAGTTGTGCAAATCTCCGTACGAATAGATCACCATCAATTAGCCTCGTTCCTCGTATAATGCTACGATAAAGTGTAAGTTCATGTGCGATGTTTCGACCAGGCAAACTTGAGCCCTGCAGGCTGATCGTAGAGGCAGGCGATGCCGCGCAGATACCCAACCCTGAGGACCTTCAGGTCTGCCTATATCTCTACGGAATGCGGTACTCTCTCCGAGGGCGATGAGTGTTGTATCTGCCTCGACCCATACGATAATAGTTCACACCAAGCTGTAGGTGTCACCAGCAACAGCGAGTGCGGACATGTGTTTGGACGCCAGTGTCTTGAAGCCTATCTGGACAGCACCAACCCCGGCAAGAACACATGTCCAGTCTGTCGCCGAAAATGGTACACTCGAAGATCGATCAACCTTTCCACTCCCAGAGACACCAACACTTCGCAGGTGTTGGCTCCTCCTACCCAATTACGAACCCCTACACGAGACGGTGTTGAATCGAGGGCACTGCAACGACTGACTTCGCGCGAACACGTACAAGCTACCAGTAACATTAGTATAGGCCGGCATGTGGAGCAGCTTGTCAACAATATGGAATTCATCGAAGCTCTGGAGGCTACAGGTGCACCGCCTCTAGACCAGGAGGTGAGAGTTCGCCTTCGACAGCTCCAAGGTCGGATACGTGCGTTCCTCGACAGGAATGACGAGACAGTCGAAGCCTCTGTAGGCTCTATCGCTCCTCGTTCACGACCTCACGCTGTGTTGCAAGGCACCGCAGAACGAACATCCAGACATTTGCCAGACCTGGTCATTGCAGAGCTTGACAACGGTCAAGATCCGTATTCGCTACTCGGTGTCGCTTTTCAAAACAGCACACTATCGCTCCCAGACCTTTCAGCCCCTCGTATGCAAGCGTCACAGCAGTCCAACTTTTCGCCAGCGGTTGCACCTCCGATGCGAAACAGCAGAAGGGGTCCTACAGCTCTTGCCAGGACCACCACTATCAGCCGCTCGGGTCGTGCAATGCCTAGACTCCGGATACCGACGCCAACTGCACGAACAGAAGCACACCAGCCTCAAACAGGACGAGTACGTCTGCAATCCTTAAATGGGTCTCGCTCGCAACCAACGATTCAAGGAATCAATACACAGATGATGGAGGGGCACCTACAAGCATATTGGAGTGAGAATCCTGATAGTAGCAACATGCGGCAATCCGAATCACTTCCCAATCGTCGCAGTGCGCTGCCTGATATCGCAGAGCTGGAGGGCACTTCGCCGCCACTCTCATTTGCTGGCACCGCAGCCAATCAAGCCATAAGTAGAGATGTCGACCGACGCTCTGTCCACACTACCAATCACGAGATTGAGCGAGCCCAACTCCTCCTCCCCAGATATCCGACATCGCGCCTGCGTCGGTCGAACAGCACCTTGGGATTACCCAATGACTCTCAGCCAGTCGGTACGCCCCCGCAGCCCATACTCGCAGCTTCCATGGCGCAGCGGCCAGCCGGTCTCAGGAGTCGAATAACAGCACCGGACTCTCCGCATGGATTCTCACGTATGATGAGCATCTCCAATCTTCTCGATTTGGTATCTCGCAACCGTGCAAGATAGGGCGAAAGCATGTGTGATTTCCTTCGCCGTTGACCGCATCATCTTCGACAGAAGCGTACATTCTGTCTTTATCTTCCTTTCTCGACAATCTTTACTCAACCCTCTAATCTCTTAAAACATGTAATACCGACCTTAGGGTCGTCCACTCCTTGAAGATCCGTTAAAACGACAAACCTAGACCGACAGACTAATGTAATCGAGGGTTAGACCTCCCTCCAGAATTTTCACAGACCCAAATCGTGTTACTGACCACAGGTGGAGTTCGACAGGTATCAAGCTTCACTGACAGCAGGCAGGTAACACGGCGCAGCCTTGACAATTCCTTGGCTTGGCACGCCCCTCGCTCAAATTGTAGCGTAGTCCAGACTTCAAAAGCCGTTCCGCGATACTTTGCCTCAGTACGCTCCTCAAGGAACAGCAAGGCATGTGCTCATAAGTACACATCACCTCAAAAGCTTGTTTTTCGTTATCCTTAATACGGCGCCTCGACCCTTCTCGCCTTCACCTCTGTCCGGATCTTAACACAATCTAGCACATGCTCTCAACTCCCGCGATCTTCTCGCTCTTTATCTCTACCATATTACACCACTGACACTCCATTCTTACTTCGTACCTCACTATGAAGGAAAGAAAGAGTTGACGTAGCCTCGGTAATGGATGGACCCCTTGACACTGCTGCACGGAGTTTTAAGAACACACAGAAGTCAATCCGTAGACTTCTACATCAGAAGAGTGTCCCATCTGCCTGGAGACATACTCATCTACACGCGAACAATGGATCCGTATCAAAGGCAATACAGGGTGCTCTCATGTGTTCGGCTCCGACTGTTTAAAGGAGGTGCTCAACGATCCACAGTTGGCAAGAAAGTGTCCACTATGGCGCACACAATGGCTCCCTACCTCTGCAAGTAGACGCCGAAGTGCTCTACTAGCTGCACTCGACACAATACAGGGAGACTTGAACGCGAGGGAAGAGCAGCTTACAGCTGCCATCACTGCAAGGATAGGGAGAGCAGACGCGACAAACATCGCGGAGGCCATTCCTAGATTCCGTATTCGATTCCTCGTGTCAGCCTTGCTGAAGGGGCTGCGAATGATGCCGCTTACCGCGCTCAGCTTGACAACTACAGCATACTCAGGCAAGATGTTGAGAATGTCCGGACCCGCGCCAGCCGCAGAGGACTAAGCTGGTTCTTCGAAAGGACTGCAAGGGAGCCATCAAGGGATGAACAGGAGCTGATGGTGTCGCGAAACAGGTCCACTGCCAACAGCTCTACACTAGAGTCACAGCCATCTCAACGAATACCTCCAGGACCCCTCGATCGATTCCGCGATTTCGCTCACCTACCCCTGGAATCCCAGCACCAGCTGAGGAAGTGCCAGAGGGAGAAGACTCAGCGAATTGACCAACCACTCCTTCCTCACGAGTTCGACTACCTCCAGGCGACCTTCACGTTGATCGGGCCTCCCTAAACTCCCGCGACATAGCGGGATGAAGTCACTAGGGTGTTTGGTAATAGGCTGTAGAATCTGGAGAAGCTAGAGAAGTGAGAATGGTATGGACGGTGAAGGATTGTGGCCATGCGATTCTCGGGTCGATATTCTGACTGCTTCCTGGGCCACAGATGTGGACTGCTTTTTTTTTCGCAATTGGAATTTACGGTCCGTTTAATGAGAATGGCGGGTTGGTGTGTTGACTCCCTCCGTGCTGCGCTTGAGCGTTCAGTGGGATTTCTTGTGGAAGGCGGTAGTGTTGGGTTTTTCATGATGGCGTGGGAGAGACAGTGGGTAGCCCATAGTTAGTCCTTTTGTGGATATTTGGGGATCATTTAATAGGAACGTGGAATACGTTCACAGTAGGAGGATACTATTGGAGTTTCAAATGACTGTGTTGACGATATTATGTGGTGGTGTGGACCGGCTTTTTGGATACAACATTTCGATATATCTTGAGATTCGCATGTTTCATAGTACGAGAAACACAATCTACAAGAATAGCCGTATACTTTGGTGTCACAACATTACATCTGCGGCTCGACATCCCCCGGTTCCAATACCTGGCAATCGTCATACTCGACATCGCACACACATCATAGACTCACCTCACCAAACCCACACCCACAATGCACAACTATCTCCGCGTAACCTCCGCGCAACTTACCCCATTCGCATTCACAGAATCCCTACGCAGGATCCCATACCCTCTCTTTCCGTCGATTACGTAACCAATTCCTCACAACCCATACACCCTGAGCCGTACGAGTCGCCCATTCCCCTCATCACCAACCTCACAACTCATGGACGATGATGTGATGCAAGGTCGTTGCATGGTACGCTACCGATCGGCAGCCCCGAAGGGCTACTAGCCCCTAAAAAAGCAAGGCGGGGGACATAAGCCTTTAGCCGAGTGTTTAGCTTACTTTTAGTAGTGAACTTAGCGTCGTGGGGTGTGCGATGGCTTTTATGGTAAGGCGATGCCGAAGCACATATTGCTGTGTAGTGATGGATATTGTGGAAGGGCGATGAGGTTTGGTGTTTTGAGGCGTTTCGGAGTAGATCTGTCGCAGACAACAAGATATTGCGGTGAAGTAATTGACGTGGTGGTGATGAATCCCAGTCCTGTCACTCAGCCCTGTTAGTCGTTGTTGCACAGGATCTCGATGCTTCGCTTGTTTCAGCCGCATCTTCGATTGCGGTTGTGAACACAGTCAGCGCTGTCGACGACATCATGCCGTTTCCTCGTGAGCTCCACGTGCCGGGTGAGTCGCAACCGTTCCTCTAGGTGCCGTGAGAGCGTCCGCGGGTTCGGATTCGACGCGCTTGCGATCCCAGCTGACCTTTTAGGGTGTACCGCTAGGCTCTGCCGGGCCCACAGGGAGCTCGCTACACCAGAACGTTGCTCGTCTGCCGCGGGTCGAGGGTTGCAAGATCGGTCGTGCGTCATACATTAGTCTTTGATGCGTGTCGTGGATGAGGTAGCCGTAGCGAATCAAATTTGGTAGTGAATGACGGCAATATCATGGTCCGGGTAAAATAATGTGAAGTAAGGTTTGATGAGGATAGTTATATACGAGCTCAACAGCAGAGTAAGATTTGCAAGAAAAAAGGGAAAGAAAAGTTAAGAACATGCTAGACGAGAAAACGAAACTTGGCATACCAGGAATCCCATGCTGAATACCTCCGCGAAGTCATGCTGTGTACGAAGTTCCCACTACGATCGCTTCGCACTGCCTGAAGAGAAGCAGGCCAAGCGACCAAACGTAAGCTAGTCAAAAGAAAGAGACCAACGCCAACGCTAAGGTTGACCGCTTTGTAGCGTTATCAAAAACCAGGGAAAAAAGTGCGTATGCTTTTCAAGAAAGTGTGACCAGCACAAAGGAAGGAGAAAGAAAGGGGGGAAGTACGGGAGAGCCTGAGAGACGCGCACCCCGAATACACCGTTGTCGAAAGGGCGTTCCACCACAAGGCATCGCTATCTTGGGTAAATTGATTAAGCAGAAGAGTATCCGTGTTCGTCGTATGGCGTTTTCAAAGCCATTGCTGGAAGGCCATGCTGGGTCGATGACGCGTAACGTAGTATGAGATGGGTATCGAGTAGGAGATGTGTGGCGCCATGAGGCTGGATGCCCAAATGCAGTAGGTACAAATTACGGGAAAGATGCTGGATCGACCGTGATGTTCATCGGCGCATGAGCGCTTGCTGGATCTGAGCGAGCGAAGGGTCTTCTACGAGCCACTTGCCCTGGGCAGCGTCCTGGTTGCGGAGTGTACTCTCAACGTAAGTGTCCGTAATGGCAAGGAGCTCCTTTATAGTCTGTCAGTAGCTGCGATAGGGGTAATGGTGAAGAGTGATAGACAGGGGGTAGAGCGATGCAGGGGTCGTTGACGTACATTGCGTAGCGTGCCATCCACTTGTTGTAGCGCTGCGAGGTGACTTGCGTTCGGCTTCTGGCCTCGCAGAATGCTGTAACGTGAGTTCATCCACCTCAGACCAGCGTGCGCTCTCAGGTACGCCCGCTGACACTGGAATCGTCGTACCGCTGCGTCCGTGATGATTCTGTGCTCTGACGTCAGCCTATACATCCAAGGAAGGTACTCTGACCGCTGATGTCACGTCCACAACATCCAAGTGCTCCTTCACAAGACAGAAAGAGCAAAGGCTGTCAGGTATATGCACTCACGTCTTCAATTGCTGCCTCTCGCGCTCAGGGTCCCCTGTAGATGCCCCTGTGCTGGCGGAGAATGGTGTTTGAAGGATGGTCTGGGCTTCGCTGGCGCAGGAGCGAAGCAGTGAATATCCTTCGAGGTAGTACTCCTCCGCGGTCGGTGTAGCGCGCAATTGACTTAGGTAGTGTTGTAGGTTGCGGAAGTCCGTCATGATCTCTGTTATCCGCATAGCTCGGGCATCGTTAACTGTGGAAGTACGGTCAGTAACAAGATCTGGACGCAGTAATATCTTGCAGAGATGTAGAGCGAGCAAATTCACCAGGAGGTCTGGGTTGCTTGGAAGTAGGAGTACGTACGGCCGTCAGACATGTTGGCAACGAAAGTAGAAGATCGTGTAGAGGAAGAGTTTGATCCTGGTGGTGTTGAGTGTGGATCAATGCAAAACTGAGTCGTTGGGGTAAGGCTTGCTTGCTGTGATGAAGACCAACAGAGGCGTGAGGACCGTTATATAACGGGGATCAACTAGGTGTTCATGGGAAGGATGGTACACTGCAAGGCTTGATAGTAGTGAGGGCTGCTCCCGCCGCTACGTCTTGCCGAGTATCCACATTTGGATTCTGAGTAGCGTCCAGCTGGCATTAGCTGGTATAGCTGGACCACTCAGCATTGCGAGGGTGCCAATGGGGCTCCGATGGGGTGTAAGAGTAGCACTGAGTCTGAGGCTGCATGAGAGAACTAGCATGCAGGAACCGTAGAAGCACACATCCTATTTTGCGAGCCCCATTACCATCGCAGCTGGAGTGGGCACGTTCGTCAGTGCTGCGCTGGGCATTCAGCAGCGGTATGGAAAGCCACCAAAACACTAAGCCGCTTTGGACCAAGCTCCACGGCCTCATCCGGAAAGGCATGGTGCTAAGCTGTGTACCTCAGCCGCAGCACCACCATTGATTGGTTCATACTTATAATTAGCGGTGCGGCATTCGCGTGGTCTTCGCTGAGTGAACCTGAAGATGGCGCCGGGTAGGGTCAACCTGAGTATCTCCGCAACGCTCTTAGGGCCATAGTCACAGAGCGGTGTCAGCCACAGAACGGCTGTGCTGGCGACTCCGGCCAGTCAGATGACGTCGATAGGCTGTTCCTGAGATGTTGCAGCGCATGGCAGCTGGAGCCTAAGGAGAATGCTGTCATTGAGGTATAGGCGGAAGGATCATACACACCATGTGGAGCCGGGGGCTGAACTCCCAAGTTCTTCAAGTCGGTTCCAGTTTCCAGTCACTGTTGCGCTTATGCAGGTATGTGAGTCTAAGTCTTGGATTCATGGTGCTTCTGTAGCACTTCTTGTGTCTGAGAGGTCGTTTCATGCTATCCGGAGCTCGTCATGGTTCTCGTGTTTGCGCCTACCTCAGCGACCCACCGCCTTTCAGCCCTGAGGCATCAGTCTCCACTGGTCCCTCAATCCTTGTCGGCAATTGATTGCAGTCGCTCGTCAATCTCTTCTTCGGTGAGCGCCCTGAATGCGGCATCGGTGCCCTCTTGGCCATCGAGTCTGGGTCCACCGACGATGCCGACTTCCAACTCCCCCTTCTTGAAATCGACAGACAGGACCGTGCTCAGCGCAGTGATTGCTAGCTCGACGACCTCCTCCCAGTTGCCCTCTGCATGCTCCTTGTTCTTCAGCTTCTTCTCGAGGAAGTTGAGCGCCTCTTGTGTCTTGGGCCCCGATGCGGTCGCCTTGTACCCGACGTAGTATCCTGCTGGGTCGCACTTGTATAGTTGAGGGCCGAACTCTGAGTCTAACGAGATGAGCGTTGTGGCAACACCAAGCGGTCGCATGTAAGCCTGCACCAAGATTAGCACTTCTGCTCCATTGCCTCCTCTGTTCTGTTCTTGCTTACCCGCTGTGTGTAGACCTGGCTGATGTTGGCTATCCTCTTGGCTAAGACATCGCAGGGCATCTCGTAACCGTACTTGTAGCGGAACTCGGCAGCTTCGCCGCGCGCTCTGCTCACGGAAGCTCTCGCATCGGCGATGGAACCTGTCATGACACAGCCAACAGACGGCGATAGCTTGAAGATGTGAGAGACGGAGGAGGGCTCAATAAGCTTGTCCTATACGTAGGTATCAGTACCACATTACCGCCTCGTGAGCTCGATGCAACATACAGGAACCTTCTTCTGCGAGATAACTACTGCGCAGTCCTTGCCCCTCACTCCCAACGATGTGATGTTCGCTGCCGTGATTGCCTTGAATGCATATTCTGTAAGGCCCTTGTGTTAGCGGGGGTATGTGGGAGAGAGCTACGAAGCTGCAGCGCCGAGCAGTCGATGGATGCAGGACTATGGAGGGTATCGTACCGACTTGGTAGAGGCGACCTTGGTCGGAGAAGATGGTGATGTGTCTGTCGTAGCCTGCGCTTCCTGTATGACGAGGGAGCTGTTAGCATATGTAATAGACAAACACAAGCTCGGAGGGGCGATGGCGACGCACCAGACATGATGGCGGCGGGTGTATATGTGTGTTTATGTGTTTCAGCTTCGGGTGCAGCTCTTGGAGGCGATTGTAAGCTTTATCGGCGCTGGTGGTGATGGCAGGCGAGATGTCGTGGTCGTTGGATGCTGGACGCGCCTTCCACTGGCGGCCTGGAAGCCGGGGATCGCCAGAGGCGCTTGGACCACCATGTTTTCCAGCTCCAAAATCTCTTTTCACGCCTCTCATTCGACATTCGAAAACTGACATATACACGGATCGAGCTGATTCGGAGTTGAGCGATGGGTCGAGTCTCCGCATAATCGTAATAAGACGACTCCATATTCCACATTTGATCATGTCAACGAGGATTCCTGCCTGGCGCAGACTTGGCCTTGCGCTGCAGAGTGAGGCCCGATCCGGAGTCGCCGTAACTGAGTCCACTGCATCTCACGGGGGCGAAACCCAGCCTGTAGCAACTCCTGATGCAGAAAAAGAAACCCAGAAACCTTCTGAGTCTTCCATCGAGCCTGCCCAAAATGGAAAATCGTCAAGGCTTGGCAAACGCAAACACCACCATGAGGCAGCAGAGGAGAGCGAACCAACAACATCAAAGAAGAGTCGGACGGTAGCGGAGGACGACCATGCCCGCGAAGATGCTGTTGTTCATGCGCCCATCGGTACGCAAGAGGACCATGCTATGCCAGATACCACCACAAACGAGCCCTCCTTAGCCACACCTGCAAAAGGAGATCCAAATTATCGCCAAGGAAAAAAGAAGAAGCCCAAGCTTACCCCCAAGGACCGAAAGAAGCTGGCTCAGCAAAAGGAGCCTGCACCTTCACCTGCTGAAGCTGTACCAGTGAGGACAAGAGCAACTTTACTTGCCTCAACTGAGGTCGACCATCTTCCAGCGCCCTCATTCTCGACCCCACAGAAACATCAACCCATACTCCGGGATCGTAGCAAAGACTCCTCAGGATCACCTCCAAGGACAGACCGGCGCAAGTCTGTCGCTTTCACACCTGATACAAAGAGAGTGGACGGTGATAGTGGGCAAACGTGGTTCAAAAAGTGGGCAGCTGAGCAGAAGGGAGAAGAGCCTGAAGCTATAGAACAGCCTAGCTTCACTTCAGCACCAGTGACTACTGAGGAGCCCAAAGAAGCAGCGGAGACCGAAAGGAAGGAGAAGAAGAAGAAGAAGAAGAAGGATAAGAAGGACAAGACATCGTCGAAAGAGAAGGAAGCAGCAGCTTTCGCTGCAAGCACTGCAGCCAAAGAAGAACAGGTAGCTGCACAGCCAGCTTCACAGCCAGCGAAGCCTTCGAAAGATAGCAAGAGCCAATCTGCAGCCGCCGCAAAGGGCAAGAAGAAGGATCCCTCCGTCTATATCTCCTACCTCACTCAGTACTACAACGACCGCGACAACTGGAAGTTCAACAAAGCGAAACAGAACGACGTCGTAGATAACGCCCTGAACATCTTCCGCATCCCAGACCAGCATTCTGAAGCACTACTTGAGTACATCAAGGGTCTGAAAGGTGCAGGTGTCATCGAGCGACTGAAAGAAAAGACATTGGCAATCATCAAAGAGCTCGACGCAGAAGACGCCAAAGCACCGGCAGATATGGACGCAGATGCCCAGAAAGCCGCCAAGGAGGCCGCCTTGCAAGAGCGCGTCACCAAGGAGAGAAAGCGCAGAAAGGTCGAAGGCGACGTCGAGAGCTTTGCGACCCACCCCAACGGCAATGCATACATTCGACGCATGCGCCGCAGCCGTGCCGAAGCACTTCTGTCAGCGCTTGGTCGCACAGCGCCGATTCTGCCGGCCCCCAAGCCGACCACAAGCATAAACCCCATGGCTCAGAATCTTGCGCCGCAGCAAAGGGCCCGCAAGAGCAAGCGCAGGACCGATATTTCAAGCGATGAGAGTAGCTCTGATAGCAGCAGCGACGACAGCTCGAGTGACGACTCGGACTCCGAATCTGAGGCTGGCAATAGCTCGGATTCGGACAGTGGAAGCGCGAGTGGAACCAGCTCAAGCTCTGATAGTAACGGGTCTAATGGGAGCAATAGCGACAGCGACAGTGACAGCGACTAGATTGGTCCCCATTACTGAACAGATTGTATCATATCAACTTTCAAGATTTTCGATTCATTGAACGACAACGGGTTGGTGATTGTAGACAGAGAATCAAACTATCCATCACGAAGTCCAGCTTGGCCTCGAGCATCTTATTATCGATTTTTCCTCGTATATGGAATGACTATGAACCCCCAGCGTCAGATGTATTAGCGTCAGCTTTGCGGTGGCAAAGTGGACATCAGCTCGGCTTCCCCGCAATGGCCAACCCACGTGCTCTTCCGTTGACACGAGCATCAACATTCTCATACAAAACCTCAGCTTAGCCAAGATACAAACACACATGTCACTGTCACAGCTCCCAGCAGAACTTATCGAACAAATCACTTCATACCTCGACCTTTCCAGCTTCCGTTCCTTCCGCCTCACAACATCACACTACCGCACCCAAGCTACCCACATCTTCAAACACCGCTTCTTCATAACACAACACCTACAATGGACGAAAGCCTCGCTCCAACGCCTTGTCGACATATCCGCACACCCTGACGTAGGCAATGCACTGCACCACCTCATCATCGATGCCACACCCAAGTATTCATTGGAGCTATGGAAGACACGTCGGCGCAGCGCAGACGCAGGGCACATGACACCAGTCACAGATGATGAAGATGGGAGCAAGCTGATCAATAGGCTGAATGGGGAGTTTGAAGAGTTGCAAGAGGAGGCGGAAGAGGTGGCGAAGTGGTTCAATGAGACGCGCTTCGATGTCAAATGCCTCACCACCGTCTTCTCGCGCCTCACTAATCTAGAGAGCATCACCTTCTCATATACCGGCATGGAATCACGCTTCTCAAAATTCTCTCATCGCTACTGCTCCACTTCGCAACACGAAATGAGCCGTCCGTTCATATCCACGCTCGCCGCACTCGCTACATCAGGGGTGAAAGTCAAACATATCAAGATTCACGATGAGAATAGGCACGGTGCTGTCAGTATCGGACGCCTTGAGTGCCTCGCCCCTTCACTCCGATACTTCGACGCAGCCTTGTCCAATTTAGAAATACTGCAGCTCAACCTCCGCGACTGGCGCTCGCCAGACTCAGGCTTCGAACTTGAGCGCACACGCGCGCCGTTCGTCGTCCGCTTCCTGGCGAAGTGCAGAAACGTTCGGTCTCTCGAACTAAGTTGTTACAGCGCGCTTGAGGAGGATTTGTTTGGGGAGATGGCGAGGCATTGTGAGCTTGAAAAGTTGGAGAGGTGCAGGTTGGACCTGTTCCGCATCGCCCGCGCTCACAACTTACTCTCTTTCCTCGCGCCCTCATCAACAAGTCTCGTGACCCTGGAGCTAGAGCATGTTCTGCTGGCTGATCCTGAGGTATCGTGGGCAGATGTGTTCGCCTGCCTCGCGGACTCAACGACGTGTCTCGCAGGATTGAAAAAATTGGAGCTCAATAGGTTATTTACACAGCGGTTATCCAGGTCAATCAAACGCGTCCTCTTCCATGATTGGAGAAGCCCAACCACTTCGCTGATCATCGAGGGTGAGAACTGGAGAGAAGAATGCAAGGACCGTGGATGCAGATACATGGAGTCTGAGGCCGCGAGGATGTGGGATGCGGGCGCGGTGTTGTATCCATTTGTGGGATTGGGTTCGTATGTGTGACCGCCATAGCCCGCTTCATCCATCTCCTTCGAACTCGCGCAATCTTTCATCCCCGGCTTGAGCCATGTCGGCGGAGGGAGAGGAACGGCTGTCGCTGCGAAACGTGGGTGGCACCTTACTTTCCCTTCTTAGCGTTGAGGATATAGGACTCCAGACCCCCCCCCCCCCCCAATGTTTGTAATTGATTCAATAACAACGTTCTGGTCTCTCGAATATTTTTCTTGTTTGACATGTTGAGAGATGGTCGTTGAGATATCGCGACATCACGCTTGGCGGATATACGGCAGGATAGTCGACGCTCGTGCTTCTCAACCGACCATGCCTGGTTAGCGGTAGGATGGACGGCAAAACGGCAACAATCGATGGTCTTGAAACATGATGGCTGGATTTTGTCGTGAAATTCCAGCGTTGCGGCTGATTGATCCTGGAATCGATGCGCAACGGCCCGTAGGCGTGGGTGTGGAGGCGAGCTGTTAACCTTATTTTGATGTCGTCCTGATGGATAGTTTGCGTCTTAGCGGACAGTGCTGGCGGTTGTGGTAAGGGTTCTTTTCTCAGTCTCGTCTGTGTGGTCCTTCTCCGCTGCGTATCGTCGTGTGTCGTTGTGCCTCTTTGGCATGGCTATCGTGTTGAGCACATGCTATCCTGAGGTTGTAATCGTGAGCGCACTGTCGCACTGCGATAGTATGTTTCCTTAGTGAAGAGCAAAAAAGGGCATATATGCGAAAAATGAGTTTCATGGATCTACAGTATTGGTGACATGAAGTTGAGGCAGCAAAAAATAACGCTGCAACCGAGCCTTTTAGTTGCATGCAAGCGGCCGATATACATCAACTTTCCTCCGAAATCTGGGGCGCATGCCGCGCTTTCCTTATGTTTTCCCTTCACATTGCGGTGCCGCAGACCAGGGCTTGCGCTTCAATTTGATGAAGTCCATCGTCCATCATTAGTGTTGTGGATTTAGCAGCATTCTTGCCCGGACATGCGGAGCTCAGGTGAGCGTCGTGAACAGATTGAGAAGGTGCCAGAAGTAGAAGCCAACACCAGGAAATTGCCCTCGATTCGAGGCTTGCATTCACTGCTAGATTCTACGACGCGAAGACCAGAAGTGAGTGCCTTCATGGAAGTGCCAAATGTGGCAGTGATTGTCACGCTCTGTCCAGACTTCAGCGTCTGTCTTGGCTGTTGTACTCAGAGGTTCAAAGGACTGCATCTCAGATGAGATCGCTTAACGTCCTGGTTGTGTTGTCAGTGTTTTCCACTTTTTCTGTTCGCCAGTCGGCGCCTTGCTATCGAAGGATTCCCGAACTCGCATTCGGCGTATCTCGGAAGCTGCACGTTTGCATCCCGATCACTTGCACATGCCGTACATGATGTCAAGCATGACCGTTTCTTTCAAGATCATGAGTTGGTGGATGTTCGTGCATACCGAGGTGCTCAGCCTCGTTCCTGAATGTATTTCTAGACTCTTGGTAGAACTGCGACAAGCATTGAGCTTGCGGTGGTTTGTTTCGACGACCGCTAAGATTGTAGTCCTTCTTGGCTGACAGGATGTGAGCATTCCGCCTGTCGCCGCAACAGAGCCAGGTCGAAAGGGGCTCCGTGAGGATTCACCGCTTCTCAATCAGCTCATCCTTGTCTACAGTCATGGAGGTACTCGCAACGCTTTGCGCGCTTGTCAACGACGATGGTACCGTATCGATGCCATGCCTCCGATCTGATACACACTTGTTCTATCCCATAAACACCGGCGAAATATTGGATGATGGAGTAATTGTCCGATGAGGCAGAAGGCTGCGCTAAGCCTTACACCTACCGCACGTCAGGGCCAAAAGCGTGTTAGTCCGTTCGCTGGGAATAACAGGAGGAAGCTAAGCGTTTCAGAAACAACAACACAATGCAGCTTCCGCAGGAGAATTTACACCTTCTGCATCCCACGTGGACCATGAAACGCTATCTATGATCGCCAAGTTCGACTTTGCGGTTAGCACACACACTGCTTGGCATGTCTTTCCTGCAGAGCGGAGGTTGTTTTGCCAAGGGCCAAGACGCCATGTGGACTTGCGCGAATGAGGTGTGGATTGGTCGTGGAGGGAGGTTCATTCGAGGTAAGATGAAATCATTACAGTGAGCTTGGCTGTGTAGCTTCGTAGGCGGCGACCATAAGGTACTTGCGGGAGCATGGTCGAAGAGACGGTTATAAGTACCATCGGCAGTCCAACACTAGAATCATCATCAGCCAGGAGCATTCAATTCAATCTTTCGAACTTCCCTTCCATTCTTTTCAAACGATCACTCCTTCAGACCACATTCGCTCCAACAACCAATCTTCCAAAATGAAGGCCTCTACCATCTTCGCTGCTGTTGCAGCTTTCCTTCCTGCCGCCATGGCTTGCAACGGTTTCACCGGTGGTGTTCCTAAGGCTGTTGGCACAAAGACCAACAAGGCCGTCATTGAGGTCAAGGCCGGCCAGGTCTTCGACGGGCAGTGGTACAGGTACGACCGCGGCAGCGGTGCTTGCGGTGGCCAGGGTGAGGGAGGTAAGTGATCGACACCATTCTAACTTTCTTGAATGAATACTTACATCATATAGACTACAAAGATGCCGTCTTCTACCTCCACGAGGGTGCCACTCTCCGTAACGTCATCATCGGAAAGAATCAGGCTGAGGGTGTCCACTGCACTGGTCACTGCACTCTCGAGTATGTCTGGTGGGAGGATGTTTGCGAGGACGCTCTCTCCATCAAGAACGACAAGGCTGGGTCACAGACCTGGGTCATCGGTGGTGGTGCTTACCACGGCTCGGACAAGATCATCCAGCACAACGGCTGCGGTACCGTCAACATCATCAACTTCTACGTTGAGGACTACGGCAAGCTCTACAGGTCCTGCGGAAACGTAAGCACTGCACTGCGGGTATATAATACAGATCACTGACCTCTCTTCCAGTGCTCCAAGCAGTGCAAGCGTAACGTCTACATTGAGGGTGTCACCGCTAAGAATGGTGGTGAGCTCGCTGGTATCAACGCCAACTACAAGGATACTGCTACTCTCAAGAACGTTTGCTCCGACGCAAAGACGAAGTGCCAGATGTACAACGGCTGCGCTGGTGGCTGCGAGCCCTCTAAGGCCGGTACCTGCTCCGGTTAAGCTGGCTTAGCTTTCGAGCAGAGATCAGCCCTAGGCTTTCTCCTGGCCTCCACCATTTGGCGGATATAGAGGCGATCGGAACATTGGTTGCCGATTGCGATGTTGGCCCTGCTACTTATACATACATCCGTCCTTCTTGTTAATACACTTTGCTGCCTTGCTCTTTTGCAAGCCGGCGCTCGTCGTCAAGATCCTTCTCGTCTGCCGTATACCGTGAACATGCATGAAAAGGTTCTTGTTGAAAAAAAGATAATATGCCGTCGTACTTGCTTCAAGGCAGTACTTGCACCAGCTCAAATAATGCCCTTAATGATGGTGTCCTGTGCAGGAGGCTGCAACGGGTGAACACCTCTGCCTTTACCCTGCTGAGAAGTACGCAAAAGCCATTGCGAAATGAGCGCATCGATGTCGCAGCGCGATCGTTGAGAACCTCCAGGCCTCTTGTGGTTGTGGTTGGAGCACCAACAGGAAGGCAGCGTGCCCGGTGGAATCGTGATTCCAACAACGACGATCGTGCTTTTCCCAGAATGGCAACGCTAAGATAGCGCGTTTCTTGAGTACAGGCGCGTTCGCTTTCTCTCGCTCACATCCCATGCTCGGTCCGTATCTCTTGTTTATATGTGCCCAATCAGCGTTTTCCGCATTTACACTGTCTAGCGCGGTCTTCCTTCTATAGTATGGCTGGCTGGCCAGTCTTGTTTTACGGTATATCTCGTTAACACTTGTGCGACACTTTGCGGGCAGCAAATTCGACAATCAAACACCATTGGCGCCTTCACAAAAACAAATGTCATGACGGTTACAACGACAGCTAAACAGATGTCAGTCGAAATTATCATCAAGCGAATTTTAGAACGCCAGGGTCACAAGGCTACTTTCATAGCTCGCTTCGTCAGCAACTCATCTCAGTTCGATCTGACCGGCGAGTCTGAAGATCGGCACGATGGTACTGGCTGCGAAAACATACCAGTATCGCTTGACGCAAGCCGAATGCCAACTGCACAATCTTCTTCGTAGGCTCGAAGCAGAATTCGAAGACGAGTTCCCGGAGATATTCAGTAGCACAGGACTTCCAAAGCTGTTTGTGGAAGCTGCTCCTGGGGCCCAGATTATATGGCTAACAAAAGATCCAGGAACAAACCCTTCACGTTATCATTGCAGTTAGGAGGTCGTCAGCTTGAACATTTTGATCTCAACGGTACACATCTCATACAAGATTGTGCGTCTGTCGGTGCTAAAATTGTACGAAAGCTTCTGACATCCGACGAGCATGTGGAATCGCCTGCAAGAGATGATACCTCAACTAAACTGGGAAGCGGAGATCCTGGCAGAGTCACGCCAGGCCTGTCAAATGAACCCCTGGTGTCTGTTGCGGTCAAAGAACAAACGTCATGGGAGTCGATCAAGCAGGAAGTTGTCCCTCCATACGTTAAAGCTGTTACCTTTACGGTAGCTCGGAGTGATTTAACACCCGATCGTCAGGAGGACTTGAAATTTCGTTTCCCTGATGTTACGATCACTACCGAATATCTACCTCGCGAGCACGAAGATGAAGTCGAGGTCGAGTCCCAATTCGCTGCCGATCAATGTCTGCGACAAAGGTCCACTACAGAGACTGCACCAATCACGTCCTGGACAACCTCCACGAAGCCCCTGTCACTCCACACGAGCATAATGACTGTCGCAGAAGTAATTCCAGATATACCTTCAGTCACTGATACGCCAAAGCTCAGTTTGTTATCGCGGATGAGCATTGGTGGGTCCGAAATACGCATCAAGGGCGTTGCTTCCGGAAACCCAGACAACGCCGATACACCCACAGGTCCCGGCAAGACGTACAATAAATCGCCGATATTAAGCATCGCAGAGCGTATAGGTCTGGAAACCACCTGCCCAGATAAGGTCATACATGCCATGTGGTCACAATGGCAAAACAATCGCGAAGTAAAGCCATATGCCGCAGTGCGTCGAATGATCAACCTCAAGCAATACTACAACAATCTTGTCACGCTGTACACACTCGCACACCATAGGGAGGAGTTCGACTTGTGTTTTGCGGTGTTGCTCAGGTTTCAGAGCACGAACTATACCTTCAGAGAAGAATTACCAGACGTAGCCACCATCGTTCTGGCATTCCAATATTTGCCTGAGGGTAACGACCTTTGTTGCTGGGTAGCGACGCTGTTCGCGTTTTTATGGACGACTCAGCAATATCAGGACCGCGAACACCTCCTCGCTGACTTTCCCGGGCTCGATAGCGACGCATTTTCTAAGTTCATTTTCGCGATCGCACACATAAGAGCTCCTTTCACGAAAGGCCACAACACTGCGGTACTCGAGCAATGGTGTGAGGTGCACCATCATGAAGAAGGCGACGCAGAAGAAGCGTTATGCAAAGAGGTGTTTGACGGCATGAAAGTCCAGCTTGACAAGATCAGGAGTGAAGAAGCTGAGCGCGAGTACAACGAGGCGAAGAGACTAGTCGATGACTACGTGAAGAGCCTGCAGTCACAGTCACTGAGTGTAGACGCAACACAGAGCACACCTCTCGGAAAGAGCAAAAGAAAAGCGGAGAGCCCTGTTGTACAGTCACACAGGAAGTATAAGAGGGGCGGTGGAAGGGGCGGTGGAAGGGGCGGGTTCAGCCGAGCATCATCGTAAGGATTCGGCACCAAGCAATCACTGCCTCGAGGCGCTTGTGGGAGATGAGGCCTAGATTCACTCGACACATCAAGGCGAAGGTCAGTATAGATTTCATATTAGCACTGAATACACAGGCCGGCGCGTTTCTTTCAAATGACCGCCTGATCACCTTTTTCCGTGGCTTCCACAAGATTGGACTATTCGGGTCGCGATCTTGCCAGAATGCTCGCATCCACGTGTAATTGCCTCCATTCACACTTGCTGACAAGGACCAGCAACTTTCTCACTGAGACATCACATGTGCGCCTTCCTAAATTTCAACGCCTTCTTTACGAGAGAACATGCCACAACATATCGTATATTCGAATATCTTCAACAGCAGGCGATGTGAGGTCAGCTCAATACCGGCCAAGGAAGATGAAAGACACCACATATGATATGTCATATCTTTGGCTGCGGAACAGGAGTGCCTTCAGCTGCCTCTGCGTTAACCTTACACCCTGCCCACACTGCTCTAGCAAGCCATGGCGTATTCCATTCGCCGCCAGAGATAACTGCAACCCAAATTGAAGAAATCGCTCAAGGTCATATGGTTGAGTCCAGAAAATCAAGTGTAAGCCGCCAAAAATAGGTCCTACGAGCTCGCTTGCTGAGCCTATCAGCTGTAAGTCTCAGCTGACTCAACGGTGGCTGATAGTGAATGTTCAGCTGCTGCGCTAGCTGAAATAGGTCAAGCTTACTGTTCTCACTACACTTACCAATCGCTCAGCTGAACCGCGCAGCCACCACCCGCTTGTTCGGCCGTATGCTTGACCGCATACTGGATGGGTCGCTCCACTCGCGTTTGGCTACGAAAAGCCACAGCCTCAATCTGACGGTCAGAACCAATCTCATGAGCAAGTTTCCATCCATGGCTGTGCAACATTTGTCTCGCAGCCTCGAGGCCACCGCCCTCAGCGTAGCATCGAGGCAGAGCAAAACGATACCTCGTGATGCTTTGCTGGCGTAAGTCTGAGCTACCTTTAGCAACGACCTTGGAGGACTCGATGTATAAAGATCGAGGCAGTCCGCATCAAATGGTTTCTCATCACACAACAACCAAACAACCAAGGCAGCATCTTCATTTTCCTACACTTTTCAATCTTCGCATCTCCTTACAACACTCACTCCACCAAAAAACCAACTACCAACCCAACCATCAAAATGAAGGCCTCAATCATCGCATCCACACTCGCCATCTTCGGCTCTGCCCTCGCTTTCCCCACCGCTCCTCAAACCCAAACCCAAACCCTCTTCACCATTCAGCTCACCAATGACTTCTCCGGCGCCAACGCCATCCGCTCCGTCGCCGTCAACAACACCCCAACCACCTTCTCCACTCTCTTCACTGGCACTATCCTTGTCAAGAACGGTGCCGTCATAGCCACCAGTGTGCAGAACGTCAACCCCCAGGGCAATGCCCAGTGTGTAATCAAGAACGCTGTCGGCGCCGAGGTTGGACGCATCAACAACCAGAAGACTTTCCTCGACCTCGATGGGGATGTCACCAAGGCCGTCGAGACTGACGTCTCTGCTTTCACGATCACTTGCTTTTAAGCAACACGCGCCAAATGTTCTGAAAGCAGTCAGCGGAGTCTAGGGATGAGAAAGGGGAAGATAAGAGGTGATCAAGGCACGACGATGCTTGGTTTTTCTTGCATGGCGACATGGTAGTTCTGCTTTTTCCTGTTTTGCAGCGTTCGAGCACACTCCTTCGATGGATTATCCTATAGAAGCTAATTAGCTAATACCACTCCCTCATTCAGGATCAGTTGATTCTGGATGTTGTTCCAAAAACGTGTCCCTTCTTGACGGCGATTTGTGAGTAGTGCACATTTAGCTCGAATAGTCACAAACAGCTAGAAGACTAGTCGTAGGAAGAGAGCTATCTTGACTATCAATGAATCAGTAAACCATCAGCAATGAAGCGTTATTACAAGGCGGAAAATTCAAATACAATAGTACTGTTTCCCCAAACTAAATATATCTCAGCTCGTTGAGAAACGCGATTCTTGTGAGCGAGAGTCGTACTATTCTCAGGCCATACAATGACGACTCGCCAGCATCATGAAACACAAACACTCAACGTCAGATATCATGATGAAACTCACGCCTATCAAGAACAATCAGAAGTGTATTACGCATCCGATTTTCCATACTGGTTTTGCATGCCGCACTTCTCATGCAGCTGGTCGCGTGCACACTTGCAGGGCTCGTCCATGACGTCAGACTTCATTACTCCACCGCACTACTCTCTCCACTTCTACACACAGCCTTGCAGCCTCAAACTTCTAAGATATTAGCTTTGAGAACTGCGAAACACAAACACCGTTGATCCGTGCAACTCAATCGTCCATTGAGCGTGTTCACTCCTTTTGTCTAGACCCTGTCACCTTCCCCGCATTTTCTACACCACCAACACCTCGGTATCGCGCTAGTCCAGGGGCGCAACAACAATAGAAACAAAACACCGCCATATCAATAAACACAAAAGAAGCCAAACATCATCAAGTTCTTTCCGTTACACATATCACATCGCTACCATGACGGACGACTGGCAAGACTTCGCCCTCAGCACGCGGCACTTCCACAACCGCAACAATCGTCGCGCTTCAGGCAAAGGCAAGAAGGGTGCTGCGTTTGACGTGCGAAAGACATTCGGCGAGTACGAAGTCAAATGCGCGTCTTGGGAAAGAGCCCTGGGAGAACTATGCGACGACGACGGTCAAGAGGAGGAAGCAGTGTTTGAGCTACTGAGGTTGACGGAAGACGGCCAAGGAGTCCTGGGAGAGCTCGTGCTGCCTGGAGTCCTCAGGGCCGCTGTTGTGCTGGCGGCGAGCAGGAAGACGCTCACGATCATCACTCGACATCTATCCGGCGAAGACCAAGACGAGGAAACTTCGGATGAAGATGAGAATGAAGATCACGATGCCTCTGATGACGACGAAGAAGAAGAACAACAACCAGACCGCTTCGCCACCTTCGAGAAGAACTCCTTCCGCTCCCCAAAATTCTGGCTAGCTTGGAACGGCACCATCACGACTCCGAAAGACGACTCCCCGCCACCGTCCCCAACCCACACAAGGAAAGGTAGCCACTTCCCCTCAGCAGACTCTCCGCCCCCAAGCCCCACGCTCTCCAGGACCGGAAGTAGCTTTCCACCACCCAAGCCCACATCCATCTCAACCCAGCAATCGCAGGCCGAAGGATTGGGTTATGTCGTATTCACCGGCAACGACTGCCGGAAATTCAAGGGGACTTTGAATTGCAAGGAACTTGGGTGGAAAGACATCGCATTCAGCGGGTTCAAATCTGTGTCCAGGAGCGAAAGTGACAGGCAAGTGGTTTGGGCGGGGCGGGACGCTGAGACAGGCTGGAAGGAAGAAAGTGCGGATGGAGGGGATAGGGGGGCGAGGTTGGATAGTAGGAGGAGAGTGGTGTTCGATTAGTGGGTTGTGGAAATAGGGGGTTGAGGTTAGAGGGCAGAAGGAAGAAGAGAGATGAGGGGATGCTTTGAGTAAATGGAGCGAATACAGACTTAGATCTGACGGTCTCAAACTTTTTTGAGACGGAGGCGATGAGAGATTACGCTCAGACACTTAAGGCTGCTCAAATGCTGTGTGAAGCTCTCCCAAGTGGTTATGATACACTATCAGTCATGAGATAAGTTTCCTACCAAATGTTCCTTCGAAATCATCGAAGTCGACTTCTACAGCACCCATATTCCTTCCCTACATCGCAGCTCAGGAAGTAGCCCCACCCACTTCGGGATACCTGTAGCTTTGTAAGGAGTCTTGTAACAAACCTGGGATCAAAGTTCCATTTCGATGGTATCAGTGCCGTTCGCAAAACCTCGAGGTCCCCAGACACTCTCAATTTGGCAACTTGCATCATTCCTGTCTTTCTCCACAAGCCCATAAAGTCCCTTTCTTGTCGAGTTGCGAGTAGGACGTAAGACCATAAACTCTTCGAACATCTGCATTGACTGTCCACCCGGGCGGGACCACTGGGCTATGGCTTCTCTTACAGTATGACTTGTCGTTCTTTATTACTGCCAGCAGCTTCTTGATGATTATGTCGTGCTGCTATGTGGTGAATGCCGTCAACGGTCGTGGTTCTAAGGTTGTGCTGAAGGAGTCAATTGATGTTTCAGGTTGTGTGAGTGGGAGGAAAACCTGATCGTACTATGTGTGGCTTCAAGGTGCTCTTCAGGTCATTGCAGACTGGCTGATGAGGCTTCTTTGGCGAAAGGTCACCAGTTCCGGTCGCTCATACAGATCGCCAGGTATGCTGTGGCGTATGCTATGACGAGTGTCGCTGTTGGTGTGGCTAAAAGAAAGACAAAAATTGACAGCATTTCGAATAGTTATAAGAGGCTCCAAGACTACCTCGAAAAAATAGTTCCATCGCAATTGTGATGTTTGTTCAAGCTTTATGTGAGCAGTATGTCGGTGTGGAAGCTTATGTGGTCTGCATGGGGAAGGACGTCACACGACCAATTCGCGTGCTCGGTGGTGCGTAAGCCCCACCACATGTCTGCGGCAAAGTGATCCGAACATAGATCAGTAGGTGCGAAGGACGGTGTGTCGTGTGCTCGATTGCTGCATTGAGTCGAAGATACTGTCTGGGGTTGCTGCGCGAAGTTGCGGGCAGCGCGCTGTGCATCGTCGCACGGAGAAGTGAGGGACTGTCATGTGCAGTGAAACCGACGTTTTCTAGTGGTATTTGTGTCAGTAAGTGCCGAGAGTAAGCGGACTGCTTTGATATCAGCCGTTATTGGCGCAAAAGAAACGGCAGAGTGGTGTGAAGTTGTGAAGGTGATGCTCCAATGAATTTGCTCCAAGCCATACTCCCTTCTACATCTCATTCCGCCATAAATTTCCAAATTCGAAGTGTACATGCCGTACATACGCAGATGACCCTAAAAATGCCCAGCACTGTTCAAACATGCGCAAAGGAAGGTGCCCTTAGATGACCGATCCAGACGCAAAAGGTGCGACTACTGCACGTCGCTGTACATTCTCCGTGGCGCAGGTGGTAGTCCACCGTTGAGCGGCGGCCCTCTCGACTGGGGTCTCGAATTCGACCCATTCGATGTCGGTGGCGCAGGTCGCATTGGGAGTGACATTTGACCGCCCTGACTTGACTGGCTGTTCGACTGGCTGTGGTGGCTAATGCTGCTCGATGTTCGTTGTGGGTATGTCGGACGCGGAGGCGCTGGTCCCTGGTCTTGCCTGATATCAGCAGAACCTCTTCTCGACGAGGATTCTTGCTGTCTGATATCGGCGGACCCTCTCCTTGGAGCAGGCTCCTGGTTCTGCAACTTCTCGCGGATGTTGCTCGATAGTACGGAAGGGGCGAGATGTGATTTGCGCTTGTTGTGTTCGAGCATGCTTGTCGCCCATGCCTCGAGGTCGACCGGTGTGCGTTTCGCGGCTTGAAGGAAGGCATCGTGGTCCTACAAAAAATTAGCAACTGAAGTAGGGGAATTGGGCAAGTCTCGTACATAGAGCTCCTTAGGCGTTGGTCGCTCCTTAGGATCCTTCAACAAGCACTTGGCGACCATGTCTTCCAGTATGGAGGGGAAAGCATCGCTCTTGGGCAGCTTCGGTGCCGGCTCAAGAACGATCTGCTGCAGGAGATCAAGGATACCCTGTGGTCCGCCAGCATCGTCGTCGTCTGCGCTTCCAGAGAAGGGGAATTTGCCAATAGCCAGCTCCATGATCGAGAGACCAACACTCCATACATCTGACTTGACGGTGTAAGGTGAACCCTGGATGCGCTCCGGGGCCATGTATGTGCCTGTTCCCACGAAAGTCTCGGCGATGGATCCATCAAGCTCACTGGAAACACCGAAATCACAGAGCTTGATTTGACCCTTTGAGTTTATGAGGATGTTCGATGGCTTCAAGTCGCGGTGCATAATGCGGTGGGCGCTGTAGAGGTAGCTGAGACCACCGAGCACGGCTTCTGCAATCTTTCCGAGGACGTCGACACGTACAGGACCGAATTGACGAGATACCCAGTCCAGAGATCTATCACAGTGTGTCAGTTCCTGCCCATCTGGGTGCTGTGGGGCAGTTGCTTACCCCACATCCATGTACTCCATGCACATGATGACATCCCCAGAGTCGTTCTGGAATGCGCCATAGAAATCAACAATGTAGGGCGAGTTGCACTCGTGCATAATGCGCAACTCTCGCACGATGCGTTTCCGTACTTCATTCTTCGCTTCGACGTGTATGACCTGTGGCTGTCAGCGCCCCTCCCTGATTGTTGTTGCCCCACTCGACCAGCCCAACGCACCTTCCTCGCCATGATTACTTTGGTAGCTGCATGCTGGACCTTGCTGACTGTGCCTCCGTTTCCTGAGCCTAGTTCTCGCAGAACGATCAAATCCTCTGCCTTCAAGTCCAACTGAAACTCAACACCAATTTCGAGGGTCTCTTCTTTAGCATTGCCCAGACCACCTGGTGCCTGTGCATCACTCTCTGAGGGCGCGGGCTTTGGCGGGGGAGCGCTCAGTGCAAGGCCCTTCTTGTTCTTCCTCTTCATCGTCTTTGGGGCGAATGGGTCAGCCATGGCGGGCTATGTGCAGTGTTGCCTATGCTGTGAAGAGGAAAATAGGGAGGTCGAGTGCCGGTGACGATATGTAGTTTCAGGCGCAAGTGAGCGTGGCAGTATGTGGTTTCGAGTTGCCGCCCAAGGATGGGGTCGACTGATGGGTCGCCAATCACGGCTGTGTCCCAATGGAGGACAGCGTTTATTGGATTGCCGGTTGGGGCGTGCTGTAGCGAGGACTGAGTGCCTGATTGGGGGGCGACCGGAGTGTGATATAGGTAGGGTGTGTCTTGTCGAGGGCTGTGTGGAGGGCTCAGGAGAATGTGAGGTCGTGTTAGTTATCGAATAGCGGGGCCGAGTGTTTGTGCATGCGGCGCCAAAAACGATCCTGCAAGGCTGCGGGTGGGCGGCGCGACACGACCAAGATTAGCCTGCTGTCGGGCTCGGAGCAACTTCAAGCGAATACCAATGCGAGAAGGGCGTCGAGCAGAGGGTGCGTCTCTGATATATAGACATGATCGACTGCGTGTTTCAAGTCAGACACCATGCTTCACCTGTTGTTCTAGCGCTCCATGCATGCCTCAAGGCCAGTAGACATGTGAGATTCATGGCCGCTCCAGACAGTGCAGAACGAGAACGAGAACGAGATCCATAGAACACGAATCGCGTACAAGACGCGTATCTATCGTATACACTTCATGTTGCTGCTAAAGGGCGCTGAGTTCCTCCAGGGCTTAGTGTAAAGTGATGGACAGCTGCTCGACACGTGATTCGGAATTACGTAGCAGCGACCTCCGCTTTGGCTTTGAAGACGCGCTGGTCACCCCTTCTGCCTTGTTCGCGCCCTTTACCTCGACCCTCTTTATTCTCTCTCTCCTCGAATCGCCGCGTCTCATTTCCCGCACCGGCTTCTCGAACGCCCCGAAACCGCCTATTCGACGTCCATAGACGCTCTCGCGCATCTCCTTCACATCACCGTACATAATGTCTACGAGGGACCTTTTCGACACGATCGCCGACGTAGGCAGCGATGAGGAGGAAGATGAGGATTTCGACGAGGAAGGTGGTGCGGTACGGCCCAAGAAGTCAATTGGCGCCAATGGAATCGACGACTCCAGTGAAGAAGAGGACGAGGACGACGATGAACTGCTGGCAAAGGCAAGCATTAGTCCATTTCCACCGTGATGGATAGCTGCTGACTGATGCATAGGAAGGCGCTGGCTTCATCGCTGACGAAGACGAGGACGAGGACGAAGCAGATGCACGGAGAGAACGACGGCGCAGGAAGAAGCGCAAGAACCGTGAAGCTGAGGAAGACCTCGACGAAGACGACCTCGATCTGATTGGCATTGAGCGACCTGAGCGAGAAGACGAATCAGCGGTATGATAGGACATGCGGCCTGTTATGATGGGTTATCCATGCCGGTCGTCTGCTGACAATAAATAGCCTAAGTACAAACGCCTAAAGCGCGGTCACAAGGAGAAGCGCAAATCACGCGGCATCGACGATATCTTTTCCGACGAAGAGGCAGTCGACGACATCGACGAGCCTCGAAGACTCGGTGGAGAGTTTGACGATTTCATCGAAGAGGATCAGTTCGAGGACGAGATCGAAGACGACCGCGATGTCACACAACCGGGTATCAGCCTAATCACACAAGGACTGCAAGCTGCCGGGCTGGACGAGGGCGCTGAGGAAGACTACAGGGCAGCTTTCGGCGATGGCACCGACTACGACTGGGCCCTCGAGATGCAGGAGGCCGAAGAGGAAGAGCAGGCTGGCGAAGGTCGTGAGCTCCAACTGAAGGACGTTTTCGAGCCATCACAACTCCAGGAGCGCATGTTGACAGACGAGGACAACATCATTCGTGAGACGGACGTGCCTGAACGCCTGCAGCTCGCCCGCAAGCCGTTCAAAGAGCTCGAATTGACACCTGAAGCTATGCAGATCCGGCTGGAGGAGGAAGCGCTGTGGATTTCAAAGCTTCTCTGGCCAAAGAAGGGGCTGCCAAACTATTTCCAGCAACCTTTCCAAAGTGCTGTGCGCAAGGTTCTCGAGTTCATCAACATCGAGGATTACGAAGTACCTTTCATCTTCAACCACCGGAAAGACTACCTTATTCATGCACCCGGCGACAACGACGATCAAGACGACTTTGGCACTCCACCTCCGGATGCTCGACCAGAACGCCTTCTGAACCAGAGCGACTTGTGGGAGGTATTCGACCTCGATCTCAAGTTCAGGGCTTTCGCTGAGAAGCGAGACTCGCTGCGCCAAATCTATGAGAACATCAGAGCTGTACAACCAGATATCGTTGATGGTGAGATCGAGGATCTGATGGAGAAGGCTGTCACCATCGAAGAGATTCAAGAATTACAGGATTACCTACACTACCAGTACTCGCAAGAGATCAACGAAGTACGACAGGAGAGCAACGGCACACAGAAGCGCGCCAACAATGCGCGCAACTTCTTCGACAAATTGCGAGGAGGCAAAGCGCATCTGCTTGTCAAGGCCATTGGCATCAGTGCGGAGGAATTTGCCAAGAGAGCTGAAGGGTCAAGCAGAGGGCCTCAAGTCATCGAAGACCCACCGTCCAAGGTCGAAGAGCTCGCTGATCAGATGGCCGATGCACCCGAGACTGGAATCTCGCTGCTCAGATCAGCCAAGCTCCTGTTCGTGCAGGATCTGCAACAGAGCTCTCGTCTTCGCAGGTTCTTGCGAGGTAGCTTCTATCAAAACGCTCTGATCGACTGCATGCGGACAGACAAGGGTATGCGGAAGATCACCGAGGACCATCCCTACTATGAGTTCAAGTACCTGCGCGGGCAGACATTCCTCGATCTCAACGGCCGACCAGACCTGTTTCTGAAAATGCTGAAGGCTGAGCAGGAAGGTCTTGTTCATGTCCGCATCTCGATGGGCAACTATGAAAGCTTCAAGTCTAGGCTTCACGACAAGATTGTTTCAGACAATGTCAGCGAAGTTTCCGAGACATGGAACAACCTTCGAAAGGAACTGCTCGACATCGCCTTGGATAAGCTGCAGGGCATCATCGCCAACGGTGTTAAGGAGACTCTGCGAGCTCGTTGCGAAGATGAGCTTGCCAGTCGTGCCAGGGAGAACTACTACAACAAGCTTGATCAGGCGCCGTTCAAGCTTAAGAGTGCTGTCCTTGGTTCGATACCTAACGTTTTGTGTCTTTCGAATGGCAAAGGTCAACGCGGTGACGCTATCCTGTGGGCCTACATCGAGAACGATGGTCGTGTCATGGAGCACGGCAAGCTTGTGGATATGAGGCTCGGCAACCAGGAGCGCGGCATTCCTGACGGTCAAGATATTGTTAAGCTGGTCGACGCTATCCAGCGCAGGCGCCCGGATGTTGTCGGTATCAGTGGTTGGTCTGTCGAGACTCGAAGGCTGTACAAAGATGTCCAGGATATCGTCGCTCAACATAAACTGACAGGGCCAAGCTACGAAGATGAAAGCACTGGTCAGGACAAGAACGATCTTCTTGAAGTGGTCCTGGTTAATGACGAAGTTGCTCGACTCTATTACAACAGCGGTCGTGCCGCCGCCGAGTTCCCCAAATTCCCTCCGCTCACCAGATATTGCGTTGCCCTCGGTAGATATCTGCAGAACCCGCTCGCTGAGTACGCCTCGCTAGGCAAGGACATCGTGTCACTGCCGTTCGTCAAGGACCAAACACTCATTCCCCAGGACAAGCTTATGGACCGTCTCGAAACAGCTATGGTAGACATGGTCAATCTTGTCGGCATTGACCTACCGGAGACATACGATGACAAGTACATGTCGAAACTTCTGCCGTACGTCTGTGGTCTCGGTCCACGTAAAGCAGACCGAATGATCAAAGCTATTCAAGCGAATGGTGACGAGGTCCTCTCGCGTTTCGACCTGCTCGGTGTATCGGAAAACACCTCTCGAGAACTCAAGGCGGCTATGGGCCCTAAGGTCTTCCAAAATTGTGCCAGTTTCTTGTACATCCCATACGATTCCACTGAAGAAGCGTCCGACTACCTGGACTACACTCGTGTCCACCCCGAGGATTATGATCTCGCCCGCAAGATGGTCGCTGACGCCCTCAACATGGATGAGGAGGACGTCAAGGCCGAAGTTGACGATGGTGGCGCAAGTGCTGTCATCAGGAAGATGGTCAGGGAAGACACCACAGACCTGGTCAATGACTTGGCGCTTGAGGACTACGCAGCAGAGATCGAAAAGAACTTCGGCCAAAGGAAACGTGCTACTCTCGAGACTATCCGTGCCGAGTTGGAGAACCCCTACGAAGAGATCAGGCAAATCTTCGCTTTGATGACTGGTGAGGAAGTCTTTACTATGCTCACTGGTGAGACCAAGGAAACTCTTTACGAAAATATGGTCGTCCCAGTACAGATCAAGCGCACTTTCCCTGACCACATCGAGGTTAGACTCGAGAACGGCATTGAAGGTGGTATATCTGAGTCTGAGTTCCCTGAGGGCGTTGGAAGCGGTGGACAAGAGCCTCGCCACGTCTACCAAACACATCAGACAGTCCGTGCTCGTATTGTCTACCTGAACCGCAAAACCCTCACTGTACAGCTTTCTCTGCGAGAAGATCTCATCCGACAGCCGGTACCGCGAGCTATCGATCGCATCCCTGGCGAATGGGATGATGCACAAGAGCGCGCCGATAAGCAGGCCGCCGAGAAAGAGAAGGAAGTTGCATCTGGCCGACCCAACCGTGTCATCAACCACCCTCTGTTCTTCAGCATGAACGCAGCTCAGGCGGAAGAGTACCTTGGTAGCAAAGAGCCTGGCGAGCTTGTCATTCGTCCATCATCAAAGGGTTTCGACCACCTGGTCGTAACATGGAAGGTCTCCAACAGCGCCTATCAACATCTTGACGTGCTAGAACTGGGCAAGGAGAGCGAGTACTCGCTCGGCAAGCAGCTCAGGGTCGGCAAGGCAACGTACACCGATCTTGACGAATTGATCGTTAACCACGTCGAGGCAATGGCGCGCAAGGTCGCCGAACTCACACGAGACGAGCGTTTCCAGCAAGGCACAAAGGAAGACACAGGTAAGCTTTCCCATTTACAATTTCTCTATCCTGTTACCTTATTAGCATACTAACACCCGTCAGAACTCTGGCTCGAAAACTACTGCAAAGCCAACCCCAGCCGCTCCATGTACGCCTTCTGCAGCATGCCCAAGCACCCCGGCTACTTCTGGATCTGTTTCCAGATGGGCTACAACAAGCCCCAGGGCGCGTGGGGTATCAAGGTCGTGCCCAATGCGTTTGAGCTACACAAGAATGCCTACCCGGATATGGTTGCGCTGAAGAACGGGTTCAAGTTGTTGATTCAGAGTGGTGCTGGCGCGAGGCCGGGCGGTGGTGCTGTGTCTAGGCGGTAAAGCATAGGTGACGAGAAGAGGGTGGACCGAGTCTCGAGGTGGAGTTGCATTTGTAATCATGTTTCCATCATAGTTTTGCGAAGCGGTCGAAGGTAGCATGGCGGAGGAGAGGGGGAAGATGTAGAGCGATACTCACATCATTGGGATCTGGCGCACGTTGAACTTTGCTTGCTCAACAGTCTTAGGCCTCAAAATCAACGGCTTAGTCTGGATATATCAACACGTTAAAAGTTACAATACCACAAGTCACTCCGCATCTCAAGAATCTCTAGAAGACTTCACCTTTGGAAAAATAGCCTTAGGGAGCTACATAATCAGGCGTGGAGATAGGCAAGCTATTCTGCTACGCAGTCTGTGAACTTGAAGCCTCCTTTGGAGGGTGTAACTGTTGTGCGCTAGCTCCACAAGTCAAGTACTGGAGATCTTCAGAAATGGTAGTTGCGTCTTTCACGTCGTCACGTCACCTCTTCAGGCCCGCCATTGCACTCGACCTTCACTATTCGACATCCTCTCACCTTCACAAATCAACAATCGCACTGCGATAACCACCTTATCTCGGTATCGATATCGCTATTTCCAAGTCTGGGAATCACTATCCTCATCCGCAATATCTTGTTTAGTTGCTCGAGTACCTCCTGCACGCCGCAGTCATGAGCCAATCGCTTCGGTTGCAGCCTTGTCAGCTGCATGAACTGGAAGTCGCAGCGTCCTGCAACACCAACGCTCTACCACGTACGACAAGCACAGCAATATTTGTTTCTCATGCACCACGGGAATCTATTGCGACTTTCCGCCCTGAGAACCAGACACTCTTTGCAGCATGCGCCTCCTACAGCTCGAGGAGAGCGGCAGCCTTAGCCTTGTGGAATTTATTGGCGATAGTATCCCACCCTATGCCATTCTTTCGCACACCTGGAGTCAAATAAGCAAGGAAGTAACATATGCTCACTCAGCGCACCGAGGAATTCTTTTCCCGGAGAGATGAGATGCGAAGTGAAATCATGTATCGCGCAGTCAATTTTCACAACTTCGGTTTGAATCAGTATCCGAGCGGGACTGGCGGTGTACTGCGCAATACAGTACATTGGAGCACAGAAATAAGAGATATTCCGCTCATCGCCCATACCTCCCATTCTGGCTCACAGATCAGGAAAACAAAGAGGGTGTCGTCCGTGCACTTTATCCGGAAAAGTATCTTACATGGGTTTCATTGAGCTGGATCAACTCCATGTGCAGAACCGTGTTTCGGTGCCTACCAGCAGAAGGTTCACGACTTCTATAGGCTTGTACAAAGACCTTCGGCTCGTGCTGAGAAGCCAGATGCAATGTGAACGCGAGGATGTACATCGCTGGATCGATCATACGAAAAAACAGTGCCTGCTGTCTCTTTCCATTGAACGGACAAGCGAAAGCACTAATCAAGAAACTTTACTTGACGACGGCCTCTATGATACTCCACCTCCATCTCCGGTGTAGACCAGTTCCGGAGGCGTGTGCTCTTCGCCACAGCTTTATTGTGCATTTATCACAAACAACATGTTCGAGGGGCTCCTGACGCCATCTAATACGGGTCTTCAGTCGCTTCTGGTAATCCTGAACGCTGTCTACCGTTTGCGCCGCGACAGATTGACATCCTCATCATGTTGTGTCGTCATGAAGGTCCATTGAGGGTGGGTTTTGTTGCCAGGTTTCCACATTGTGTGGGGGCCGATTTCTGGCGGGGCACTTCTTTCGGCTGTCAACTCTTCCCTGCCTGATGCGTTGCGAGTTCGAGGGTAGGTGAACGATCGCCAGGTACCCTGGTAGATGCAGAGCTAATTTGGGTTCGGCCATTTATTGCAACACCATGCAGGATCCAGCGCTACAAGTATAACAACATCGTGGAGTCGTTCTTTTCTCCCATCGTAACTTGAACAAAACTGCATCACGATCCTTCTCGTTCACCGACTCAGACGCCTGTGGGGCACCCCTTATAGCCAAGGCTACAGACCTTCCCGTGTTCCGGGCCGTGCTCAGACTCGCGATGGCGCTGTCGCGAGTTTTCTAGCGTCCCAAAGGCCAACGTTCAGCGTCTCACGGCCAATAAAGGAATTGCGTACAGCCCTCCTTCTACAATGGGGAAACGTTTCATTGTTTGCGGGTGGGACATGTAAGGCGTCTAGACTGCGCGAATTTGATTCGCCGCATTGCCTCCACGATGTATTGATTTTGGATGTGCTGCAAGGCTGACTGCGTCGCACGTGGATGGCGTTTCTCAGCCCTAAGGCTAGACGCTTAGTCTTATTGACTGCGGCGCGCATCCTTCTGGGGCGCAAGTTTCACGACTCCTCTTTTACGCTTCTGTCGCAATGGCGACCGTCTCTGTTGTAGGCATCGCCGGCGATGTGCTTCAGCGAAATGACAGCGTTGCCGACATCACCAAGGACAAGCACATTCAGATTTCAGTTTCCCCTATTGAAGACGATGAGATCAGCGCCGCAGGAAAACACAGTGTCGACAGCCTGAACTCGGAACGGTCGCAAAAGAGCGTCGAAGGACAAGTTGCGCGACTGCGAGAGGAAATTGCCGTCGCAAACAATGTCTTGGAGCTCTGCATTCGTGAAGCTGTCACCGCCAATAGCACGCTCGAGAAGAAGAAGCTCCAGGAAAGGACCAATGCCGCGTACACAGCTTGGGCGGCGAAAGAGCTGATCTTGAGCGATTTGTTGGTATGTTCACACGCCTTCACAAGCTTCATTAATCATACGCTAAGACGACGAAGAACTCAATGCAAGACTCAGACGACAGCTCAACATACAGCTCATTCACAACTAATACTAGGAAACTGAGCATTCAGCCCTACCCAACTATGACCATGCACGTGCGAAAAAGTTCCCAGGTCCCGTCAGAAGTTTCGTCATCAGCGACAGCCTTTATGCAACAGATCGGCTGGGTGAGCCCTGCATCACTCATTCAGTACCTCAACAGCGGCATCGATGTCAATGGCATGGGCCAATTTCCTGGCTATCCGCAACACCCAATTACCCCGTTAATGGCAATCATCCGCTCTCCATTCGTTTCCGAGTCCACAGAGATCATCGAACTCCTCCTCGATCAAGACGCAGATCCATGTCTTCGCGACAGCCAAGGACTTTCTGCATTTGCACATGCCATCTACGCACGACGAAAAGACGCTGTCAGACTATTCATCCTGACTTTACTCGACTATGAACGCTCCGGCTTCCCCACAGGCAACGCATCCATGAACCTAGATACCACCTGGACCGGCGCCAAGCACCTGCGCTGGGAAGCAGCACAAGCCATCATCAACAGCGACCTGCCCACCCTCACATCTCTCCTTTCAGACGCCGCATCATATAACACCATCCTCCACACCGCCTGCCTCCCTCTCGCCATCCTCTTCGAAAATATGCCCGCCGTGGACGCGCTCCTGGCCTACGGCATCAACTCCTTCGAGCTCTTCCGCCGCTCCCCCGCACACGCCAGCCGGCCATTCACAAGCCCCATGTCCATGGCCATTTACATGCAGAACATCGACATGGTGCGCACCCTGCTGTTCCAGGACTTTGAAACCTCAGAGCGAAGGGGAAGGATCTGGTACGCGCAGCTCTTCGCTTCCATGCCAGCGTCGTATCCTAATACTGAGATCGTTGATTTTGTTCTGGACAATGTTCCGCTCGTGGAAGCATTCGATCGCGCAATCAGATGCGAGGACAGGAACTGGATCCACCGGATTATTTTGCGCACCGTCAGCCTGCTTTTGCAGCCTAGTGACGATCAGACTGGGAGTCGGAATATGGCTGCCGAGGCTTTTGCAAATCTGTTCGACCGGGCATGGAATCTGAAGTTGTGTTCGAGGAAAGCGCTGGCGACGGAGATTGTGGAGATGGTTGAGCGCGAGACGGAGAGGGATTTTACTTTTGTCGCGTGTGGGGGTACGCTCGGAATTAGTAGTAAGATGGTGGATAAACTTACTATTGCTGCGAAGGGGAGGGAGTGATTTTGATGAAAGGTCTGGGCGTGGGAATGATTGATGTGGATATGCAAGGAGTTTGGGCGCAAGCGAAAAGCGCATAGTATGCAGGATCTTTAGTATGTAATGTAATCATGAACGGGTCGTTCGATGACCGAACTACGGTCATACCTCAACTACGCAGCTTGACACCGAAATATAAGTAAACCTTCATTTTCACGTCACACATCTCAAATCTCTTGTACAAACATTCACTGTATATACTTCGAAACAACCTAACAGCTTGACAGTCACCATGGTCTCCTACGCTGGGAGGCATGCGCCCGGCTTTGTTACATTCCCCCTCGTCTTCCTTCCCACGGTCATAACGTAGGCAACCTTCGCCTATGTGGTGAACTAGGAATCCCGGGATCTGGCCTACTGTTACGTTACATACACGAGCGGTCCGATATCCCAAGCCTGGCTACTTTTGCCTGCGAGCTGCGCCGCGATATACGGTCTTTGTCTGTACAGAACAGACGAAGAAAAGGCTAAAAGTTTTGCTTCCTGGAACAGCCTGGTAGTTTCCTTCGTGCTGCGGATCTGGATCATCCTCAAATAGCCTACTATTGACATGAGCAACCTGGATAGCTTTCCCTATAAGTGGATGAAATACTTCGGTACCATCTTCTATATGTTCTGCTACTTGGATCTGCCTCTCACTCTTTGGTCTCTCGGATCTACATGATGCAGTAAGTGCATGCCTGAACAATTCCTCGTATCAAGCATCTAACAGCGGGATAAAAAAAGACATACACACCTCAAGACCTCAAAGAAGAGCTGTCGTCGAGCGAAAAACTCGATATTGAGCTGAAATTGAAGGACTCACAGTCTACCGGGAAAACACATCCATCGTGTAACCAGTATGCACGACGAGCATTTAGCGTTACATGGATAGCATTGCGCCTATTTGCTGTGTCTTGTCTCGGTTATTAGCTGACAAGACCACGGGCATCACAGTCACGGAAATCCTGACAGTCCTCAATTTTGTTTCCATGATGACTCTCACGTACGCGCTACTTGGACACGAGCCGTTCGTCGATCACCACTGGGAAGAAGTTCTCTAGCAGACAGAGTTCCTTCTTGGTTCGTCAAGATCTACTTCGACCGAGTTGTGGAAGCCAGAGAAGTCTTCACTTAAATCGAACTACACTACCTTCGATCTTGTGATTGCTGTCTCTCAATGTCCAATACTTCCTTGGCCAGGACTTGGTGAACCAAGCTGCTGTATAGTTCAGAAAGCCATCCTCTAGGCATAGCTCGTTCCCACAGTCTCGTAGAGAACCAAAAAGCTTTTATCGTCCAAAGCTATTAGACCTGCCCAGTACGCTGATGGCCCGTGTGTATAGTCGTCTTGTCAGGCCAAGTCTTCCCTTGGTTGCTGCTGACCAGAAGTTTGATCGCTCCATCGGGCCGCACGCAACCATCTTCATCTGTCCCAATGCTCGCAACCGGTTTCTCACCAACTCTGATGATCTGAGGCGCACCAATATTGTGTCCATTTGGCTCGTACACGACCGTTCGTTCAGAGCGCTATGTGGCGCCGTCGTCTTCGGTATACATCGTCCAGACGCTGAAGAGCTGTCCACGTGCAGCGTCGCTGGTTTCAAAGATAGCGACTTTGGTCTTTGAGTTGGCAGATGTGCGTGCGACGCCTAGCATGCTGCCTCGAGTTTTGATGCCGGTTCCAGAAATGACCTGTGCTGTTGACCATGTCTTTCCTCCATCACTGGAACGCCGAAGGAGACTGTCTTGGTCTGTCGCGTTGTTCTCGCGGGAGTAGTACAGTTGCAACGTCCCATCAACGGCTTGCTAAAGGAGGGGCTCCCATTTGCCAGTCGGCCCAGCAGGGTCTAATGCAGGGGTCGAAAGATACTCCCAAGCCATGCCGTTATCACCAGAGACACACACAGTGATTTAGTAGTAGCTGTACGTTGTTGATAAAGCTTTGTCAGGGTTTCTGAATGCGCAGAGTAGTTTACCGTCTAGTAGCTCGTGAATGTAGGGATTGTCGACATCCTTTGACGCCTTTGAACCGTCGTCCACGGTGCCTCACACTTGCCACGAAGCTCCGTTGCCGGTTGAGCGGACGGTGAGGATGGTGATGTTGTCGCCTTGGGTGTTGGTGTAGGCTCCGAACAAGGACCCATCTGCAAGTTTGTTCGCCCTCGGGTAGGTTCCGCTTTCACCAAATACAACAGCGTCGCCTACTTTCAAGGGTAGCCTAGCAGCGACAGTACTGGCGAAAAGGCAAAGGCTGCTGTGATCAGTACTTTCGGCGAATGCATGCTGCTGTATTATTGCGCGTTGAACTGATGCCGCAGTTGCGTGTGCAGCATCAATCACACTTATACCCTTTCTTATAAGGTATCCTAAGGATCTACACGTTTACGTGGGGTCTGGAACGAGATGCTTCTGCGAAGAGCTTGGTGCACAATGTTGTCCAAACAAGACAGAAAAGGCAAGGTCTTCAATCATGCACCCAGGCGCAGCATCTCGGAACAAGAATAGAACTCGAGAGGATGGGAAGCATGCTACGACAGGTGAAAAACCTTAGCGGCCTACGTCCAGGAGCGCTGTGTTGAGCTTGCGGTTGTGTGGCTGTGTAGAGGTGGTTGAGAAGGAAATGAGTAGCTGACGTCACGGCAATTGCTCCTCGGCTGCTCCCGAACGCGGGCTCGATTGTAACCGTCAGGTCTCTATATAGACGCTACTACAGATCCCAAACACGGTTTAAGTCCCTCATATCGAGATAAAACCTCGTTATCACAACGATCCATTCCTTTCTTCCCTCGATGTGCGTTGCTTCTACGTACTTGAGCCCAAGCTAGTAGGATTTCTGGAAACTTCAACATAGGTAGCCGGCTTTGAAGATGTTCAGTCACGGTCAGCGAGCCTTCTTCCATCGTTTTGATCTTGAATCACACATTGGAAACACGTGTTTATGTCCTGAACGAGTGCCTTTCTACGCTGACATTACCGACATTTGAGATTGAGCAGCTGTTTCTGTTTCCATATTCTGTTGTGAACAGCCGCGGAGCCCAACATCTCATTTCGTATGCAGGGCGTACAGAACTCGGCTCGAATGCGCAATCCCACTACAAAAGTCCAATGGCAATATCACCCTTGATCTTAGCAATAATCCGAATATCTGCTTCAAGGTCCAGCTTGATATGCACCTTCAAACTGCCCTTAACGTCCTTGTTGTCCAGACCAAAGCCTGCATTCTTGTCCTTGTCGTCATTGTTGCTACCCGTAGCGTTGCCCACGGAGTTGTTGCCTCCGACCGAGGACAGAGTTCCTCCGACGTCTGGGGCATTACCGAGAGCAGAAGCTGGACCACCTCGGCCTCCAGGAGCATTGCCAGTAGTTGAGTCCCTAGAGCGTGGTCAGCATCTAGTAGCGATCTAAAAAGGCGTTAAGCTGTCACTGTACTTCTTGTCCTCGCCAGCCATTGTATTCTGTGGACTTTTAGGTTCGGGGGTTTCTGCAGATAAAGCCACTTTCTCTTGGGTGGTAAGGAGCAGGAGTGTAGGATGGATGTGATATTTTGCTGTAGGTCGAGGGAGCATGCAGCACAAGTTATAAATCCCGAAGGAATCTGACAACTCCACCCGCAGAGCTGTAGCTAAGAGTAGCGCATTGCGATCGGTCATGTAGGCAACGAAACGCTCAAGCGCATTCGGTGGGGACAACCATTGATTCGAGGGCTTTCCGAAGATCCTATGCACCTCGTTGCTGAACTTAGCATGGCCAAAGATGTTGTTCCCAATGTGGAATTTGTTCACTAGCTAATGCAGCTTCACAGGTGGAGCAGATAGCTTTTTGGTCGTCGACGTGCAGGTCGGCAACTTCGCAGTTGCGTGAGGAGTTGACATTTGATGCACAACGTTCGTCACAGGCTGCAGGGCCATCTCGGATACGTCGATCGATGTCCTGGTCCACGGATGTGGGGTACCCTAGACGACGCTAAAGTCGGTGGCTTCCCCGGTTGGTGTATGATTGGCAGCGTGTACAGCCGCAATGATGATGCACCGCCTGCCGTAGATCGGCGAACAGGAGACGGAACCACAAGAGAGGAAAGATAATCAAGATCGGGGGAGACCAGTATCTAAGCAGGTTAGTAAGTACGGCGTACCTTTCCAGCCAGTTGGCTGCATTTCTGCCTCATCTACGCGAGGTACGGATACATGTAGTACTCAAGGATCCTCTCCGAATCCTTTTTCTGCGCCCATTATGGTTTTTGGGCTCATATCGTTGGCGGCTACGGTGCCCATGGTAGCAACCTCAGTCCTGAGCCTCCAAAGTCAAGCCGAGAACACGAAGAGTCATGGACTCGATGCAGAATGGAAGACCGACAAAAGTCATATGAAGTGTCGGCCCTCAGCAAGAACGCCAGAAAAACGTAAGGAGCTGTTCAAGGGCAGCAAAGTCGTGCTTCGCGACGGGAGATTGTACGTGCAACTGTCGTCCTACAAAGGCGAGCCTTTGCACCCTTTCGCGGGTTACTTCCTACCGTACCCGGACTCCAACTTTGAAGGACTGGTCTCAACAATCTCAGACGAGCCACCGCAGCTGAACTGGATATACCTGGATACCGGTTCGAAGATTTTTCAAATCAGCCACGGCCTGCGCGCAGAAGCGGAGCGAGGGCTGACTGGCCCATGGGGCGGACGCGTGTGTTCAGATGGAGAGATACGTTTCCTCATGGAGAACTGGGAGGGCTTCATCACTGTTGAGACCGAAGAACCGGGATTGTGGAGTCTGTGTTTTGACCGTTATGACGACGGGCTGAAGGGGAAACTGGGTGAAGACCAGAGGACCGTAGAGGTGGAACTAGTTCGCGAGGCAATCGACGAGTGAGACACAGGTACTGCCAGTGTCCTCATTCCCATACCGGAGTCGTTATGAAGAGCAGCCCCATCAGATGTTGCGCAGAGGCGTGGCTCTACCGAGGCGTTGTGGTGCAATGTTGTCACAGCATTGAGAAGAGAGGTCGCGTTGTGCAAACGCCGGCGGCCTTGGGAAGGAATCAAGAGCTTCAACAGAACACAGGCACGTAAAGGATGTAATTAGAAGCAACGCAGCGCGATCTTCAAAGAATACAGCGAAACAACGGGCTTGCCCAATTAATGTACAGACGATGAAGCACTTGTGCCGGAAATAATCCCTAGGCGTGAATGTTGACGCGCCTTGGTCGTGATTGCCGTTTTCACGGGATGACGTAGCTCACAAAACCAACTTCAGCCTCCCAACCGCCTAGATATTCTTATCATCAACATCAAGCATCGGCATTGCTCGTGTTACCCTTTTTAAGCTTCTACACGAATCGACCTCCAGTATCTCCAGATCTTTGGTCGCCAGTCTCATACCAAAATGTGTGACTTTGTGCCACTTCCCATCGTTTGCTTCCAATGCGGAACGTACGGATGCCATCTCCCTCATGTTTCAGACATGTGCTGACCCAAACAAGCGATCAAAACCCCTGCCATTGTAAAGTCATCGGCCCCACGATCGGTTTTGTGATCACAGTAGGCATGGCTGTAAGTCAACGTATTCACACTTAGCAAAGCTTATAGACTGCTAATTGATATTGTAGATCGTCTGCTGGCCAGCGTCCTTATTCTGCTGCTGCTGTGCGACAGATGCAGGCAAGAAGTAAGCACGACACTCACCCTTCCAGACAAGTACTAACCGTAATAGGGTTCTTGCTCTGCCGGTGGATACAGGCAATGCTGTCAGTAATGCCATACCGATATGAAAGCCTCCTCGTGCGACGGCACGAGGTGCTTACCCGTTCTCCCACTTCCGCGATCCTGCACACCCTGCCCCAAGAGGTGGTACACGGTCCTATATCCTTTCTGGACTTTTTGGCGTTTGGCTCTGGATCTTTCACGCTACCGAATAGTCTCATGGGCGGCCTCTACGAATTCCTTTACAGTATTGACCCATCAAAAGTTGGCCACGCCGGCCATTGAGGCAGTCGATCAACTTTTGGAGATACAGCGAGCTCCCTGGGTTCTTCGGCAACCTGCATGCAAGTATCGAATGCCAGTAATCGTTTAATACATACTTCAAACCATGTTCACGGCCGACCGTGACAAAATTTCTTCCAGCTAACGAGCGTAGAGCTGTTTTGAGAGACAAAATCGCCAGCTTCCCATTCGTTCACTTCGGTCACGTGGAAACGCGTTCACATTCGTGGGCGTTTGCTCCTGCTAGCGGTTCCAGGCAGGATAACCGCATTTGTAGATAGCTTACCGCGTTCCCGGTGCGCGGATCTGGGCGATGCCCCTCTATATGGACAGTTTGCGCCCAGCAGTGCGTTCCAGGCTTAAAAGTGCGCAGCTACATCCTGCTCACTGACCATTTACTTTTTGGAGGTCGAGCGTTGAACAGCCTGGAAGCGGTAAGCCTTGTTCCCTCGCCATGCTCTTACTTCTGTCTTGGTAGGTGAAGGCACCCATCATGTGAACAACAACCCCACCTCACCGTTTGCAAGTTTACCTTTTTGGTCTTACGCGATGCGCTCTGTCCCAAACACCTATTTCACACACAATGTTGGCTTCTCTTCCTCTACTCCCATCTATGCTCATCGACGAGACCACGACAATCACTACCGCTAATTACACCCCCCTCTACACCATCTTTTTGACAAACTGCGACAGATCAGTTGTAACGGATCACGATCAAATTTCAGATGAAACTGAGCAACAGGCACCTGTGAATACTATGTTACAAGGACGTGTTACAACATGGGAGCTCGATGAAGTTGGTCCCACTCACCTCCCGGCGTGTACTCATCCAAGTACCTTCTCCGACGTCGAAATCTGTTCTTGGGAGGACATATGGCAGGTAATTAAAGACCATGACTGGCCGCGTACAAGACAGAATGGCGTACACACATCCCCTCGCATCAACACGTAAGTGCAATACTATTCTCGGGCTACGGCTTTGCTGACACTATTAGAAACAACATCAACAGATCCTTAAGAACCAGCCCGGGGTCGCCGATTCAATCGTATACTACTGCTGTAGGATCAGACGAAAGACCAGCTACCGAGGTATTGGCAGCCTTTCTCCTTGATGACACAGAGCGACAAGACCTCGATCTTACAGCCCAAAAGCATCCTTCGAGCACCGCTGTCTTCGAAGATAATACTGCGAGTTCGCTCGCAACGGCCTCTGTCGCGGTGTCGGCGCTTAGTGTGCCAGATACACGTACGAGCACGATAGGGACGCCACAACTGCAGGCTGCGTCTATCGAAGGTTCCGGGCACGAACTTCCCAACTCGACTGCAACGGCGCTTGTTGAAGTCACTAAGGAGTCGTCAAACATTCCATGTATCGACAAAATCCAAGACAAGCTGCCTTCGCAAGTCATGTTGCACAAGGAGGATGCGGTTTGGAAATACAAGAGAGTTGAAAGTGTAGACATCATCGGGGGCACAATAGTCACGGACTGTCTAGCGACAATAAAACTGGCGCACTCCGACTTGTGTCATCCACTTAACGGGTCGCACATCAGGCAAACAGAGGACATGGTCATTGAAGACTCTGCCCAATACGTCGCTAGTGGAGATTACTACGCTACTCCTACCGGCGATGGCGAATTTAGTAACGTCGCCGGTCCTGCCGACACCGTTGCAACACCAGCCGCAGATATTGCAGCAAACAAAGTCGTCCTACATTTGCACCACGCTAGATCATCATCTGAATGTGTCAACGACCCAGAAGAGATTACCACCGATAAAAGCAACAGTTCTACCTACAAAGAGGGTACAAATAGCGCAACTGATCAGTCTCGAGAGGCTGGTCAGCAAACCCGCGAGCAAACCAGAGACACTCACATGATCAATGTGGAAGGATCTGGCCAGGATGACGCTCAGTCACCAATGATCATCCCTGATGAGCGCCTCAATCCCCGGACCGCTGAGGATGCCGCGGTGGAGAGCGATGAAGTCCAGACGATCGGAATCCCTGCCATGCTCGTTGACGGGCCCGGGGAACATGATGCCAGCAGCCCTTCAGGACAAGCAGTCGATGAAAACGGCCATCCTCACCTCAATGCTAGCGTACTGGGCGACGAGAGTACACCACGCTCTGATTGTTCCAAAACCGCCATCGATTGTGGTCACGATTCACAACACGATGTTACCCTCTCGGTGGTGGCCTTCGACAGACCCACCACCAACGAAGGAATATCTATACGAGGTACAGGTATGATCACGACGCACCCTTGTAGCGCTTTCGACGGTCGAGGAACCCAGTCTCTATTGCAGGACTTGCAAATGCAAGAGGTTGCCGCAAACGGTGATGGCTACGAATCGCATTCGCCGGCATGTGTCAGTCAACCTGTTACTCCATCGCACGCAACTCTCACTGAGTCGACGCCAGAATCGAATCCAGCAACAAGGTTGCTACTACCCTCGATTATGACCTCGCTGGCGAACTATCCATCGAGCAGGTCAACCTGTGGCGACAGAGCGAAGCGGTCACATGATTGCATAGAGCCCAGCGAGGGCGCGGATGAAGAGTCAACGACGAAGAGACAGAAACTGGGCTCAAGCATTAAGCCTGAGCCTGTTGAGGCTATTAGTGCAGACGAGGTGATGAATGCAGAATCTAGTGCCTCCGATGTATTGGAGCCGGATGCGACCGAGGTGCTGGCCCATAGGGACGCAACAAAATCCTACGATGACGCCACAACTTTTGGTGCACAAGATGAGGCTGGGATCGAGGTCAAGGTCGAGGCCGAGGTTGACGTTGAAACTGACGGTGCAGTGCCATCGACTCGGCTCAATAACGAATCTGTGGAAGCTGAATCAGAGCCATGTGCCGACAACATCGCCATTCTCAACACGGTCATGCCGGCGAAAGAGGCCTTGCATGCTATCGTTCAAGAGACGGCTCAAACCTTCGACAGGAGGAGGTCAGAGGACTACCAGCCACGTCTGAGTCTTCAAGTGCTACCAAAACAGTTCTGTGGACCGTATGTGCAGACCACTGATGTGGAGATGCAAGAGCGTATCACTACTGCATCATTGTCACTGACTCCTTCGTCTTCAATTTCACCGCCGAACTTAACTCCTGAGCCTTGCGTACCTAGGTTAATGTTTGAGCCTCTGAAGCCGCCGACAACCTCGCATCAACGGGCCAGGGTCGAAGCTGTTGATTTCAAGATCAATGAAGACGAGATGGATGTGTCGGAGTCAGATGAGCCCAGTGATGCTGATGATGATCAGCTCAGCATCTTGTCTCAAGCCGTGAAGGAGTCGAGCGACCGAGTCAACTTGCAAGCCAAAGGCGCACCTGCATCAGGAGACTCTATGCTGGCCATTAAAGAATCCACTCCAGCGCTCGAAGCCCAAGCTGTTAAAGCTACAGAGTCTCGCCCCAACTCTTGTACTCCTTGTACCAATCGGAGTCAGACGCGGCTCTTTTCATATTTGCTATCGGACGAATTCGAGGCCACTCTTCCACTCTTGCCAAAGCCTATCGCTAGCTCGACAAACCGTCTTCTTTGCAACGCTCCATTAGCAATCACAGATTCAACAGCCAAATCGACAGAGAGCCCGATCAGCCCTCGTCCTGCAAGCACTGAGACGCTGTCCAGTCTCAGGCACAGACTCGAGCTTCCATACGGTAAACGAAATACGCGTTCAGAGACCAGGACTTCGGAGCGTGCTGCCGTATCCTCGATGTTTAGAGAGGATGAGCTCGACTCGGTGCCTGCACCCGTGGTCAAGGAGGAGACACCCACAGCTGCTCCAGGAAAGGACGTCACGCCCAGCGCACCGTCGAAGAAAAGGAAGAATGTGCCTGCAGACAAATTGAAGGGAAGACAGACCAGAGGTGCAACTACGAAGAGAGACGCTACGCCTAAACCCAAGACTCCCGCGACCAGACCCAAACTGACTCCAAAGCCCAGGGTTGGGCCCGAAGACTCACCAAACAGTGCTTCAAAGACCATCACCAAGACCACGAAAAGGATCGCGCCCAAGACGAAGACTCCAACAAGACCCCAAGTTTCGCCCATCACTCCCAAGGTACCAGAGAAGAGGAAGACGCGCCGCTCGTCTGCACTTGAAGAAGAGATAAGGAAGGCGAGCGAGAAAGAGGAGAATATTGCGAAGAGAACGAGGAGTAAGGATGGAGAGTAGGACGGCGGTATTGGCTGGAAGAGAGGAGCGTAAAGAAGCCTGGAGCAGGATAGGTTGGGTAATGAGTTGAATACAATGGATGGAGCACACAGGCGGACGGACTGGCAAACGAGGCATTGGAGGAGTCTTGGAACCTTTGTATATACCCGCACTCACACCGGCGCACAGGATTGAATACGGATAGCTTCGAAGCCCTCTAGTCGTCATACGTGGGCTCTGGATGAAGCAAGTTCATAGCATTGACTGAAGTCACAGACCTATATCTTACTCCCCCGCCTCCCCTCCCCGGCCCCCGTACCCTCCTCCTTCGCAAGTATGTCGCACAGCCACTCCGTCGCTTTATCCGCCATCGCCTTCGGGAACGCATGTCCCACGCCATCAAACAGCACATCCTCAAAACCGATCCCCAAATCCTCCTCGCTCAGCACTTGCTTGAAGACCTTTAGGAAAGGCTCGCCCGCGGCGTAGGGGACAAGCTTGTCGTCTCGCCCAGTGAGGTTGAGTATCTGTTTCCCGCCCAATCGTTCGCGTGCGAGGATCTTGAAACGGTCCAGCGTGGCTTTCGACGGTTCTGGATCCGGCCCCGTAGGGTTAAAGCACGCCGGTAGCAGTAAGCCTGCGGGATCAGATTGGCTTATCGCATCTTGCAATGCGCGTGGAAAGTCTCTGGAGCCCAGAAACTCCTTTCCCGGGGGCGTAGTTTCAGTGTAGGTCTCGAGCTTAGACAAGCGCGCACGATCTGTCATGAGGCGCGTGTAATCCGGACACCCGATCCCCACGACGCCCGCTGTGATGCGCGGCTCAGCCAACAAACAATGCCAGGTCGCGTGACCGCCGAGACTAATCCCCAGCGCAAAGTGGGAGCTTATCTTCGGACTCTTCGCGTCGTGGAAGACGTATGATTCGATGTGGTCGATCAGGTGACCACAGTCGACGGCCGTGCCGTGGTAGCAACTAAACATATCCTGCGCGTGCCGCGGATTGCCCTGCCGCCAGGCTTCGTTGTGTAGGGCGTCGACGAGCCGGGAGCCGTGGTTGCGCTGGTCGAATGCGGCGGCGATGAGGCCCTTCGAGCCACGCTTGGGGTGGGAGTTCCACGCAGAGACAACTTGGTTGGCGATGGGCGCCATGGTTTCTTTTGTTTGGAGGCGCGGGTTCAAGAGCCAGAGGCAGGTAACGGAGGAGGCGTTTGAGGGGAGCTCGGAGAGCCCGTGGATGGTGACGAGGATGCCGGCGATGGTGAAGGTGCGGGATGAGATGGTGGGGGAGTGCGTGGATGTGCCGTCGAGGGGGTTGTTTGTGGCAGCCATTGTGGGCAATGGCTGTTGCGTCGCCTAGTGGGTGTTGCAGCGGGTGTTGCACTGGCTATGCTGAAGGTCAATGCAGAGTGGTGTGGTTAGTGATGGTGGAAGGTGGATGGACATGTGGGAATGCGGCGGGGCAGGTGCACTTCCGGCCGAGGTTGTTCGCCGCGGGAGACATCATCTATCGTCAGGCTAGCAGTAGGGACAGACGGAGTGAGGGCCTAGCGAGCCGATTGCGCGCAAGAGGTCGCTGGAGATGGATGGTGGCAGCTATGTCTGCCTGCATCGAAGTCAGGCGTGTGACAGTGAGTACCCTGCTGTGGGCAGTGAACAGGGAAGTGCACCAAATGCTTCGAAGACGCTGCTAGCACGTGATGCACATGGCGGGGTAGGTTGGCGAGCTTGTCCAAAGACACGGACATGAACGCACTGAAAGGCTATGCAGCCAGAACCTCCTCTGGAGAGTATGAACAGCACAGGAGACGTGATACTCGAAGATGAGTGAAGGCGGTGACGGGGGCGGTGACGGGGGCGGTCGCCCGTACAAGGGGTTCAGCCTAGCGCGACATCCCGCCGACGACGCTACCAAAAGTGTGGGAGATTGCCTGATGACCACTTCGAGCCAAGAGAGTCGAACTGGCCAGCGCCTGCTACGTGTGCGCCCGGAAGGTTGACGACGCCGGTCAGGAGTAGCTTGCATCTCTGGTCCTTCTGCTCATCCCCCATGCGCACTTTTGTGACAGCAACGTGAAATCGCTCGAGTACGTACGCGGGCCATGTCAGTGTTATAGCGACCCAAGGAACAGCGGAACCAAACATAGCCCGCACGCAACCGCAACCGCAACCACAGGAGAGCGCCAGCACCATGGCGTCTCCCTCAGACGAGCCCCCCGCGACCTTCCTCGACTACCGCGCAATGGCCGACACAGCAGCGTCGGGCAGCATATCGCCGTCCAAGTCGGCAGCCGCGGCGGGCGGCAGCACCACAGCGCCCAGTCGACTGCGCTCTCCGCTGCGAGCTGGGCCCCGCAGCCCGAAGATGCAAGAGGAGATGCACGCCCCTGCGAACGGCGCGCCCAAGATCATGCGGTCGGCACCCACCGGCTCGCCGCTGTCAGCCCAGGAGCCCGAGGAGTTCCCATTCCACAGCCCGCCGTCGGCTAGCAGCAACGGTGCCCCTATAGAGACCGTCGAGGCGATCGACTACGCTGCGCCCCGAGTGCCCAAGCCCTCTTCCCACGCCTCCAATGGCTCCACGAGCTCATACTACCCGCCCTTTGCGCCCGTCTCCCGCATACCCACCGCCGAGGGCGACCCAGCGGATGCGAATGCGCCCAAGGAGCGGAAGAGCGTCCAGTTCGCCCGCTCGGCCACGTACGGCTCCGACATCCCCGCGGCAAATCCCGCGGCAAACTCGCGGCAGCAGTCATGGGAGGTGGACGAGGGCAAGGGGAGAGCCAGGAGCAAGGAGGACTCGTCGTTGATGGGCAAGCTGAGGGCATTGGCAGCGCCTATGCAGGGACACGGGAGGAGCCACAGCGCGAATAACACCGGCGCCGTCTCGCCTCGTTCGCAATCGCCCCATGGCCCCCTGTCCCCAGCCAACGAGCGCAACGAGTTCCGCTTCGACGGCAACCACGACAGCGAAGCAGAAGCTGATGCCGATGCCGAGTCGAGTGCTGGAGAGGGTGCATCCCGACCTGTGCAGAAGCGCAAGAGAAGCCGGCGTTGGTTCGATGGAGATGCTGGTGAAGGTTCCCAAACAGCTCCAACAACTCCCAAGCAGACCAGCTACTTCTCTCGAGACTCGCCCACGGGCACGCCCACGTCCTCGACTCGCCCCACGTTCATGCGCAGGGGCACCATGAGCGACATACCGGAGAACGAGCGCCAGGGCTACTCGGAAGACGAGGGCCGCTCACGCTTGGGCAACAAGGAGAGCGCCTGGACTCGCGGCCTGCACAGCGCAAGGGGCTTGTCTTACGGTGGGCTGCGCAGACACGACCCAAACGCAGAAGAGGGAGATCCTTCCAGCGAACGTCGTCCAGCGTGGCGCATGCGCAGCGAGCGTACGTCGAGTCTGAGCGCGCAGAAGTGGAAATCCATCAAGAACAGCCTCAAGCTGCTCGGCAACCGCGCAAAGGCAGACCGCCAGGTCGACCATGCCAAGTCAGCTGAGCTGATGGCGGAGCTGCTTGCCGGTGCTCCTGCTGCCCTCTTTCTCGCCAGCATGTTCCAGCGCGACGAGCACGGCCACAAACGCATACCCGTGCTTCTCGAGCAGCTCAAGGTCACCATCACCGATGCCGACAAGTCCAGAGAGAAAGAGGGCGACAGGCATACCCCCCTGCGTATCGAGCTCGAGTATGGCAGTGGGCTTACTCGGATGAAGTGGGTTGTGTACCGAACGGTTGCTGACTTCGCCAACTTGCATCTCAAGTTCAAGGTGCAGGAAAAGCAAGACTCGTTCCGCAGCCGTGTCACCACCGCCGACAAGGATGACCCACGTGGCAAGCTACCCCGTTTCCCCAGGAGTGTCGTGCCATACCTCCGAGGCATACGAGGCTACGGAGCCTTAGACGAGGAAGGGGAAGAGGAGGAAGAAGCTGTCGCTGGCGGTGCAGCTACCGATGGGGACGCAAGCGCCACAGACCGTCCTTCAAGAGGCAAGCGACGCAAATCGTCCTTCGTCCTCAATCGCAGGAAGTCGAGCATAGGCAGCCCGGATCCAACTACAGGCGCTATCGGTCAGCTTGCGGCACGGCAGGGTAGCTTTGCGGGTGCTGTGGGCCAACCTCTGAACTCGAAGCAGAACCACCACGAGCGACAACGGAAGAAGCTCGAAGCGTACGTCAGGGGCTTGATTCAGTATCTCATCTTCCGCCCCGACAGCAACCGACTTTGCAAGTTTCTGGAGCTGTCTGCGCTAGGTGTACGCTTGGCTGCTGAGGGAGGCTACCACGGCAAAGAAGGTCATATGATGATCAAGTCGTCGAAAGGAGTGGATGCGCGGAAGAGGTGGACGCCCATGCCGATGATGACTCGGCACTGGCCCAAGTGGTTCCTCGTCAGGCACAGTTACATTGTCTGTGTGGACTCCCCAGAAGAAATGAACGTCTACGACGTATTTCTCGTCGATTCCAACTTTGACCTTGAGTCCAAGACAGCAGGCAAGTACAAAGACAAGAAGGCTCGACAGGTTGCAAGCGAAGCCAAAGCATCAGCAACAGGCCACCATCAGCTGAAACTCGTCAACTCTGAGCGCAAGATGAAGCTGCTTGCGAGGAACGACAAGATGCTCCAACAATTCGAGGAGTCGATCACCTTCATGATGAACAACACGCTGTGGTCGAAGCGCCAGCGCTTCGACAGTTTCGCTCCCGTACGAAAGAAGATCTACGCGCAGTGGCTTGTCGATGGTCGGGACTACATGTGGAACGTCTCTCGTGCCATCAGCATGGCTCGCGATGTCATCTACATTCACGACTGGTGGCTCAGTCCCGAGCTGTATCTGCGCCGCCCAGCTGCTATCAGTCAAAAGTGGAGACTTGACCGACTGCTCCAGCGAAAGGCGCAAGAAGGCGTGAAGATCTTCGTCATCATGTACCGCAACATCGGTGCCGCTATTCCCATCGACTCCGAGTACTCCAAGTTCTCACTGCTCGACCTTCACCCCAACGTCTTCGTCCAGCGATCGCCCAACCAGATTCGTCAGAACACCTTCTTTTGGTCCCATCACGAGAAGATTTGTGTTGTCGATCACACAATCGCTTTCTGTGGCGGTGTCGATCTGTGCTTCGGCCGTTGGGACACGCCACAGCACGTGGTGGTAGACGACAAGCTGACAGGCTTCGAGTTGGACAGCAACGCTCCCAAGGATGCGGATCACTGTCAGCTTTGGCCTGGAAAGGACTACTCGAACCCTCGTGTCCAGGATTTCTTCAACCTAGACAAGCCCTACGAGGAGATGTACGACCGCAGCAAAGTTCCAAGGATGCCATGGCACGACATTGGTATGCAGATCGTTGGCCAGCCAGCTCGCGATCTTACACGCCATTTCGTACAACGTTGGAACTACCTTCTTCGTCAACGCAAGCCATCTCGACCGACTCCATTCTTGCTTCCGCCGCCGGACTTCAACCCTGCTGATATCGAGGCGCTGGGACTGGAAGGCACTTGTGAGGTGCAGATCCTGCGCTCCGCCTGTGCTTGGTCGCTTGGTACACCGAACAAGGTCGAACACAGTATCATGAATGCCTACGTCCAAATGATTGCAACTTCAGAACATTTCGTTTACATCGAGAATCAGTTCTACGTCAGCAGCAGCGAGGTCTTGGGTACCAAAATCGAGAACAAGATCAGCGACGCTCTTGTCGACCGCATCAAGCGTGCACACGCAAACGACGAGGATTGGCGGGCCTGCATCATCCTCCCACTGATGCCTGGATATCAGAACACTGTGGATGAGCAAGATGGTAGCAGTGTCCGCCTCATCATGACATGCCAATACCACAGCATCTGTCGTGGAGAGACATCGATATTCGGACGCCTCCGAGCTGCCAACATTGAACCAGAGGACTACATTCAATTCTACGCGCTAAGATCCTGGGGTGAGATCGGGGCCAATAAGATGCTCGTCACAGAGCAACTGTATATCCACGCCAAGATTATGGTGGTTGATGATCGAGTCGCCATCATCGGATCCGCGAACATCAACGAGCGATCTATGCTGGGCTCTCGAGACTCTGAGATTGCTGCCATCGTGCGAGACACCGAAGTGCTCGACTCGTACATGGCTGGCCAGCCATACAAGGTCGGCAAGTTTCCTCACACCCTCCGCATGCGTCTGATGCGCGAACACTTGGGTGTCGATGTGGACCATATCTCCGAGGAAGAATGGGCGAGTCAAATGTCCGATGCCGATAGTACTGCTTTCCAGACAGAGTCATCTGGTCCTGGTTCCCCGACTGCTGATCGCGCTACCGAGCAAAAGCTTTCAGAGAACCATGCTCGAGCGCAGGAGGAGCTGCTTGAACGTGCCGAGAGGCTGCACAGCTTCAACCACGACTTCGACTGGGCACAGGACAAGAATCCTCATCTTCAGAGCAACAAGAAGCCATCATCTGATCCTCGTGTAACTCGCAACGAGGCACATGAAAAGGACGTCCGCGGAGAAGGCGCAGATCATTATCGCGACCTTGAGACTCGCGAGCCAAGCCTCACTCGCGGTCGCGACACCTTCCTTGACCCTCATGGCCATGAGAAGCTGCTTTCCGATGTTGCATCCGAGGGCCTTGCCAACAAGGATACAGTGAAGAGACATTCGACTGCAAGGGGTCGAGGTCGCAGTAACACAGTCGGCACAAAGGCCAGCGCAAGCAGCAGTGGACCTACCGAAGGCTACGCCGGCCTTCCACCACCCAAGCTTCCCCGCATGGACACACAGAAGCTGGGCTTGACGCAACTCAGTCAACTTCCTGCCCTGCCCGTCATGGACGACACTGACATCGGTGGGCCGCCGCTACAGCGCACCTTCAGCGGCGCATCTTCAAACGTCGTCAACCCTCTTCTTGCTGAGATGAGACGACCCATCGTCACGGAAGATTGCATGCGCGACCCGATCAACGACTCCTTCTTCCTCGACACCTGGCACCAAGTCGCTGAGAACAACACGAAGCTCTTCCGCCAAGTGTTCCGCTGTCAGCCTGATAACGAGGTCAAGACGTGGAAGGAGTATCAGGAGTATACCGCCTTTGCTGCACGATTCACACAGATGCAAGGTGGCGGCAAACCCCAGAACCAACGCGCACAAGAAGCCCCTGGTAAGACCGGTCCACCAGGCACCGGCGTAACCGAAAAGATCGGCCTCGTAGGCAAACAAGTTGGCGCCCTAGGCGACAAGCTCTCGGAAAAAGTAACCAACAACTCCGACAACTCGCCCAGCAAGACCGGTGCCGTCGAGCAATGGGCCCACGAGCAAGAGAAGCGCGTACAGCAGGGCCTCAAGCTGGACACGCACAGTACGCACAATGGCGAGCAGTTCGACGAGAAGCACCCGCGCTCTGTCAAACCGGCAGAGGACTCGATTGTGAGCCCGATGAATGGGTCGCTGCCGGCTAGAACATACACCTTCCCCGCCGCGCCTCCCGTCCCCGAAAACGATCCCTACCACCCCTCCTCCAACACCGACGCGCCACGCGCACGCAACGTGACAATCAGCGAGCCCACCAAGCTCCCCTCTGGCGCAAACTTCTCCAGCCACCGCAACACCATAGGCAGCAAACGCTCTCGGCGCCGGGCGACCACCAAGTCATCTACCCGCGCGTTCCACGCCACGGATGCGGATAGCATGCTTGGGAAGGAGGATGCGAAGATGCTTATGGATTTGGTGCAGGGCCATTTAGTGCTTTGGCCGTATGACTGGCTCGAGACGGAGGAGAAGGGGGGTGGTTGGTTGTACAATGTTGATCAGATAGCACCGCTTGAGATTTAGTGAGTATCCCCTCCACGTTAGTGTTGTGGGCACAGGCTAACAATTCGCAGCAACTAAACGAACCCTTTCGAGAGCATACGGGAGGACAGAGGTGAGAGGCGATGTACTGGGGTTTGCGTGTGGGTTTGGATTTGGGTTTTGGGAGAGTATAGAGAAGTGTTGAGAGCGATTGCATTGCATGGTTGGCGTTGTCGGTTCTTCTTTTTCCCGCATTGTAAAGCATCCTGTGGTTCCACACTGTACGAGTTTGAGCATTACAATGCACTAGCCTTAAGCCATCACATCACACTCTGATCCAGTAACGATAGCAATCCCCGGTTGACTTCATCCAGGCTTCCAGGTCCGAGCCAAGCCATTTACAGATGCTCGGCAACTACGATGACCTCCTGAGGCTTCATTGACCTTATCGGACCCAACTCGAGTCACACAGTACCTCAACTTCTCGACCCCACCAGCCCGGTAACCTACCACTCCATCCACATTTCAGAAGCACTCATCTTCGGCATCGGAAGTAAATAGTACATCTCCTCCCACGCCTCCTCCCTCAGCTCTCTAGCTGGCTTTGCAGTCACCTCCCGTCCCAGTGTATCGTAGGCAAGCGTGAGCATGGAAGCCATTACCACCGCTGTCAGAATCTCCACGGTAGTGAGACCATACGTCGTTGCAGACAGGTAGACAGCGCGCCAGTATACAGCACAGTGGGGGCGAACATGAATCTCTGTGCGGATATCGGTCGGCGGGCAGAATTGTTGTGGTAAGACGATTTGTCGGGGTTTTGGGACGTTGTGGAGTCCCCGGTTCCAAGTTCAGGATTTTTTTTTTTTTTTTTGCCCAAGATGTTTTTTTTTTCCAAGCTGTCCTGTGTGGCCTCGATCGCGCTCTGCTGGATGTTAGCCGCGCTCTTGGAGGACGCTGCCAGAAGCGTGGACTTGCATGCTTCCAATCTGCTAGATCCCGGTCAACGACGTGCACGCAGCCTATACAGCATTGAACAAACGCGAAGACCCTGATCCGCCTCATGCATCTCGCACTGAGGTGGCTACTGTTGGAGCCTGATTGGTGTACCTCTCAGTTCGAACACCCAGTCAATTCGGGAAGCGCACATTACTGACATACTCGACGGACCCATTTGAGGACGAATTTGGTGAAATGAAATCGAGATGCATGTGATGGTTGGTACTGCATCTCTGGCTTCTACATGACTTTACCCTCAGGTGTAGAATTCCACGCTTGCTCGAAGGCCTGCCAGCCTCCAACCGGCTCTTCGCACATCTTTAGGTCGCTGACAACCAAATCGTAGTAACCATCATTTGGCAGCTTGCCCTTGTTGCAAGTTCCACCCATGGCAATATTGATGAGTATCCTGTAGTCTTCCATGCGCCTTGAGCCTGCCGGAATGTTGCCCTTCATCACCGGTCTGCCGTCGATATACCAAATTAGCCTGCCTCGCCACTCTGGAATGCCTTCCTCCTCGATCCACGCAAAGCCATACGTATGCGGCTTCGTCGTGAGATCTGGCAGTGGCGTCTGCACCACCCTATGCTTCTGCGCATCTCCGCCGTTGTAGTGACCCCAGTGTAAGCACGAGTGGTTCGTTTTCTCGTCGTTCCAATTCTCCATGATATCCACCTCGCCGTCGCCGGGCCAGTTGAACGGCTCACAGGGGAGCATCCAGTACGCAGGCCAGATGCCAGGGGCGCTGGGTGGGAGGGTGGTGGCTTCGATGTAGCCTCTTGGCCTAGATAACGTCTGATGAGACGTCAATCTTGCAGACGTGTAGCTGCCGTTTTGAACGAGACCGCGCACAACGAGGCGGTTGTCGTGGTGGAAGGAGTTTGAGAGCGAGTCGGTGTAGTTCTGCTTCTCGTCGTTGCCCCAGCCGTGATCGCCCAGCTCGTGCCTGAAGTTCTGAGAGACAGGTGTTGCTGCATCGAAGGACGGCTTCCAGTACACCTTCTCGCTATAGGGCGGTGGGATGTTTTGCGGTGGTGGAGGTTGCGAAGATGTAGGGCGGTTCTGTGGAATAGGAGGCGCCGGAGAATGCGGCTTATTCTGTGGGATAGGCGGTGCAAAGCCCTGCTTCTGCTGAGGTGGTGGTGGGCCCCAATTCTGTTGTTGCTGCGGCTGCCATTGATTTGGTGGACCACCCCATTGCTGCTGTTGAGGTTGTTGGTACTGCTGCTGGTACTGGTTTTGGGAAGGATATTGCTGTGGAGGATATTGGCTACCAGAGTATTGCGCTTGCGAGTACTGTTGTTGCTGGTTGTAGCCCTGCTGCGGCTGTTGCGGGTAACCTTGTTGTGGTTGTTGCCCCGGATAGCCTTGTTGGTGCTGTGACTGCCCTCCTTGGTGTTGAGCCTGAAACTCCTTCACCTTAGCCTTACCCTTTGCGAAGAGCTTGTCAAAAGTAGACATAGTCGATGCTGATATTGTAGAATGTGAGGCATGACGTAGCGCCCTCCTTTTCCTCAGCCACGGCAGCCAAGCCACAAAGCGTGACTAAGTCAGCCCTATGAAGACCCACTTGCGCACCGTTGAAGATTCGTCCCTCACCATCGAAAAGAGTCTTCCCCTTGAGTCTGCACAATGCATGTTCTCGGATCTCGATCCCCTGCGTTGTGTCGCTGCCGCGCGAACTGTCGCGCGTCGCCCTGATTTTGCATACGACGTCATTCCACCAATCACCAAATTGCAGCATTCATCCTACAGCCAACCAGTCACCCCCAGAAACGCCTCAGGTCATCTCTAAGGGTACCTGATCAACAACAAGGTATCGATAGAAACAAGAAACACACGCGACCTGTCACACCTGTCTGCGTCGCACGTAACTGTAGCGTCATTTCCCTTCACATAAAGTTGCACCTGCCTTCGCCGTTTGTCAACAATAACAACGCTAGTCCACGCCGCACTCACTTTACATACCACACAACAACTCCACTTCACTAACGCTTTCTCTCAACCTACATTCAATTTCCACCCAAACCTCCAAATTAACCTCTCACTACCAAGATGTCTTCAATCATCAAGTCTCTGTCCGATCTCTTCACCTCCTTCGTAGAGCTCGTCTGGTCCTTCTTTACCACCGCCGGCGACCTTGCTCAAAAGACCGCCTCTTTCGCCCTCAAGTTCTTCTCTGAGATCATCGACCTGCTCGTCAACTTCTTCGAAGGCCTGGTCGGCCTGGCTGGCGGCATTGTGGGCTTTGTTCTGGGTAAGCCGCTGTTGAATCCATGTAGTGATGAGCAAGTACTGACGATACGCAGGCAACGTTCTCATACTCGGTGTTGTTGCGGCGGTCGTCTTTGGCTTCTTGCAGTACCAGCGCAACCAGGGCAACACTGTCAAGGTCGGCAACAAGAAGCTCAACTAGCTGCAACATGGGTGATCAGCACGACGTCATGAAGGGATGCGCGCGACACGGATTTCCTTTCTCACACTTGGCTAAATTTGTATGATACCCTTTCCGTCTCTGAGAATATCCATAAACACACCAGCAAGCTTTAAGCTCTGCAAACATTGATACCTATTCTGGTCCACTTCCATCCCTCTTCTACGTACAATGCACCGACCACTAACGTCTCTCGACCACTCACAACAGCCTTTCAACGAGTACAATGCGAACGTTGGTACCAAACACCAGCCAGGAGGCACTCAACAGGTCATCCAGCATCACCCAGATCTAAGTACCATACCCTTTATTTTGGCTTTTTATGCGCTGTCAGCGTGTTGCAGCTACTGAAATTGCGATAATCGTGAGACTTAATCCTTAAATCTGGGAGTGGGCCAGGATAAGGCAGGATGTCTTTGAAAACTAATGGCAGGAATTATGTGACCGCAATCGTCAGTTTTTCCCAAACTTTGTATTCTTGACTGAAGACCGTGGGACTCAACTTATCGTGGTCTGAAAGAGCTTGGTGATCACAATCAACACCAGCCTCGGAGTCAGTCAGGCTACTTTGCTCGGCTTTACAATTTGACCAGCCTCTCAGAGATAAAACCGCGTCTTTGGAGTTAAAATTAAATATTATCAAGACAAGGTCCCGCTAGTAGTATGACCACCATAGATAACCGAGTGGGAGGAGGTGGGTTGGCCGCAACGTGTTGTCTTTTTTTTTGCACTGTACTATTCTGTCTGGTAGAGTACAGTGGCGTCCACCATGGTACCTACCTGCCTACCAGGTCGCTGGCCATACCTACCGCATGAGGCCTCAAGGCTTCCCTCCACTAACCTGGACTGAAACCACATCTCATCAACAAATATACATTATTTGGAGAGAAAAAAAAAGAGAAAAAAACGACAAGTTCAATGCAACAACAAATCGTAAGATAATTGTACCAAGCACCGTAGCCCTTCCATGACTCACAACAGACTCCCAATAACCGGTGCCGAACACACTTTTTACGAACCTGAATTCCTCTACACCCAGTAAATCCGCTTCACCCTCAATAGGTACAAGTCCGAGACACAACGCCGCATCCAACACATCCTCCCTCACGATCCGTATCCTCGCAAAACAGCACCGAGGAGTGATTTAACCGTGGTCACAGTACCCTGTCCTTCACAGATCCACCATATAATAACTCGCCCAAGTCACTTTCACGCGCAACTGCGGCTATTCTTGCGCCGTCTCCGAAATTTGGGGAGGGAAGCACATTTGGAGGGACGTTGTCTGTCGGGGCCGCTTTGGATCGCGAGGATGCGGAGATGCCCGGAGGAGAGACATTTCCTAGAGGAATTTATTGGATCTGGAAGGCATTTAGGTGGTAGGTGGTGGTTTTTGTTGGATTTGATTTGAGATGGGTAGAGTGTGAGAGTGTGTGAGTGATGGATGGAGAGGAATGGAAGGGAAATGAAGAATATTTATGCGACTTTATGGGAGTTATGATGGATTCAAGGTTGAGTTCGAGAAATGTTTTGGTTGAGATCTGGGGGTTCTACAGACACAGTCGCAATATGATCGCATTCCAACCATGGTCCGCAGAGACTGCCCACGACCCTTGAATAAAAGTCAGCCCTCAGTATGCCTGTCGCGAATACCTCCTGGGCACGCACTTGTTGTAATAACTCTACCTCTAGCAATTCCGTGCACACCCAAAGGGAAACGGCAAGACAGCCGGACTCCTGTACCCACCCTTCCCGACGCTTCGAACGCCAAAGATGACGTTGTCCTTATGTATAGTCGCGCTTGTCAGATTGTACCAATTGACATTGCCGACATCGATCACACTCGTCCAATGTGGCTCAATAGTCTCTCTGTAGACAATTTCATACCCCTCCGGCTTCAGTCCAACCGGAGTGGTCCACTTGAACTGACTGAAGTTGTCACTGGCAGTCGTGTTGATGCCGACATTCGTTGGCTCGCCCGGCGCATTCGCAAGACTCCACATTGTGCTCGCTACAACCTTAGCAGCGCGGGCATTGTATTCAAAGTCCAGGAACTCTACCAGATCACCATACTGCTTGCCACCCTGAACCCGAACGTCTTGGTGCTGTTGCGTGTAGTCCTCGTTCGCTTGCACGAAGCGCACACCGTTGAAACCGGATTCGAGGAAAGGTCGGTGATCACCACCACGGCCATAGCGGTCGAGACGGTATATGAGGCGTACTGTCATCTGGGTGAAGGCGTTGGATGCAACTTCGTAGATGTGGCGCCCCAAGTTGCGTGATGGACTATCATTTTCGCCGCCGATGCTGAGACGAGAGGTCATGATTGTGGAGTTCTCGGTCAGAGGCGTGCCTTGGCAGAAGAGTCGGATGTTGTAAGGGTCGGAAGTACCGTCTTCGGCCTTGGAGTTGCCGACCATGTCGAGATTGATCATGGCAGCGACGTTGGTCGAACTGTTCTTGTAGGTCTTTGCGAGGTTCTCGGCGCCCAGGAGACCTTGCTCCTCCCCTGCAAAGGCTGTGAATGCAATTGAAGCTTTGGGCTTGTACGTTGCGAAGATGCGGGCTAGCTCCAAAGACACTGCTACGCCGGACGCACTGGCTTTATCAATAAAGTATCTCCCCTACAATACAAGATGTACTCACTCATCAACGGCACCAGGCGCATCTCCCTCGTAGTCTACTGGATCACTGTTTCTCGAATCGTAGTGTCCGCCAACAACATACAACCGCTTGGGATCCTCGCTTCCCGTCAGAGTTGCAACCACGGTTGTGATGTTGACAGGGAAAATGATGCGCTCATTGTCGCCAGGATACTTGATGAAGCTGTTCCACGCCACACCCATCGAGCCATTGCTTGCCGCCGCCGCGGCTTTGAATTGAGAGGTAAGCCAGTCACGAGCTGCACCGATGCCGCGATTGGGGTCAGTCTGACTCGAAAGCGTGTGCCGGGTACCAAAGGAGGCGAGCTTCCTGACTGTAGCCTCGATGTTGGCACGGGAGACCTGAGCGAGAATGACTTGTAGGTCAACATCGGGGAGCTGCTGCTCGAGTGCCTTGCCAACGGTGGCGAGAGGCCATTGGTCGGTGTTGGGAAACACATTCGGTGAGGTGTTGGGTTGTAGTGGGGATGAGGAAACTGAAGGGAGGAGACTGTCCACGAGCAGCACGAGAGTGTATGCTTTCGACCACATGATAGCGGACCCTGAAGTTCGTCAATTTGGTCGTTACCTCGGACTTGGCTAAAGTGCAAGGAATTGACCAGCTCATGAGCTTTATACTTTCACTCAACGCCATCCCACTTTCCACTCTGTCGGTTGCTGATTGCCGATATCTGTCATTCCGCGATTACACCATGGTCAACTTATCTTCCGACGATGACGATACCTGCATGCACGACTTGGATGTGTGCATATCAACATCAGAAAAGGAAGCTCGAAGGACAACCAAGGCGCCAGAGCTGAGCCTAACCACGAAGGTCTGCCCTAACGCCGGCAAGGTCTCCACCGTGTGGCTTGGCAACGGCTGTCGAAGTGCGGGGCCTCAACATGCCGATGGCGTTGAGCGCAGTGCTGGGTGGTAAACTCCGTTAACACAATACTTGTCCGTGACTCAGGGTCCAAGAAAGATTAAGAGAATGGTGCACTTAGAAGGTGTTGGGATCATATAGATGCTTCGTTCAGATTTGACTTGACTTAAAACAACCTGCAAGGTGAACCGGACACCGTCTGTACCTTTGTCTGTCTGTCGCTAAAATGTTGATGCGCAGGCTGAACTTACTTAATGCGCGCGTTTGTTGTCGCCTGTCTTGTCTTCCCAAATCTTCAGGAACAGCTTCCACAAGATAGAGAAAAGAATACCTTGCAAACCGTTTGCAATGATCCTCGTTTTCAGGCCTCGCCCAAATAGCCCTCGTCGTCCATCTTGACGAATAATTCGCCTTGCAGCTTCGGTGTACGAGACTTGGGTGTCGTGTACTTGTCGATATGTCTTCACTACACGCAGCGAGTTCGATATTGTGTCTGAGACGACCGAAGCACAGAAGCCGATTAAGGCCGCCCTCAGGAGCCAAGGGACGATGTTGCTCCTCGGTGGCTCAGTAATGACCTCTGAAAGCAAGTTGTATGTTGCAAACCACGGGTAGTGGCCAACGAAAGTCGCAGCGGCTGTTGCAAAAGCTCCCCACCAGAGGCTGCCGATCCCATCGGTCTTGATGCGCTGACGGAGTAATGCTGTTCCACGGGATCCTTCGGCTTGCAAGGTGGTCTTCAGGGTATCAATAGGTGTGAGAATCATCCTGAAGGCAGCGGCACAGAGAGACGCAAAAATGGTCTTGATGGGCGAGGGTAGTCCCGCCAAGTATCCATTGGACTGGAGGAGAGCCAGGATACCAGCGTTGGCCGCTGTGTCACCAAATCGTGCAATGGGACCTGTCATCTGTTAGTTGAGGTCATCTTCTCGGAGTTGTCGAATCGAACACATACCTTGGAATAACGCTGCTCCCATACCTGCATAGTACCTGCCGTATCCACCGTCCTGGTAAAGCGTCTTTGTTGCAACGGTCAATGATGTTCCATGACGGTACTGGTAGTTCATGATGGTGCGAATCGGCATCAACAGTAAGACTTGCAAGAGCATGGCTGCCGCACCACTCAGACCTCCGCCTAGAGCTCGCTTCAAAGCTCCTTTTAGATCAAACTGCGATACTATGTTAGAGAGGTTCCGGAGAAGTAAAGTCTTGGCAGTGCAACTCACGTCGACATCATCAGCCTCTATCCAACCCTTCACAAACACCGCAATGATCAAAATCGCAACCACAATCCAGAAGCCTCTCCAAGCATATTCCCATCTCTTCGAGGCCTCTGATTGAGGTTTTGGTGCTACGTCGTCATCTTCTGGTGGCGCGGTCCCTTGCTCTTCAGTCCGCTGAGGTACTAACAAAGGCGCGCGTTCATCTGGCATTGATCCGTTCTCTAGATCACGACGCGAGGCCATCTTATTTTGCTAACGATGTTGTTGATGGTTTTCGAGCGTGAGACGGCAGACACGCCGCGTACATTGTCGAGGCTAGCGCTGACCAATCAAGTAATGACGTGATTCCGCGCCGCGATAGCGGAAACTCCTTCCCTTTCCGATCTCGCAGTCAACAACACCACACCCCATCGCGACGAATGCATACTCTGCAGGCTAATGTCATCTTCTTGTCGAGGTCGGTGTTGCTTAAAACAAGATATGAGCATTGTTGACAGGCTCTAAGCCGACCCTTGAACACGTTTCCTGAATGTTTCGCGGCGTGTTGTCTTTGTGCAATGATTGCAAAACCGTCTATAAGATTGCTCGTTGCATTTCCAGGTATACGTTGACTACCGAAAACTGACAGAGGTATTCACGGACTGCAACAAGAATGTTCTAGAGCACAAGAGACTGTAGAATTGTCAGTGCTGTGTTCTTACTTGGTATTCAGGAAATATCATGTACGCTCAATCCACAGCCAGAACTACCAGCCCGTTTGTCTTCGGTTTCGACCCATGGCCCTTCAATACATGATTAAAAGCCTCGTCAAGAATCCGTAGACCCTCCTCAATATCATCGGCTGATACCGTAACCGGAGGCGCAACCCGAAATACACCACCCATACCAGGAAGATTGACGACATTACAGCTCAATCCACGCGCCATGGCCCGATCCGCCACGGCATGTCCAATCTCAAGACCCGGAGTCTTTGTCTCAGCATCAGAGATGATCTCAACGCCCTGAAACAGACCTCGACCCCGCACATCTCCAATGCACCAGTACTTTTCCTGAAGTTTGTCGAGACCAGCACGCAACTGCTCGCCTCTTTCTCTTGCACGTTTGCAGATGTTGTCTCGTTCGACGATCTCAAGTACCTTGTTGCCTACAGCAGCAGTCAGAGGATCGTTGAGATGAGTCGTCAGCCACAACAACTTCGCCTCCTTACACCCCCTCTCAATCTCAGCCGTCGTACTTACGGACGCCAACGGCAAGCCACAACCCAGTCTTCGACAGACAAAGAATGTCAGGCACAATACCATCGCGCTCAAATGCGAACATCTGCCCAGTCCGACCGATGCCTGTTTGCGCCTCGTCCATGATGACAAGCATGTTGCGCTTCTTGCATTCCTCGACCATGCGCTTCAAATACCCTGGTGGAGGGTCTAAGATGCCGCCAGTTGACATAATGGGCTCCACGATAAATGCTGCAAGGGAGCCGACGCTTTGACGATCGATCATAGACTAGCCAAACTCGAGTTCTGTCTTCTAGTCGTAGGAGCTGTCTGCCTTCTTGAACAGCGAGCGATACGCGTACGGGGCTGGGAAAGCTAGCTGGCCTGGCATGGCAGGACCGCCGTTCTTGCGACCGGCTGAGTAGGTGGCGGACCCAGAGCCTTGGGTAAGGCTGTGGTAGCTGGCTGTGAATGCGACAATCTTGAACCTGCCGGTGTAGCATTTGGCCATCTTCAAGGCTGCTTCGGTGGTCTCTGAACCGGTGTTGAGGAAGAAAGACTTCTGAAGTGGAGCAGGGAGAATGCGAGCCAGACGCTCAGCCAGATCGACGACTGGCTGTGTGGTCATATTGCTAAGGAGGTGATCGAGTTTGCCGATGTATTTGCGAACTACTTCGACGACTTCTGGGTGAGAATGGCCGAGCAGTGAGCTCATTTGGCCTGATGTAAAGTCGAGGATTTCTTGGCCATCGGACGTGTAGAGTCGAGTGCCTTTGGCTTTACTGATTACTACTGGCGAGGATGGGACACCTGTGTGCATCAGGTAGGTGTCAGCTTTTGATCACAAGTCTGGTGCAGACATTGTAAGCAACGATTTGGAGAACGCGGTGCTGGTTTCGACTCGTAGGATCCTCGAGGTGCTTCAACAAATGAATTGCAGATACTCTGGTATTGATACTAGGAACTGACTGACCCCAGGCTCACAGATATACTTTGAGGGATGTTCAAGTTCGACCAGCACCAGGTTAGCTTCAAGAGGAAATTCCCGACAAGCTAACGGAAAGATAGCCAATATATCTTTTCGGCTTTCCCGCTCGCACTCTCCGTCGGCCTTGCCCCAACAAAGACCTCGAAAGTGCCTACGAATCCCTCATAAGAGTGCCAAAGGCACAAGGCGGGCTTATCTTTGCGCCTTGGATGGGGCCGACGGCCAGGCTTGCACGGGAAAGTCTCCTATCGAGTTTGGCATCAGGACCGGAGAACCGACTTTTAGGAAGCCATCTGGGGGATGTAATATGTAACATTTCAATGAAAGATATTGTAAGAAGATTTCTGGTTCCATGTACAACTATTCAGCCTTCCCCCTACTCTACTTGTCAAGCCTGCGGACTAATAATTTTGGCCGTCTATCGGATAGGTCATCTAAAAGTGAGGTGTATTCAGCGCCATAGCCATCAGCAACCCTGAGATCAGCCCCGCACTTGGTAGCGTAATGATCCAAGATGAGAAGATGAAAGCAACTTGCTTCCAGTTAACAGCACGAACATCGAAATTGCAAAGCGCAACACCAATGGTCGCACCAGTCAGGCACTGCGTCGTCGACACGGGCAAAGCAAGCCTAGAAGCGAGGAGAACAGTGATGGCGGCACCAAGTTCCATTGAGAACCCTCGGGTGGGTGAGACTTGGGTAATCTTGTTGCCCAACGAGCGCATGACATGGTAGCCATAGACTGTGAGACTGGGTCAGCAAAGGTCATGGATAAATGGCATAGCAGGATGCGTACACCAGAACCCCAAACCGAGCAGTAGACCAGCGACGACCAGGATCCAGATCGGGGTGTCAGCACTGGAGGTCACTTCTCCACTCGTGTACGTGTTGTAGCTTGCAACCCAGGGGCCAACGGCGTTTGCGACTGTGACGCTGTTAGCACGCGATTGCATCATCTAAAGGATAGTTGCTGCATACCATCGTTGGATCCGTGAGCAATAGACATCATCATAGCAGATGCTACTTGGGCGTAAGTCCATAAGTGTTCGACACGGTTGTCGTAGACGACAGCACGAGCGTGGACAGCGCCAAGGTCTGAATCGCAAAGTAAGTGACTGGACTATACAAGTTGTGTTCTAGGAGAATTTACTCTTCTGTGTGACAACATCGCGGCTGACACCTTGTAGTAACAAGAATTTGATCCAGTTCGTGATCTTTCGAGGCGAGTAGAAAGGCAGGTCGCGAACAGGCTCCAACCATCGCTCTTCTGGCTCAGGCTTCTTTGGGATGATATGGGCAACCGTGTCTCCTCGAGGGTTCGGTACAGAGAGACCTCGCGAAGCACGCTCCGTGGTCGCGTCCTCCAAATTGTTCCTATCGACGGAAGTTGACAAGCCATCACTGTTATCATGAGCTGCCTTGTTGTCAACAGGTGTTGCATCACCGGCGAAGCAGTGATTTTTTGGAGTTTTCTCGAGATCTTTACTTGGAGTCTCTTCAGATGACTTGGCATAGTAGTCAGTAACGACATGGTCGCCCTTTCCAGGATAGTATATCGGAGGATCCTCTCGGTAAAGAAGGGGTCCGAGTGGGATGTGCCACGGCCGCATCCGGGCGTCGTTCTTGACGAGGCGACGATGGAAGTACGGAACGAAGAAGATATACCCGACAGCTAAGATGCCGAAGAATACACCAAGAATGATGCCAGTCGCCTTACCAGCGCCCATCTCCTCAAGCGACTCGCCATTTGGAAGCTCATCAATGATGAACAGGGCCAGGATGCCAGCTGTGAAGGCCAGGTACCAAGGGATCAGTCGAAGACCCCACATAAGAGGATCCTTCCTTTCGAGGACAAGGAACTTGATTGTTAGGAATAGAATGGCGGAGAAGCCAGCTGCAATGAGTGGGGCAATTGCCCAAGACGCGGCGATTTGGCTGAGACTGCCGCTTGCCCAAGCCCACTTGAGACGAGTCTGAGCTGCAATACCAGCGCCTGCAAGAGCACCGACGACGGTTTGTGTGGTACTATACCTTGAGTCAGCAGGATGTCCGGGGACCGCACGAACCTTATTTCTTACCTAACAGGCATGCCATAGAGAGTAGCAATGGTGAGGAACGTCGCGCTGCCTACCTCCGCACAGCCCATCACGAGCATAAACGTCGGAGGAGCAGGCTGGAACTTGGTCAGGCCGAAGATGCCGCTTTTGATAGTGGATGTGACCCGAGAACCTAGAGCAACAGCTCCAACAAACTCAGTGATAGACGCAAGAATACCGGCCTGCCACATCTTTAACGTTCGCGCTGCCACAGATGTGGCGTACGAGTTGGCGACATCGTTGGCACCGTTGGAGGCTGAGGAGAAGACAAAGGCGATGGTGGTGATGGCAAGGATCCAGTTGTACTTTATCAGGGCTGGAGCCATGATGGGTAAGTGCCCCGAGAGCTTATTGTGAAGGAAGTGAATGATCTGGACGAGACCTATAATTCTGTTTGCTCAAGGGCCTCTAAGAACCTTTTAGTGAAGAAACGCCCGGCAAAATGGGAGTCCTGAATTCAAGACCTTCGGTGTGAATAGTGGATACAGGTTTCGTAGGAGGCGTTTCCTGAAGATCTGCAGCATGGGTATGTTGATACCAATGGCTATCCCTTCTTTGATCCACACTGTTCACTAGGCGTTTCCTGGAGCCTAGGACTTGAAAACAGCCTTGGTATGATGCGAAAAGTGTCATTGCGCGAGACTCCGCGGCGAAAGATGATGATGGGAGATCGCCGCATGAAGTGTTTTGCATAGGATCCTATGCTGCGCACCCACGTCAATGGGTTTATCATGTTATGGTGTCGTGTGCCGGTGGAGAACAGCATTTTGAGGTTCAACGAAAGAGCAGTGGAGATTGAAGAACGTGGGCAGTATTTCAGGAGCTGCCAAGATCGGAGCCCCGTGGCGGTTCCGCGATACCCGTTGGCCAAGCACTTGGCATCGCAGCGGACGCACCTGCAAGTCTTTCTCTTCTCGGTGCATTGCATAAGGAAGACTCGCTAAGAAATTTTCGAACTGTCTTGATTACAGATCTCCGATTGCTACCAACACGCAAGCGCCTTAGTCGATGAGACTGTCAGTCACGCTCCTTCACCCCACCTCTCCTTCGCCTTACCAGATCAGGCTTAATGCGCCAAGGCGTTCCCATTAATCGTACTTGAATCCCTTCGGCTCGTTCATATTACTGCAGCTGATCTTCGTCGCGGGTGAGCTGCTGTTCGTCAGATTGACTAACTCGACACCTTCCATACTTAACCCATCGTACCCTCCCTGGCTCCTACTACACCGCAAGCGCGCCTCATACCGAGTATTCGCCGAGCCACGGATATTTCCCAAGAAACGTCTGAGATGTCGAAGGTTGAAGTACTGCAGTTTGCTTTGCCGACACCGCCTCGAGTGTAGCATTGGTTGACCATAGTCAGGTACCCATCGCTGGCTTCGGTGATGGTGATGTCGGAGTAGGAGATGTTTCGCGCATCTGTGGAGGTGAACAAGATTTTTTGGGTATCTGAGATTATAGAGACTTACAGCCTGTTCACCTCCACCGCCGTTTGGGGGCCACTGATTCTGCTCACCCGTCCAGGTTTTCACCCGGGTTGCAAACCTGCTCTCTTATATGGTCAAGTTGCGCACGACAACATTCTCAGCAATCTCAAATCGGTCGAAATATTGCCAATGCTGCCGACTCCCACGCCACTCCGCCATGGAAGATTGAGTCTTCGATGACGTGGCATGGTGACGCGCAGTACGGCCCTCCTGATAGAATCGTCGGCATCTAGATCCTGTGCCGCTATGGCTGGGTAAAAGTGAACAACGATCCTTCGACTCGACGCCAGCTCTCCATGAAACACACTCACAAAGGCATCGTCATGGCCTCGCCGTTGGCACTGAAGCTGACTCAAGGGCTGAACAACATTACATTGGGCAGCTTGTCAAACGGGAAAGGGGCAAAAGCTGATGACGTTGATAAGATCATCGTTTGTCCGCTAGAAAAGGTAGCGGCTGTCAACACATCAGCAAATCAAACGCCAACAGCTGGACCGGCTGAGTTCACTGGAAGCGCAAGCCATCTGTCTCTTCCTTCTCTCATTTGTATCATGGTCGCTGCTGTTATCCTCCTCTTGTAAATTGCCTCGCAGTTCCTGGTACAACAAGACCGCCTCAGCGCCGGTGGTTATGCTTAGATTCCTCTCAACTCTTCCACAACAGGACCCCGACGCGAAACACATAGTAGTATGCACAAAGGTCATTGTCCGAATATCAGAAATTGCCTGGTAGCGCACTGAGCTCTCCACAGCGGCACCTCTCAACCTACAGTTTCCGTATAGCGGCCCAAAAGCGAGTCGATCTCTTGCAGCTGGGCTGGCGTATGCAGACCTTTCCCACGTGCACCCATCGATGCGACACCCACCCAGACATGCAATATGGCAAATGCGTCTAAGCCTGGTACGGACAGGAAGTGTTGGAGCTCGTCAAAGGAGTGTATGCCATCCATCCCCAGTTGTTTTTAGTCTCGATCGAATCTGATATGAATACACCTGTTCAAGTGTGATTTCGGGTATCTGTATTGCAGGTAGTTCTTGGAATGAAACTCAATCAATGACAGAAACACCATCTTTGATATGGCGCGCCAGGGTGTTGTTGACGTGGCATGTATCCAACAGGTGATTGAGATCCTGGGTCAAAGTGATGTCGAACGGTAGTTGCAGGTCTGTTGCGGCCAGTAACTCGAAGCGGAGAGAAAGACGCGGTAATCCAAGGGCGAACTCAAAGAGGGGTAAAAAGTCCGTTGACGCGTGCATGAAGATGGGGTTGAGGAGAATGAGGAGCGAGCCCTTACAGACATGCAGCAACCTGCCGAAGGTGGCAATGTAGCGTGGCAGCCAATCAAAGTTTGTCTTGAACTAACTTCTTCGAGCAAGTACGGGAGGAACTCATGCCTGAGCGTCTGACGGACAGGGGAGATGTTTGTTAGCACGAACACCTCGATACGGTCACATCTATGGCAGTATTTGATTGAGTTTTTGGTAATCAGATAGCTGTATATCTTGTACCTGACCTCTTCCCCTTTGTCAGTCATAGCACGGAAGAGGCAACGGAGCACCAACCGTTTAGTAGATCGAGTAATCCCAGGCCCGTAGAACTCCGCTGAGAGACTTTGCTTGGTATTGCTGGTGTATACGAAGTTTTTGGGGGATGAGGACAAGCCTGCTAAGAACCTTGCTGTTTTCGTAGGCTTGAACTCGTTCCTAATGGTTTCTGAGCGCAGAGCTGCAGTTAAATGCCACTCTGGCCTGGATTTTGTAGAAAGATCGCCGTATCATCCTCGCACGTGTCGCTGAACAAGGGCGTTAGCTCATGCTCCCGCTTGCTAGCTGGAGTCTAACCTTGTGTCAGAAATACTCAAAAATAAGGAAAGTGGGTGCAGTCACGACATGCTGCAGTGAGAAGCAGTAAATGCACGCAAACCGACACAGGTCTGCTGTGAATGCATGCAGCACTCCAGGCAAAAGCAAATTTGAAGGTAAGAAAGAAGTGGCGTGGCTCCTCGATCAGACGCGTCGCGCTCGAGTGCTAGCGCGTGCATGTGACGTCACGCCTCAATCTTTTGAGGAAGGTACCAACAAGGCGCTCTCACTGCGAGCTGCGATCAAACAGTGGGATATACACGGTTACTTTCTGAAGGTGCACCGCAATCCTATCGTTCATGTCCCTATGTCGCGTGAAGGCATTTGGAGAGTTCTCAGATCATCGACTCAGCAAGCCCGACACATCGACCCATCGACCCAGCTGCAACTCGTCAGGACGTGTTCCACTTGAGAGGCCAGAGCCTTACTTTAAATCCTCCTTCATTTTTGCTCTTAACACCTCTTTCTGATCCTCATGCATATTCATCGTGTTTTCAAATGCTCTTGTGGCTGTGGTGGAGCAAGTGCGCCCTCAGCTGGCTCAAACCATGTACTCTTATCAGTCTTGGACCCGTCCACAATATCATGAACCGTTCTACAATCTTCGGGCACCCTTTCTTGAAATGCCTGGATCTGCTCAGGGGCTGCAACGTTAGGCTCATGAATGTCGTGCTGTGGTAGAAGAATGGTCGTACTGAGTCCTTGGGCAGAGATCACCGTTCGGTCTGCGGTCAACGAACGCAAGACACCATCTTCTGACATGTGTAAGATGCCCATGAGGTCGTATTTGAAGTCTTTCAAGATGCGGGTCACCTCCTGCTGATGAGGGTTGCTTCTGTCCCAATTTCCCCAATTCCATGACGAGGACTCTTCTGTTGACTTCTCTTCTGCCGGCTTTTTGGGCTCCGTCATTGTCAGTCTGGCTTTGTGGACTTTCTTCGAAGAAGGAACGGATTGTACAGAGCGATGTGTTCTTAAGCACAATGGATATGTCGAAGGTTCAAAGGTCATAAGAGGCCTTCAACGTCATCTTACACGAGGCCAAGTGGCAGCCTGATCCTGTCTCTTGGCTAGAACTTGCCTGACACAAGTTCAGTTGCAACAATGAGTGCATGGGATGCTTTGGAAAAAGAAAACACTGTCCTCCACGGCAATACTGAACCCATTGCTTCCAGTATGTCGTGGAGTCGGTTAAGGTGTGACACTCTGCAAGTGCAGGAAGCGAAAGGAGCGTCTGCGGGGAAGTGGGGTGTTTTCCATTTCGGCCTAGTGGCAAACCGCATGAGAAGGCCCACTGTCAATCTTACAGACGTTCTCTCTTCATCATGAAGCTGAGACCAGAAGTAAGGGCTTCACGGGAAGGAGCTTCGGTGTTTTCGGTGTCTCCAGTGTCTCGATGGAGAGTCACCGATACGTCGCCGTGCGGGACTGATCCCGGGGCCTGCGCGTCACCTCATTCGCATCCCGGATGTCGTCAACTGCGAAGCACCTCTCAGGTGCCTGAGCGCTCCCGACAACGGCCACTGATGAGACAAACTCACCACATTGTGTCTAAATTTCCGACCTTATCGCACTTAGCGGCGCAGTTCAGTGGAGTGACATCGCTTCCACGACCCTGCACCGAAGGCAAAAGCGCTTGCAAAGAGGAGATTGTGGAGGGTTGAACACTCGCGCAATCTGAAGCATGTATGAGCAATCCCGAAGCTTTCGAGAGGTTCTATTGCACAAGCTCGGACTGGCTGGGGACTACAAATGTAAGTCGCATGCAGCTACCATTGTCCCTATCAGGTCGACCAGCAAAATGACTTTCGAGCCTGCCACAGACAAGAAAGTGGATTCTGAAGTGTTGTCTAAGGATGACACGACTTCAAGCCAGTTGGACATCTCGACGCCCCAGACTCTGAAAACAAGAGAGGTACCATGGTACGCCTACATTTGGGATTACGAACCGGATCGTACTCACGAGGAGCGCGTATTCGTCTCCAAGCTCGATGCATACCTTATTACTATCCTTTCGCTCGGCTACTTCATCAAAAACCTTGACCAGACCAACATCAGCAATGCTTTCGTGAGTGGCATGAAGGAGGACCTGGCCATGAACGGCAATCAAATCAATTTGATCGATACCGCTTGGACCGTTGGCTATGTCGTTGGCCAGATCCCGAGTCAGATCATCCTCACGAAGGTCCGCCCATCGATCTGGGTACCTAGCTGCGAGCTGGTCTGGACGATGTTGACATTCACGCTTGCGGCAGCGAAGACCAGCAACCACGTCATCATCATCCGTTTCTTTATCGGTCTCGCAGAGTCCATCTTCTATCCAGCTGCTCACACCGTCCTTGGAGCTTGGTACAAACCGAGTGAGCTGGGCAAGAGAGCTTGCATCTTTCACGCATCCTCCGCTGTGGCAGCCATGTTTTCTGGCTACCTGCAAGCTGCTGTCTACAAGGGTTTGAATGGTGTTCACGGTTTTGCAGGTTGGCAGTGGCTTTTTGTAAGTTAGCCTAAACATCTTTATGCGGGTTCAGCTAAAATTTCTTTAGATTATGGACGGTCTCATAAGTGCTCCCATTTGTCTTGCCGGTTTCTTCTTGCTGCCCGATCTCCCAGAGAATACCCGCGCATTCTATCTGAGTGATAGTGTAAGCACTCTGGCACCACGATGTATGTATGCAGGCTAACAATTCCAGGATCGTGCATTGGCGAAGAAGAGAATGGAAACCGTTGGTCGCGCTCCGCGAAAGAAGTTGACATTGGCCACGTTCCGCAGGATCTTCAGTGAGTGTTATGTGTGGAATTATGCCGTACAGTACTAACAAAGTACAGGTCGCTGGCACATCTACCTCTTGACTATCCTGTACATCATCTTCATCAACATCAGTCCGTCTAGCAGCGTCAATCCATTTTCACTGTGGTTGAAAGCGAAGGGACTTCCTGTGTCAAAGATTGTAAGTAACTCGCTACGACTTTTGATCATGCACTGACTTTCCCAAGAACATTATACCTACGGGAAGCTACGCTATTCAATTGGTCTTAACTGTTTCTTTCGCCATCATTTCGGACGCCATCCGGCACCGCGCGCGTATCATGTCGATCAGTACGTTCCTCGGTGGTTTTGCTGCCCTCTGCCTTGCCATCTGGAACATCCCCACAGGGCTGAAATGGCTCTCGTTCTTCTTACAACGTGCATCGGTGCCATACGGTCCATTAAGCATGTCCTGGGCCAACGAGATTTGCGGCGCAGATGCAGAGGAAAGGACCATCGTCATCGGCGTTATGAACTCGATGGGATATGCATTCAACGCTTTCGTGCCGCTCCTTACCTACCCTCAGACCGACGCGCCAAGATTCCGGAAAGGTTTCATCTATTCGACATGTGGGTTTGCAGCACAAGGACTGATTACTGCAGCTGTTGCATATATGCAGAAGAGAGACGCGAAAAAGAAAGAGAAGGCAACCACCGGCGATGAAGAGGGAGTCGATGATGCTGTTCTGGTTAGTGCGACGAGGACCACGGATCTTTGAACAAGTCCTTCCGGCTCCTTTAGCATTCATTAGCAACTCTGCACCAACCGGGGCTCGAGACTGCTAAGTCGAGGTCGCTATCCTCATCTCCACAGCGGGTTTGTGGCAGTGCAAGACGTTTGAGCTGTCAGCCAAGTCCTCTTGCCGCAGGCCGCACGAATGACAAGTCCCAAGCGTGTGTTGGCATGTAGGTAGGGAAGCCAAGCGCAGTACAATCCCAGCGGAGAGTTATCGGCCAAGCTCGGCCGAGGAAGTCAGCCACACATCCGAGCCTTCCGCCCGTTATTCCGCTCTCCACTACTCACTGCGCCACCCTCCGCGGTGGTCATGCGCCACTTGTGCTGAAAAGCTTAGTTGAATAAGCCTTTGCCGGCTTTCCGTATGGCTTCATACAAACGACGCGTATCTAGATACCCGCTCGATCCGTATGTAGTATATAGGTCTTGACCGCCCAGCTGTGCTGAATCTGCAACCTCCATACCATCTACGTCAAAAGCATCATACTACATTCTATTAAGCTGCAGCCACATACATCAAGCAATACAACGATCACAACCCAATCACGATACAGCATGCCACTTACCTCATTTCGAGATGCCATCGGGCACGTTGAGAATGCCTTATACATGATGAAAGGGAAGAGAAACAATGACCAGAGTGACGGCATGGCGTATGGCAACAACTACTACCCACAATACCACAACTCAGCGCCCATCCCTCCTCAACATCCTCCCCCTCCACAGAACTACGGACAGCCTCCTTATTCACCACCAAATGGCTGGTCACAGCATTGGGATCACAACAGTCAACGGTATTACTACATCGAACAAGCCACCGGTCGCTCGCAGTGGGAGCCACCAGCACAGCAGTTCCACCAGCCCCCCAGGCCGACATCATCACACCAGCAACGATATTCGGGCGAGCAGATGCGAGGCAACAACTCTGGAGAGTACAACGCACAACATCTGAGGCCGCATAGCAATTCGAACGCTTCGCAGATGTCGAGGACTGGTAGCCCGTTGCCAAGAGCTATGTCCATTCCGCCTGGCTATTCGCTGGATACGAAGACTGGGCAGCTCGTCAATACTATGCTGCCGCCTGCGGGCCATCATAGTGCGCCTGTTAAGTATTGGTGAATGTAGGGGGAATGGCTATTGGGGAAGTGCTGAGGCTGCCCGCTGCATAAAGAGTAACTCCTGTTCAGTGTATTGCTCTATTTAATATAGTAGGAGGAGGGTTTCAACGGTCTCTATCAGTTGTGAAAACTCCTCTATCCGGCCTAAGTTAGTGCCTTTATCGTTGTCGTGCGTTGGGTTGCTCAGCTCATTCTCTCCTTGATACTAAATTCGGCGAGACCATGTCCTCTCAACCCTCCAATAGTAATTCTAGTATTCTCATAAATTTCTAGCTACGACGTTATTCTACTACGTAGCTTCTTGTCTTTTCTGAAGAGGATAATGACGCTCGCCGGCGCTAGCAGCTTTTGCAACGTCCAGCCTCACGTAAACCATCGGCTCCGTCGAAAGGCTTCCTTCCACATGTCCGGAAATTTTAGGCGTTAGCCACCTTCCTAGGCATAAAGACATCCAATAAGTGTATACAGTACCTGGATGCACGCTGGTACCAGCCAAGTATAGATCTGGTCTTACCCTTGCCTGTATCGGCTCCCAGCTTATTGTACGTGACTTCTTGACCGTCGGTTCAGGTGTGCGACAAGATGTCACACGGAGGAGGACTATCGTCGAAAGAAACCAGCTAGATCCTGATCTGCCTGCGGGCAGGCAGTACAGCTATGAGAGACTTAGGAATATGGTTGTCAAATAATATGCTCAAGTGCGAAAAGATAGAGATCGATGAGTAGTATGTTGATTCATCGATTGTACTACCTCTTCTTCTCTTGACTGAGTCCATAGAGCAATATGTACACACGCCAAGCCATTTGGTCGAAGTGAAGGTGGGACCTGAAAACGGGAGCCAGGAGTGGCCCAAACAGAACCGTTTTTGTCTCCATTTTCTATAAACATCGAATCGAAGCAGAGGCCGAGAAGCCCTGATCGAGGACATAAACTGCTGATTTAGCGGAATCGTCATCAGGATACCCAACATACCTCTTCTCTCATTCAACCACGCGCGAGGTTCAAAAGCTGCTCATTAGTTTTAGAATTCTGCCTGGTGTAAGTCCTAGTCGCGTTGAAGCGACATATATCCACCAGAAAGACGTAGCGCATGACACACAACCTCATTCAGACAAATGAGGTTTTGTGTGATTACAACTTGGCCATTGCCTTTCAGGATCTTGTGCTGATATCCAAGCAGTCGGCAAGGAAAGGCCTTGTCGCTAACCTTGACCTGGGTTCCTGTAGCTTTTGCCATGCAGCGTGATTCTAAAGGTCTAAGATGGCTGATATCAGGGCCATTTTACTTTGCCTCGGACCCTCTGAAGCCTACAGAGATTGTGGATGAGACAGTAGTGGGTCATATTGTTGTATTAGAGACTACCTGAACTACGAGATTGTGAAGGAAAACATCGCTGTGAAGGAGCTAGAGCCTAATGCGGACTAGCGGTAGATCCAAAGAACCATAGGGCTAAGGGAACGGTTTCCCTGGGCACTGACAGAGATCGTCTTGTTCGCGAATAGACAGGGGATTCTGGACGAAGAGTCAGTTGACGGCAATAACAAAATATTCGACAGCAGGACCGACATTGCGGCAGCCCATGTTGGACGCTGATGCACTTAGGGACAAATGGCTGCAGAACATGAGCACATCAACCACAGGTCTGTAGGTTTAAAAGGCTCGTAGAAGACTAGAAATAGAGGTAAGCGGTACCGTACAACGTAAAGGTAAGATGTCGTGTATTACGGTAATCAGGACTCAATGAAACCTGCATCAAACAGGGGACTGGTACTGGGAGTTGCTGAGCTCACCAAACGGGATACAGAAAACAGTAGGCCATAAGTGCTGTATCAGGCGCCAGTTCAGGCTACTACCAAAACAAACCAGTCGGCGTTAGCATAAGAATTGTTAGCGTATCGCCTCGAGCGATATTAACATCAGTACGTCAGCGGCGCCAACGTTATCACTCTAGTCAACCCTGTGGCCGCAACTCCAGAGAGAGCGATGCTACAGTAGAGTAAGCGAGCAAGTAGTACCGTCTTCACAAAGCCACCGCAATTCCACTAGGTACGGGAAGGAGATGTTCGGAGACGGTGAACAAAGTCGATAGTGGTGGCTTTGGCCGCGACGGTGTATCCGTACAGCCTCAGCCAGACCCTGAAAATGACGCTGCATTCCTAGGCCTACTTATAGGCTCGCAGTTGGTATTCATGTCTTCCGACAGTTACTGGCGAATCAGGTCAAGGAAAGTAGGCTGGTCGATCTCGAAGTACAACAGGAAGAGCTCCGGGCCAGCCTCCTGCGCGTTGTCGCGCCGTATCTAACCTCTTTCTTCTCTATATTTCTATACACCACACTCTACTTTTGGTTACCTATACGTTCGACGCTTGCCATTCAAACGGCTCGCATGTGCGACGTCAGCTATCGATGACGACTCGGTCGGAAATACTCACCTCCAACCCAATAGGCAAAGGGCTAGATAGCTTTCGTAATACTTACGCTTCAAATTCGATAGACGAAAGCGTAGACAATGAAGGTACTGTTCGTCTTACCCCTCGTATGAATATCCTTTAATGATAACAGGGCTAAAAATCACCATCCTCGACTTAATACTTGCCTTACTAGGCCTCCCGGCTTCTCGTTTGCTACCGTCGAAGCGCGGCGATGGAAACCTACTCGATGATTTGTTGTCGCTGAATTTGGCAGTCAATCGCAACAACCTCGACACTGCGCGGATCAGACCTCTCCTCGATGCGGTCCTCGACAAACAGCCTGATGAGGTCATCTGGGATGCTGTATACGACGCCGTCACCAAATCAACTCCCCCTCCCCGTCCTCTCTCGTCTACCCCACAAACGCCGTGGCTTTACAACACCAGCAGCTTCTCCAACTCGAACGAATACCGTAAATACGTGGATGACGTGCTGAAAGAGGAGCCGGGGGCTATGTACGTTGGGGTCCCTGGTTTCTTTGAGGCCTTCTTCGGCAACGTCGCCAGTCTCAAGCCAGCAGCACAGGCCGTATTCGCAAAATGCAAAGAAGGGGACAATCCACTGTACCGAGAGGAAAGCGGCTGGCAGGGTTGGCCTGAGGGGGCTAGGGAGCGAGATGTCCTGAGCTGGTTTGCAGAAACTACAGGCAAGTTCGTGGACTTGGCAAGAGAGTACCAGCCGGACTCTAGGCCTCGACGGCGACCGCTGGTACAACCTCACCAGCCCCTGCAAGGCTCCACAGCAGACCGCAAGTTGGATGTCGGCTTTGTGGACGACCCGAGCGCCGGCGCGGACTCCAAATACCACTGGAAGCAGATTCTCGTACCAGGAGAACTCAAAAGCAATCCATCAGCCGAAACAGCCTCCAAAACATGGCTCGACCTGGGACAATATGCACGAGAAGTCCTCGCCGCTCAAGACAGTCGCCGCTTTGTGCTTGGCTTCACATTGTGTGGATCGCGCATGCGGCTGTGGGAGTTCGACCGACTTGGTGGTATCGCCTCCTCGCAGTTCGACATCAATGAAGACGGGCTACGATTCGTATCCGCAGTGCTCGGGTTCCTCTGGCTGAATGAGTAGCAGCTTGGATTCGACCCTTCTATTATCACGGCTGGAAGTAGTCGGTACATCGAGATCGAACGGAACAATCAGAGAGAACGTCTCATCATTGAGGAGGTGATACAGCGGGCACCTTGCATCGTCGGCCGAGCAACAACCTGCTGGAAAGCCTATCGCGAAGGTGATGAGTCGCGAAAGCCCCTTGTCATCAAAGACTCGTGGCAGTTTCCAGAGCGTGAGGAGGAAGGCCAGTTGCTGTGCGAGGCCACCAATAAGGACGTGGTCAATGTGGCGAGATACTATTACCATGAGACGGTCTGTGTGGGCGGCCAGGATGACAACGTTCGCGCAAACGTTCGACAGAGCCTAGACACAACGAGAGCAACAAATTACATGCCAGAGAGCACACTGCCGCCTCCAAGCATGGCGGGACGTCGCGTCTTGCGGAAAGGCCGAAGCAGCAGCGCCGTCGGACAGAAGCGATCCTCAAGCTGCACAGAGGCGTCGCTGCCGCCTAGCAAGCGAACTTGTTCGAGCTCTCTGGTAAAAGGTGGAAGGGCGACAGCGGATCGAGTGCACCGTCGCGTTATTGTCCAAGACTACGGGAAGCCCATTTACAAGGCAAGTTCTAAGGTTAGCCTTCTGGCTGCACTGGAAGGCTGCATCGCTGGATACGAGTCGCTACACACGCGGACCAACATGCTACAATGTGACATCTCACCAAACAACCTAATGGTGAATGAAGAGGAGGACAACCCCTCCTGGCACGCGTTCTTGATCGACCTGGACCTTGCTATCAAGGAGAATCGCGAGAAACCGTCAGGGGCGCAAGGGAAGACGGGCACAAGAGCGTTCATGGCGATTAGTATACTTCATGACGACGAGCCACATTCCTTCATGCACGACCTAGAGTCCTTCTTCTGGGTGTTTTTTTTTGGATATGCATTCACTACAACGGGTCGCAGGCGAGAGTGGTCCAACAGTTTGACAAATGGAACTATGCGAACACAGAGGAGTTAGCCAAGCTGAAGCTGGGCACAGTATCAGATGATGACATCTTTCGCAAAACTACCCTGGAGCATTTCACGGAATATTACCAACCATTAATACCTTGTGTCAACAGATTGCGGAGGAAGGTATTCCCCGTTGGCAGAAGATGGAAGGATCCGAATCCGAAGCTGTATGTTGAGATGAAAGAGATACTCCGGACAGCACAGGACGAATTGAAGGGTTTAGAGTGAACGTGAGGTAATGGCTTTCCATAGATAAAACCGTATGGTTGGTTATGACTTAGAACCAAGCCCCTGCAAATGCAGGAGTCTACGTATTGATCTTTTGAAATTTGTGAACAGTGGTTCGACATTGGAGAATTGTGGTATATTTCTGGCTCTGCTATAATTAGCCTATCCTCCAGCGACATGCGTTTTCGGCGCGAAGTCGTCTTAACCTGCCCAAGCATGCTATAGCACCGATTTACCTCGCTCAGCGCCAGAATTGGTAACGTAGTTGAATGACATCCTGACAGACTGTTAATCAACCAATCACCCAATCAAAACGAGGCTAAGGATAGACTAGCATGAGAAACCAGCAGACGTAATCAAGGGTCGTGTCACGGTACCTCGCTTTGTTTTGAAACCCAGACATTGCACGTTCAACTGCGGTCTGATTCAGCATTAATGTTCGAGCAACAAATAACAATAACTAGTATTAGCCTAATCAGGTTGGAGACTAGATACAAGACGTAGTATGAAGAGTAAGAATGTAATGAAAACTCCTCTCGCTATACCTAAGAGCAAGCGCAGAGAATATATGGTCGCTGGGCAGGATCGTCGAGGTCAGAGGAGTCGAATGGGTTGCGAAGCCATCTGCCCATGGCAAGAGCAATTGTTGCGCAAGCACAATCTGACGGTCATAGATTGGGGAATCAGCACTCGTGTTGTACCAGTACATCAGTCACTAGATACCAGATGCCAATGAAAACAAATCTAATGACTCTTATTTGTCTCACCTACACCTCTACCAGTCGATACTGCGTCTCAAACGCCTTCCCTCTCACTTTCGGCCCTCGCTTTACATCATCATCTGTGCGCTTACACACGACAAACTCCACTCTAGCCTGCTGATTCCAAACACCCATCCTCGTATCCCAAACATCAACATCCACAACCCCTAACTGCTTCAAATACCCGTGCATACTCGGCGGCGCATGCCCTCTTCGTCTTGATACATCCCCAATAAAGTCCAGCTTCGCGTCCTCGCGAAACACCAAGTCCACGATCGTCGTAGTCCCATGTGGCGTGTGCAGCAGAATCTCCAAGAGGTCGTCAAGGATTGCATCGCCCCACGCGACAGCGTGACCCCAGAACATATCATCCAGTTCTGGCATGGGCCCGAATTTGTTTAGGAAGGTGCATTGCAGGTCCTTGTTGCCGAGAAAGATAGACAGGAGCGGGAGGATGTTAAGACGTGGTGGTTCGCCTCCGAGGGGGTATGCGAGCTCGATTTCGATCTTTTTTGGTCTCAGCGCGAAGCCATCTTCACTTTCTTCAATAAGGAAGAAGTCTTTCAGGAATCTAGACAGGAGCTGCTCATCGACACGGATGCGGTGGGCGATGTGCGATACATAGAGTGGGCCAAATTCGTGCCTTGTCGTACGACAGCATTGGTTCAAGGCATAGACCTCGCCACGGTGCGGATTTTTCTTCCTCCAATGGCTTGAAAACTCGGTTCGAAGCCTCAGGCGAATGGTCTTTGGGCCGACATTGGTATCCACATCCTCAATCAGGTGTGCGTAAATTTCGTTGCGTATTTCTGTGTTGTTGTTAGTAGATTAATGCAGTTTTCGTATGATAGCAATGTGACTTACCTGCAGGAAGATCTAGGAAGCCTATCTTTGGTTTGAGGGTCATTTTTGGGGTTATTTACTTTTCAGGGTTGTGTCAACACGGGGTGATTGCAAATGGTCGTTCATATGGATGCCTGATGCGGGGGTAAAAGTGGGGCTATCTCGCGCTAGTGCGGTGTGGCTGTTGCCGTGACGTCTGGCAACCGCTCTTCCTCTTGCTCCAACAAGGCCGTCAGAACTATCACGCGATGGATGCTGCAAAAGAAGGAGCTTTTTCTTGTAGTCTTCGGCCTTCAAGATGTCTGTTCTTGTCACTTCGGGCGAGCTGCGCAATCGCATCTACGACTACTGCGTTGAGTCAGGACCGATCACGCTCCCGTTCTCGCGTCCATGTTTTGGAGGTCTCAGATATGCTTGCATGATTCTATCCATCGAATACACACCTCTGTACCTGGCCAGGACTATTGTCTTACTCCAGCCTTCAGATGTCGAACGATATCACGCTGTGTTCTACCCGAACCTACAAAGTTGTGGTTAAGCTGCACCGTGGTGTTCTTTTCGAAAAGCTTCCCAATGATATGACCGACTTGAATCCGCGACAATGGCTCGTTTGATAAGGGATGCCAGCTCTGAAGCATCTTAAGATCGTGATGGAATCATCTAAGGGAGTACTGCGAGATCCGTGTGCAGCGGGCTGGCTAAGAACCTCTCGAAACGTGCAACAGCGTCCCTTGGAAGAGGTCGATGACAGCCCGCAAACGAAGCTTCTCAGAACGGAACAGTGAGACGTATTCTGCCAACTTATACTGTCGAACACTGTCCTGGCATTACGTTCATCTACGAAAGGGCTCACCTACCAACCAAACGGCACTAACGTTTTCGAGTCGAATCCTTAGTCCTGGAGCCTTGCAGCCACGCAAGCACACCCACGGACATAGTTCATCCTTCAATTTCCATAACCGCCGCGTTAAACATGAGCAGGTACAACATGAGGTATGTGGATCGTACAATCACCCATGGCTAAACTTACAGATACAGTGACATTAGAAGCAAGGGTAACGGTGCAAACGTTGACTTCGAGCGGGTGCGAGTACCACGTCAATAGCAGCCATTGAATTTGCCACAAAGGTCCAGCGATCGGCACTCCTTGTACTTCCTGGCGGTGCGTCTCCCTGACATTAACCAAAAGGTGTTTTGCTGATCAAATGCTTTAGAACTACGCAACAAGATCTACGACTTCTGTGTCGAGGATGGTCCGGTCAATGAAAACGCTTACCAGCATCGAAAGCATCATACAACACGAATAGCGGTATTCTACGGACTCACTCAAGCCTGTCAAATAATACGTCAAGTATATCGCTTGCTTCATATGCACCGGACGACTACAGTCTTTGTTTCAGTCTATGATATTGATCAGTTCATCCAAGCCTACCATCCACGGCGTAACGAGGAAGATCACGCTACCTGGTTTGGCAACTACAGAAATCAGGATATCTGTAACTGCATGAGCAGTGTCGGTTGGAGGCTGTGGTCAATGATTGAATTACTATCTGTTGTTCGGTGGTGTCGGTGTACAGGAGCTCTCGGCTCAGAGGTAAGTGCACTTGCCCTTGGGCAGTGCCTTCCTCAATAGAATATCATGTGACTTAGGCCATGTAGTTACAATATCTTATTATGAAGAAGATGTAGATTGGGATCTACTGCCCACCCTTCGCTGGATTCATGTTGCAACACGTCCTAACATTCAACTCTGCTTAGACGTTGCTCCGGACTACTGGTTAGGAAAACTGCTAGCGCAGGCTAACGCGTTATTTGCGCACGCGAGCAAGTCAATGATGGTGACCTGGTCAGATTATACGGTCGACCAGATCGCTGCCGTTCGTTTTATGCGTAGCGATCAAGCGACGCTTACTTTTCGTGTATCCAAGGAAGTAGCTTTTACTGCGGAGGACTGGTGGAAAACGTGGGACATGCCATATCAGGATCAGTTCACTGTCAAGTTTGAATATGGCAAGACCTTCACGAGTCGTCCCTTGGAAGCGTGCAATGGTGCATGGCAAAAGAATCAGATTGAGATTGAATCCATCCAACATACAGTTCATCTTCTCTCGAAAGCGAAATTGCGTATCTTGTGGTTTCGATGGGCCCATTTCAGGGCGTGGAGGTATTCAGGTTGTCTGGTCGTCACAACATGTTGCCATTAACGCCTTTTGGAAGCGACTGATAGCTTAAACTCACTTTTCACATCAATTATAGTATCTCTTGGAGGTCTTGTGTCTTTGCGTACATCCGCGCTCTAGCCTAAGGAGTGCCATTGTCAGCTTCAGTGACAGGATGCTTTGCCCAACGGCTCACTATCAGTACGACGGCAATAACACGACGACTTGACATCAACATCGGAGAGCGCAAGAGCCAGCTTCAGAGACTGTTGAACTATTCTCGCCTCAGCCGTCCTTCCCAGCCTGACCAAACACTCATGGTACCCATGCAATGCCCAGACATTGTTCGGATGCTGACGACCCCTCGGAATGTTCTCAGCGAAGCCTAGATCCTCCGCATAAGCTCTTGCCGCCTCTTCAATATGACCCTGCTCCAAAGACAGCGCTGCGTATGCGTGGCGAGCAGGCTGCATCCATCCCCAGGGCTCGCTGAAGACAAGACCATCATCGAGTTCGATTGACCTTCGGAGGTGAGCAAAAGCAGCGTCGTAGTTCTGGCGACGATAATCGATTTCGCCATTCAACATTGCTTCCGCAACTTCCAACACGTCTATGCATCTGTTCGGGAAGTCCATGCGGGAAGCCGGTACCTGGGCTTTGGCTTGCAGGAATGCTTCCTTTTCTACCAATGCTTTCGTGACATCTCCTTTAGCTGCCCAGGCTACGCCCTTAGCATAATGGAGAGATGCTGTCTTGACGCAGTACAACTTTTGGTCGTCAGGAAGTGGCAAATTCAAAATGTCATCGAACCGTCCGAAGCGGATGAGCACGTGGACACGAACAGAAAGGAAGGACTCTACCCAATCTGCCATCATTGGTGATTGTATACGCAGAAGGTCTTCAGGAAGATTTGCCTCCATCTTGTCGACGGCTTCGATGGCAGGCAGGTAGCGACCAGAGTGCATTGCGGCGTAGATGAGCGAGTGATAATCGTGCATTCGGTAACGGATATAGAAGTCGTGGGTGCGACCAGTGTACTCGACAAGCTTCTCGTTGGCTTCACACGCTGCGATGTTTGCTGCAATGGAGGCATTGTAGTCTCCAATAATCACATCAATGTGTGAAGGCATGTGGTGCAGGTGACCGGCGCCACCAGCCAGTTGACGCAACCGGTTTGCAGCCGGAAGCGCACGTTCCGGCCTCGTAGACATCTCCGTGTGGTGAATGTACATGTGTAGTAATCCGATGTGATCGAAGCCGCCTTCTTGAGCCAAAGCCCGCTCAAGAACGGCTTTTGACTCAAGAGTACGAGCAAGAGGATTCGGTGCACCGGTCTTGACGTCCCACTGTTTCCATGGAGCCAGGTTCATCAACGCATCTGCATACAAGCATGCGACATCAAGATCATCTCCAAACTCGTCGTAGACCTTCTTCATAGCATCCGCATAGCCCGCGTTCCAGGACCCAAAATCTTCGTCTGGGTTGTTGTCTCTTGGAAATCGATACAACAATGCAGCGATAATTGCCTTCTCCACGGGAGGGTGCGAGACAGACAACGACTGAGCTTTTATGATGGCGAAATGGCTGCGTTTGATAGTTTCCTCTAGGTCTTTTCGTTCAAACAGTCCCCAGCTGTAGTTGTAGTTTGGTCCGTTGGAGTATGCTCTGCCCCACCATGCCATTGCGCAGTCCTCATCGGCTTCGATAGCCTTGTCGAAGCAACTCGATGACTCGGGATGGTTGAATGAGTAACACCAAGAGAGCCCATGGTTGAACCATCGTTGCGCCGCAGGATTGGATGTCGTTATCGGACGTGAGAACGGAGGCATGACCAAGTAATCTTTGAGGGTTGTAGGTAACGACTCGCTTGGTGCGAGCGGTGGAGGAGTGGCGGATTTCATAGTTTGGAGGTGGTCGGTGACTGGAGCGGTGTTTTCTAGATACAATTCCAGGCTGGTAGAGGCCTTCAGGCTTTTATATGATGTCCCTCTAGATCAGATGAACGTTGCATCGTAGGGCACGGGCCCTCGGTACCATGTCATCCGTTAGGTGCGTCGTAGGACCAATGTACATCGGTGACCTCCATACTTTTGTTATGTCAGAAGTCTCCGCCTCCATTCAATAGCCATGATTGATAGTCTCCGAATTCCCATGTTTCGCAATCATGGAAACAGGATCCTTTCATCAACAGGGAAATTCAGGATCAACAGGCGGTGCGGCCGAGCCATGTCGAACGAAGCCATGTTCACTCCGTCTCATGAATATCCTAGCAGATATGGATGCAAGAAGATATCTGTGCACCTTGCAGGACGGGGTAAGTATTGAGGTGTGAGTGAAAACCTGAAGATATTCGAGGTGGCAAAACAACGGTGTCTTCGGAGTGTTCGGCAACCAGGACGCCGCAAGACGCGGACGCTAACGGTACTGAGATGTTGACGTCCCTGAAGACCGTTAGGATATAATGCTAGGCTTCGACTTGAGGGCGAGGGTGCGTGAGAGTGTGATTGCCCGCACAGTCCACAAGCCTATTTTGCGCTAGCGATGGGCTAGTGATGCGCTAGCGTTACTAGCCCCGTGCCAGCGAGAAGTCGAATGACGCCAGCTCCGCACTCGCTCTTCCCCTCCTTTTCGAGCTGCTGAACGCCGTCCGGTGACCTTTCGGCTTACACGCTTTGACCATCTTTCTTGCGGCATTTTCAGCGGCGTCAGCGTTCTCCGAACCTTCTTACACTCTACACCCCTCTACCGGGCGAAATGCAGCCCCGCCGAAGACTCGAGATCCCACCAGTGAAGGCTGCCTGCCTAGCATGGTACGCTTGGATTTTGGCTAAGTTCTGATGATACTGATGATACTGATGAAAGTCCAGCCGCGCTTCGAAGGCTCGCTGCAACGGTCAGAACCCATGCAACCGAGTGAGTAACCTGCTCCTTACGCATTGGGCGGCGCACTCTCGTTGGCACACATCTTTGGATGCAGCAACTGTCCACTCTAGCTTTGAAGGTCTTCAGTAGATCCTGAGATGTCGCCTAACACGGACAAAAGACTCTGTAGTCCTTTGTGTATTTGTTAGTTCACAATGCCACAGCGAATCTGCTTTGACAGCTTCCCGCAATCTTAAGAATTGGCACCTGCTGCATCCGGCTTTGCCTGCAACGCAGAAGGGCGTAGCGCCTCAAGATCTGCTATGCTGACGTCTACAAAAGTGTAGTGTGAACGGTAGATCTTGTGACTATCTACCTAGTCGAAGAGGACGAGTGGTCCGAGCACCGGTGACACCGCCATCGACAAGCAATTCATCAGGGTCGCCCACAAGCGTAGAAGGCTTGACCGGCGGTGGTTCGAACAAAAGACCAAAGATATCCTCCGGCCCGCAAGGGTCGTTGCATCAACCCAACGAAAATGGCTCGATAGGTCTCCGGCTTCACAGAAGCAACCAAGCAATGTATGCTCGAATGTCCGTCTGCCTCTCTTGACTCAGATATCCTAACACCTGACAGCCTCGATGCCTATTATTTGTTGATACATCCTTGCTATCCGGTCCTGCCTCCCCCAGTTGCGACTCTTCTAGATAAGCAGCAAGCTCAGTCTGCAAAGGAGGGCGACGTCTTTTACCCAGAGTCGCCCCTGCTCCATGCTATTGCTGCACTTGTCGCTCTGGTACCGAGGAGAGTTGAACATGATCATGCAGCAGTTCAGGCACGGGCAGCACGCCATGACTACGCTGAGCACTGCTCTGAATTGGCTTTGAGAGGTATCGACCGTGATATGGATGCGTCCGGACCACTGACTCGAAGCCGTTTTCACCAAGATGTACCTGTCCGCTTTGAAAGTACAATTGCAAGTTTTCTCGTCGCCGTGTACGAGTACAACTATCGCGGGAGCATGATGAGAGCGCGCACTCGGATGGCTTCCGTCATCACGATGGCCATGGATCTGGGACTGCACGACCTTGGCCTTGAAAGCACAACGGACTGTGAATGCAAACAGAGGACTTGGTCCATGATAGTGAGCTATATTAACTGCCCCTTGGCGTTGTCAATCTGACAGAGAGTCCAGCTCTTCTTCGCAAAGAAGCTATCAATTATCCATCATCTGGTAAAGACAACCCAAAAAAACTAGCAGATGGGCCGCCACTAACAATTTAGTACAGCCGCCGCTGATGGCAATCGGTGATCCAAGGTTCAAGACACCTTCACCAACTCTGAACGTCATTCCAGAAGTAGGTCTTCCCACTTAGAGCGTCGAATTTCTACGCTGACGAATGTAGCCCTGGGGACCCATATTAGGGGCACAAGACATACTTCTCACCTCTCAAGCACGGCCTCCAACCTCCAAAGACCTGGAGATACTCGATCTGACCGTGTCTTCATACATACAAGATCTAGATCGTCCACTTACTGGTCGAGAGCCTAACGACGCTGAAGGACTAGCAGCTCACAACTGGTGGGCGGTCGCTCGTATCGTCGTACACAGGTATGTATTGCTCTCGTCTCAGAAAAAAGCCAATCGGCTAAGGATGTTCAGTGCGCGGATAAAACTGCACCGACTTTCAGCGTTCGCTGATATACCAGCGTTCGTGAACAAGCACTGCGACATGACTGCACTGCATGACGCGAAATACTTCCCTATGCCTAGCACGAACTGTCATGAGCTTCCTTCTCCGGAGTCACTAGCAGACAGTCCGAAGGCTGATGAGTGGCCAGCCGCTGAAGCTACTGGTCCGTTCAGCGCACAAGGTTCAGCTGACATCTGCCTGAAGTCTGCATTCGTTGTACTACGGATGTTCCGATATTTGACAGAAGTTCTGGTGGACAGGCAATTACAACTGCCTGGACTGCACGACGTTAACGAAGATGAAAGACGAGCGATCGGGCCCTCAGTACCGATCACAATGCCGCTTATGGCGTGCAGCGCAATGCAAGCATGCTATGTCATGGTCATGACTTTGTACAGGGTCAAGTTCACGCTGGTAACTAATCGAACATTTGGAGAGGATTCAAGCGTGCACTCCGACCCAAATTTCCAGGATACCGAGCGCTTAGTTGAGGAGCTGAGGCACGGTGTAAAGGACACTCTACACATGCTGGAGAAGTACCAAACTGAGTTCGCGCATATCAAGGCTATGTACGAGGAGCTTAAAATGGTCTACCAGGTCGCGTTCGTTGACGTCTGAGTTGGTGGCTCGAATCATACTCCTGCATAAGGAGAGACAGCCTCGCCGCGAAATCGGCGTTCAAAATCTCGAACACCGAAGTGGGGCGACTACAGCCCGCGGATAAGACGAACTAGTGGATACTAGCTTACTTCATCAATCTTGATATCTTCGCACTTCTCCAATTCTCTCCGGCTTGCTCACCAAATCAGCCACCATGAATCAAAATTCCCATGCTAAACCGCCTCCAACAATGGACAGACCGAACCTATTTCAAGTCATTTTGGGTCTCCTCGAGCCCTGGCAATTCATGCTAGTCGCTTGCTCCTATATCCCCTCCACTATCTCCCATCTCTACGCCACCTCCAGTCTTTCCTCCCTCTTATCCTGGGATGCTTTCCAAAGTGCCTGGTTCAGCAAATTCTGGGCCTGGGCCGGTCCACGCATCCGCGAAGGCAATGGGCCGCGCATCACTGCTTTACTCGAAGGAAGAGTCACCGGCGCTCAGGTTGTTGATGAGGTGGTGGGTGAGCCGATTAGCGGGGTAGTGTTCGATATCGGCCCAGGCTTGGGATATTGGGTCGACTTGTACGCCCGAACAGATGTACCCATCAATGACGCAAGTGACAATGTGAGGCAAAGAGGTGGAAAAAGCAAAGGCATCACAAAGGTTTATGGCGTCGAGCCCAACGCGCAGTCACACCCTGGACTCCGAAAGCGCGCGAACGCGGCAGGACTTGATGGCGTGTATGAGATTTTGCCGGTGGGCATAGAAGATATTGCCGGAGAGACGGTTGTGAAGAAGGGGAGTGTGGATGCAATTGTCTCGCTGCTCTGCCTGTGCAGCATTCCCGAGCCAGAGAAGAACATCAAAGAACTACACAGTTATCTGAAACCAGGCGGTAGATGGTATCTCTACGAGCATGTGGTCGTCAAGGGCTATGGGCCGATGCAACTGTACCAAAGTAGGTCGCTTCTCTAGTATCGGATTGGGGAAAAGCTAATGATGACTGTCAGGATTCGTCAACTTGTTCTGGCCACATGCACTTGGCGGTTGCCAATTGTGCAGGGATACTGAGAAGACGCTGCGCGAAGCTGGGCCGTGGTCGAAGGTGGATCTCAAGCAGCCGCCCATAGAACCGTGGCATGCAGTCGTTCCGCATATCTTCGGAACATTGACGAAGTAGGCGCAGGTCCACTTTATTGAGCGACAAATTTCAAGCACAACTTTGAATTCATCTGGCTACGACAGTGTATGCGTTGCAGGAAAGAGTCTGCTGATGGGCGCTCTGTGTAACGAGAAATGTTTGGTTCAATGGTTTATTGGTAACAACTTGCTCGATGGTGCGGCGTTCGGTTGCTATCAGTAAATAAGTCGTATTTGAGGGACCTCCTACTGCAAGGCCCGGGGATTCCGAACAGATCTACTCTCTCCTAATCCTTTCTCGCGTAGCTTTTTGCTGGGCATAAGTATCGACACTTGCCCTCTCCAGTCCTTCGGTTCGGTACTTCTACCAAGGCAATACCCATCCGAGGGTCTTCCTCGTCGCCATCCACGACCTTGATATCGCGTCCAGTGCCTTCCCAGTCCCAATCTCAGTAGTGGCATAGCAATGATGATATGCTAATTTGCAAACTGTGATTACCCCATGGTAAGTTGTGGTGATGAACGACAACTTCAACCTTGCAGGGCGTTCGTAATGCAGTCAGATGAAGATGGACGCTGGTTACCTTCCTGAATAACCACCAGTAAGTCGATGATCGCTCCGGCCCGTCACGTAGCCGGATGTCAGAGCCGATCATTGTGAGGAGGTGTGTGTAGACGTGGACTCTGTCCCAGCGCCCACTATCTGGCTTGTCGACCTGTACCTTGACCTTTATGGAGCATGCGACTAGCTGTAGTAGTGGTAGTCGGTCGACCGTGTGCCAGTAGTTGCCGGCGCTCACTCTAGAGCGTGATGATTGCGACATGCTGGCTCATGTCTTGAACTGGTCGTGTCTTGACAAATGTGTTGAGGTTATTGTTGTCCTGTTCAATCGTGAGTGTCATCTCTTGATGCGCGTATAAGAGATGTGTGTCGCAGCGGAGCATTCGACAGGTTTACATAAGCGTTCGAGGGGGGTGCGTTTTCGAAACATAGGCCTCCTTGTAGACACGAGAAATCGGAGCGGTATCGACGCTGTACTTGTATATCATGTTGCGAATCTCTAAGATCATGTCAGATTCAGATCAACACGGCTCGAATATGTTTTCCTACCTCCAGAGAGAGTGAGGATGAGGGTTTTCCACCCTTGGCGAGCACCGATATACCCTGCTGGTTCTGAGCGGGACGGATTCATCCCCGCGCATGTATGGCTTGTCTGATGTTAGCTAAGATCTCTGGTAATGGGAAGAGTGCGACGTATGCCACTTAGGGCAACTTCTCTGAAAATACATATGGTGCCATTTTGGTGGATAGTGAAGTGGGTGTTGAGGCAGTCGTGTCGTCGGGGGCGCGACGGGGATAATAAAAACTAGAGAGGCAGATAAATCTTCATGATCTTTCTGGAAATGCACAAACCCTCTGAAGACCCCGAATAAAGAATGAAAAATTGTCTTACATTGTGGAGGTACACACAGCGTTGAGCATGTTATAACCAGCAGTCTATCGCTGAAGAGATGACAACGGTACGAGTCCGCGCCACACTCTAGTAGACGTTGTATTCAACGCCGCCAGACTCTTAAACTGATTCAGTGAAAGATCTTCACCAAGGCCTATAATGTGATACTGATAGCAATGAGTCTCCTGTATCCACTCTCACATTACCTGTTACTTTGATGATCTGCCCTCACACACGACCTAATTTCCCCTTTTCACAAACTTCGCAAGTATAATAGTTGCTGAAATGTACAGACCTCCCTGAACTTGGTTCACTACTGCGACAGACTTACATTATGTAAGAATGAAGGCTTCTAAGTGGCTGTTACTATCTTGGTTGACAGGAGAGACAGTCTGGTACATGTCCTGCAGGGCAACAACGTGGTGAACGGCCACTCACAAGGCTATCCGCCCTCGTGAACCACGGTACTTACCTACTGTATGCGTCACTGTACCGAGGTTAGGGGATCTGCACATTTTTGCAAGCACCGATAGTGGCAGAAACGACCACTCATACCAACAATGCTGGCCTCACGCCCTGACGACGTCCTCAACACCCCATTCGTACTCCCAGGGACCCCATCTCTCAGTTCCCCACTTCCTCTTCATCGGAAACTCCATCCTCGTGTTCCACGCCTCCATCTCGGGCATTGTATATCTGGACCTCATTCACCACTCCGTCGTCGCACGCTTCACGACGACCTTCACACTCGGCTTGAAGTTCGGCGTGACGCATAGTTCCTTAATATGACTGTCGAAGTAGTAACTCCCTTTCATCTGGCTGTGGTGAGACATGCTCAATGGCGGTGCGATGAGGTCGTTCAGAAGATCCTGCACCCGAGTCACGTGCTTCGACGCGTTCCACACATGCTCTGTTTTCCTTTCCACCGGTTTGACCAGGACTTTGATTGTTGAGTTCGGTATGACTTTCAAGAGCTTGAGCAGCGGTTATACATTGATACTTGCGGCAGTGTTATCGGTGAGGCTAAGCGTGACTGAGTTTGGACCAAGCTTTGCTTTTTGTGGAAGGAGGAAGGAATGAGTAACGGCTTGGATGTCGGAGAAGCGGATATGTGGTGCGATGCTGGAGTGGTAGATAGGGAGGATCTCGGCACGTAATTACTGGTTGGCGTGTGCTAGGGCGCAGAAGCCGTGATATTGATGTGTCATTCCATCCTGTGTGAGGGCATGACCGGTGCGACTGAGCTTGATGGAGGCCTCGGTGTAAATCATACTGTAGACGATGTTGTGGAGCTCTATTGTGGTTAGCAGTGTCTCTGCTCGAGAAATTTTCGCGATGCGTACCGGCTGGAAGGTCTAAAAACCTAAAAACCTTGTGGTGTTTCTCGATTTGCGATTGCATCTTGTATGTTCAAGTTGTAAAGTTATCACTTGAGGGGCTGACTTTGAAAGGCGGAGTTTTGGTGATGTGGTTGTTGTTGCCAGGTCTGCTCGAGAGAAGATCGATATTCTATAAAGCAGTTCACATAAAGCTAAGCGATCCAGTAAAGACGAGCCTCGTTTTGACTCTGACCTCCAGGGTCCAATCTCACGAACGAACGCCCCAATACTGCGCATCCCCCCAAAAAGGAAGGCCTGTCTTTGCAATCCACTTCGGCGCTGAGCTGTATGTCTCTTGTGTTGGCAATCCAGGCGATCCGGACACCCGATGTGGAGCATCACTGGCTGTAGAATGATGGAGTGATGCAGTCGTTGTGAGGAACTAACTGTCCAGCAAAGATTGGGCGCCCTGGTTGTCTAATGTTAACGGAGTGGTAGAGGACTGGAGTGCCTAAAATGAGGGGGGAGCTGGCCGCAAGCCACGTGCGCCAAGAGAACAACGATGGGGTGACGGAAGGTAGCAGCCACAAAAGAAGCTACCACAGTGGAGCAGTCACATAAAGGTCGGAGCCACCAACTCCTAGTTTAGGAGTTGCAACGACCACGCGAGGAACGTTGTAGTCATCAAACAGACACAAATCATTGAAGAAGCTGAAAGAAATTACATTAGACCCAATGCGCTCCTATATAATGCTATTATCCGCACAAGTAAATGGCCCATTAACCGTCTGGTTTGGATCCGCAAAAATCTCCAAAAGTGTCTTGATACTGGCGTACATGCCCGGAACCATCAGGAAGAGCACTAGTGCAAGGATGAACACGTTCAATCCTGCGACAGCCAACTTCTTTCCGCTGCTGCGCCACTTGCCGTGCCAGTTGAGGTGGAACCAGAATAGCACTGTAACACCCCAGGTAAACCAGGATAACAGTAGGGATGAGCTGATATTGAGCAAGCTGTTGAAGACGGGGATAGCGTTGGCGAGGATCCAGACGACTATCCAGAAGAGACTGACGCTGAACAGCCAGATGCCCCAATCAAGCTTCTTCGAAACTGGTGGCACGGAGACAGACGAGCGGCGGCCGCGGCTGGGGTCTGATGCGATACTGGGACGGTACCTGGACGAGTCTTTGCGGGAGAGTAGGGTGTTGATGTGGCGGAGGAAGACGACGTGCAGGTAGCGGGCGCTCGTCATGCCGAAGATGAGACCTGTGCCGAGGAGTCCGATGAAGGAGACTGCGTACGCAACCTTAGCCATCGTGGGTTGCAGGGAGCCGATGGCAGGGGAAGCGACCTGTTCGCCGGAAAGAGCGTATACGGTGGACGCGACGATGATGTAGATTGTAGTCGTGATGCATTTCTCGATCGTGACGGCGCGGGGGAAGTCGCGGGAGGGGTTCTCCATTTCTGCAAGGACGGTGGGAAAGGCCTGGTTTCCGGCAAACGCAAAGGCGATGTTGAGGAATGCGGAGACGGCTTGAGTGAAGTTTGGATTACCGATGGCTTTCAGGTTGAGAGGAGTGTTGATGTCGCGTGGTCCCTGGACGCCGAGCGTGATCATGACGAGAAGGACGGTGATGATGATGCTAGCTGTGCATGGCCAGGATGCCCAAGATACGAAGCGCATCGAGCGTGGGACGCACAGCGCCCACATTGCGACGGCAGCGACAACGGTGTACGCAACCGTGCAGGTTGCGTGCTCCGAGACGGTGTTGAGGCCAATGGTGAGAGTAACGAGCGCCGAAGCAGAGATTAAGGCCATGTTGATGAGGAAGCCAACAGCGAAGATTGCCTCGACCCAGGGGCCACCAAGGACGCGGCCATAGTCGACGATGTTGAGCATATACGGATGTTTTCGCCAGTACTGAATAAGATTGTAGGCTGTGTAGAGGGAAAGCGCGCCAAGAACGACGATACAGAGGAGGCCAGGAAAGAAGCCGAGGACATTGAGTGCTGATGGCAGGGAGAGCATACCGATGCCTACCTCGTTTGTGACAAAAATGATGACAGCTTGTGTTGTTGTGAGTTTTCGTGCCGAAGTGTCAGCTGCTGGGCGTGCATTTTGGACGTCTGAGACGTCGCCGAGTTGTGCGTCGCTGTCGGATGGTGAGTCGTGCTTCTCGTCGTTGGCGAAGCCATGGTTGCGTAGAGAGTCCTCAGGATCGTGTGTTGCGTCTGCTGCAAAGGGAAGCATTGGTTGGTCTGCGGAGATAGGTTTGCTGCTGGGCTTGTCGCTTGGTGTTACAAGCTTTTCGGTAGTGTCTTGGGGTTGCCGCTTGGGATTGTCGCTGAGGGTAGTATCGATATCACCATGTCTGTCCATGTTGAACGTGTCAATGGCTCACTGCTATACTTTGGTTGCTATGACAGTAGTGTTTGGTTGGTGTTGACTGAGACGAGAGAGATCAATGGTTGAAAGAGCACACGAGCGATTTGAAAAAATTACTGCGGAGCCGCACATCACTGTGGAGGTGGAGTTTAGAGGCAAGTGCAGAATTACGTAGTGTTACGCTGGTTGAAACTCAGTCGCTGTAGCGTAGGTGGGCGTCCTTGAGGGCGTACCCGGTAGACCGGTCACGAGGCGCTAGGCGCAACGTGCAAAGGGTCCTTTAGCTCAGTCCCGGATGAATGAGGCGATGGTAAATTTTTTTTTCCATTTCAGGCACGTGGACCATCTGAGGGTGAAGAGTTGACATGGCAATGTCGAGAAGCGGTGCAAAGATCTGTATGCCCGGGATTGATGGACTTCGAGGTCAACCTAATCTTTCGATTCGAGTCCATGTTGGTTGTTCGACACAAAAAAAGCCTTGCCCAACAAGACGTTGCTCTTTAGAAGCTCGCAGTGGCGGGAAGGTGCTGCCGACGAAACGGTAGCACTTGAAGCCTAAACTTTCACATTGTCGCTCTGAAAGTGCTCGCAGCTCGAATTGTCGCGCAAGGTACATGGCGTTGGAGATGTTGCAGTGGGTTGTTTGTCAATCGTTGATGTGGGGCCTGTTGTGCGCATCGTGATCCCATAGGGAGCGCTGTGCATCTGTTAGTGTCAGATCAGAGATTTGACATGGCAAAGTTGACGGATCGCCAACCCGTCAGGCGGTAAGTTGGCAATATATCGAGTCAGTCTGTCAGACATTGAAGATGGTAAGGAGTTGCCATGACGCGCGGAACCTCAAGGCAGGAGATAAGCATCGTGCTCCTCCCACTGGTCGTGACAACGTCTGCACCACCACCACCAGAGCTCCCCTGGAGACACTGGCGGTCTTCGCAAAGACGAGTAGCTCGAATTGACGCTTGGACAGCATCGGCGAAACGATACGAGGTGTGGCAGTGAAGATTCAAGGTGACACGGCGGGTGGCTGCTTCCCGCACCCTTCGACGCTAGGCGCCGTTTAGCCGAGTGCGTGGCTTGGCGATATCGATACTACGTCAATCATCACCAAAGAGCGACCACTCAGGATGTAACAAGCATGCGGCAGACACTCTTGGCGGGAGGGAACGCGTCCGCAATTCCTGCGACGTGAAACTTCGTTTCGAGATGCTACCACCCTGGCCTTGATGGCGGTGATTGTCCCCACACCAACCCTGGAGTAGGCGGGTACCACTCTGACACGCGCATCCCTTTCGCTCTACACTTCCGCGCTTAGACCTGCTTGCTGCATTGCATAGCATCTTGACTTTTCAGCGAGCATTCCATCATTTGTCTTGCATTTGCAGGTGTCTTTCCTTCGAGTCTTCCGCGGGCTTCCTCCTACCAGGTCGCTCCTTCCTTCGTCAATCTCGCCTTCTCCACAAGCAAACACAATGATCACCCGGACCTTCGCCCTTGTCGGGCTGTATGCCTCCACAGCGCTCGCCGTCTGCACCAAACTCGAGGACTGCCCACAGTACGAGACGCTCAAGACAAACGATTGCCAGCAATACCACCACTTCCTCCTCCGCGGCTCTACCTCGCCGTACCCTGGCCATGTTATTTCGACAGTGGCCAAGGTCTGCGACAAGTTCAACACCGAGAGCACACCCCATGCCTGCGGATATGAGGACATCGAGTACTCGGCGATGAACGGCGGGGACAGGTGGTGCAAGAGTGCACACGAGGGCGCACTCAATGGTGCGGCGCAGATGCTCAACTACACAACGCGCTGCCCAGATAGCCACCTCATTCTGATGGGCTTCAGTCAGGGCGGCAGTGTTGGCCTCGATGTCTTGGGCGGTGGAGGAGGTGAGCTCTGGGGCTGCATGCAGGAGAGCAACCCGGCTATGGATATCTCATCTACACCGGGGTCGAAGAGTGCGTCTATTCCGTTCTACAGACAATCCCACCACTGACACCTTACAGTCGCAGCAGCCCTCATGTACGGCCCCACGCGCCGCTCAGCGAACCAGACCTGGACTGTCGGCGGCGGCGAGGTTAGCGACGGCGGCGCGCCTCGAACCGCCGAGCAGAACGCAGGCCTAAAGCCATACGCCGACGCCGGCATCCTGCGCGAGTACTGCCAACCGCGCGACCCTATCTGCGCGCCTCATACCGAGAATACTGAGATGTCCTTCCACTTGGACTACTTCGACAAGTACAGCGACGAGGCCTCGGCTTGGGTCGCGGACCTCGCAAAGAAGGCCGCCAACAAGAGCACAAGTAACGACGAGAACCAGAACGATGGAGATCAGACAAGTGCAGGCGGCATGCTGAAGGCTGGCATCAAGCACCCCGTTGGCAACTTCATCATTGGTTTTGCCGCGCTGGTTGGGCTATTGTGAGTGCTTTCCATCTTCTAGGAGAAGCCAGCAGATCAGCCATGATCACTGAAGAGACCCGACGTCTACGTGATACGTGTACAACGAACTACAAACTTATACATCTCAGCTTTCTGATTCGACGCATCATGATGTGGAAAATATCCTCGTCCCGTTTGTCCTCGTATCGACCCGTCAACACCTCTGAGAATGTTTAAAGGCGCATGGCTGCGCCAGGGATACGGGACGCGCTTCACCACGGGGCTCCAAGAACTGCCACACCGCGGGGGCTTGGAAAGAGCTTGGCGTGAATGCCGGTTGCCGAAGTGTGGCGCACAGCGTTTTGGAGGAATGTGTACCCTTTTTGGGTATTGGCGAAGGTTGTACAACATTGGTGAATATGGGCGAAAATGATGTGCATCAGCAGTTTATGCTGACCATGGTGTTGCGGTTCTACGTACGGAGATACCCTTCTACGACTCCTATTGCAGCATATACACCTTTGGCAACCGGCAGGATCGGCACTCATGTATCGAAAGTTTCATCCATCGGATTCGCTGTTAACGAGTGCATGTGACAGCAGTCCGCCTCGCGACCGTCGCAGATTATATGGGACATGTGACATCGCAAGCATCTTCAGCAAACGACATGACGCGTACGAATACCAAACTGCGACGCTGCGCGACTACTTATAGGAATCGCAACTACCTACCACTACCGGTACATTGCTTCGAGTCATCACGGCTACGTTTTCATGACCGAACATATGTACACTTTCCTTCGCCTTCCAGCCAGTCGCGACATCAGCATCCTTGCGAGTTTCACCTACTGACATTTATAACAGAGGTGCGCAATGTCATATACCGCATCGCTTGCAACTCTGAAGCGAGCAGCCTTGAATATGATCGTCTCACACTCAGAAGAAAGGGCGACACCGGTCAGACTGACAGCTTCTTCAAGCTCGCTCATGTGAACGGACAATTTCGAAATGAATATCTTCCCCTTTACTTTCAAAGTCGTTTGTCTTGTATACGGTACGTTGGCATGGCCGCATACACACAATACTTTCTGATTCCGCATCAATCCATTGGTGACACTGTTACATTGGATATGGCTGGCACAGCAGCAACGTTGTCTAACGACAAAGTCGACATGCATTCTTTCTTGATTTCGTAGCAAAGCACCCTCAAATCAACGTGGATCTCGCCTGCGAGCATTAGTATGAAGGCTGCCCGTGACAACCAGGTCACTCCTCCCCACCTGACCACCTGGTGTACACCATATAGCACCCTAAACCATTTGCTGCTTTGGCCTAGATGAGGTAGACTCATAAATCTTATCATGGTCAAATATCTCCCCAGGGTATTGGAAACTTCCCTCCTGGTTGCTGCCAGAACCTCTTGCAATGCTGCACTCATTGCTGAACTTGATGGTCAGTTTCTTGTAGTTAGAAACTAGTCCACTCCGGTGCATATTTGAGGCGCAACAAGTGTGTGGCAGCATTAATCTTTGGCGTTCTGCGTGTAAAGGGTGGAGTCTAAAAGACAATATGCACGACTATATGCACCAACCTCAGTCAACACCTTCCTGATGAAGTTGAACAAACAAGAGTCGCTGCTCCCACGCAGCTTCTCGAAGTTTGACGACGGTAGTGAAGACCACGAGTTCAAAATTGCGTTAGTATGGAGCCTCACCCCACAGCCATTCTGCCGGGAACTCCAACGCAACGGCAGTCTGGAGCACATCCACGAGTGGCCAGAGTTCGAAAGGGCGCTCCGCAATGCGGAAACTGCCGTAGGTCCCCTGAATCAACTCCCCAGGAAGAGCAGGCTGACGCAAGAGCCTTTGGCGCCTCATTCGACAGCATTGGGGTTGCGAAGGATGTCTGCTGGGCTTGAGATACCTGGAAGTCTGCTTCAATATTGATTGCAAGGGTTTTCTGCCCCTTCTCGAACACAAGACCTTCGCAGAGCCCGCTGCTTAGATCAAACATGCGTTGAGTGGTCCGGGCAATAATGCGCAGTCGAAGTTGTTTGGGATGAAGGATCATCCTCAACGACATCCGCAGGCACCGACTGCAGTAGTCAGTACGCAGTGGACATCATGATTTGGGGTAAAAAGCTTGGATTTCTTTGCTCCTCCGCGGCCTCGCAAGGCTCTGGTAACTACAATCTACTCCGAGGCCTCGTGTACATTCTCTTGCGCATCCTCAAACTCCTCGTCCTCTTCTGAGCCCTCATCTTCCGTATCGGAATCATCAACATGCTCAACCACAGGCACAAACTCCTCATCATCGTCATGATCACTGTCCTCATCCTTGTCCTCCTCCTGCTCATCTTCGCCTGATCCGACGCGCGCGATACGAGGCCGGATATCCGCATGAGCCTCGTGAGCTGAGGTCTGGAAGAATGCATGGTTCTCAGTGAGCGGCTTGCCGGTCGTGATAAAGCCCATGGGAGTGTGCTCGAAGGCCTGACCCTTGCGGCGGATGTTGATCCACTCGTGAAGGAAGGTGAGAGGCTTTGCGGCAAACGGATGCGCATCTGGATCGACAGAAAGGTCCTGTTTCAAGCCTAGGTAGCCAAGCAGTTCAGCATACTCACGCCAGTCAAGATGTAGGCGCCCGGAGAAGATGCCCAACTCGACCTGAAGCCAAGTGGAAGGCTTGAACCCAGCAGGAAGCGGTGGCGTAGCGTGGTAATCGAGGCTGTTGAAGTGAAGCATGCGCCGTGTGACCGGTGCAGCGTACACAATGAGGTGCACGCCTCCCGGTTCGGTTTTGGATCGTAGAATGGGGATGAGAAAATTGGCTTCCTCCGGACTGATGAGAAGAGCCTTCTCACTAATAGAGCTCCATACAACCCACTGACTTGGTCGCACGTATACATCGTTGGGTCGGTAGACATCAACTGTTCGGCTGAACTGTGCTGATACCCACAGGTTGGATGGCATGGAGGGTGAGACGCTTCGCTTGAGACCCAAAGCAGTTTGACTTAGAGCAGAGAACATCGGGTGGTAGGCGCTGCTACCGGCGACGAGCCTGCCGAATACAACAAAATGCTCAACATCCGCATGCAGCTTGGAGACTTGGAGTGCACGGAACCTTGGTGGCTGTTGCACTTCGCGCACATTCTCGACCTCATGTTCTACCTCGAGCTCGAGCTCGCGCTCCTGTTCAATCTCGACCTCTTCTAGTACCGAGGCATGTACAGCGGAGCCATTGTCCTGAAACTGCTTCTGGCGATCTTGGAGCAGCTTCACATCCATTTGCAAAGAGGCATCCCACGCAGAAGGCTTATTGAATCCAGTGCGGCGATTGCCACCAGGCTGATACATGTCCTTGATAAGTAGAGCTTCCTTCTGAAGTATCGCAGACAAGAACTCTGATCTAGCGTGCTCATTGTTCAGGAAGAATGGGTAGCTCAGCCTAGCTTGCTTCTGTTGCATATACTGCAATGCCTGTGCAATATATGAGGGCTCTTGCTGCTCCAGTATGTCGCATGTCTGCCCGAAAACCCAGGCCAATACTGCCGCCGAGTCCGGGCGGAAGGAAGTGTTTTTGTTCAGCCGATCCAAAATGCTTTGGTGGACTTCTGGAGGCGAATAGAATGTTACAGATTGCGATTGACCGAGTAAGCGCAAACGCATAGCTGCTTGCACCAGCGCATCTTTGGTGAGGTGTTGTCCTAGAGTCAACGCAGCGTTGCCGTACACGGGGAGTTTGAGATCTGTGCCTCGGCAATGGCTCTCGTCCATGTAGACCACACATCGATCCAGGCTGTCAGCAAAAGGCGATGCTAGCAGCGGCGTGCGATTGCCAGTGCGATACAGCACCCAGGCTCGATGATCGTCACTGAAGTACACTGCCGCAGCCGCATCAGTGTCCTCATCAAGCCAGGCTTTAGCAAAGTCTCGGTTGGCATGTTCTAGGACCTGAGCACCGGCATCGATGAGGATTCTCGTCTTGGGAGACCCTACAGGCTTAGCCAGATTTCTGATCAGGTCTAGTTCTGTCCAACGTTGTCCGGTTGTGTGATTCATGCGGATGTATCCACGGTTGCGTTCAGCCATGAGATAGTAAGGGACCTCTGCATTAGTATGCGCAAGCTCAGGTAGATCAGCCTGCTTGATCAGCATGGGGAGCTGATGTCGCGTGTCGTTCGTGCCCGAAAATCCAGTCACGTGGCAGCCTGGGTCTGCCTGGGAGGGAAATAAGTTCCACCCAGACGCCTGAAGCTTGACGCTGAAGGTCTTCGCGTACTGCGGGAAAACGAAGTTGTTGAGATAGAAGTTCACCAGAGAGGCATTCAGACTATGAAGGTTTAGCAATGGTTCTGGGCGACTCGAGGGTTCAGTTACAAGCGGACTCACCGGATGAGTTGGAAGAGCTTGTTCAACTGCCATCCATCCTCTGCGTTGACGGCACTGTAGTCCTCAAGGCCAAGTGGCGCGCGAGGGAAGACCCATCTTGCGTACTCCACGCTCGGATCGTCCATCTTCCCAAGCTGTTCAAAGACTTGTTTGAACTGATTAAGATTGAGACCTTGGTAGTAAAACGAAAGGCATGTCAAGATGATGGCAACATCCGGATGCCCCCATTCAGCGGCTACCGATGGTACGCCTTTCGCGAGGTATGGTACTGCAATTGGAGCTCGCGTGGCGTCCAGCCCATATTGTACATTCCAGTGCTTCTTAAGGCCCGATATCAGGATGCGATGGACGAACAAGCCACGCAGAAGGTTCGTGGCTTTCAAGAGCTGTGACTTGTCTTTGAAGAATGCAGTGATCCTTCGGACCAACTCACTGCGTATAGAAGTACTCGAGATGTAGCTCAAGAGGTCCTCCTGGACCGTTGCTGGAAACTCTGCACAGGGTAAAAAGGGACAGTTGCCTTTGCAGATGTCGCGTACGAGCAGCTCGATTAAGTAGTCTTCAGCATCCTTGCGTAGGAAGTAGATGAGGGGAAATCCGCCCTCGATCCGATTGACGACTTCCAAACTGTTGCGAAAGCGCGATTGGACAGCAGTGATGAAGTTCTGCGTACGGTGGAGAAGGAGTTGGATAATCTGCCAACGGATGGGGTGACCGTCCACAGACATTTGCGAGCCCGAAGGGTATATCAATTGCATCCGGATCGCCAAAGAGACATCACATTCGTCCAGAACGTCCCGGGCGCGAGTATCAAGCCAGTCTTGAGTTTGAAACATGACCGTGGAGACTTCCACGTGACCATCAGCTAGCTGCTGTAGCCCGCTCAGTTTGAAGGAGAGAAGATGTTCAGGAAGTGAGATCATGACGCCGCCACGGTCACTCATTCGTGAATGCAATTGCCGATACAATCGCATCAGAGGCAGATTGGTAGGTGTCTTGCGTGAGAAGGGAATATGCATGATTTCGCGGTTGACCAGACTTCCAAGCTTTGCGTGCAACACTTGCGCAGACTGCAAGAGCAACGGACGTGGGACTACGATGCGCGCCAAATCCTGCTTGTTTGCTAGTACGGCGGCGACCATTGCTTTACTTGGTTAGCGGAGACTTCCAAACGAGAATGGTCTGCTTACGGAGAATGCATGATGTCTTGCCTTTGCCCATCAACAGCTGCAGGACTGAGTTCTCGCCTGACGCCGGTGCTATCGTTGCCAGGGCCACTTTTACTTGCTCTTCGCGAAGCATGATATCGCCATCAATCTCCAGGAGAAGCCAGTCAGTGTAGTCAAAGGGGTCCCAGTTAGTGTGTCCGCGGTTGGCACACTCTTCGCGTCGCTGCTGCTCCTTTTGTTTCTTCTGGGCATCCTGTATACGCAACATTTGTTGCAGCTTTGTGACAGCTACGCCCAATGATACAAGGGCTTCTTTCGTACCAGATCCGAAGGTGTTGCCGGAGATGGATCGTAATTCTGTAAGGAGATCAGTGGCCGTCATTTTCGGCCATAGATCGACTAGTTGGAGCCACTTCGCTTGCGGATCCTGCGTAGCCAAACCTTGACTCACTTCTTCCACAATCATCTTGACGTTGTATTTGGCTGGTCGAAGGTCATCGTTTCCGATCCAGCGATTGATCAGCTGAGTAGGTTTCTGTTGGTTCTTCACATGCAGCTGGAGGGCGTCGATACTAGCATCCATCTCATCGGCATAGCGAGAGTACACGAACGAAGTCTGGTTTCGAAAGTCGCTTACAATATTTCTGAGCTTCAAGATCTCAGGAATCCGACTACTGCTGGAGGTCGTCAAAGGTTTTCGAGCTTCTGGGGGAGGTTTCTTGGTGTGCTGGTTGGGTGTGCCGTTGAGGGTGCTTGAACGTGGTAGCGTGTTTACAGGTCTCAGCATGAGCGTGCCAACAGTAGCCGAAATCCCTCCACGCTGGTAATTGACGCGACGAATTGGCTGCTGCAGTAGTTTGGGTAATGAGAGATCATCCCCATACCTGTTCCTTGACGAGTACAACTGTTGAGGCCTGGAGGTGGTTGAGATGTCCGTGTGCGGCCCGCTAAAGCTTGGTGCGGAATTCGGTGTGTTCATCTGAGCCGCGCTTGATCGGTCCAACAATACTTGCACCTGCTCAAGATACATTGCAAGCTCGTGATTTCGAGTCAAACGTTGCCACTCCGGTGCCAGGTCCTCCAGCGCTCTCTCAACATCAAGGTGTGCAGGGTCGACATCTGCTAATTTGGTAACATCGATCTCGGGTTGTGGCCACTGAGTCTGTATCGAACAGGCCAAAGCTTCGCAGCTCTTTTCGACGTACTGCCCATGGTTGTTCTCCGCGACAACGACTTGGGATCGCTTCTTAAAGCCCACTGAGACAAAAGGCATTCTCGCCTTCTCCATCAAGGACACAAGGTAGGAAGAGGGTGGCGCTCCGTCAGCGCGAAAGTGGAAGTACGCAGCATGCTGAGGCGGCTGGAGTGATTTGACGTCTGGAGACATGACAAAGGAGATGAGCTTGTGGAGCAGATCTACGTTGGCATCTTCAGAGAACGCCATCGGTCCCAGCAGGAACATGAGATTGTAACGATCGTGTGGTTCGCACTTCATCGCCCGCTGCGTAAGTGCACCCCATTCTGCCTTAATATCAACAGCAAGCAAGTCCGTGAGCAGAACCTTCTGAAAGCACTTGTCGTAGCCGCCAACCAAAGATGCGTCGTGCAACAGACTGAGGACACTAGGCGAGTCGGCTGGCCAGAGCTGCTGCATAAGAAGCTGTCTGGTTATGTGGAAGGCGTTCGCTCGAACCATGCTCGTCGCACGCTTATCTCTTCCAAGGTAAATCAGATCATCCTCCCTGGTATGTTGGACGTATGTGCGTGACGTTGCTCGTGTCGCCAAATGAGCATTAGGCTTGACCAACGCCTTCGCAGTCTCTTCTAGTTTCGTGGCGCCCGGGATGAACTTGAGTAGAGAAGAATTTCGTTCAAGAACCTTTTCAACGTACGGCCTGAACCGATCGTCCTGGATATGGCGCGTCAAATCAGCCCGCCATGCCAACGTCTCCATGAATTGCGAGTCCACGGGATAGTACCCGCGCATTGGAGAGAGCTCCGCTAAACGCTGCAGAAGCGTTACGTGGCTCGGTCCCAGTGGACACCATGGCTGGTAGAGTCCTGTCTGAAGAAGGCGGATTGCCTCTTCCACTCCAGTCCGCGAAGTTAGCGAATCAGGCATCACATGTGAAGTGAGTGCATGCAGGAGTGCCTTAATGTAAAGGAGGCTTGGCTCGGGAGGGCAGTCGATGCGTCCCAATACTTCGTTGATGTCGTATTTCAGGTACTTATCTCCACCTGTACGGATCTCAACAGACACATGGACATTGTCCCGTGTAACTTGAAAATCTTCGTTGTATGGCACTAGGATGCTCTTCTGGCGACGATTGGCTGCTGACTGGACAACGAGCTTGCTCCTCAGGCCGTACCATGTGCCAGCATCTTGGTCCTGAGTGACATTTGCGCCAAGCCGAGTAGAATGCAACAAGCCTCTTTCGTTGATATAAAAGCTGAGCTCCAAAGGCTTGAGCTCGACGGTGATCTTGCCTTCTCGCGAGGTGAACACAATGATCTGATTGAGGTCCACGAACGACCTGAAAATAGTACCAATCCGTTGCACGGTCTCGTTGGAAGAATTCAACAACGTGGTTGCGGAAAGGTGTCCAAACCGTCTGACAGCCTGGCATTGTCCGTATGGAATACCGTAAATCCACCAGTTGTTGGGTTTTGATATCCATATGTCTTGCCGACGAATCTCGAGCTCGCCCTTCCGTACGTTCAGCCAGTGGTAACAACCCGTTATAAGAGGAGCTGGAAGATCGCGTGATGTCGTGCCGAAAACTTCAGCTGGTATGTACTCATAAAGTTGGTCGTATTGCACTGCACGAACAATCAGAGTACGCTGCCGAAACCCAAGATGTATACGCTGGTCTCTCTTCATTGGCTCAGAGACTGCCCATGACATACCTGGGAGCAGCGAAGGAAACACAATGGGGTTTCTATCTCCCAAGATTTGTCGATAGAGCGGATCTCGTCGGTATGTCAACGGAAGGGTGCTCATTTCTTGTCCATCGATGAGCAGAGTACCATAAACGTAGTTGTAGTGCACGAAGTATGAGTGGCTGTAACTGCTGTTTGTAGACTTCAACTCGAGCAGTACCCACCATGTGCCAGTAGATGAGTCCGAGATAGTAGCTTCATAGCCCTCAGGAACCTGGCATAAGCGGTCCACGGCGTTGATCAAGGCTTCTGGGTTCGAGAGGATGGAACGTCTCAGAAGGCTACGATTCTCGTACGAATACAAGACATCGTGAATGATTGCGTTCCTTATCTTGTATAGCAAGTACTTGAACTCCTCGACGAGATTATAGTTCAAAGATATGGAAGCACTGATGTATTGCTGGAGCGCCACAGTATCCAGCAAGTGTTCCGGATCGGTGTGCAAAGTTCGCTTGCATAGCAGGGAAGCCCAGACTGCAAACGGCCGCATACTGGCATCGCTTGTAACGACTACCTGCAGTTCAGATCGCCAAAGATCGGTCGCGTTACGCGCTTGCAGCAGCAATGCTACACTTATCTCTTGTATGTCGGGGGATTTAGAGAGTGAGACGACTTTCAGCAAGATGGAAATGAGTATATCCATCTGTACTGGTTCGCGCCAATTGTGATGGATGGCGTCGAGACGCTGCTGGACTTGGTGTAGCAGCCTTGAGCACAAGGTATCGTCATGCAGCGCTGTATGGACATCTCGCCGAGGATCCGAGGTTGTCGAAGCTGGACCAACTTGAAGGATTAGGCGTACGACAAGGACCCAAGTAGCCTCAGCTGAGAAGTTGAGATTAGTGGAGCCCAACTCGCGAATGAGATCCAGCCATCTTGAGTGCGTGCCGACCAAGAGCCCCTGCCACGCCATGAACTCGTGCGCGCTAATATCTGCAGGGCAGTCGACTTGACTCGCTTGGATTTCGTTCGATGAGGGCCAGTCGGCGTACGACGGCTGGAGGATCCAGTACGGTGAGTCGATTGGTAGCATCACAGGGAAGTGATGCCATAGAGACGCCTTGTCATGTGACCCAGTCCATGATTGACTGGAAGTATCGTAGTACCTCGGCTTGAGCCCGCAAGTGCGGATCACGTCGCAGAAACCGACCGGAAACCCCCAGCTTGCGTAGTGAGTCTCCAAAAAAGCCTTCTTTTCGGAGGCAAGAGTAATCTCGCAGTTTGAGTCGTTGGCATATGACCGAAGTTGTGAGTACTCTCGAAGAAGAAAGGCCCTGTTGGGTTTCATGGCCGGCGATGGACAGCAAATGATCGATAGAATGGACCAAGTCGCGTTTCTGTATGTAGCGAAGGATTCGGGACACCTCAACTCAAATATGGCCGCCTTGGCAGCAGGTTCGTAGCTCGGAAGAGGGTGCTCGAAAGTTCGGATCTCAATACTCTTTGCGGCGTCCCGAAGATCGTGCCACTCACATGGCCGGCGATGCCTGGACTCATTGACACTGGGCATATACCTGTGCGGTACATCGTCGTAGAAACACGTTGTCTCATCTCGCTTCCTGATTATCTCCGCGTAGAGTTCACTCTTCTCTTCCCATTCAGCTTTCTTGTCTGCACACTGCTTGTCGGCGTTGCTTTCGATCTCGAGGCGAAGCAACCGTCCTTCTTCATCGTAGTCATTGAAGTATCTTACAGCAAAGCAGTCGTCAGCAGGGTCGTCAAATATGGTTTTAGACTGCATGCCGTGACGCGCACGGTATCGCTTGTCGATATGAGACTGAACAGATTGGACACGCAGCAGCTCGTCCAACGAAGGCAGCTGAAGAGGATCGAGTAGATCAGGGTCGAAGCCAGGGTGATAGTCGTGGAGAAGAGGGTAGCAGGTCACGGCTTCCTCATCCATCAACACCCATAGCTCCATGAGATGTAGGAGCATGCGACTCTTCTGATCGGGGTACCCTTCAGGTGATATCTGGACCTGGTGGATGTAATCTCGGATGGTCTCACTCAGTTCCATAATGCGAGTGTGTCCGGAGGTACTGGAGCCTTTCGCAAGCTCGATCACCGCTGAGTGGTGCTGCGAGATTTGAATATGTGAACGTGCTGCGTACATGTACGGCTTGACAGAGGCAGCGGACTCTTCGTATTGTTTCAACAACTCATCTGGAGTACGCTGCACAACATCAGTATGAACAGCTTGGCTCGCGAGGATACGACTGAGAACAGGATAGCTGTTTGGAAGGGGTAGGTTGAGTGCCCCAGCCGGGACGCGGGGGCTGAGCAAAGGCACGTAGCGCCCATGGGTGCTCTTGTAGTTGCGCCATGTTGCTTTTAACCAGCCGCCAGTGGTACGGAGTGTGCTCTCAAAATTGAGCTCGAGCGAGTTGAGCGCGTTTGTAATCAAGGGATTGACACGTCCTGTGATTGCAGCACGATCGCTCGCAAGCTTGGCGAGCCGGCGACCCAATTTCTGACGCAGGAAAGAGACTGACTCGAAAGGTATTCTCTTCAGGACGTCCTCCAAAAATTGTCGTAGCATCAGGCACATGAGCGTTTTATAGTACAATCTTCCAACGTCGGTTCCAAACTGCCTGTAGAAATAGCGCTGCATAGCGACACGTACGGTGAGGTAGAAGGGCGATCGCCTCCAAGGCTTGTGAGCCTGGTCGAACATGACAGTATCTCGCACACGCTTTCGCAGAAGCGGCACACTCGTGGTGGAACCATTGGCCTCCAGAATTGTCATCAACAAACCCGTCACGAGTGCAGGATCACTGGTGTTGCGGATCTCTGGTAGAGGGGCCCCTGCTTTGTAGGTGACTGAAGAGAACTTGGTCACATACTCGACGGAGGCTTGCTGCAAGAACGATGAAAAGCTGTTTAGAAAAGATGCCTCGAGGAGCGTGGTGTGTGGAATGGAGACTGCGCAACCGGGAAAGTCTCGTAATAGCGCATTCTTCGTAGCGAGAACTTGTTCACAGGTTGGTGTGACTTCGAATGCTTCAAGAACCACCCGGTGGTCATTCGAGTCGCTAGATATGTTAGTGCAAATTCGATAGAAATCTAGCCTGGCGCACACCTGTAGTCGTTGTAGATGAGTAGACCAGAGTTCTGGGCAGAAACATGTAAGATGAGCACCCGCTCCCGCTGCAGACTACGGAGCTCGCGAAGCAGAGCTGGCTTCGTGATCACTCTGTCGACGTGCAGCGACTGACAAGCGGTGAGCGAGTCACTCAATGCGCTAACCTGCTGTTGGTCTGAGAGTGCGACGTGAGAGCTTAGAAGACAAGTCGCGTCAATCAGGCGCGCGAGCAGTGCGGCTTCGAGGCTGGAGAGGTTCCTGTCTTCGCGGCCCGGGACATCTCGCGGTAACGCAATGTGGTTGTAGAGTTGCTCGTTAAAGGGCAAGTGACTGGGGCGCGGGCGATCGGAAGCCGCCATGGCTACGTGAGGCACCGTCCAAGAGCTCCAAAATATGAGGGGATGTTCTGTACAAGATGGTTCCAAAAGCGTAGTTTGGAGGCTGGTGGGCGCTCAGACAAGGTGGGGCTCCGTGAAGCTGGCAAACAAGATGAAAGTGCGCGCGCGGCAGCATGTTGCCCCCGTGACCGCCAAGTACGGCGACGACAACGTACAGCTGCCTTTCACCGTGAAAGCAATCTTGCGGCATCCCGGAGGCTGTCAAGCCCATTGTGACAGATGTGATAGGGCGTACGGTTAGTCGCATGCCCTATTCGAGCAAACTCTTTAAAACATCAGCGAAGTAGATGCAGCTTTGGCATCACATGTCGTGTTGACCGATTTTGAGAGTAGGTTGACAATGGGTAGGCGGCTGTCGATGTGAGTTGCTGGACTCAGAGTTAGCCAAGGTCGAGAGCATTAGTCGTCATGATCAATGCGTACAGCAAGTGGTGTCTGCGTTGTTGTGGAAAAGGCATACTTGATGGTGCCGGCGACGAGGTGAGGTCTGAAGTTTGAGACGCTATTGGTTGTTTGCGAAATACCAGCCAGACCCCGTGACCTAAGGTATTGAGCTAATCCTTCACGTACATTGTGTACTGCCTGCGTATATGTGCTAAGACGCTATATTTTAGCTGCCTCATCAAGGGGAGGTCTACTACACCCTCTGCCGCCAGCCTCCACAACACTATAAAGATAGATGCTCTTTTGCATAATCTGCGTGTAAGGCTGCGTAGAACTGCCAGTTTTCAGACTGGAAATTCACGTTATTGTTAAGTTGTGGGTGTCTCTGCGCAAGTCACGAGGTCTGGCAGGTATTTCGCAAACGCCTATAGCAACACCTTCTCCATCTTACCTTCCCCAGTTGCTAAGCACGCGGTCCGGGAAAATAAATGGACTCAACAACCCCGCACTGGCCATCCAAACTATCATCAGAACACCCCCTTTAATGGATGGGAGAATGACTGGGCACTAGCTACAACACCACAAAAAGCTATTGCAATCAAAATTCGTAGCTTCATTTTTATTCGAGCTCAAAATAAGTGCAGAGTGAACGATCTGTATAGGGTGTGGGTGGAATTCTGCCAAGTCCTTTGTGAGTCTGTTTATTTTCCCCGGACCGCGTGCTAAGCTAACCCAGTCCCACCTCCAATCCCACCCTTTCGACCATGATCGCCATGTTTTTTCGATTGACTTTCCAGCGGATGACCACCAATCTATGCAAGGCGTCAGCCGGATTATCATATCGCCTACGGGATTCACGAATTCCGATTCTCGGAGCAATGCCACACCGAGTCATGTCGTTCATCACACTCATTTGGCTGTCTCCCTAGGAAGGTGCGACCGCAAACGGCACAATGCACAATTTGCTACAATTCGCCAGCTCGCTGCGATAACACCGCAATGGACCGTTATTTCCGTGACAAATCCGATGCTGCAATGGACGCGGAAGCGTGCCGCGCCCTTACCGTCCCTTGTGCGCTGAAGCGAAGGATTCTGCCACTGGCTCCTGTCGCACTGGCGCGACGCTGGTACGAAGCTTTTTCATACATCGAGCCGCGGTGACGCTGTCCTCTTAATTCACTGTTTGCCCTTATTCATCGTCAATGAACGCCTGTTGAGAAGGGGCGCTGTCGGTGTTCGTTGACTATAGCCGGATAAAGAGCCGTAAGAGTGGGGTTGAAGACTTCAGGGCATCATGAGCCTCAACGATAAGGAAGTCGCTGTTGCTTCGTCGTCTACCAAGGAAACAATACTGCCATCGGTCAAATCGCATGCAACCGAGAAGTCGGAGACATTGGAGGTCCATCACGATGACGACCACTCTTCAATGTCCTCAGCATCGACAGACTCACTCAGCGACATAGATGAAGTCCAATCAATACACCAGTCTCTCAGTCGCAATGCCGGCCTCGATGAGCCAGGCGATAAGTCCATGGCACACATCACGAATACAACAACGAATATGACCACAGACCCACGCTTCGAGATCGACTTTGACGACGATGGCGAGAACCCCCAGGACTGGCCCATGATCAAGAAAGCTCTGGTCATCTTTTTCATGAGCTACTCAACACTTGTTGTAGTCATGTATTCAACCAGCTATACCAGCGGCATCCCTGGCATGATGGCGACCTTTGGTATCCACTCGAAAACACTCGTCATCCTCGGCATCACCACCTACCTTGCAGGCCTTGCTCTTGGATCGCTTTTGCTGGCACCTCTAAGCGAGATGTATGGCCGCAGGCCAGTCTATCTCATCGCTGTAGCTACTTTCACCATCCTCATCATACCATGCGCACTGTCGAACAACCTCGTCCAGATCCTCGTCATGCGCTTCTTCGGCGCCATCGCTGGCGCAGCAATGATCTCGAATGCCCCTGGAACCGTGTCCGACATCGTCAGCGACGACTACCGCGCCCTCGCCTTCTCAATCTGGAGCATCGGCCCCATGAATGGACCCGTCATCGGCCCTCTCGTCGGCGGCTTCGTGTACCAAGCCCTAGGCTGGCGATGGACGAACTGGGTTGTCATGATCGGCTCTGGAACGTCGTGGTTCATGGTCTTCCTCATCAAAGAAACATACGCGCCTGCCATACTCCGCGCTAAATCCGCAAAGAAACGTAAAGAAACAGATGATAGTCGCTGGCACTCGCGCTACGATGACAAGAAAGCCTTCTTGCCCATGCTGCGCGAGAACTTGTATCGGCCACTGTCAATGGCGATCAACGAGCCTATTTGCATCTTCTGGAACGTCTATATCGCTCTCGTGTACGGCGTGCTGTATCTCTGCTTTGTCTCGTACCCCATTGTATTTTCCGAGCTGCGCGGTTGGTCGCCCGGTCTGACCGGACTATCGTACATGGGCATCGGAATCGGCGGGATGTGTACCATCCTTAGCGAGCCCTTGCTGCGCAAGATGATCAACAAGCACCCCAAAGATCCAGAGACTGGGAAACCTTACCCAGAGGCGATGGTCAGCGTGGTGTGTCTTGCAGCTATCTCTGTCCCGGTCGGAGAAATGATTTTCGCGTGGACGTGTACGCCAAATGTGCATTGGATTGCACCACTCCTCGCGGGCATACCTTTTGGCGCCGGCAACTGCGGTGTGTTCATCTATGCCTCTAACTACCTTGTTCATTCGTACGGCATCTACGCCGCATCGGCGCTGGCCGGCAACGCTGTGCTGAGGAGCATGATGGGCGGCACGCTGCCTCTCGCTGGACCGAAGATGTAAGTTGTCACTGCCCGACACCCATCTCACTCTTTCTCACATATTTGGTACCCTTGCACCAATGTTCATTCTTCACTTGTGCGCCTCGGCCGCATCCATTGCTTTTAACAACAAGCATTCTTGAATCCACCACCTCATCCCCTCCTTCCTCACAACACACTAACACCCCCAGGTACGCAACCCTCGGCCCCCACTGGTCCGCAACAATGCTCTCCCTGATCGAATTCGCCATGATCCCCATCCCACTCGTCTTCTACCGCTACGGGCACAAGATCCGCGAGAAGAGCGCTTTGATCCGGCAAATGCGCGAAGATCGCGACAAACTCGATAGCAAGAAACAGAGGGCCGCTGAGAAGGTGGCGAGGAGGGAAGCTGGGGAGAAAGGCGAGGGGGTAGAGAAGGATATGGAAGTGTAGGTATGGAGTGGGGATGTCGTTTGTACGTGTACATCAGCAGTGCCAAAAGCCTGAAACTATCCCAGTGCACCCTAGCCAGAGATGCAGGCTCAACATAGGTAGCAACACAAACTCATTAAGCGAAAGAGAGCAGCCTGGGCGCGATACCACAGAAGTAGATTCATTCGGCACGCCATACGAACAGCACTGGTGATCGCTATACACACACAAACACAGACACAGACCGTGATCAGCCCTCCGTACACAGTAACGCGCGGCACATCATCCAGCCGACGCTCGCCAGCACCAATAGCTACACACAGATCCCTTCGTATACCACAAACCTAATCCCCCACCACATCAATACGAAGCACACATCGAAGCCCGTCCGCCCTTTTCGGTTGTGAACACAGGGCTTCAGCCCTTCCCGCGCAATTCGTGCGCGAGCTTGTTCGAGATAAGCACGTGCGTCTCCAAGCCGCTCCCTCGGCCAGTCACACTGACGTCGACGAAGACAGACCATCACATCACCCCGAGTTCGCGTCGTCTTTTACCCAAGGCCAACTGCTGATTGTCATCTCTTACCGCGCGGGGTACGATGGGTTGTCTACCACTTCTCAGCACGAAAGAGATTTCCAGCGACGAGATACGAATATGGGAGGAGGCTCTAGAATGCCGCGGCCAGGCAAGACTCTCCCGCATCAGCTAGTCTCTGCAGATGCTCGCCGAAAGGCGTATGGTGATCCCCCCCTCCCCGCCCGTTCAGGGAGGTATTCGACGATGGTGCAGCTTTGTGCTGTGCGATGTGTAGGTTTCGGCTAGGCATGGTCGGATTACATCGAGTTCAAGAACGGAGATGGATGGTGAGCCAGTATAGGGACAGTGGACAATACTGCTTCGCTTTACCGTGGTCGCGGAGTCGTGCTCGCTTCTATCAGCACGCCTCTGGGGGAGATGGAGGAATGTTGGGTGTAGTACAATCACAATTCGTTCGCTCATCTACGCGTCATATACAGTACTATACAATCTATGTTGAATCACAAGCACATTTCCATCTCTATTTGGCGAGGAACTTCTGAAATGCCTCCTGCTCGACAACCACATTCCCAACCGCCCTCAGCTTCTTCCTCCCCTCCTTCTGCTTCTCGAGCAACTTCCTCCGTCTTGACAAATCACTCGCATGCAGCTTCGCAAGTACGTCCTTGCGGAACGGCTTGATGGTCGCTCTAGCCACAATCCTCCTGCCCGCGGCGGCCTGAATGATGACCTCGAACATCTGCCTTTCGACGTGCTCTTTGAACTTGTCCACCCACTGCCGGCCCACGCGGTCGACTTGCGATGTGTGCAGGACGCGGGATACGGCGTCGACGGGCTGGCCGTTGACGAGGAGATTGAGTTTTGTGATGGAGGAGCGGTGGAAGCCTGCGTCTTCGTAGTCGAGGGATGCGTAGCCCTTTGTGGAGCCTTTGAGTTTGCCGAAGAAATCCTCTACGAGATGGGACAACGGCAAGTCGTACTTGAGGATGACCTGGGAGGCGGTGAAGAACGTGAGTTCCTTCTGGATGCCGCGGTTCCCTTCACACAGCTTGATCACCTCGCCCAAGTATTCCTGCGGCAGGGTGATGGTGGCGAGGACGTACGGCTCGTGGACTTCCTGGACTTTGAAGTGGAACTCGTCTGCGTCGGGGAAGTCGTTGGGGTTCGTGATGATGCTCTCTGTGCCGTCGCGCCACATGACCTTGAAGGGGACGGAAGGCGGGGTGATGATGATGTTTGCGCCGTGCTCCTGGCGCAGACGGTCTTCGAAGACGGAGCAGTGCAGGGTGCCGAGGAAGCCGAGACGCCAACCTGCGCCGAGGGCGTCGGAGGACTCTTTCTGGAGGGTGACGGAGCGGTCGTTGAGGATGATTTGGTTGATGCTGTCCTCGAGGTGCTCGAAGTTGTCTTGGTCGGTGGGGAAGGCGGCGACGAAGACCATGGACTTGGGCTCTTCGAAGCCGGGGTAGGGCTCGACGAGTTTCTCGCTGCCGACGGTGGTGTAGGTGTCGCCGACCTTGGCTTCTTGAGAGCGCTTCATGCCCGGGTTGAAGTGGATGTAGCCCACCTGGCCGGCCCTGAGCACGGACTGGGGTGTCTGGTCGGGGTACATGATGCCCACTTCGCCGACGATGTACTTCAGGCCCGTAGCGAACGACCGGACACTATCTCCGGGCCTCACTTGGCCGTCAAACACGCGCACGAGCAGGACGACGCCCTTGTAGACGTCGTACCAGGAGTCGACGAGCAGCAGACGCAGCGGCTTGCTGACGCTGCCGACGGGCGCGGGCATCTTCTCGATGACAGTGGGCAGGATCGCGGCGACGTTGACGCCGGTCTTTGCGGAGACGAGCAGGGCGTCGCCGGGGTCGAGCTCGAACGTCTCCTGCATCTGCTCGAGCACGCGCGGCGAGTCGGCGTGGGGGAGGTCGACCTTGTTCAGCACGGGGACCAGCGTCAGGCCCTGGGCGAAGGCGAGGTAGAAGTTGGCGACCGTCTGGGCCTGCACGCCCTGGCTGGCATCGACGAGCAGCAGCGCGCCGCCGCACGAAGCGTAACTGCGCGACACCTCGGCGCGGAAGTCGACGTGGCCGGGCGTGTCGACGAGGTGCAGCAGGTAGTCGTCGCCGCCGTGGTTGTAGAGCATGGTGCACGTCTGCGCCTTGACCGTGATGCCTCGCTCGCGCTCGACGTCCAGCTTGTCGAGGATCTGCTTGTTCCCTCCGGGCTCGATGGTGCCCGTGAGCTCCAGCAGGCGGTCGGACAGCGTGCTCTTGCCATGGTCGACGTGGGCGACGATGCAGAAGTTGCGGTACCGCTCGATGGGAATCTCGGCGATGCGCTTCTCGAGCTCCGACTGCGGCCGGACGGCCTGCGCGTAGCCTCGAGACAGCGATGGGAGCCGTCCAAGGGCGCGGTATGCGGGCAACGGGAGGCGCTCAGGGCCGCGGTATGCGGGCGACGGGTGTGCGTGAGGCAAGCCGTGAGGGCGACGCGGTTGCGCCCGCCAGCCCTGCAGAAGGCTGCTCGCGGTCCGGACGCATGATCGCATCGGTGGGCATAGGAGGGACGACAAGTGGCTGCGGCCAAGGCTGTCGCCCGTCGTCCCTGCTGGAAAATGTTCAGCGCTGCCATCTCCTTATCTAATCAGCGCCCGTCTCCTTATCTGATCAGCGCCCGCCGCCAGCTCCAGCTCCCACCCAGCCTGACCCGCGTCGCTCTCGCTGGTCTCCACGCCACTACGCCGCATCCGTCTGCCGGCATTGGCCTCACGTGCTCTGCTACTGACTTGCACTTGCTACCCTTCGTTGCATTGCATCGCATACGCGTCTGTTGTGCGCTGTGTACGCCGGCCAGCAGCCTCGGTCATAGTGGGCCTGTCAACAGCCTCGCCATCAACAAACCACCACCCCCCCCCCCCCCCCACTAGCCACTAAGCACCACCACTCCCCCAGCCACTGAGCATTACCACTCCCTCCAACATGTCTGAGCCAAGGACCACAAGGTCGTCCAAAACCACCTCGTCAGCCTCCAAGTCAACCTCAGCCTCCAAGTCAGCCTCAGCCTCCAAGACAACTTCCAAGTCCAAGTCCAAGTCGTCCAAGAGCGATGAGTCCAAGGTGCACAAGCTGGCTCTGAAGGGCTCCTCCAAGATCGTCAACGAGTTTGTAAGTCTACCCTTCCGCTCGTTTCAAGTTTTCCGGCTGAGCCGAGGCTGACCGTCACTACCATAGTTCGAGTACTCCATCAACACCATTCTGTAAGATAGACCAGGGTCCAGAGCCCTAGACCCTGACTTACCCACGCAGGTTCCAACGAGGCGTTTATCCTGCAGAAGACTTCACAGCGTGAGTTCGCCGTGGATTTGGTACCGGCTGTGGCACTTTCTGACGGCGCGCAGGGTCAAGAAGTATGGACTGACTATGATGGGTGTGTGCTTCACTGCGTGCGGCTGACAGTCACTGACGCAGACAGTGACCGCCGACGACCAAGTCAAGGCGTACATCAAGAAGATCATGTCGCAGCTCAAGGAGTGGATGTACGGTGGCAAGATCACGAAACTCGTCGTTGTCATCACCAGCAAAGAGACCGGCGAGCACGTGGAGCGATGGCAGTTCGATGTGAGTCGGGCGCAAGGCTGATCGCCGATCAACGAGCAGCTTTTGACTGTCCACAGGTCCAGATCTTCGGTAAAAATGCAAGAACCAAGTCATCCAAGACTACGACAGACCAAGAGAACTCGGTTCCAGAGTAGGTTACCTCCAGGAACAAACGGATTCACCGCGCGCTAACGCTTGGTGCCAAGAGGAGGCGAGGTTCCAGAAGAAAAGACAGAAGCTGAGATTCAAGCTGAGATCCAGTCCGTCTTTCGCCAGATCACAGCCTCGGTCACATTCTTGCCGATGCTCGACGGTAACTGCACATTCAATGTGCTCGTGTACGCCGATGCAGACTCAGACGTGCCTCTCGAGTGGGGCGACAGCGACGCCAAAGAAATCAAGAATGGCGAAAAGGTACAGTTGAGAAGCTTCAGCTCAAGCAATCACCGAGTAGATACGCTAGTGAGCTACAGGTATGCTGAATCCAATACTGTGGTACATGTGTTGAGACTGATCTTTCCAGGCTCGGCGAATAACCTCAATATACACAAACCTATACTTGCAATCGCTGGCAAGCGCTGGCATGCTATCTTCGCGCGAGCCTGTTTCTACCCTGTTTCTACCCTGTCTCTCTCTTACCGCATCTTTACTGCATCAACAGGTAGGTATTCTTCACATGCAGCAGCCGGAGCGACGGGCTCTCCTCCGTCCGGGACTGGACGACCCAACACCAAATGGTCAGCATGTTTCTTCACTTCCAACACCGTCATCCCTGTTGATCAAACAGTGCAAGGCGAACAACACCCCGAACTACCAAAACGTGCAAATTTGTAGCCACGGTCCCTCTTTTCATACACTTTCAGTTCTCGGCAAAGCCCGAGGCGCACATGGGCGCTCGCTACAGAACACTGTGACGACCAGAGGGCGGGCCCTGGACCAATATATACCCTAGATAGTCTTACCGTATACAGCAGTCAACCAGCGTTTCTGCATCACGACAAGGAAGACTCCACGACACGATGCTCGACGCTAGCATGACGTTGCCAGCGTTAGGACGTTAGACTGAACCTAAAGCGGCGTCCTGGGCGCACTGACCTATCAGCCTCAGTAGCATCCCTTCTCGCACCGCATACGGTAACGTACGGGTTCTCGAAAGGGTGCAGACGCCCTATCTGCAGTGTCAATACATTTCTGCAAGCGCTTGAATGCAGGGCTGCACGAGGCTGCGCGAGCAAGGCCAACTTCACAAGGTTGAAAAGCACGGCTAAGCTCCACGCAGGCTCCCCGTCGGAGTCACGCGACTGCTCGCCTGCTAAACGACGCTGAGGCAGGCTTGGAGGTCGATAAGACTATCGATTTGAGATTTCCCGCGTACCTTGCGCAAGACCCCAAAGTCTGCTATTAATACGCGAACCGGGCTATCCAACGGGAGAGCGACCCCTAGTCAGGGGTGCTAGCCTGTCGTGGGCGCTGGCTACTGCCGAACGCTCGTTTGACCAGCGACAGCCACTCGGAACACGACACCGCGCCACGACAACCTGGTCGACCATTTCTGATCCAAGTTGTTCAGAACAGCCAGGTGCTCTAGTCACTCCCTTAGATTACCTATCGTCATGATTTTTTGGGCTGACACATGCAACCAGACTACCACCGCTGTCAGTCCATCGCTGCGAGTGCCCCTCTTGGTTAGCGATACGCAAATTTTGGCTCCGTTGACCCCATCACTCTGCGGACCGGACCAGCCTTGCGAGTCCAACCCAAGGGAAATTCAACCACAGAGTGGTCCGGCTCTATGCTTCCAGGGCCAACACTACTGTTGATCTGCCGCGGAACCTCTCAGCTTTCACTTCAGCGCCCACGCCGAAGTCTCAGTGATCCACAATCTCGATAAGCTTTTGTGGTAACCCCCCCTCTCAGGGACTAGCGCCCGCCTATTGCCTGTTCCTGAGTTTCGATCTGGGCCCCAGCATGTCGCTACTGTACTCTGCAGTACGGTCAATCCTGGCCGAAGCCGCCATTTATGTATCCAACACATGCCCATTGTCGCGGATTCTTGGTTCCTAGCGCATCCATCAGGCGGTTTGCCCTGACCGTTCACCACCCTCTTTACCAGAATTGCTGATTTACTCCCACCACTCGCTACCAATTTCTACTACTATAAATACGCACATTCGTTTCTTGCTTTCAAAGCGCGTGCTTATTAGCACACTACTAATATGGGCTTCTTCAAGCTCGGGAAGAAGAAGGGTGGGGATGTGGAATTGACAGAGAAGAAGGGAGATGCCGCACTGCCAGTCGAGCCTTTCATGCCGGCTGCTCCCAGGTGGCCTGGCAGCCTAGCATCCTACCACGGCTCCTCGACCGATCTTACAGCCTCGGTCAATAGCAATGGCCCCAGCTACCTCGACGTGAAGTGCGAGGTTATGGCCCAATGGCTTCACTCAAAGCAGGAAGAGAAGATTTGGACAAGCGGCGAGCCTGGCGAGGGTGTACTTGTCAAGAAGTCGAAAGGATCGTATGCGTTCTCTCCGGCTGAACTTTTCGAGGATGGCTCTGGTCTGTACCAGGCCGTAGCCGCATTGAATGTCAGGGTATGTACAAACCTCAATTGCGGTCAATTGGTCGGATACTCATTGTGACCAGTGTGCCATGACTGTCAACACCCGAGTTCTGCAACTCTTCATGGCCGCGAGACCCGACGAGCACTTCATCCAGATCCACCGAACACTCCGCCTCCAGGTCGTTCCTGACGTTAGCGCCCTGCCACACTGCCAAAGACATCAGTCTGCTGCATTCATCTCCAACACCGCCACACTTCTGGTATGGGAAGACGAGCCCACAAGATTGCTTGAACGAGCGGAGTACATCCAGGATGCTCTGATGAAGATGTCCTGGAAGCCCGCGACCGCCGAAGAAGGCGCGGAGGAGAAGGGCGATAGCAAGAAGCCGTTCGTACAAATCGAAGAGTACGATGAGATGACAGAGGAGGAGGCCGGTATGGAAGAGAAGCCCCGCGAGACTGTTTTGTGGCAGTGTCTCTACGAGGGCGCCACAATTGCTCTCGTCATCGGTTGCATTGGCGCTGGTTGGAGATGGGTCGCTGTCGAGCACATTCAGGATCCCAACTGGATGCGTCTGCTCTTCATCATCGTCCTGCCCGCTCAGGCGTGGCTCGCTCTAGTAAGTCATGGCTCCACGCTTGCGTTGCAATCGTACTGATCAATCCAGTTCTTCTTCCAAGCCCTGATTGGTGATCTCGCCCAATTGTTCGGTCCCGTCGGTCAGATGGAGAGGAACACCAAGTACTACTCTGGCAAAGCACCTCGCCGTCTTCACCGCGACACTTTCGGTCCCTTGCCTCACGTCACCATCCAGATGCCCGTCTACAAGGAAGGTCTTCGCGCTGTCATTGAACCCACTGTTCGTTCCATCAAGCAAGCCATTTCCACGTACGAGCTCCAGGGTGGCACGGCCAACATCTTCGTCAACGACGACGGTATGCAGCTGATCTCCGAAGAGGAGGCCAGGGCTAGACAAGACTACTACGATGAGAATCAGATTGGCTGGGTCGCGCGTCCCAAGCACAACCCCAAGCCTGCCGAAGGCGAGAAGATGTTCCTGCGTCGCGGAAAGTTCAAGAAGGCCTCCAACATGAACTACGCTATGCGTCTATCCACTCAGGTCGAGGAGGCGCTCGCTGCCATGCCCCGCCACAACATGTGGACTCAGCACGATGAGAACAATGCTTACCGCACTGCCCTGCAACGCATCCTCGCTGAGCGCAATGGCGAAGCATGGGCCGATGGCAACATCCGCATGGGCGACTACATCCTGATTATTGATTCCGATACCCGTGTGCCCAACGACTGCTTCCTCGAGGCCGTCTCCGAGATGGAGCAATCGCCCCAAGTTGCTATCCTCCAGTACGCTTCTGGTGTCATGAACGTCACAAACTCTTTCTTCGAGAACGGCATCACCTTCTTCACGAACCTCATTTACACCATGATCCGCTTCGCTGTCTCCAACGGTGACGTAGCCCCCTTCGTCGGCCACAACGCTATCCTCCGCTGGTCCGCCCTGCAAAACATCGAATACGAGTGCGAGGAGGACGGATGGGAAAAATGGTGGTCCGAGTCCACCGTGTCTGAAGACTTCGACATGGCGCTGCGCCTGCAGGCTGAAGGCTACATTGTGCGCCTCGGTGCCTACAAGAACGGCGGCTACCAGGAAGGTGTTTCTCTTACCGTGTACGACGAACTCGCCCGGTGGGAGAAGTACGCATACGGCTGTAACGAGCTGATCTTCCACCCCTTCAAGGACTGGATATTCAAGGGCCCCTTCACAAAACTCTTCCGCACCTTTATCACCTCCAACATGCCTCTGCACTCTAAGCTCACCATCCTGGCGTACATTGGCACATACTACGCGCTGGGCAGCTCCTGGGTCCTCACGCTCATGAACTACGTCATCATTGGTCTCTTCAACGGCCATCTCGACCACTACTACCTCGACTCGTTCAAGATCTATTTCTCGATTGTAATCGTCTTCACCGCAGTCGGCAACGTCGCGCTCGCAGTCCTGCGCTACAGGATCGGCGAGTGCGGTCTCATTCGCGCGCTCTTCACGAACCTGAAATGGATCCCCCTCCTTACCATCTTCCTCGGCGGCGTATCCCTCCACGTCTCGCAAGCCCTCGTCTGCCACTTCTTCAGCATCGACATGCAATGGGGTGCCACCAACAAGGAAGTCGAGGACATCTCCTTCTGGGCCGCGCTCAGCGACGTCGCCAAAAAGTTCAAGTACACATTTGCTTTCTGCTTCGCCATGACGGCGGCCATGGTCTGCATGGCGTTTGTTGTACCCGAGGTCTGGCAGATTCGCCTCCTTACCGCGGTCTTCCCTATGGGCTTGGTGGTTGTCAATCACTTTTTGCTTCCTATTGTTCTTAACCCGCAATTGATGACCTTCACTTGGTGAAGGCGCTGCCTCGGGTCTCTTTCTTACCCTCACTTATGTTATATGGATATGAGTGGCACGCTCTTTATATACGCTGAGATGTCAGTAATATTTTATAAAAGGCGTCAGGCCTTTGAGCTTTTGAGTCGGCCACGATTTGTTGCTCTTAGAATGCGCGTAGAAGGAATACATTCTTTAGTAATACCCATGCGCTCCGAGGTGTTCAATCTCTGTGAAAACTACCCCTCCTCTCGGACGTCGCCATAAGATGATTTCCAGCAAACCATGGTTTGACATGCCATTGACACATGTAACCGCTTGATTGGACAATGGCAGAATCAAAACTCTGGACGGACACCCTGTGATCCATTTGACATATGTAGATCTCCATGTCAACCCCTCTGGAGCCCCTCGCAGAACCAGTGGTCGTCACCCACAACCAAACCAGAGTCGTCTCCACACCAGCCCATGGAACGCGCAGGGCCCTACCCAACAACCATAACCCTCCAACTATCCGTAGACGACAGCGTGGAAACCACGACCCATTCCCTATCTGAGCTTGGCGCACGTGCTGTCCCTTCTCCCGTGCTCCCTTTCCCCTCCACCCCCATCCCCACATCCTCATAGCCAGCGTTGTCAGCATCGTCGACCCTATACCACCTCGTCATCTCGAAGCCGAAATCTGCCTACATCATCGCATCTCAGTTGTCGCCGCTCATCCAGTCTACTAACCTCTCCCGCCATTGCTCCTTTCGAGATGTCTAGGAGGTAGGGAATGAGGCGCAGGAACATGAGTAGACTCCAAAACCGTACACGCGACACGAGCAAGCTACCATCTTTCTCTCGCTTCACACACTGCCGCCGCAACTACCATTACTTAGAGAGGGACCGAAGATTGCGAATTAATCACTACTTACGAGCATGTCCGCTCTCTCTCAGCATGCCCACACACTATCTCTCACTCTCACTCTCTCCGGCTCCCTGCTCACACCCACGCATCTTCGATCCCAGCACGCAATGAGCTAGACAAAGACGGACTAACTCTCACACATCCAATGAATGTATTACCAGAAGACTGTCTAGACACTGCAATCTCAGTCAAGTTTGAAGAATGTGTGCTAACAAACTGATGTATTGCGTATCACGGGATCACTGGTACTGCAAGCGCACGGCACACAGGGGGATTGCTCGGAAGAAGGACGCTTGTTCAAGGACGCAAAGATATGGGAGGTGTTTGATGAGACGAAGCGCAATGCAGTCATAGACGCAAAAAGACCGAGGGGAGGTAGACACGATGGTACACTTGGCTTGATACCGCACGATCTCAAAGATCTACGGACGAGTCAAGCGATCGAACGGACTTGCCGTGTGTACCGTTGCACAGGCTTGGGTTTGTTATACATTGTGACAGTACGCTACGCGACATCCAGAATCCTCCAACTTCCCGTGGAGGACAATGTGGATACGAGATCCCACTCGAGAGAGGCGAAGCTGGGCGCGTGCTGAGCGGGGCGTATCAATGCCCACTCCTCCCCTTTCCCCGCTGCTTTCAGTTCCAGCTCGGCGTCCTTGTCGGGAGTATGTTCTTCTGCGACTTCGAGCCATTGCCTCAGAGCGAAGGCGATGTCTGCGCGCAGCATCGCATCCCGAGCCTCCTCACTGAGCCATTCCATCAGGTGACACCGCTGCTGATCCTCCGGGCTCGGCTCATGCTCGTCAAACTCGGTACAGGAACAGACGTGGATTCCGAAGTTAGGAGAACAGCAGTGGCAGGATAGAGGTAAGGGGGTTTGTCGACATCCATATGGGTCCACCATCTCATCGACCATGTATTGATTCGCATACCCAAGCTCCCAGTACCCGGAAGTGTTGCGGTGCCATGTGAATGTCGATTCGCCCCAGACACACCTGCCAGCAACCGGGAAGGGGCTTGAGTTTGATTGAGGGGGAGGATGGAGAGACAAGGCCCACGATGGGCTGGTGATGACTTCCACCTCCAAGGCGTCGTCTGGGGAGTCATCAACATCGACCCAGTCATGTCCGCCTGCCTCCTCTTCTTCCACGTACTTTGTAGGCCTCAGGCTCTCGATTGCTGTGGTGTTGTGTCCGTGGTTGTAGTACGCCTGCACTGGATCCATGAACTCGAGGCTCTCCTTATGCTCCAACCTCACAATCCGCTCATCCCAATACGCCTCCTCATTGCACTCCTCTTTCCACTTCTTCATGCGCCGGTGCCGGCTGGAGAGATGGCGGTGCTCGTACGCGGGGCAGTCGAGATGGCAGTGTTTCCAGCGGAGAGTTAGGGATTGGCGTTTCCTGAGGTGATGATACCGCGCGCGAGATGCGGAGCGCAGGTCTAGGTAGGATTTGTTGGGTTCGGCTTGCTCCATGCCTTCAACTTGGCGGGCGAGGGAGAGGTTCAGACTCGAGCAGTTGTCTTGGTAGTGGCGGAGGACTGTTGTTGGCTCCTCCATTATGCTCGAGGTTATCCGGAATGGGTATTATAGCGGTGCAGCTGCAGTACTTCGCGACGGTTGCTCGAAACGCAGCGATGTGCGTACGAGCTCGGTTGTAGGTCTAGCAGTGCACTCAATAAAGAGAACTGCTGTGATCGTGCGAAGTGTTTAGTATGTAACGGACGACGCAGACTTGTTGCGTTTGCGGTGTTGGCAGGTCTAGATATGCAGTGCACTCAGTAAAGAAGACTGGATACTGGGCGAGCTGAGAAACCTGAGGAATAATCGGCTGCACGAATGCGTTTATACCTCTTCGTGTTATCAAACAGCATCTCAAAGATGTGACTAAAGTCTGCCTGAGGCTGTGCAACGCCCTCACTAGTAGGACGTAGGAAAAGGGCGGAGCATTGCAGCGCGGCAAGTCTGTGGCTGGGATCATTGATGGACATGAATAGTGAGAGCCAGAGACGGCCTCCGGAATGAATGGCGTCGTCTGGCATGAACGCGGTGTATACAATTAATGGTAGTCTTCTATGTTAAGGCAAAAACGTGAGTAAAAGCTCCTTGGTGAGTTTGACACATTGCCATTGGGGCGTCGACCTCTTTGGCGGGTTGCGCGTAGTGTATTGGCCCTAGTGCAAGTCGTTTGCCGTATGTACACAGAAATACCATTGTAGATTTTTATCAAGATAGAAGGAAAGTGTAGATGTAGAAAGGGCGTCATTTAGCGGGGCAGTGCGCTGTGGCTGAGGCTGAGACTTGGTGGAAGGAATCTTGCCCGAGGCTGTCCTTCCTCTTCCTTCCAACACTCACATGTGATCTCTACCGGGCTTTGCTGTCGCGAACATGTCACTCGCTTTCGAGTTCCTCATCCAAGAGAACCCAAAACACGGCAAGACAGCAACCCTTGCTAGTTGCGAACCGTCTGCGGCTGACGCTCGCTGGCTAACTGGTCCGGAACTTGCTGCGTTGTTGCTCATCGTCTCGCAGGATTGCATGCACGTTCATCGAGCAATCCTCGTTCATTGTCAATATCTACAAGGATGCGTGCGCGTCTGCTGCATCGAGTATGCGTGTAGGACGTCAAGGTGAGCTCTACATTTGGTGATACAGCAGATGCTGCGCGTTCACACCTCAGCGGCATAACGACCAACTTCACCAACTACAGGACGATATCACGCTAAGCGAAGAGCCGGATCTCGGAAGGTTCACTTTTGTTGTTTTACTTCATGATCGTCAACCGATTGGAGGGGCGCGTTTTCCGCTGGAGAACGTGCAAACCCAACGGGCAAGCCATGGCGAGGTCATTACCGTGCGATGTGGTTCGCCGAGGTGGGTACTTTTGATGATCGTTGAACCAGCGTTCATCTTGCAGGATCTCAATCCCTGTAGCATGTTGGCCAGACAGCCTTGCCTGCGATGGCGAAGTCGCACGAATCCCGGACCTTCTTTGCTTTTGAGCGATCGCGACAATGTCAGGCATCGCAAGAATTGCCAATGCATTTGCACACGCTTCAACGCAAGGTTTGAAGGAATTGTTGCTCATGTCGAAATCTCCTTGATCTGATCGACAAACTTTACAACCACATATCGACGCTAGATATGCACTAGCACTAATGACATCAGCGGCCAACAGCCCTCCAGTCGTCTCGGCCTCATCTCCGCACCCCGGTACCTGACATATCGACACGCCTCGACGATGTCCAGATGTTGGGTTTGTCTATTTCGAGTATGGTCTTTCACGTTTGCCCGTTGCCGCGGACGCAACGTTTGAAGGATATCCATGCTGCTGTCTGTCATGACGTGAGTCTGAGGGATCTGTCAAACCCGCAGAGCCACAGTCAACATCTGGGGATTCGAAAGCATGGCTTAGACAGCCGCTTTGATAAGCGTTGAACCCCTCGCCGCATTCCGGACTTGGCCGTTGAGCTTCCTTCTTGCTGCGTTCTGTTGTGCTGGTCGCTGAAGAATACCATGCCGAACGCGAAGTACCTCGGACTGAGAGGCGGAAGTCTCGCGACGGTCATCAGTACTGTCTGTGGACTGTGCTTCTTGTAAGTCGTGTTGCGAATGTTAGGCTAGGCGACTGACAGATGTGACAGATGTTTCGGTTATGCGCAGGGTGTTATGGGCGGTCTCTTGACCGTTCCCCAATTCCTGGATCGCTTCCCTCAGGTTGACACATTGGATCCTGCGCAGGCGTCGTTCCACAGTGCGTGGGTCACTGGTATGTTCCATATGGCGCTTTCGTACAGGATCTCTCGCTAACACAAACAGGTCTTGCAGTAGGATCCTGGAACCTGGGATGTCTGGTCTCTGCCATCTTGTGCATCGTAGTTAGCGACTCTCTTGGCCGCCGACGTACACTTCTTCTCGGCATTACAATTTGGACAATAGGCGAGATCATTCAGACTTCGTCGTACAGCTTCGCACAGTTCATTGTGGGGCGATGCATTGCCGGTTTCGGTATGTATACCCTGTAATTGAAGTCTACAGGTACCAAGAGCGGCCGCTAACGCATATGTACAGGCAACGGCTTCACCACGTCCACAGCCCCTGCATACCAGGCTGAGTGTGTCAAGTCACACCGTAAGGGAACAATATTGATGATCAGCGCGGGCGCCTTCGTTGCAGCTGGCTACGCGCTATCGTATTGGCTCACCTTCGCCTTCGCCTATGTTGACTCTTCAGCGGCATGGCGGGTTCCCATCGCGTTTCAGATCATCTTCTCCTTGCCCGCTATCGCGTTACTGTTCTTCTTGCCAGAGTCTCCACGATGGCTCATCCTGACGGGTCGAGAACAGGAAGCGTTGAACGTGCTCGCTGCCCTCAACGATGCCGACGTCGATGATTTTGAGATCAAGGACGAGTTCCTGCAGATCAAGGATGCTATCCTGATCATGGCTCAAGGGTCGACAGCAAGTATATTCTCGAACAAGGAGCGCCGCGGTTTCCATCGTGTTGTTCTTGCCTACTTCGTCCAGGTCTTCCAGCAGGGGACCGGTATTAATCTTGTTCTGCAGTACCTTAGTTGGATCTTCTTCACTCGCATGAACTACACCGGATGGCTAGCACGTCTCCTCGCTGGATGTTCTGCCACCACGTATTTTCTTGCCAGTTTTGTCGCTGTCGTCGGTATCGATCGCTTTTGGGGCCGTAGGTCATTGATGATGTTTGGTGCTTCTGGTATGAGTGGTTGCATGATTCTTATTACAATCATGCAGTACCTCTGGACTGAGCGCAACGTTACCGGCACAAGAATTGCCAGTACTGTCTTCCTCTTCGCGTTCTCTATGTTCTTCGCCATCGGCTGGCAGGGAATGGCCTGGCTGTACCAAGTTGAGATCGTCCCTTTGAGAATCCGTGGACCGGCTAATGCCATCAGTACCAGTGCCAATTGGATGCTGAACTTCGTGTAAGTGGCGGAACGATAATGTGTAGTGTCCAGTACTAACATTTCAATAGCGTAGTCTTTATCACCCCCATCGCGTTTACCAACATCGGCTATCGCACCTGGATCATCTTTGCTGCGACGAACTTCGCAATCATCCCCCTCGTTTACTTCTTCTACCCAGAAACTGCATTCCGTTCGCTCGAAGAAGTCGATGTCGTTTTCGCACTTGTTGACGAGGAGCCTGGCAACCCTTGGCTCAGTGTCGTGAGGATCAGCAAGAACGAGCCGCTGTGGTTCGGTAAGCGTGGCGAGAAGCGCTTGGACTTCCAGTACCAGAATAGCTCTTGGCATCGCAAGTTGATGGGCAGCAGTGGCAGCAGCGGGAATGGTACCGGAAGTGACAGCAACAGAGTGATGAACGAAAAGGACCAGGCGGCAGAAGATTTCAACCGTTCCCTCCAACCTACAGAACCCGGCCTTGGCATTGTTACTTCCAACTGCTATGCAGGCCAGCAGAACGGCTACAGACCCGCAAGCCCCGAGTCCCCCATCGACCCTCGACTGTCCCCTCCCAACTTGAAAGATACATCACCGACATCGACTATGGGCGACAAGAAGCTGCGCAAGAAGAACAGCCGAACACACCACAAAGACTCCCTCAGCAGCGAGCCCACTCTCATCCATCAGGATTCGCACGACAGCGCCGACCCACCACCCATCCACCGCAACAAGAGCGAAAGAGACACATGGTACCAGAGCAAAGAGTCTCTCGCATCCGCCGAAGCAACCGGAACACCAGTATGGTACAACTCGGAAACTGCGGCGCCACTCCCAGACCCGCCAATAATACGCTCCCGCAGCAATTCATCTTTACCACCATCACGACCCACATCACGCGGCCGCCAACGGCGCTCCCGCCCAATGACGGCAGACACGCAGCGCAGTTTCCTGTTCGACAACGAGTCGGATCACCACGCCATCACGGCCGATGAGCGCATCGAGAGTGAGTCGCTCAGCTCGGTAAACTACCCTGGCAGGCTGAATGGCGATGTTAGGCGAGGGCTTACAAGGACGGCAAGTGGACGGGAGACGTATCTCCCCGATGGGATCGTGGAGGACTTGAGGGATGGGAGTGTGGAGAGGAATATAGAGAGGAGGCTGAGTACTGGGAGTGCGATTGGAAGGCGGTTCACTGCTAGGGATGCTGGGAGAGCGTTTTAGTGCTTGATGGGCTTCTTTGTGTTGGATGACCATAATACTCGATACGAACGAAAGCTTTCAACGTACCGTTTTCCCCTCTTTCAGGCTTTGGTGCTACTCGAAAAGGAAATGTGATTAATGTCCATTTTTTATGTCAACTGTCACTTGGGCCTGTGCTGCGCCCTACCGCGTCACGTGAAATGATGCTTCTTTCCTTAGTAGCGTCATGATGCCGACGGTCCATGTTTTGAGATGCACATCTTTTTGCAGATTCTCAGCGAGGCTCTGTTGATAGTTGTCATACTTTGCAACTCCGTCTCACCCTCTACCCATCTTTCATTCAAACGGTAGTGACTTGCATAGTGAAGCAACATCCGTCCACACACTGAACTATTCGATGAAGACTGTGCAATAAGCGGGTTCGAGAGTCGTCGTGGTTATGCTTAAGTTCGGCGATGATCCGAGTTGGGATGGTTGGTGAGCAATTCATTTCGTGATTCAGTTTCGTCACAAGAGCCTGAGATTTCTGCGACATAAAGGCTGGAGGTGGACCGCGCAACTGGGCCCACGTATCGTCCAGTCAAGCTGACGTGAAAAGATGACCATGGTTCTGAATCATCGTGTGTGCCGACAATCTTGACGGTGTCGGGACGTGTCTGGTGTGATAGACAGCTCTTGATGTTAAATTCGTGGGTCTACCTGAATGGCACATTCTTAGCCTCGATGCCTGCCAATTCATCGACACATATGGAAACCAAAAAACAGTTATGTGAAAGTAACCACGATCACGTACATGTTGGCAACGACGCTAATGGTTCTTTGTCTTGAGACCCGGGTTGGCAATGAACAGGCTGTCGTTCGCATCCTGCAAGAGCTGAACTGTCTCACTCCCACACGCAAACTCACCATGAACACCGTCATCAACAAGATCCGTCGAAGTAGGATGTGAGAGACTCGCTTACTTTATGTCGCGTGTTCACCGCCAATTCTTGCGATCTACCTCATCCCATTACACAAGGGCCCATGTAGCAGATGTTGATGTAGTCCAACAGTATGATAAACTTCCTTTAGAATAGCCCAGGTACATAGCGCGCATTAGTACAGAGATCAATCTCATGCTTCGAGAGACCCTACGACTAGGGAGATGGCCAACTTGACATTAGCCAAGACCTGATGGTGTTCATGATGACGATGGAGTATGCAATAGTCTGCGTTACTGCACTCTAGAGGGAGCGGTGAATAGTAGCTCTGAACGAAGGAAGGTACGGCGAGTGAGGACAAGATCCTGACTGCATCCACGAAAAATCTTACAGAATGTGAAGAGGCGGTGGTCTAAGGAACTGATATCTCGCCCTAGGACTGCCGGGGTAGAAAACCTCGCGCTCAACGGAGAAGCGAAAGTTGAGAGCGCAAAACCTCAACTCCTCCCATTCCCACTGTTTACCCTGCAAAATTTTGTCGTAGTGGTTGTCACACACCTCGATGCTGTCTCCTTTGGACCCACTGCCCCCCTCGGAGGAAGCCGAATAAACATGTGGCTGTGCAGCAACAATTGGCGCACATGAATTCAAATAATGTTCAATAGCCTGAGGACACGAGGCTCTGCAGCCGCTGACATGGGTTACGAGCTGAAACTGTACTCCGAAAAGGTAGCGCGTGTCATGTGTTGCAGGTTGGGCGGCTAGGAAATTTGCTGAAAGCAGAGGCCATGGGGAAAGGGCTTGAGTGAGATCACCCCGTGGCTTGAGATCTAGATCGCCGGGGGCAGGGGTACGTGATGATTTCCATTGCGCTGGTTGATAACGAGGGTTCTGTAGAAAAATTGAACTGTTATCGCAGCTCGTAACATGCAAGCGGTGTGCAGTCGCACATGTAACGGTTGTCGTCGCTCTGGTGTTGTTGTTGTTGAAGGCGTCGATCGAGATTGATAGGACGATGATGACATCGCACAGGGACGACAGCTTTGTGCGCGTGTCACACTCAACGCGCCGCAACGATCGACGCAGAGATGCTTGGCAGGAATTGAGGCCTTGTTTTCAGCCAGGACAATCCAAGTCTCAAGAAGGCGAAAGGGAGCCATTACAATGCCTCTTTCGATGAATAACGTCATGTATCCGCTCTTTAGAGGTGACCAAGGTCGAAAGCGTACTCTTGATGCTGCATGCACGAGATTTGGGATGCACTTCGATGCTCGTAACGCGGGAGAGTGCCGTGACCCCTGAATGCGCGAATCAATGCCTTGCTTTTAGCATGCCCAGTTCGGCTACATGCCCTAGCGATCATGATGTGCGCACGCTGGCGAGCGAAAGGATTTGAGATCGCAAGTTGGTGCAGATTTCGACTCGAGCTCGACTGGTGTTTGCGCAAGGGTACAGTCCCATCAACGAGCATTCCGAGATGCAAGAGCTCACATGCCAGTGAGGATTGCGCCGCAATTGAGGCTGGTGCGGTGGAGACGAGCTCTGTGAGGGTCTGGATGGCTGGAGAACTAAAGGAAAGCTGAAGGCCACTTTGACCAATCATGCGGTAGTAGTCGATCGCACTTGCCCTTGTCTGAACCACTGAGCCGATTTGAGTAGGGGCCCCACGTCATTAGGGACCACTACTTGTAGCTCCCGCATCCTGTTTAATTGTGCTGCGCGGCGACGACCTCTTCATTTTTTCACATCGCACAGTCACCTGCGCGTTAATAACACCCTTTCTTCGTCCTCGAGGGCGCAGACAACCGCCTATACACCCATCATGTCATCCACCGTGAGTAAATAGGGAAAAACAACAACATGCGAACAAGCACTGATTGCATCATAACAGGGTGGACAAACCGGCGAGGCCAGAGATGCGCCGAACAGCTTGTCGTCCTTCCTGTCGACGCTGGTCCCTACAGCAATCCTCGCCGCTGCCTTCGTCACGGCCTTCATCATTTTCCGCAAGTCCTTCCGCCGAGTGTACGCGCCTAGGACGTACCTCAATCATCTGGGGGTTCAACGACAGACTCCAGCCCCGAGTGGGGGCATGTTTGGATGGCTCAAGGACTTTAAGAATCTCAAGGATGAGTATATCCTGGATCATCAGTCGATCGACGGCTATCTTTTCGTGCGCTTCTTCAAGGTGATGGTTGTTCTGAGCTTCTTGGGCGCTTGCATCACCTGGCCTGTTCTGTTCCCAGTCAACGCGACTGGCGGTGCTGGACAACAGCAGTTCGACATTCTCTCTATGAGTAATGTCCTGAACGAAGGCGTTAATGTCAACCGCTACTACGCCCACGCAATCATCTCAGCGATTTTCCTGAGTAAGTCACTCATAAGTATAAGTGGAGGTGGACAGAGTGCCTGGCTGACACATAGTAGGTCTCATCATGGTGATCGTTGCGCGTGAATCATTCTACACTGTAAACCTCCGTCAAGCCTACCGCCGATCACCGTGGGGCGCCAGTCGTCTGTCCGCGCGAACGATCTTGTTCACCAACGTGCCAAAGACACTCTCCCAGAGTGCATTGTTTGAGATGTTCCCTGGTGTCAAGCATGCTTGGGTTGCGTCCAATACCAAGGACCTCGAAGATCTCGTTGAGGATCGCGACAAGACGGCTCTCAAATTCGAGGCTGGCGAGGTCCAGCTTTTGACTGATGCCAACAAGAATAGGATGAAGGCTGAGAAGGGCAAGAAGCACTTCGTAAACGAGAACGCACAGGATGGGACTAAGTGGCTCAACCCTAAGGACCGCCCAACCCACAAGCTCAAGTTCCTCATTGGCAAGAAGGTCGACACCATCGAGTATGGACGCCAGCACCTGGCTGAGCTTATCCCCAAGATCACCGCTGAGCAGGACAAGCACTGGAACGGCCAAGGCGAGCTCGTTGGCGCTGTGTTTATTGAGTTCGACACCCAGAGGCGCGCCCAGGATGCATGGCAGATGATGCAAAGTCGCAAGAACAAGCCCAACTCCAAGATGGACGCTCGTCAGCTTGGTGTCATGCCTCAAGAAGTGGTCTGGAATAACCTCAAGATTGGCAAGTCTCAACACTTCATCCGCTGGGCTGTTGCTACCGCCATCATCGCCGTCATGGTCATCTTCTTCGCCGTTCCCGTTGCTTTCGTTGGTTTGATTTCCAACATCAACTACCTGGCTGGACGATTTACTTGGCTATCGTGGATCCTTGACATCCCCGCAGTGATTCTGGGTGTTGTCACCGGTCTGTTGCCCACCGTTATGCTTGCTGTCTTGATGGCTTTGGTTCCTATCTTCTGCCGTCTCATGGCTAAGCTGGCCGGTTACGTCACTTGGAGCCAGATTGAGTTAAAGACACAGAGCTGGTACTTCGTTTTCCAGGTTGTTCAGGTGTTTCTTGTCGCAACCCTTTCTAGCGCCATTACCTCCGTTATCAACGATGTCCTCAACAACCCCGGTAGCGTCCTGGGCCTTCTCGCAGAGAATCTGCCCAAAGCGTCCAACTTCTACATCAGTTACTTTGTCTTGTTGGGACTTTCGTCGGCCGCCGGTACACTTCTCAACATTGGTGGCTTTGTCGTCGTCGTACTCCTTGGTCGTATTCTCCCTGGAAAGACACCTCGCAAGGTTTTTGACAAGCTTACTAAGCTCTCTGCTCCCGCATGGGGATCTGAGTTCCCCAAGTGGTGCAACTTGGGTGTTATCGCCATCACTTACTCTGGTATTGCCCCACTAATCTTGGGTTTTGCCACTGTCGGTTTCTCCCTCGTCTACATTGCCTACCGCTACAACTTCCTCTATGTATACGAGACCAACATCGATACTAAGGGCGAGGCTTACCAGAAGGCATTGAAGCAGCTCCTCACCGGTGTCTACCTTTCGGAGATCTGTCTTATCGGCCTGTTCGCTATCTCTACCGCGGACAACCGTTACTCCGCGGGTCCTCTGGCGATCATGTGCCTCATGCTGGCAATCACTGTCATCTTCACCGTAACTCTAGGAAGGGCTCTCAAGCATGAGGAGGCTCGTTTGGCATACACCGACCCCACCCCGCAGAACGGTCACATTGAGGATGGACATCGTGATGAGAGCCGCGAGAAGTCTGATTCTGCACCATTGAACGGCACCAACTCGGATCACGCCCCGAAGGCTTCTCGCATTCCCGGCTTCCTCAGGAAAATCATCAACCCAGAGCGCAACTCACTCAACACTCTCTACGGCACGCTGGACAAGTTCTATCACCAACCTCAGGAGCCACTCCCTGTCGAGATCCAGAAGCGCGCCTTCTTCAACCCTGCTGTCACATCGCCTACACCTGTCATCTGGATCGTTCGCGACGACATGGGCATCAGTGAGCGTGAAATCAGGGACACGAAGAAGGCTTGCCCCGAGCTGCAGATGACAGACGAGCAAGCTATCTTCAACGAGAAGGGCAAGGTCTACTGGAAGGGTGTCGATGACGGTCACGCCAGGGAGGCACCTGTGTTTGACGAGCGCATTGTCTACTAGTGGTAGGCGCTCATCGAGTTGCTCTTTTCAGTGTCCGATACCCTCTTACCGCACCCGCAAGACGGAGTTGGAGTCTGATGATACCCCTCGAGGATGATCATTCTTTCCCTGAACCTCGGACCACATACCAAATCTTTTCTTTTCTCTTTAAATGGTTTCCACTTACGATGCAAATGTACGATGAACGAAGAGCTATTGATCCTTACAAACAACAGCGAAGCAGAGATATCCAGATTTGCGTTTTACCAAATAAGTAGTTGTAATACAAAAATGCAAGTCTACTGTCATGTCCATTCATATGTCTATTATCGTCTGCTGTTAGTTCTCGGATTCTTTGTGTTGCTTTCCCTCTCCACCCTATCCTCGCCTCCACAAGGCTGAGAGCACGGGCCACAACATGCCCAACTAACATCGAGCACACGACCAGAACATCCAAACACGCAAGCTAGATCCAGTGCCCCCTCTCTATGGCCACTCTTCTCGTAACGCTTGTGTCTTTCAGTGGTTTTTAGCCTGGTGCTCTCTCAGAACCTTTTGACCTGAGGTTGTCGTGACATCATGCATAAGGATCCGCTGTGCTTTCATCATCGCGACGTTGGAAGCAATATAAACCTCAGCTAGATCGCTGCAGTTACCCTTCCATACGGAAAACAGTCTTCACATTATCAATTGATACTCAATTCAATACCGAACTCCTCAAACTCAACCCAATCAACACTTCACACATATAAATCATGTCTGTCGAATACAAGGGCCAGAACCCCCTCGACATCGCCAAGCAGGCTGAGAAGGACCTCAACTCGCACGCAAACGCCCACGGCACCGATCCCAACACAGCCAACCCCAATCGTGGTCCCAACGCAAGCGACTCAGGTATGTACGCTTTCAGTCCATGTCCTTGAACAATGTACTAATTATTCTCCAGCAACCGAGTCCGGCATCGACGAGTCAGCAGTCAACAAGTTCCCCGATGCCACCGTCATAGTAGGCTCTGGCGCATCAGGCGCCGGCAACAACCACGATATCCCAGAGTCCGAGGGTGGAGATATCAACCCTGCGACTGGCAAGCTCTACAAGGCTGGTGACTTTGAGAAGGGTGTTGGCGCACCTGAGGTCAAGGATGCAAGCTACGCGAAGAACCACGGTGGTGAGCCTGATGCGAACGCGCCTGTAAGGCAAGGACAGGGCCAGACTGGCAAGCCTTAAAGGGTGGATGGAGTGATATCTCAGATATGATTATGACACAGCACTGCGCTGGAAGTCTGACGATATGAATGAATGAACAAAGTTAAAACGAACAATATTTGATGTTTGTGATTGAAGCGGGCCACATGCAATCTGCAAATATGCAAGTACGATCCCGCTCAAATATGCTCATACTGCGGATCTAGATTGATACTTACGAAACAAGTGGCCCGTACCTGAATACTCTTAAGATACGGCATCGGTCCATTTCTGCGTTCGGTTGTTCGCTCTTTGCCTTCAACTCTGGTAGTCGCTCATGATGTTGTAGTGCTGCTGTATCGCTAACAGAATTCTTTGCAGGTGCGGACCGGAGAGTATTTCTTAGCTCTTTCATAAGCCGTCCCTTGACGGAATGGAATGCGCTGCTCCCAAGGAGATCTTCAGCTTGCCGGTCAAGAGCCTCAGCTCCAAAGCCAACTGCAAACGTAGTGCCACGATCTCGACATTGATGGTGGAGTTGAGGGAAGGAGCAACCCCCGGCTCAGCTTCCCGAGCGCATGAGCCACCTGACTAAGCCTCATTGCATTTAGCCGGGCGGCACCACAAAAAACAGCGGAGGACGAAACCGCCATAAGCACGCATCCGCCCAGCGTAACGCCGCAGCCCTGTATGAGACATGATGCCGTGCCGCCCAGAACATGTCAGCAAAAAGAGATGAACGAGATGGACTCAGAGCTTCCGAGGCGTTGAAACAACATGACGGAGGCGGGCGAAGGCACCGGATGTACTGCGACAAAGAGGCACGATCAGCGCTCAACACCACAAAGGAACCGAGATGTAACCGCCTTCCAGAGCCACAGCATGAAAAAGCTGTATCGATTGTTCGATGAACAAGTTTGAAACATCGAACAGACACAAGCCAAGAAGTGGACCCACCGCATGTCAAACGGAAAAATGGCTCCACCAGCCGCCGTCGATGGATCTCACCACTTCCTCCTATTTGCTCCACAGCTTCTAGATTTCGAAGACATGATCAAGCTCCACAGACAAAGGGCGAACAGAGTGAACAGAGCGAACAAGGCGAACAACAATCCTTCTTACGTGTTGGAACGTCTTGCAGCCACCTCACCGGCCAATTTCGCGACCACATGAAGGATCCAGGTGCAATTTCCTCATGACAAGGCGTAGATTGAGCAAGACAAACATCGAAACAACGAAACGGCGTGACAATGATGACATTGACAATGCATGATGTTTCCTTTGACGCCTTTGACAGTCGGGTGGAGTTCTACCGTTCAAGCCTTTCGTGAGGTTTCACGTTTCTCGTCATCTCAAACGCCATTTGACGGGTCAGGATCGTGAACGGAGAGCATCCAGGAACACGCATCGAGGCGACACCTGAGCAATCTCCTACGAGAACACCAACATGAGTTTTTCTGGGTCGCAGGATTCCGCCAGCCTTAATCCAATGTCCTGCGGCAACTAGGCAGCGCCACGTTACCAGATCTGGCGCTAGTGCACGTTGAAGGTAGATGACATGAGCTTGGCACAAGACGGCAGCACGGGGTATGGCGATGTCAGGACCACGCTACGACTGTCATGGCAGTACTGTGCCGACTACGCGGGATGTGTATAAGAGACTCACAGCTCCCATTTGGAGAAGGTCAGGCTTGACGCTCACACTCTTTCACACGCTCTTTAGCATACGCTCACTTTCGACAACTATCCATTCGAACATTGTTCATACTTCCATTCTTTGACTATACCAGTTTTCTCTCCACAACCAACCAACCAACCAACCAACATCAAAATGAAGTACTCCTACGCTTTCGCTCTGGCCGCTGCCCAGCTGGCTGCTGCCCACACCACCTTCCAGTCCTTCGTCATTGACGGCAAGGACCAGGGCCAGCACTTTGCTGTCCGCACTCCCTCCAACGGCAACAACCCCATCCTTGATGTCACCTCCTCGGCCATGACCTGCAACGGCGGCACCGCCGCTGATGACACCGTTGAGGTCGCGGCTGGCTCCGAGATCACCTTCCAGTGGCACCACAACGTACGAACTCTTACTACCACACTGAGTAAGCTATGACACTAACAACCACGCAGGACCCTGCCACCACCTCCGGTGACGCTGATGAGCCCATTGCTGCCTCCCACAAGGGTCCCGTCATGGTTTACATTGCCCCTGCCGACTCCAACGGTGAGGGTGCTGTCTGGACCAAGCTCTACGAGGACGGTCTTACCAACGGCAAGTGGGCTGTTGAGACTTTCATCACCAATAAGGGTCAGATCACCATCACTCTTCCTGACCTCGCCGCTGGCGAGTACCTGATCCGCCCTGAGATCATTGCTCTCCACGAGGGTAACCGCCAGGGTGGTGCCCAGTTCTACAACGGTTGCGGTCAGATTAAGGTCACTGGCTCCGGCTCGGCCTCTCTCCCCGCTACCGGCGTCGACATGACCAAGGCATACTCTGCCACTGACCCTGGTGTCCTTTTCGACATCTACTCTGGTGCTACCACCTACGAGATGCCCGGCCCTGCTGTCTGGGACGGCGCCTCCGGCTCCACTCCCTCCAAGACCGCCACCGCCTCGTCCGCCGCTGCCACATCTGCTGCTGCCACCAGCGCTGCTCCTGCCTCTTCCGCTGCCGCCACCTCCGCTGCCGCTGAGGCCACCCCTGTTGCCAGCGAGTCTAAGGCTGCTACCTCTGCTGCCGCTACCTCAGCCGCCGCTACCTCGGCCGCCGCTACCTCAGCCGCTGCTACCAGCGCTGCTGCTCCTGCCCCTACAACCGGCTCCGGCTCTGGCTCCACTCTTCCTGAGGAATGTAAGTACACTGCAAATGAACAACCAATGCTACATGTTCAAGACTAATGCATTTGCAGTCACCATCCAAGAGTTCATTGCCTGGCTCAAGGAGACCACCGGCGCTACCGGTGCCTCCAAGGCCCGCCGTCACGCCCGCTCTTTCTTCGGTTAAGCGCCCCCTGAATGAAGGGAAGTGGTGTTTACAACTTTCAATGACTTGTCATCTGCATAGCCAGGCGTCACGTTAGCATCTTTATTGGTTGCTCTTTTGGAGAGGGTATGTCTTGGAAAGATCAAGCTCCGTCTCTACTTCTTCTTTGATGGCTACTGAGTAGCATTACCCAATTTTCTGTAAATATAGAAATTATGACGAATGGATTTCGGAAAAGCGCTGCTACTATATAATTTTGTGGATTGAGTGAGGCTGTTCGTGTTCTGTGCTTTGTGTTGTGTGATACAGTGAAGCGTAGAGGCAGTCAGTTCATAGTCGTAAGGTCCGTCCCTTAGGCTAGGAAAACCCCTCATACAGGAAAATAAGCGAGGTACTTCGAATTTGAGCGCAAATCACTCCGCACATACGCATTCGTTCGAGAAGATTAAGGTGGAGTGTGTTGAGTGGCTTCTTGTTAGTAGAACTCGATGTTCTCCAGCGATAAATTACAATCACACGATCGGTATTACGCTTGCAATGGTGAGTGGCTTCGTTAGCAGCTTAACGCTTCGACTTCGATATAACAACACAATGAGAGCTACATCGCCTTGAGAGCAGTCTAAGATGATCACCGTGCCTTGCTCTTACGCGGGGACGGTATAGCAGCCCGGTGAATGATCTGACGCACCAAATCCGGCAATCTCGCGACCCCTGGTCGATACTTCAGACAGAGCTACATCCGCTTTCGGAAACGACTAAGCAGATCTCTTTCGCTGATGTAATCATACGTGGAAATCTAAACACGTCATCTGATCAAGTTCGCTTACTGCGCCCTGTCAGCAGAACAGGCATCACTGTCATACACCCACAACTGATCTGATGCTGATTTCCATTGCGCCAAGACAGTAGCACCGCAGATGTAATTCAAATCAATTTCTAAGACACTACGCCTGCTCCAGGATACATCGGTGCCACTGGTGCCTTCCACGGTTTTGGCTCTGACCCAAGGTTCTCTGTTCTCTTCACCCTCTTGTTTCTCACAGCAGGCACCGCCATATTCGCCTCTTCCGCATCGCCATTGCCCTGTGTCTCGCCATGGACAGCGCCGCCTGCTTCCTGCGCAGATGCCTTACGCTTACGGATACGCTTCCCTTTAGCCTTCGCTGCCGCCGCCTCAGCCATAGCTGCACGCTCTTCGCGAACTCTCTTCAGGTCTTCATACTTCATCACCTTCGCCGTCCCGATGACCAACGAGCGTGTCGACCGTCGCACCTTGGCTTCGTTGTTGATCCTATACAATAGTCGGTTGTGGTCTTGAAGGAGGCTCTCTTTGGCAAAGGAAATCTTGGCAGCGCTTTCGAGCTTCCCTACACGCCTTTGTAGACACTGCTTGCCTGCGTCGTCAAATTCAGCGGCACAAATATCCTGCGTGATCAGGTTGTGCAGCGATGTCAAGGCCTCCACCGTCACTGGCGTCACAGGCGTTACAGGAGTCAGCGGAGCTTTGTCCTGCGAAGGCGTTGCTGCCACACCTGCGGTGGAGTTACTCTGCTCTGCGGGCGGCTTTGGCATGTCTCGTAACACCCTTTCTGGATTGAAAGGGAACAGCCCAGCAGCAGCCCACCCAGCCAGTATGTTCCTCTTGGTGATAGCCTTGTCCCTGGCTGGCTTGTAGAGGTAGGTGAAATGCTGCTTGCCAACAGTGTTTATGCCACCACGATTCAGTCGCTCGACTTGATCGCGATAAGCCGTCTTCAGAGGCCCAAAGACCGAGACATCACACGGCTGGGGCTTGTGAGAAGTATGCGAGGGTAGTCGACAAAGGATGATGTTATTTGCAAAGCAAAACTCCAGGATCTCAAGCGTCTCATGCGTTGCGAAGCCATCGGATATTAGTACACAAGGTTTGCCGTTGGCTATGCCTCTAGTTTCTGGATCGAACACGCGGGTGATCCATTCCAAGCTGATCTTGGAGTCATTATAACCTTTCTTGGAAATGCCGTAATGCCATCCAGGAGTCGGATGGGTGGTCCAATTGCTTCTGTGGGTGGCAGCTGGCCAAATTATGAGAGGATGGAATGCCCTACCATCTGCACTGATGCATTCTATAGCGGTGACTAGGGTTCGCTTTACAACGGAGCCTCTGTGACCGCGTAAGTCGTCTCTGCCAACAAGGGCCTTCACAGAGCCCAGCAAGCTTAACAAGACTCCTGTCTCGTCCATGTTGTAGACGTTCTCTGGTAGGACAGCTGGGTCGTTTAGGACCTCGCCGATCACCCGAAACCACTCAACAACCTTGTCGTGTATGTGCGTTTCGTGACGCTGCCAATCTATAGATTTGATCCGTCTCGCTTTGAGCTCGGGATGGCGTTTCCCAAAAGCCTGAGCCCAGTTCTTACCAGGAGGCTTGTTCGGTCTGTTCGTGGAGGATCGACGACGGGCGATGCTGAAGGCCAAGGTAGGTATATACTTGATGCGGACAGGCTGTCCAAGACTAGACATTAGCAACAGGATTGCAACAAGTGCTTTCTCTTCTTCTATAGTAAGGTACTGCTGGAGTTGGGCGACTTTCTCCTTCGAACGCCGCCCGCGATACCGGTTGTAGAGCGTGGTGAGGGCGACACCGCTCGATTCGGCTCTGGCAGCCCATGTCTTGCCGTCGCCTGGAGGAGCCTCTGCGAGCGCCTTGCTGGCTGCGTCCATCTTGACGATTGTGGATGAAGCACGCGAGGCGAACAACAACTGAACTATGGCATCCTCCTCGCTCGAATGCCAAAAATAGCCCTTTGTCTAACCATAGAAGCTTCGAGAAGAGTAGGATAAGCCTCCCTTCCCTGTGGTCGAAAATCTCGACACGCAGGGCCGTAACAATCCTCGAACATTGACTTGACCGTCGGCCGCTCTTCAGATACTAAGCAGTGTGCTGTTATACTCCTCGATTTTATCCGCAGATATGAGCAAGCTTGCGAATGCGAGATTAAGGACGAAGCGCGCTTCTGCAGATGTGTATTGTACATTTAGCGGCCTGCAATGTACACATGCGCTATACCAAAGGTGTCAATTTGTAGCACATGCTTTTAGAAGCATCTCTAAGCGTGTGCGTGCAAAGTTGTGCGCTAAATTTAGAAGTCGAGACAATAAGCTTGTCGCCGGCCTCCTGCTTGTTCCCTCACAGCCCACGTGGGCATCCCGGGGAACGAAGCCGCCAACACAGCGGCCAAGGAAGCCACCGGATGGAGAGAGGACGGACGCAGCCAGCAGCCGGCGGACACACCTTTAAAGCTACATCCGCTTCGATCGACGCTTAGACGATGGTGCAAGATACAAATGGAAAGGGATTAGATAGGCAAATGGAGGATCGAAGCCAAAGGTCGAACGACATACAGACACACGCCAACACCCACAAAAAAGGTGCTTCAGCTTCACCAAGGTCTCACTAAGCGGAAGAGCCTGCGCACTGAGAAGATCGGGCTCAACGACTTCCTCTTCAACCGGAGAGTACCAGACGTCACTAGCTCGCGCTGCGAGTGTGGCGAGAGGCGACAAACCGTCACCCACGTTCGCCTCCGCTGCAGGAGATACAAGGAATGTATGTTTTGTCAACTACTTTACTACCTGCTCTGCTTGACTCTGTATCGTCGAGGAGCAGTCATTGTTGTTTGGGAAGAATTGCAGAGACAAGTAGACAATTTTTGTATAGCTAACGTATAACGCGGAATCAAACATCGCGTTGTACTCTTCTTTTGGTGCAACAATCGAATTCTTCTCTGTCTCCGTCAAGCACTATCAGTAGCAGTGCATGAACAGTTCTTTCCCTAGCTACTTCAAAGTCCGTCCAGCGGTACTTGTCCTCGCTTTTTCCCTGATTTTTGATGGGGAAAGCAAAGCCTATGTTACTCTGTGAACCCTTACTTTGGCTTCTCAAACGCTGTCGAACAGTTCCGGTGGCATCGCCGCACTCTCAACGATCCGAAAGATCCTCAAGAAAGAGGAATTGCCCCGCCACTGCGCCAGATATAACGAGTACAATAGGAGTCCACTTGTTGGCAAACTTGTACAAAACGGCTAACGCAACCGTAAAAACTACAGCCGCAATTCCTGACTGTGCTGCCTTTGCAATAGCTAGCTCCACCGGCTTAGTTAGAAAGTCTCGTTCCGTTCCTTGGACGCTGGATTTGAGAATTTCAAAGCTGATCACGGCAATAACGCCAATGACTGCTCCACAGAGTCCGTCAAAAAAGCTAGAGAGAAACTTGCAGTGTGTCAGTTACTTTACCATAAGGCGAGTATGTAAGGGCAATGCAAGGACACGTACCTTGTTGTGAACCAGCTTTTCGAGCAATGAGTGGCCAGCGATAGTAAACAAGAAGCATGGAAAGAACATACCCAAGGTTATAACAACTGCTCCAGCGAATGCCATACCCAGGCCACCTTCTTTGTTGCCGCCCTGGAATCCAACGAACGTAGCAAAAATTACGAGCGGTGCTGGCAGTACGTTCCCTATAGCAATACAATCGATAAATACTCGCTGAGGTAGCCATGCACCTTTTAACACAGCTTCGACATGGACGAAGGGGATGGCAGTGTAAGCACCCCCAAATGATAACGAACCCGCAACGAGCCCAAGAACAAACAGATTGATGAGAGAAGGTGTCTTAGCAATTCCAAGAGCCAGTGATACTGGTGATGGAACACCTCGAAAGACGGCATAGACGGCATACCCCACGTATTGAAGGACGAACAATATGCCAGCGGGTATCCAAAGCCTACGAGCGACGAACATATAAATGATGCCGTACAGACCGAGAGAAATAAATCTGTGCACAGTCAGTCGGTTTTACTCACATATAGCGAGTCCCAAAGAGTACGAACATGTTCAGATGTAAAGCTGAATTGATGGCTGTACAGATTGCGGCCATGACAAGGAAGGGATCCACCTTCTTAGTGCCTTGATTAATTATGGAATGATCTGCTATCTTATGTGTAGCTTTAAAGATCTGATCCTGTTAGCAATAATGCACCCAAATATAGTGATAGACCGGGGAATGTAGCTTACCATGGCTGCCACAACTGGTTGCAATGCACGGAAACTGGCGTTGAAATACTTGTTCTCGAGACCGGCTAGAGTGTACAAGTAGCTTGCTACCAACATCAAGATGAACCCAGGCAGGATAAACCCTAACCCTGCGACGATTCCTCCAATTCTACCGGCGCTTAAGCACCCAAAGAACATGCAAAGCTCAGCTGCCTCTGGCCCCGGGAGGATCTGATAGACAGCGAAAACGCGTTGAAATCGTGCCATCGAGATCCATTCTTCTTTGACTACGATTTGCTCTTTGATCAGAGCAATCTGAGCGACAGGGCCGCCCCAGGCAAAGAGACCAAAGTTGTAGAAAAAGTACCAGAAAAGCCGAAGCAGGGACATCTTTGGCGCATTTACGTAGGTCAATTCGGTGTCTTCATTGGGGCGCGCGCTCGCCGATTCAACGATTTCAGAATTGTTCTTCGGTCCATCAGAGGGGCTGTGTGATGGACACGAACTTTCGACATCTCGATCGTTAAGTTGGGTTGCGGTTTCTGGAAAGCCAGGGGCTGCCATGTTTAATCGGAAGCAGAAGCTGTCGGAAACCCACGAATCTTAGAATTGGAAGGGTGGTGAAAGGTTGGTCTGTAGATACAATCCCCATCCGCAATACTAGGGTGATTTTATAATGCAAGTCGACAGAATGTTTGGTAACAGAATACGGACATGTAGGGACAGACCGCTCAACACTGATTGGTCGTACATATCGCTAAGACACTGTTGGGGTGCGGCTTTTGCCGATTTGCCTTTGTTTCTTCGCTTGCGCTGTCCAATTAAGTGATCGCGGTCCGACCTTGACCCACGCTAATACGACCATATTAGGCTTTAGCGTAAACTGAGACCCAGCTCTTTCACATTGCGTCCGTAGCACTAACAGTAAACAGCAAGTGGCACTAGTAATGCCCTGTGATACCGAATTTAGTCACTACGCAGGACGGACACACGCTGATCTATTGGCTAAACTGCCCAGCACCATATAGCTCGGTAGAGACATCAGACCTTGCAAGTTCACGATCAAAGCTGAGACATGGCCGATCAGCCTGACGGATTCTAGCATGGGTTCCTGGATCATACTGTGTGAACATATTCAAAGGGAAAGGTCACAATCGACTCCACGACAGCCTTGAATCTCTGCTATCACTCAACCTCTTGGACGTCGAATACGGATATAGTGCATCTGTCAGGAATCAACTATATTCTCCCTCCTGGCGGAGGCTTTCTGGAGATCGACCCAGAATTGTGGAAAGGCGCGCTTCTACCAGATGTGGCCTCGTCCTTCACGACCTGCATCTTCCATCGTTAGTACGCCCTCTCAATCACTATAGCGTTATCTTACGATCAAAAACGGTCCATTCAAGTAAGTTCAATCAGGAAACAACTGGATAGCATGCTAATGCCGGCCCTTCATGATGGAAAGTCAAGGCCGCCGTGGATGTGTGTCTGGTTGCTACTCACGACAACTCCAGAAGGGCTACAGGCTTGCCTGAGTCTATGTCAGAAATCACGCACACCATTTCAATGCCCTCAGCACGCGATGCAAGGGATGATGTTGGTGCGGAGTGGAGGCACGGAGGTGCTAGCCTAACTCCGCCTCCACAATATGTTTGACTCGGATTCTTTGTCGTTGCTGGAAGCTATTCGTAAACCCGACATTATTCATATAATGGAAGGCCTTCCAAAAGCAGCAGGAGCCAAGATAAGGTTGAAGCTTTTTCACCCACCCATAGTCCTTTGTGCCAACTCAAGCTTTAAGCGAGAGAAATAAACGAGCTCTCGCGCGTTGCGTTTGCTTGCCATGCGCCATAAGCAAGGCGCACGCAGAATGTGGCTATTTGCTCAAACCATAGTACCTACGTGCATAGGACCTTGGTCAGAGTGGGAATAGACTGTAGCGCCAACGGCGTCGTGAGTGGTCATGCGAACTTCATGCCCAGCGGCGGAAAAATTGTTCTCAGTATCGAAGCTGGTATTGTAATCCCCTCAACAGCTAGAAACCACGAATTAATAAGCATTAAGCAAAACTAACGGCGGCTTGATGCTGCATACTGAAGACTCACAGGTCGTCGGACTTTTCGCAATAGGCTTGGCTACGAACCAGCCACATCGGAGGATGAATCGATCGATATGCTCGGGCATCTAGGCTGGCCGTGACTAGATCGAGCCAATCAAACGTCTCGGGGCTGCCCTTAGCCAAGCACGCCACCGCAGCCCCGCTTCATTTAGGCTCAGGGAGCTTCTTTATTGTCCAACGCTGGACTTCTTCTGAACACATTGCGCTGCCTTTTTTCATCATGGGCAGAAACCCAGCGCCCCGCCAAGAGACGAACACCGACCGCAGTGTGCGAGCAAGAGACAACAAGCGACGACACCGTGCTCGCCAAAAGGAGTATGTTCTAGAACTCGAGCGCAAGGTGGCGATGACACGGGAGCAGGGAGTGCAAGCAACGAAAGAAGTACAGTCTGCAGCTCAGAGAGTCGTGCGAGAGAATGCCAGGCTTAGAGACCTGCTCAGAAGGATGGGTTACACCGATCGCACCATTGATGCTTGGGTCGCCGAGGATCAATGCTCGAGCGGCACGGAACCTATCCAGCTTGGGGTGAAATTGCCATCAGGACATAACGCACAGGACGTAGCATCGACTTTTGCGTCACAGAAGATCGAAACCCCTGATTTACCAACTGTTCAGACGACCCAGAGAACAAGGTTCTCAGTGCAGGCACTTGATGAAGAACCCTGCGCGGCTCTAGCCTACGTCGACTCGGAAAGCGAGAATTTGGGAGTATTGCCCACCCAGACATCGACGGTTACGTGTAAACGATCTCCTCGGCAACCGCAAAGAGTGGACCAGCCAGGGGCTCCTTGTAAACTCATCACCATGCTTGCGGAAAATCCAGCTCTCGATATCACGCAAGTGTCTCTTTCTGTCCAATCAGAAGATCAACCTTGCGAAACCAATGTATCGCAAAATTACGGCTCCAACGGCATAGAGTGCTCCACTGCGTACAGAATGCTTATACAACATGCCACTTCTGGCGAAAAGATGGATCGAATAGCCGCAGCATTGGAGAGTGGCTGTATGCCGTCGGCTACAGGTGGATGCCGTGTGAAGGAGAGTGTCGTTTGGAGAACATTGGACCAAGAATGCACTTGAAGATGCTTTACGATGGGCGCCTTGAAGGATTACAGGTGGGGCAGCAGACTTTTGATAATCGTCCATCCTGAGCCAACGTATGTTGCGCTTATCTCATCCTGTGCGTGAACTCAGACAAGGCTATATCGCGTCTGGCTTCAAGCTTGTCTAAAACTGTTATAAGCTCTCTGAAATGCAACTCTGCTGTCGTTGCAGTTGCTACCCTTATACAGAACAACAATATGTTCTTTCGGCTAAGAACACGTACAAGGGCGATCACAGCAGCATACAGAGAAGCTTCAAGAAGCATGCGCCACAGCTCAAGCTGTTATAATGCAGGTTTACAATGCAGGTACAGTATGCGCTTTCTCAGCGCGCGGAGAATCCTTGCCTAAGTGGAGAGGCATGCACGTCTCCGTGGATAAATCCGGTGTAGAAGTTTCCAGTCGTGGCAGGTCTTCGTACTTTGCAAGCTACATTTTGACACGGTGAATCGGACTCTGGAGCCTCCGAAGTGGCGATCATCGTAATGTTAAACAAGAGAACAGGGGTGCATTGTTGTTGCAGCTTCTGGCTGTGCTGAGAGGATGTCTGTAAGTATGCGCAAGACCGCTGTAATTTTGCTGTTTGATCTCAGGAACAGATCATGCTCTTACAAAGGGATATTACTGTGCTTGTTTGACCTTCGTAGGACGGTGGGTTGAAGAGTGGTATTGACTGAATGACTCCATAGTCCTACGCGGTGGGGTAGTCAATCCGCAAGGAGAGAGATTAATTAGGGCTTGTTTAATGCCCATAATCCTGATCGGGGCGATTTTCCTACGAACGAAGGGGAGGGCACTAAGCCCAGTCTGTTGCTTTGTGCCAGGCAAGGACTAGCTTAATTTACAATACCAGAGCCAATGCTACAATACTGCTTGACGTAAGCTGCCTCGAATTAGCTTCTGTTGATATGCGATGAGCGCGTCAATCCGGAACATTTCGGACTGCGACAATTTTCTTCCTATCTTAAGGTATATTATTAAACCCCCGAAATATCGTAGTTCTCCTGTACAGGATCTTGAGCTTGTGTGAAAGCCTATCGCGATCGCGAGGCGTGCTGTATGGAAAGACAAAAGCCGCAACAAGAATGTGTAATTTTCTATCACAAACAAGGGACTATCAGACAACCTTGTGGAGTATACAACATTTCAGTTATAGCTGCTGGACAGCCGGGTTGAATGGTTAGAACATTGGTTTAGAGATTTTTTTTCCTGTGCACCGGTTTTTCCTGGTAGCAGGGGGAGACCTTAGTCTATTGGGTACGGTTCCTTCTAACCTGCAGAAGCGCGGCATTTTTCGATCTAAGGTCAGATCCTGCGAGCCCGGAATATGCGGCAATCTTGAGACATTTGGAATTTGAACCTGGCAAAGATAAGGCTAGAGGCCTTCAGACCTCTATAGAAGACAAGAGTCAGAGTAGCACAGTTGTCAATTTGGGCCAACTTTGGTAGTCTAACTGGAGGCAGCTACAACGTTGTAGTTTACAAGATCTATACTGACGACATTCAATACGAGCCCTGGAGGTAGTCAGGCCCTTCTTCCGACGCACATTGTATATTCAAACCGAATAACGTGCTGCCCCGTCTGGTGCACGGTATAACAGTTTGGTGCAGTAACTACCAAAAACTGCATGCACCATAGTAGCAAGAGACAGCTTGCGTTCCGATAGGCCGAGTTACTCTGAACCGTGGTACACCTAACTTCGACCCTTAACTCACGATGGCCTGACCTCGGCAGCTCAGAGGTATGCGAATGCCTCCGGGGTAGGTCTAACGGTGCCAACGTCGTAGTCCCTTTGTCCCCGCTTTCGGAAATAAAGACCTCCACGTTAGATATCTAGTCTTCTGGTCGGTGGATAGCAGTCTGGACGATGGCATGCTCCAAAGTACACCACAGTCAACTGGTCATCCCCAATGGCCGCGCGAAAGCAAAGTTCTTGCCTTACAGATATACCAACACCTTGACATCCTCCAGCTTTCGGTGTACTACATCAGAGTAGGCTAGGACCATGAACTGAGAGTCTGCAATCGCATGCGGCTGGCGCTTTCCACCTCTTACCTGCGCCGCCCAACAAGGCCGATCAAAGTCCACCAGCGCGGAGGGCTACACCAGCGAGATAACCTCCAAGGCCGCAATCACCGAGCGTACAAGGGGGACGGTTCTAAGCGCGTCACAGAAGATACCAGCGTGAGGGGCAACACTTTGTGTCGGAGGGAGTGAAGGTATCCACCGATCGCCATCTGTTTGCTGCTAGCGGTCCGTTGCAGTGTTTGCTAACGGTCCGCTGCACTGATTGTCCAGCTCATTCGGTTAGCTCAGTTTGCTTCCCTAACCCTTCACTGCTATCCCCTTCTACTATATAGTCTCGATCGATTCTAGCCCATAGCTCTAAGGATCAATCAACATCTCAACCCTTCCACACTTTGACTGCTGAGAACGCTGTGTTGTTGAGCACACCTGTCGGAGTCTTGATGTATATATATAACTATATATATATATATATATATATATGAGCCCCTAGCTACGCACAACACCTCCTCACTCTCATCCACTCCCTTGACTCTAACTGTCTCCCCTAGCTCTAATGTGCTTGTTCTTTGATGAGCTAGAATGCTAACTATATTTTTAACATTTGTACCCCAAGGACAGCTTAAAGGCAGCATATTCTACTAGCATATGTGCTCTTCTCTGCTCATTCCCTGCATCACTAACTGCTTCACAGGAGAGGTGTTTTTCTGCATTCACAAGCGGCTCCTGAGGAAGCTTGCACTCTACGATTACTATGATACTATTAAAGATGCCAAGGGCCACGCCTTCAAGCAGCTGAACCAACTGGCTAAAGACAAGAATGGCGCGTTTGAATGGCCCCACATAAGTGGCAGCAAGGGCGGCAAGCACCTTAAGCATTAGCTTGTATATCCTATGCTAGTGCAGATACACAGCGCTGGCCTCTTCAGCCTCTGAACCGCTCCGCCTACTCAGGCTAACCATGAGAATTAGCACTGAGCGAGACACGAGCAAAGTGACAGCTAGCATATTAGCAACTGCGTGCGATACTGGTGAAGCGGCTGCCGATACCGCAACTGCTGAGCGCAAGACAAGGGTTAGCACGCATGTTGATGCCAACAAGACGTCTGGGGCCGCGGTGTCTAGGCCTGAGAGCTGCGGTCATAAGCACATGCGAGAGGATACCGACCTAGATAGCAACACTGGCAAGACAATGTCCAGGGCCGTGATTTGCAGACTGAGTACATTGAATGCCTCTAAGCTGAGCTATAACGGGAGACGGATGCAAGCAATGGGGGTAGGAGATAGATCGGACGCCGTTGACGAGGGCTTACTGTGATGCGAGCCATGATGGTGTGAATGCCTCCTGGCGGGTGCCTGGGCTTGAGGATTGCAGTGTGGGTGTGCTGGCAGATTCATTTCACACTATGCATTGGTCCTCCATCAAGAGGCTACACAAAATCTCAATCTAGACCATATTGGATCCAAACTCCTATCCTCGTCATCTCTTCTCAAGAGCACGGCTTCGAAGATTCCGAGCCTATCTCATCCGCCCATCGAGTCCTTGCAGATCCCTCTCCAAATCGTTCCATTGCCCTGTCTGCTGGTTGAACGCCTCCTGCGGCCTCGGGTCCTCATAGCCCGCACGGTCATAGTTGTTCGGAATGGGGACCTGCTGGCCCGGCTGCTGTTGCCCGGCGCCTGCGCTAGGCTGGACACGCACCATCTGGCGGAAGCGGTTGACCTCGTCGAGAATCATGCGTTTCATCTCTGGAATTTCGTCGACGACTTCGAACTGGAAGTCGAACGTTGTGGGGCACGAGGGCTCGTCGGAGGCATCGTGCCAGATCTGCAGGTAGCGGTGCTCGAGGGCTTCCTCAACGGAGATGCGGCTTGAGGGGTCGAAGGCGAGGAGGCGGTCGAGCAGGTCGAGGGCGTCAGGGTTGGCGTTGCGGAAGAGGGATTGGAAGGAGATCTTTTGCATGCGGGGGAGGTTGCGGACGTAGTCTTGGGCACGGGGGGAGCCGATGCGCGAGAGGGTTTCTTCATTGGGGGTTCCAAGGTAATGCAGGATCTGGTTGAGCTGGTCGACGTAGTCGCGGCCCTTGAAGAAGGGCTTGCCGCCGAGAAGTTCAGCCAGAATGCAGCCTACTGACCATACATCGACTGTGCGGCTGTTAGCCTACAAATTCGGAGTTAAGGGCAGACCATGTGGAGTCCGGTTAAAGCGGCTCTGGACCCTGAACATGCTACGCATGCGCTTTGATGCCGGTGAAAGTGGAGCATGTTGTGTACGTACTGGCTTTTGTGTAGCTCTGGAAACTTAACATGATCTCAGGAGCTCTGTACCATCGAGTTGCGACGTATTCGGTCATGTATCCCGCGTTCTCCTCAGGGTCCATGGAGAAACCTCTCGCCAGACCAAAATCGCAGATCTTGAGCTCGCAGTCGGCGTTTACGAGCAGGTTACCGGGCTTGAGATCGCGGTGGAGGACATTCGCCGAGTGGATGTACTTCAGACCGCACAGGATCTGGTAGATGAAGGACTGGAAGTGTGCGTCGGTAAGGGGCTGGCCGGAGCGGATGATGGCTGCCAGGTCGCACTCCATGAGCTCTGCGCCATTGTTAGCATTGTTCAATGTGTGCGGTGCTGGGGAGGGCTATACCCTCGTAGAGGTAGCACTCATTGAAGTTGTCTGGGCGGGGGATGTCCATGTCGTAGAGACATGTGATCTGTATGCAGTCAGTATGTGGTTGTGTGTGGATTTAGATGTGCAGGCTGCCTACGTTGCGGTGGCCTCTGAAGTGCTGCAGCAGCTTGATCTCGCGCAGGGCGCGCTTGGCAAGGATCTTTTTGCTAAAGACATTGGTGACCTTCTTGATGGCGACGCCCTCGCCGGTCTGGTTGTTGGTAGCGGCGCTGTAGACACGACAATCAGCATCCTGTGCGCGGCCTGCATGTGCCCGCGCGTCCTTACCAGACAATGCCGTAGGCGCCCTGTCCCAGCTCTTTCGTCACATTGTACCGCTCGTCGACGACGAACTCCTGGTTGAAGACCTTGAAGACCTTGCGGTTCGCGAGGTCGGACATGGCGGCGGTTGTGGCAGCTCCTGCTGCTGTTGCTCAGGCTCAGGCGGGGTCGTGGGGGGGATGCTGTGGCGGGGCGAGGCTGTCGCGGCAGTCAAGCGAGCGTGCCTGGAGATTGCGCGGCGGTTGATCAGCAAGGAAGGAGGGCAGGCTTTGCAGGCTCCAGCAGGCGGCAGCTGGGATGTTATACTACGAAGGACAGCTCTAGGCGCTGCGGCCGAGATTCAGGTGTGATGACAGGCACAGGCAGGACAAGGCGGGGCGACAATTCGAAACGAGGAATTCTTACGTGTGGATGCAGACAAAGGCTTGCACAGATCCTTCACCGCACAGCTCAGCAAACGCGAGAAGATATGAGGAAGCGATTGACTATGGCACACACCAGAAAAAGCGGTCGTGCCTGTCGCGTCTCCCGTGAGCTTGGAGGGGTGAGACTGGGTCGTGCAGCTGATGGTGAGCCTGATGTGGCTAGCCGCAGGGAGCTGCGAGCTTAGCAGACCGCTCTGTCCGAGTGAACCACCACTCAGCATCAGATCCAGCGAGAGGCACTGACGTACGTGCCACAGGGCTGATGCCCATTCGAGCGACATCACCGTTGTGCCCCGTGGAATCCACGGATTGGCGTTCCCGTTGCTCGAACGAGGAGGTTGAGCTCGTATCATCATAAACTATGTATCAGGTGACGAAGCGTGTCATAGTAGCGATATGTATCGGTGTTGATAGTATCTGCGTGCAAGTACTCATTGACAAGAAGGAGTATTCGCACAAGGTAAACCATCAATATATCCAAACCCAGCCCTATATACCTATGATTCAAGATCTTGAACGCCATACCCGCCGCCCCTGTTGCGCCGTATGCCGCTAAATAGATCGAGATGGACTCCACCGATGGCGCCAACACCAGAAAAACGCCAATTGTAAGTATGCATCAACCCAACGCCCACAACACCGTAATCATGACTCGTAAGAGAAGCGCCGTCTCGAGCTGTCCGTCGATGAAGGCGCATCGAGAGGAGAGATGGGAGAGAGTAGGTCATCAACGGAGCGACCGTCTCGCTGTGCACGATATGGTGGCAGTTGAAATAACGTATCGCCTGCCTCGAGATGGGCCCCGTTTCTGGGTGCTCGTGGTGTGACGGGTGACACGCCGTTGCTTGGTAATCTGGTGTTCACCATGGCGATATCATCCAGAGATGCAACTGGAGCAGGTCGAGCAATAGTTGATGTGGCCTGAGTCCTTGCATTTGTATCGACCCCATTGATGTTCTTTTCTCGAACTAGCATCGTCTCTTTCTCAGACAGCTGACGACCGGCGGCTTCCTGGGGGGCAGGGATGTCTCCAAGCATCTCGTAAACAGGTCGTTCGGTGTTGTCCACTTCCATGACCTCGATGGAGCCTTTCTCTTTGTCGTCTGTACCCATCTCATGCCAATGGACGTTCGACTGTCCAGGGAGCTCGGCCTTGGGAAACACGTTTGGCACCTTCTCGCTCACAGGTGAAGAGAGAGGCTCATCTCTATCGGTGGGCGACGCCTTCCTTGCGGCCTCTGCTTCGGCGGCATCAGCTGCGTACTTCGCTGCTATTGCGTTGCAACGTCGACGCCAGAGGTATGCAGCAATGGCAGTGGCTATGAAGATTACAATGAATACGCAGCCAACAGCGATGCCGACTATTACCCCTGTGTGAGATTCTCCCGTTTTCGTGATGGCGGTGGCCACTTCCGCATAAATGGGTGAGACGATAGATACGACGTTAGTCGGTTTGCCGTAGGTCCAGTCGCACTGATAGACGTTAAAGCGAGATCTCTCCCAATCCACCTTGATGTAAGCTTCCTGCAAAAATGTTTTCCCTAAAGCCCACTGAGTTTTGTTGTCGCCACGTCTCAAAGGGAAGTATCTTGTCGTTTCGTTCAAGCCCCTGTAAGGGTGTTGGGCTTCCAGGTCAAATGCGGCGTAGGGTAATGTGATTTGTACCGTCTGATCCGTAGTGTGTGCCTGGCGCAAGCTGAATGTGACACTGGGATCCTGAGCCAGCAGTGTTTGGTGCAGCAAATCGTCCACGAGGTATAGTTTAGTTGTGTTGTCGTACGTCAATCCGAATGCTTTCTCGAAAGCTTCACAAATCGCCAATGGTAGCCAGAGCTCTGCTACAGTCGTGTCGATCAACAAGGTCACGTCATCCGTCCCAGCTGGGAGAAGGTTGATGTCGGACCGAGTGGTGGTATTTGCAGTCAGTCCAGCAAGTCCTACAACCAAATCACGTTCGTTGTCAGGTGAGAAGACGAAAGAGACGTTGTTCGAAATATATCGCGAGGAATCGTAGCCACCGAGGGTCAAGCTGCCGAGGAACAGCGTATCATCTATGTTGGTCAGAGAGTGGAGATTTGAACTGAGGGAGTGGTGACGTACGGTACTGGACGCCCGCTGTGTAGCCGAATGACAGACTGGGGATATTGCCTTGCTCAAAAAGCCTTGTCATGTAGCTAGGTACGGGAGGCGTTGACAATAAATCGGCCGAAAAGTTCGTTGGCTTTGGATGCAATCCCAGCTGACCCAGCCAAAAGTTGGAGTTTTTGAGCGTACCGATCGTGGTGTTGTCGACTGTTGGACCCTCCTCTCCCGGTATACCAAGCCCAACCGCATCATAACCGTAGTAGCCATTGCCAGACAACCCATAAGTACCGCCGACCCAGAGACCGTAGAAGCCTTGTTCATCCCAGGTGCTTGACTCCGTGGTGTTGAACAAGTATCCGCGACTGCCCTTGCATTTCTGGTCGAATCCGATCACCGTCTTGTTGATGCTCGTATCCTCGTACTGGCCTACACAAGCGTCGCGATTTACAACCCATATTTGCTGACTAGCTGTTGACGGAAAGACATTAGCAATGGACTGTTGTGAGCCCACTCGCAAAGAGAAGGTATTCCATGCTCCATCAATGCCCAAGAAGCCCTGGTCTGGCGCGACTATTATAGGCGCTGGTACGCTCGACACTCCTGGCAGTAGTGTGTAGCCCGGGGTGGTGGTGGTGTTCTTCTGCACATAAGTGGCCGAGCATAGCGAGAGGGATGTCCATAACAGGAGCGTTGTCGTGTAGGCGCAACGGCCGCCGCGGTAGAGAAGCATGACGCTAAGCTTTTAGTGGAGCGAATGGAGGAAGGCGTGACCAGCCAAACATCTGCAACCTCGACAACAGTAACGTATCACCACTCCAACATTGTCGAATGCCTCCAGCGCTGGGAAGATGAGGGTGAGAAATGCGGAGGCAGCGTGATAGACCCCGAGATAGGGCTGGACTAACTCCAAGATCTCAGCCGGTAGTCAAGGGATCCTTCGCAGCCAAGGCACGCTGTTCTAGGGGCGTTTGGCGCCCTCGACACGGACGTTGAGCTCTCTCCAGAACGCCGAGTCATGCGATTCGCTGCGACTGCGGCATCAGGCCTGCTGCGATAACCACCTTCCTGCCGCGGCTTTTGGCTTTGCTTGACGGTCCAGCCGTTCTTCCCAGATGCCGGATGATAGTTCAAAAATTACATCCGGCGCTGTGTGAGCATGGTGCCGTCTGGTAGCAAATGGTACTCCTGCCGGCCCCAAGTACAGCCCACAGATTCGACATAGCAGCGCTCAACACCTGTTCTCACAATTTGAGCTCTATGCACCTGGAGGCTTGCAGCATGGCGCTCCGCCCGTAGACCCTGACCTCCACATCTTCGGCTGCCCGCAGCCACTCGCTCATGACGCGAGAGACGTACTCTGGTTTCCCTCACTTGAGTGTTCTTGTGAAGTCTAGCCCGCCGAATTCTGGCTTGTCAGCGCTACACTAAATTTTCCATCTGATCGGCATGCTCGACAGGGGAAAGACCACAAGATTTCGACCCATCTCGCCGGCTTGCATGCCTTCTCGATGCAGCTCACATGCGTCTCCAAACGTGTTGTATCAACTTCGCCAAACCCGCAGCATGGCATAGCTGACAGCTGTGCCTTCCCAGGAGCATAAACTGCAATTTAACCCGTGCCGCATAGTATCAACAATCAGCAAGGAATCGATATATGGTTGTGCAATCTACATGGCGAGCGACCAGCGGGGGCGCACAAATACAAGCAATCAACCATGTCGGGAAAGGTACAGCCGGTTCGTTAGTGGCTTGTACCCCAGAGCTAAGGTGTCAACGAGCACCAAGTGGTTTACACTCAGCTGGCTTCGCTTGACCAACCTTGGGGTAAGAAACAGCAACCGTCTTAGGTTTCCGCGAGCATGAGCAAGTCATTGGTAGAGAGGTATATTTCACACGCAGAGCGTAAGCTCGACTGTGAGTTGATTGCTGGAAGAGGAGAAAGGTTACGAGCTGTGCCGGACAGCACCCAGCTGGTGGCTTGGGTCTAGTCAACAACTCTTGTCCATACATCGACGACTTCCACGAAGAGACAGATCGGTCGAGTCCAAAACACGTTGGCCCGCTCTTAACGCTGAACCAGATATCCCCTTCCTCTCGTTGAGTCAGCATGTCGCTACGAATTCGCTCATTTACGCAGCATATCTGAATGAGCTGCACATCGCGAAAGGCATGGTTTTGCAGTATTCGCTCGTTGCCTTCTTTTTGGCGCCTTTATCGACAGCCATCAGGTTCCAAGGCCGTGGTAGCGCGAACCACACAGGTAAGGTCACGTCCCTCGACTCGTCCTCGTAATTGACTAACCAAGCCATCAAGCCGCTTCTTACTCTAACAGCACAACAAAGGTTAAGTCTTTAAAATCAACAACCGCGACTGCTTCACAAACATCGTCAATAGTACCTTCATCCTACTACAATTATGTCGCTAAAACTGCGTTACCGAGCGGTTATGTAAATCCTAGGCCTACCGATACTGGACCTGCGCCAATCGATTCTTACGATGCGACTCTCCACAACTATACGAGGACATCAAATGCATCGTGTACTGTTCACATTCCGGATGCGAGTATCGAGTGGTGGCACCCTGCAACTTATACCCATCCATTGGCGACGATCACGAGTGTTTGGGGTAATTACTCGAACGCAAAATCTTACACATTCTTACTACACACCACATCCTTCGATGCTGTGAGCGCTCTCCAGACTGAAGAAGTATGCATCTCCGGATGGACCACATTCACTGAATGGAACTGGACGGCTTGGGAATGCATACCCTATACCGAAAAACCAATTGCCGCCAGCACGGCCGTAGTTTACAGAACAGCTGTCCCACCCATACCTTCTGGTAGAGAGATAGCTATGTCCGAAGTCTGGAATTACGATATTATACTTAATGATCTGCCCTCAATGACCATATCGATCTCGGTTGGACCGAACGCTACTACTGTAGGAACGATGCCAACTCCCTTCGTTCACTTCACAGCTTACGAGGTCGAGCATGGAAACAGCACAAAGACCGTAGAGTTGAGCTCCGTCTACGTGCAATCGTACTGGCGAAAAGGCATCGAACATGATGTAACAGCCACCGGTCCAGTTCCGGGTGGTTTCATGGATCAAATCCCACAGTCGGCTTGCTATGTTGGAATTCTGCAAGCCGTTGTTACGGTGATCATTTTCGTTGAGATGTTCTACATCAACCAGCCAACTTTTGCCCCTGGCATTGTTCACTGGGAATCATCGGCTCTCGGTTGGGATGATGAGGCCCCATTAGGAGTCATGGATCAGACTTTGACCAGTATACAGTCGCATATCATGACAGATTGGAACCTCTCCGGAACGATGACCGAGCCAGTGGGACCAAGGACTACCGAGCAGCAAAATCCTGCGCCAACAGTGAAGCCTGGCGTTGTCAGTGACCCCAGAAAGGAGACCAAGCCGGCGCAAGTACAAACTGTTGGTACTGTCGGCACAGCTCCCGCTGTGGTGGGTCCATCGTCTGTTGTAGTCGAAGGCTCACAGACTTTGAGACCTGGAGGCCCAGCTGTTACCGTCAGTGGTACTCCTGTCGCATTGGCTCCGTCAGCTACTGCGATTGTCGCGAAAGGCACATCATTGCCGCTGCTTCACAATCAGAAACCTGGGCAACAACAGACGGTTGGCACTTTTGGAACAATTCCAGTTGTGGTGGGCCCATCGCTAGTTGTGGTTGTGGGCACACAAACATTACAACCTGGAGGGGCTCCCATCACACTCGGACCTGGAACTACTGTATCGCTTGCACCTTCAGCCACAGCCCTCGTCATTGGGGGCACTACTTCGATCCTTCCACAAATCGTCAATGTAGCACCTCAAGCTGCAGCACCGCCTGTTTTGACGATAGGTCCCACAACTTTCGTCCCGAATGCCGCCACACAGTTCTTCATTGGACCTGGGCAAACATTGACACCAGGCGGCACTGCCGTCATCGATGGTACAAAAGTCAGCCTTGACTCTTCAGCTGCCTTTATAGTCATAGGCAGCTCAACACAGATCTTGCTATCATCTGGTTCAGCGTCAGTGCAGGTCAACAACGTGCAGCCAGAACTGGTCTTTGGCGATTCGACATTCACGGCCCTGCCTACAAGCAGCAGGTCTGAAGGATCTCCGGGCAATTGCCCGAGTGATCCCAAGAAATCCCAACAACAAAACCAAAACAGCCAGATCAATCAAGACGGGTCAGGCCCAACCTTTGTTATCTCGGGCCAAACTCTTGCGCCAGGCGGCGCACCCATTACAGTCTCTGGCTCGACACTCTCCCTGGCGCCCTCCGGATCTTTCCTGGTAATTGATGGGTCAACGACAAGCCTTGTTATACCGGCCGTAGTTGCTGCGGCACATATCACACCACCACCACTGACAATCGGCAACGGCGTCTTCAGGCCTCTTACAGGAATAGGGACAACCTACCAGATCGGCACCGCTTTGCTCACCCCAGGAGGGAGCATAGTCGTGGCTGGAACTACCATTTCTCTCGCCCCAGGTGCCACAGCGCTTGTCGTCAACGGAGTCACCACTACTTTATCAGCTCAAGCGCAGCCGATCATCACGAATCCTCCGCTGCTGGCGATAGGGAGTCAAATGTACACCGCGACACCCGGGACTGGAACAACGTTTGTTATTGGAGGGCACACGTTGACTCCTGGCGGCACGATCACGGTCGATGGGACGACTATCGTCCTCTCGCCGCAGGCGACAGAGCTCGTGTACGGCAGCTCGGGTCGAAGCACGAGTACGGCGCTGTTTCCAGCTACGACGACGAGAGGGACGAGAACAGCATCATCGGCAAGTGCGAGTGAGAGACAGAGTGGAGGAGGGCAAGCTGCACCCACGAGTTCACGAGAAGGAAGAGCATGGCGGCCGGGGTCATCTATCAGCGCTCCGCTCGGTGTTGTGGGTTGCTTAGGGTGGTTGCTTGTATGAGACTTTACTCTGTTACACGCGTGACTTGGAATGGCATTATAACTGGCGTTGGAGGAATCTGCATGGCATGGCATGGCATTAAGCATTGGGAATTTCACGATGGAGACTGCGGTTGCAGTATTCTAGTGTCGTAGTTCTTATGCGCCGCCCTTTTGGCGTAACCAGGTTGCACATCGGCGTGCACCGACTATACAGTCTAATGTATATACTACTGATTCACAGTCAACTTGCACAATCACAAGCGAGTCAACATCATCGCAAGGTGCCCTCTGCCCGGAGCATGTGATCCTCTTCTGCCTTTGACTTTTGCAGTTACATGCCACAGCCAAGCACCACGCCTCATCAGCATCAACGGCCGGCCAACACACCTCCATCAAGAAGGTCACCTTTTCTCCCCATTTACTCCCGTGCTCGGGTGACAAAATAAGCCGCACTCACAAAAAGTGTGCTTCTGCCAACCAAAATAATCGCACAACACCACACAATATCAAAAACCTAACAAGACAGGATTGTAGAGAATATCTTATTCTACAATTCTGTCTTTTTCTAAGAATTAATCTCAAGTCGTTGTTGCGTGGTATCATGGCAAAGAGGGCGACCTTGTTGGTGTTCCTCGACTTTTGGCTGGTTTAGAGTGCCCGAGGTGCCGCGATGACTCCAAGATGCCTCGTGACATGAGGGTGTTGATGCCTGGCCACGATGCTCCATAGGGCTTACCGTTGTGCCGCGGCGTTTCTGCGTGATGGTCCCTGACCGAATCGAGAACGCCACTTCCGACCTTAAATCTCTTTGTCGGCTTGCCAAGGTGCCCACACTCACACCACATTTCACTACCCCATCATGACGTGCTCGCTGCATCGCGCACACCGAGTGATGTTGCAATACAGCAACCTCGTTCCTCAATGCTTCTCTTGCTGATGCAGCATGAAGGGCATTACGAGCAGACTTACAATTCAATACTTCTTCGTTGAGTTGGACAGACCTGGAGTTATGTTAGGGGCGCAGTGCAGCAAAATTTCCCTGAGCCGCTTAGGCATCCAATGACCCCCTGCATGGATCATAGGCGGTACGACTCGTGTAGCCTTAAAATACTTCATTCAATTCCGTTTACCCCTGCCGAACTCGCCGGAAGAGGTGCTTTGTAGACTCGCGTAGGCTTTCAGAGGAGGCTTCCCTGACAACACCTGCTGGCACGGCCCCTATTGCGCTCACGATATCCTACGGCCCGCGCGATTGGGTAAGTTGCGTTACAATGGCGTCGTGAAACTTGCTCTATTGGTCGCGTAATCGATGAACAATCAGTTTGTGCAAAGCTAACAGCAGAATGCCAAGAGAGAAGGAGATGTGGCTCTGCGACCGGTCAATGTCTTTCTGTTTAGAGGTAGGACGACGGGAAGCTTGGGTAGGTTAAAGTAACCTCCATGCCCTGGCGTTTGGCGGCTATTAACCTTATAATATTTGCCTTGAGGTTTTGATACTTACTTCGAAGGTTGTTTATTAACAACGAGCTATGGCTCTCAAGTACGTCCTTGCGGCTTTCGCATTGGGTGCTGCGAGTGTGAATGCGCAGACAACAGACAACTCGAATTTCTACTCGGTCTCGGATGACTACTACAACTATGGCTACACCAGACGGACTTCGTCGAAGACTTCAATGTTCTGGACAGCCACACTCCGGTACATGGACTATGTTTCGGTGAAACCATACACCTACGCCGGCAGTACTACAACCTACGAATACACATACACACGTACGATCAATCCAACAGTAACACCAACAGTCACAGCGACATACTCCACAGCCTACGAGTCAACCTACATAGATGTCGAAATTGTCCAATTGTACTACGCTACCGGCGCAGTTGCGGAGTCTGACTTGGTCTCGAGGACTACCTACGATTACTACGATACGACAACGTCGTCGGCGACAACAAGGTCGACCTACTCCACAACTGAGTACTACATGCCGGTTACCATGACAGCGCCTGCAAGCTGTCCTACGATCTTCACCGTGGCGACGCAAGCCGAGATCTCATATATCCCATCCATCGTCACCGATCAACTCAAGCCCACATCGACAGAAGTCAGCACAAGCACTGGTCGATCGTACGTTGCTGAGTACGCAACCTGGTACCTCCCCGAGGGTGCAGCACCGTTCACCAGCACGGACGACGACAACTACTACAACTACATCGCCTCATGCACACCCCCACCGGCCCAGTACACAAGCAGCACTCGCACCTCTGGCGGCAGCGGCTCCTCTAGCTCTGGATCGGACGACGATGACTCCTGGACAGACTACCGTACCTGCTACTTCGGCGGCTGTACAGACCTCAAGACATGGATCATCATCATCGCCACTATCCTCCCAGGTATCTTCCTCCTCGGCTTCCTGGAATCCTGGTTCTGGTACACACGCCTGATGAAGGGCAAGTCCGCCATGCGCTGCGGCACAGTGTGCTGGATCCTACTCTCACTCTGCGTTCTCTGTTTTACCCGCATGCAAGACGCGCGCAGCAAAGAAGACCAGAAACTGCTCCAGCAAAAGTGGAAAGAGATGCCTGCAGGCCAGAAGTTCAAGAACTGGTCTTGGGGCTTCAAGCGCCGCTACCCTGTCTCTCTTCTCGGCCAGTTCTCCAAGCAGACTGTCGGTATTGTGCCGGAAGGCCAGCCACTGCATCCAGCCATGGCTCAGGCGCCCCCAGGGCAGGTCTTCTACTACGGTCCTCCTCCGCCTGGCGCACCTGGGTGGCAGCAAGGCCCCAACGGCGGTACACCGGGCCACCCCTTTCCGGCGCAAGGCTACCCACAGCAGGGTGGCTACTACGCCACCAATGTGCCGAAGGATGCCGTGGTAGTTGGCTCGTCGCCGGTACCGGGTACAGCTATACCACCACAGGCTCCTCAGCCAGCGTACCATCCTCCCACATCGCCGCCGCCGAACGCTCAGCTGCCACCGCAGCCTCAACAGGCGGCACCTTCTCCTGCACCACCGGCACCTGTTGCCGCTCCTACGAATGTGAGCGAGGTACCGGCTTCACAAGCTCGTGAAGCGCCAGCTGCTCAGGCAACTCAACCATCGCAGGCCCCGGCAACAACGCAGCCGCAGCCCACACACCCTGCGCCAGCGAAGAACGAGACGAGCGATGACTTGTACAAGTAGAATCCGGAGGCATAATACCGAGGTGTGAAGAACGGAGGACGAAGAATCTTGTCGAGCGTCTTATACTTGCATAACATAGCTTATCATCACATAGAAGGAAGCAAGAAGAAGATACCCATGGCGGCGATATTAGCATAGTCGTAAAATTTAATAATAGAGTAATTAAGCTCAGTTACCAACCTGGTGCAAGTTCATTTGCGACTCTGCTCGCCCCCTCAACGAGAGGAAGGAGGAGCCAATCCGCGACTTCTCCCTAGAATGCACACCTCGAACATCTTGCCTATCTCCACAATCAAGCTAAGGTACTATCTCAAGACGTGGAGAGCGTAACCAAACACCACCATCAACATCACCATAACCCAGCCTTCTTATCGATAACCAAACCCTCCCAAATTCCACCACCCCACGTCACACCCTTCTCCCCTTCACAACAACACCACAGTCCTTACCACGATGTCTGATCTCACCGCCCCCGATCCTACCGCCGACACTCACTCGCCCCTCGAAGCGCTCCAGCAGCGGCACCTCAAAGAACAGCGCGACCTAGCCTCGCGCATCACGCAGAAAAAGAAACAGGCGACCAAGAAAATGCGCAAGGGTGTTAATGACGAGTGCGAGCGGCTGGAGCGCGAGCTGAGAGAAAGGCAGGCGGAGGAGGCGCGGGCCTTGAGCGGCGAAGCAGCTCCCGTGGAAGAGGAAGAGGAAGAGGAAGACGTGGAAAGTGGGCGAGGGGAGGATGCTAAGGACGAGGTGGTTGATGTGAAGATCGAGGGGCTGCGTATAAATGGGCGTGCAACGTCCTCGCCTACACCGTCTGCACCGCCGTCTACACCAGCACAAAGCGAGCCAGGGCAGGGCAAGAAGAAGAACAGGCAGAAGGAGCGCCTAGCGCGGCGCAAAGCAGAACAAGACGCCGCCATTGCGCAAGCAGAAGAAGAAGCCCGCAACGCGCCGAATCCACGAGAACTCGAGAAACAGCGCTTCGAGCCGCTCCTCCGCCAGAAGGGACTGCAATTGCATGAAGTTCGCGCGGATGGACATTGCCTGTACGCCGCAGTCGCCGACCAACTAAGCACCCGCAGTCTCGACCTGACGCCCAAGATCCCCATTACGATCGCGGACTCTGAGAAGGCATTGCCATATAAGAAGACCAGACATGCGGCGGCGGGGTGGATAGAGGGGCACAAGGAGGACTTCGAAGCGTTTATGGAAGACCCGCTCGCAGAACACGTCAGGAAAATCAGGGAGACAGGTGAATGGGGCGGACACTTGGAGTTGCTCGCGCTGGCGAAGAGCTATGGGGTCAGGATATGTGTTCTACACAGTGACGGACGCGTGGACAAGATTGAGGATGAGGCGGCGCAAGGGGACAAGGAGGAAATTTGGCTGGGCTACTACAGGCACAGCCATGGGTTGGGCGAGCACTACAACAGTCTGCGCAAAGCGGAAACGGCAGAGGCGTGATCGGTCTGGACCTGGTTTATGGTGGCATTGAGGCTTTGGTTGAGATTGGATTTGGGGAGCGGATCTAGGAGTCTACGTATGCCGCCACACGCTCACACCATCCCGCACCACGCCCTTAATCACACCAACGTCGTGTGTCCGCCGTGGTGTGTAGTGCGCCACCCGCACCAGCGCGCCTTCTCCCGCAGCGCGATCCGTAGCTACCACCACGCCACCCCCGTCATACGATATCTCCTCGCCTGGCCGCTTGAGCAGCTCCGCGTGCACGGTGGGTGGGAGCGACCACGGCGGGCCGCCTGAGGAAGCGGGCTTGTGCGTGGGAAACTCGAGACAGATGAGTGTCCCTGTCTTTGCGAGGAGAGAGGAGATGCGCTTGGCACAGGCTGGGCGCAGGTCGGGCGGGAGCGCGCATAGAAACTATGGCCAATTTCAGCTGTCGTCCTCGAACCTCTTGAATCAAAAAGTAGCAAGTCACGTACCGTGTTGTCGTATATCACGTCAAACCCATCGCTCCCCTGAACGCCGGCTTCCTTCAACCACGCATCGTCGAAAAAGTCTCCCACCAAGCAAACTGCCTTCCCCTTCCCCGCGCCGCCGTCTTTCGACGAGTACTCGCTTTCCAACGATCCCGATCCAGCGTTTGCGAGATACTGCTCCGCAGCCTTGGCAGCGTGCGAACTGACCTCCAGGCCGTACGCATCGTACCCATACGCACTGAACAACGCTACATCGTAGCCCTTTCCGCAGCCTGGTACTAGGACTTTGGCTCTGCGTCCATCTTTTGCAACTGGTGGAGGCAGTTCGATGGGCGATGGTGCGGAGCCGGCTGCTGGTGCGCCGGGCGTGGGATTCTGATCGCTCGAGACTGGTGGAGAGGAAGGGTTGGCGAGAAGGTCGATGAGCGCGGGGTTTGCGTAGCCCCTGTCCCAGGGGAGGAATGTCGCGCTTTCCCAGAGCGAGTCCCACCCAGAGCTCTGCGCGGTGGGGGTTGTGTCGAGAGAGGAGAAGTGCGTGCGCAGGCGGTCTTGGTTTTGCGTTGCCATGTTGGGTACTCAAGCTGGCTGAATCTTCAATGCTGAGTAAGTGTGAGCTTGAAGACGTTGAGAGGTGTCAATGGCTCGGATGAAGCTAGAGTGTTGATGTGTGAGGTTGTTGTTGTGGGGATGAGGTGGGACAGAATACCCCGCTGGGAAGCGTCATGTCAACTCTTCTTCGGCGTTCGAACGGTGTCGTGAATGCCGGTCGTGCTCACTTATCGAATGTCTCTCTACGTCGTGAGAGACTCGTGTCGAGAAGTGAGCTCTATGTGGACTTTAGTCACGTTGTTGATACTGTCGAAGAGGGTGAGGAGAACTCTGTACTGATGGCTCAGTCCTTTGTACCCGTTGATCATTGCGTCTTCCCCTCGTTGCATAGCGGTCGCTAAAGTGAGACACAACCTTAACATCACATGATGATGGAAACGACAACGACTGTTACCATGTTCGTCTTACAAGGTCCATCTCTACTCTCCAGATGCCACCACCACTTCTCCCGTTCAATCAATCAATCAACCAATCAATCATTCAATCCATCATTCATTCCAGCAATTCTCCATGCTTGCATACTTCCGCGGTGGATACTAGTGCCGGAAATAATTGATGTTGGAGCGGTGCTGCTTCCGCAACCAAACCGGCACCAAACGGTCCTCGCTTCATTAGCGAACGAGCTCGCATGTCCAACATCGCTTTTCCAGACCGATCATGTCCTTCCCCTCTTTCTGTTTGTCTTCCTCGTACGATCGTCGAAGGAGCGGAGGCCCAGAAGCAGCCTTTACGTTGAGAGCTGGGATCGGCACTTGCAAGAAGTTTAACGACCGAGGACACCGAGGTACCTCGTACATGAGCGAGAGCCGGATAACGACCAGCTGGCTCGGAAAAGTGTACTCAATCTGTGAATGCGGCACAGAAACTTCCAACATTTGCAAACCTCACTTCTGGATGAAGAATGCCAGCCTCAAGAGCCTCTTCGCTTGAACGGGCGATGGAGGATGGCTCTGCGCCTGAACAACCTACCACGCACATCGGAAGCTACAACGAGAAAGAGAAGGATTTGGAAATAGGTCCAACTGGATCAATCCACGAAAGCACGGAGGACTCCAATTCTATTCATTCACACGCCTCGACGGCTCCGACTATTCCTCAGGAAGAGAAGAATGTACGCCCTGCCATACTGTGTACGACCACGTCTGTTGTCCCGGAAGCTGTCGTTGTGCCCCGTGCAGAATGCCGTGGTCTACTGGCACGATTCGCCCTCATTCCTGAAGTTCAGAATCCCTATCACTATTCGCGAAAGACGAAATGGCTTCTGACATTCATCGTTGCGTTTTGCGCCATGGCTGGGCCTATGGGAAGTGCCATTGTCATGCCTGTGCTGCAAGACATCTCCAAGGCCTTCAACGCGAGGCATGAGATCACCAACATGAGTGTTGCGGTATACATGCTCAGTATGGCAATATTCCCTCTGTGGTGGTCGAGCTTCAGTGAGCGTCTTGGGCGACGAACGATCTACATCATCAGCTTCGTCCTGTTCGTTGTCTTCGGCATATTGTCTGCCGTTTCCACCAATATCGCCATGCTCATCGTCATGCGAGTCTTCTCGGGCGGTGCAGCAGCCTCGGTGCAGGCAGTGGGTGCAGGAACTATTGCAGACATTTGGGAAGTGCGTGAGCGAGGCAATGCGATGGGTATCTTCTACCTTGGACCTCTTTGCGGGCCGCTCTTTGCTCCTATTATTGGTGGCGCGCTTGGTCAAGGGCTCGGGTGGAGAAGCACACAGTGGTTCTTGGTCATCTATGGTGTTCTGACAGTCATCGCCATCATCTTCGCGCTGCCGGAAACACTCGCAAAGCCGCTTATCACGAAGCCGGAAGCCAGACCAGAGCTCATTCGAACAACGACGCGCGCATCCACTGTCGCGAAGACAAAGTCGATCCTTACGCATCTCAACCAGATCTTCGTACAACCTCTCACTATCCTCGCCTGGCTGCGCTATCCGCCTGTTCTACTGTCCGTGTACTATGCTAGCATCACTTTTGGTGCCTTGTACATCCTTAACATCTCTGTTCAGGCCACTTTCTCAGCGCAGCCTTACGGATTCTCTACACTCATTGTTGGACTGCTGTACATTCCGAACAGTGCTGGCTATCTCTTGGCTAGTATCTTTGGTGGCCGCTGGCTTGACAACATCATGCACCGCGAAGCCCGAAAAGCTGGCAGGTACGATGAGAAGGGCAAGTTGGTACTCAGACCAGAAGATCGCATGCAAGAGAATGCGTGGATAGCGGCAATCCTGTGGCCTGGTGCGCTGATATGGTACGGATGGACGGCGGAGAAGGGAGTGTTGTGGATCTGTCCGATGGTTGCGAACTGTATGTATCCCTACCTCGTCCCTTCCCCCGCCCTCATGCTGACACATTTTAAGTCTTCTTCGGTGTCGGATCGATGCTGATCTTCTCCCTTGTCTCCACGATGCTTACCGAGTTCATGCCAAAGCGTGCTGCTTCTGGCATCGCGCTGAACAACTTCCTGCGCAACATTTGCTCTTTCACCGGCGCCATGGTCGCTGAACCTATACTAAGCGCTATTGGCAATGGCTGGCTCATGACGATCCTGGGCCTCTGGAGCATTATCACAGGCTTCATGGCGCTGGGCGCGATGAGAAAGTGGGGCGCGCAATGGCGAGTGAAGATGGTTGAGGAGCTGGGTTGAGCGATGGCTCCGTTTGTTCATTCCTTCTTTGATAACCTCCACACAGTACCTTCCATCCCAGCTCTCTCACCTACACGACATCATCCACACCCAGAAATTGCACTCGAACTTCTCCGCCATGCCGTTCCGTGATCGAGACTGGGAGGACTTTCAGCGCGACTGCGATTTTTTTCCCGCGTACACAGATTACATATTTGGTATGGACGCACGTTCGGAAGTCGCAGATGAGCCAGGATTGCACCCGCAGATCTTCGAGCCACCGTCACTGCCTCCACAGCGCATATATGGCTTGCTTCCGCCCGTGCAGTACCCTGTCGCCTACGATCCGGTGCGCGATGAAACTCAGCCACGCCCCTACACCATGCCAGCTCCGCTGCCTTCATTGTTGAGACATGAATCGCCCGTGGAGTCTCTTCTACCAACACCCTGTCCAGCCCCGCGCTCCTTGCCCCCGGCAGGTCCATCGATGGCCTTGCTTCGCCCAGGTGAACTCACTGCAGATCTTTCATACTCCTTCATTCCACAGCAGGAGCGCATGATTGCCAACAAGAACATCACACAAGCGTGGAGTACCATCAACAGCGACGCTGTTCCAGCGCAAAAGGCGAAGGCGGTGGGCTACCTCAAGAACATGTCGCGCATGGCCGCAATCAAGAAGCAGGAGCACCAGGATCGTATGTATCAGGATCACGCGTTCGCAGGGCTGAAAGCGCAAGAGACACAGGCAGAGGAAGATGCAGAGCGACAAGCAGACATGCGGCACAGTGGACGGGAAGGATCAGCATACTCCGACAGGTACCCATACAATGAAACTCGTCAAGCAGAAGCAGAGACCGAATGCACAGCCGAGCGGGTCCTGGCTGACCATGAATATGCCGTCCGCGTCATCTCCCAGCTTCCCGCATATGTACAATCGCACCTCCCACAGCTATGGACTTGTACAGAGATCATCGCTTTGCAAGCTCCTCCAGCCGATCCGGTGCAGCTCGATGTACACCGGAAAACACAGCAGTACCTGAGGAGCTTCAAGCAGTCACTTCCTCCGAAAGGAAGGCAGTGGCTTGATCTTGTTATCGATGGGATGCTCAAGATTCGCAAGCAGGGCGGAGACCCGTTGACGGTTCTGGAGACGATGCCGAGTGTGCAGGATATGTATGGGATGGGGGGGTGAGAGGCCTGGGGAAGTACCAATGTCCGCTGAGACAAAGCATACTGAGACTACCTATCGAGCTTAGCTTGGTATCTCAAAACGATGCATAATATAGTAGCACCTGGGCTGCGAGGTATAGGATGATATGACCACAGTAATTTTCTGGAATGGACCATGGGCTTGCTCATTAAGACGTAGCAGACGGGAACATTGGAAGCTTTTCAGTTTTCGGGCCTCTGCATCAAACTCTACCTGCGTATTCACCTCCTGCTTCGCACTCGAACAGCTTCTGAGCCCTGGAACTCCACTGCATCCTCCCACTGATTTATGGACGCTTCTCCACACGGGCGAAAGCTATCCAAGATTTTTTTTATCTCTTCAGCCTAAGCGGGGCTTTCGTTAGAACTGCGTGTTTGTGTTGTCTTTACATTTTGACTTACTTCACGGTTGTATGTCGTTTCGATTCTTGATACAGAACCGGATCCCAGCTGTTTGACCATCGTTATCAAGAAGCTTTATATCCAAATCTCCTGGCTTTGCGTTAAGCAAAGCCTGGCGCATCGCATGATCTGAATGGTGAGCAGCAATATGTAGGATACTGCGACCATGGGTGGTCAAAGCAGTGTGACTAGCTCTCGAATCTAGCAGCAGCCTTGCCGCGTCTCCATGATTGTAGTGAGCTGCAACCGCTAGGGCGGTGTAGCCGGCATGATGTGGGATGTCGAGATCTACACCTTCTCTCAGGAGGTATTCGAACGTTGCGGCGTTATCGTACGCTTGGGCAGCCAAGTCATGTTAGGACCGTGTGTAAAGCTCTATCGAGCTGGCGAAGCGAGCTCATTGTCGAAAAGCGAGCGGAGATCTGCTGGTGTGCCAAAACCAGTAACGAAAAAGACTGTCACGAGAGGTGACACTATGCGCGGGAATCTCAGCTTTATCTGGAATCCTGATGTCGAGGAAGTTTGCATGTCCAGCGAGAAAGCTCTCTGCAGAAAGAACCATTGGGGAAAGTAATACGTGATCGACCGTTGTCCGGAGCTCTACTTCTGGCAACAGTGTCCATCACACGACTTCTTCACGGCAGGGAGCCCGCTGTATCTGACGAACAGTGATCCAAGACACCCTTGAAAGGTGCCGCGAGATTCCTTGTGGCAGATGCAGATACAAGTGTGAGGAGATCGAGAGCCCCAATATTCGGCGCTGATTTGCAACTGGGGTTGAATCCATGATGGCGCTGTTGTCGAGCCCATTCTGACCCCACCATGTGTTTAACAAGTGCTATAATTTCAACAGACTGAGAGGTAGTTGCGTATGCTGCCAGCTGCGCTGTTCGAAAAGTGCCTGTTGTCTCTGGTAGTTTGCACTTCCCCAAGACTTTGCTCCGAACCCTTTAGTTTTTCCAAGGACCTCTACGTGCGATATCTGTATCCCGGTGATGCCATGCGTGCCGCTCTTCAGATCAATTTGTATACACGACCTAGTATAGTGAGTACAAGTCTTCCTGGGTGCGTTCACTAGCGAGCTGAAAATTGTTGACTTACGAGAGGATGAATCCATGGCTGTTGTAGAGGTCTTGTCTGACCATACCCAGTTGAGCTGAAGTATCTTTGACCTTGCCTCCAACCCGGACCCGGCTTATTCGAGACTTGCCATTCAATTTTTGATCTTGGTCTCCTTTGATCAGGGTCTGGTTGACCATCATTCGAAGCTCGTTCACCAATTGGCATCCGGACTCAAGTTTCATTGTCAAGGCCTGCAGGTTTTGCACAGTCGTTGGAGACTAGATCCCAGTGTTCGCACTGGTCACGGGATTTGAGAACTGGGTCTGTGAACAGTGCTACTCGTGCACACGAAAGTAAAATGTACTTGTTGCAGCAAAGGAGAAGTGTGTAACACTAGCCCCCCCCCCCTGCTATCTGTTCTACCTGCTCCTTCCTTCCATCTCTGCTCTAACCTTGCTTAGCTGCTCTTACCCTCTAACGCACTAAGAAAGTAGAAGACTGATTACAGAGTCTAGATTTAGATTCTAGAAAGCTAATTAAAACCTGCGCTCTTAGAGGCCCTTTCGCGACACCTCACGGGAGATTCGAAGAGAACGTCCCGCTCGCTCCAGTCAATCAATCCTCAGACCAGCGCCACCGTCCCTAATACTTTTTCGTATCCGTTCCAGTATCCAAACTACCGCATTGATCCACAAACTTGGCATCACAGTAAGCTAGCGCTTGGGACGGGCGCAAAGGTTCTTCCTCATATGCGTTCTCCCTTGCGTGCACTCGGCGTTTGCCTATGGTAAGCTCGCTCAAGCCCAATGGCGAATCTCACTTTGGCACATCAGCATCGGAATTCGAAAGATGATCCAGCGTACCCAATGCATTACATGATTTGGTATCAGTGATCCTGGTTGTCCTATACACCGTCGCTGAAAGCTAAATGTACACCGGCATCGCCAGAACACCGATGCTGAAAATGAAATCGTGCGCTCCTGCACTCCATTGAAATCAACCTTTCCTCCATTTCATCCACTTCCTCCTCCTCCTCCATCCCGAGATATAAAACGCCATGCCCTTAATATATTACCATGAAGTTTTTGTGCTTTGGATTAGATATCGACAATCCTCTCCTCCTGCGGCTGCACCTCATCAAGATCGATAAGCTCACCGCGTATCACTCCCTCAAACCCCTTATTCATTGCCATGAACACCACACTTCCCTCCCCGGTACGTATCCAACGCTTCGTCGCTTCTCTTCTACTCATCGTCACCTCTTCCTTCCCACTCCCTACCACTTCCGGTCTCTTACTCGCGACTTTCATCTAGAAAGTCTCACTCCGTCCGTCATCACTGCCGTCAATAGATGTGCGGTAGCTCAGCAAACTCTCCGTATCGGTATGGCTCGGCGCACCCACAGGTTTGCGGCGGATCACCGTATCATCTCTGTTCAGCTCCTGCTGCTGCTGGGACTGGCGGAGCGGACTCGCGCCTGGAGCAGGGGAACGAGGGCCCATGGGCCGGGGACCCGTGATCTTGCGCTGCGGGGATTGCTGAGTAGATGCGCGGAGGTGTGCGCTGCTGGGCCGGGGAGAGGGAGTAGGTGAGCTCTGTTCGGATGTTAGCTACCTATCCCACGTTTCTGTGGTTGAGAAGGGTGGAGGGGAACTTACGCGATAGTGACCCCTATCCGTCTCAAGACTGTACCTCACCTCCGCAATCGGCGCGAGCGGCGTCAACACGCCCTGAGACCCAAACTCATTCGGGCTGCTATACATCTGCCTCGTCTGGCCATACCCAGCGAGCACACCGCTGTTGGGTGGGATAAGCGGGCCATCGTCGACGATCTTCTGCGGCTGGGCGATGCGGCCCGTCTGCTCGCTTGCCGAGTGTCCAGAGTAGCCACCGTCGCTTGAGATAGGAGACAGGTTGCCGGGGTTGTAGCTAGCGGTGCCGGCGCTCATCCTGTTGCGTGCGAGACTGGGCATGCTACCCCACTGGTCGTAGTCAGGCGAGGCGATACCACTCCCACTAACGCCACTGACATTGTCAGGTACGTAAACCTGGGCCTGGGTCTCGAGATGGTTCTGATGGCGGCCGGTGGGTCCAGCGCGCGGCTGCGGATGCTGCAGGTTCAAGCTGTTGCGGTGGGCGTGGTACTTGGGATCCTCTGTCTCATACTCCTCAGGAATCAAGGGCGAGGGCGAGCGCACGGAGTGGTCGTCTGCGGAACGGAATGAGCGGTCGTCGCCGGTGCGAGCGGAGCGTGGGCGGTTGTCGTTGCGATCACCATCCTGGGAGTATTCGTCATCGTACGAGTCGTAGCTTTTCTGTGAGCTCGAGCGCGAGTGCGAAGAGTACGGACGCTTCTCTACGCTGTTGCGAGGCTCAGTCGAGGATGTCGTCTTTGACCAGCGCGAGATCTTGGGGATGCCGAAGATGGAAGATGAGTTGGACTTGTGCTTGTTCTTCTTCGGTGTGTCCTCTTGGCTCTGGCTTTGACTAGTCCTGGCTGGCTGAGGAGACGCCTTCTCCTGTGATAGGCTCCTGTTGTGGAAAGCTTCTTGTGTGGGTGTTGTCATACGCTCGCTGTTCTCGTACCGAGGCTCGCGCTCGAGATACTCCTCGTCATCTTCGTGTACAGTGCTTATGCGGTTCGTCTGCACAACATCGTATCCGGAGTGCAGGTCGTTGATGCGACGTGACGAAGAGGCCGGATTTGAGAGGTATCCGGACTGGTTTGGCGACGAAGCAGTGTTGGCGCGACCCTCCGGTTCATAGCCAGGATCTCCGCTAGCCCTCAAGTTCTCGTAAGAGGTGAGACTGTTCGAGCGGTTGTTCTGCTCCAACTGCAGCTGCTGAACTTGCTTCAGACCTTCCACGTCACCGAGCAGTTGCATGAGCATAGCTTCGATGTTTTTGATGTCGCTGTCACCTTTCATGCTCAGGCCCTTGAGTGCACGCTTGAAGACGTTCTTCTTCTTCGCCTCGGCCTCCATGTCGTCAGAGGTGGACCGAGGAACGCGCGGTGACCCAAAAGGCTGTGGTCGTGGGCCGCCCAAGATGCGTTGTTCGGCAACGTCCACCCTCTTCTCCGTGGTGTTCATGATCATGTTGTCCTGCACCTTAATGAAGCCCTTCAGCTCATCAAGCTGGTTGCGCATCTCCGCCGCAGAGCGAACAAGCGTAACCAGAATCTCCGTGTCCCTCGCATTGCGTTGCGCGTCTCTTACGGTAAGATGGTCCATGAGCGCGACAATGTCCTTGGACTGAATACGATCGATGCCCTTTCCAGTCGCTGCGTCGTAGAGGGGAGAAGCCATGCCATGAGAGTTGCCGCTGAAGTGGCGGCCATGTTTGGCATTGGAAGCAAACACGTCCTCACCGACAAGAGGTGTCTCGTCGTAGTCGTCAGCAAATTCATCGTCAAAGACCTTTGAGTGATTGCGGTTTTGAGGCGTGTAGCCTTCACGTTGGTTAGCTGATTGGTAGCCCTCGTCTTTCCAACCAGTCGTACCGGATAGAGGCGTGCGGTTGCTTTGCGCGTAGCCAGGCTGCTCGTCTTGACCAGCGAATGATTCACCCGTGTAGGACTCGTAGTCGTCTTCTACGGTGGCCTGGTGCTGTTCATCGATTGATGGGCTGCGGTTGTGCAGATGATGGGCAGCGGCAGCGGCAGCGGCTACAGCAGCTGCGCCGGCTCCCACGCCAAGTGCGGCACCCTTGTTGAACGAGTTTCTGCTAGATTGGCGAGTAGATGCGTGCTCACGCTCCTCTTGACGGTGCATCAGCTCCTCAGTGCGGTCGTAGTATCCGTCGCCTCCATTGAGTGGGCCTTGGATGATCGAAGGGTTTGTCGAGATCTCAGACTCATTGTCTATACCATACCCAATCTCAGGCATCATGTGGTCCTGAACAGGGAAGGCGCTGTGATGCATCTCGGGCTGCTCGTCGAACGACTGAGCAATGCTCTGCCTGGGCGAGTTGTCTGCCGGGTGTGGCTGATGAGCCAAAGCCTCAGCCTTTTCACGAAGCGCACCCCATCGCTCTCCACTGGGGATCTCATGCGCTTGAATGTGCAAGATCTGGTCTTGGCTTGGCGCCGGGCTGACTTGCGACAAGCGGCTCTTCTTCAGTGGACTTGACATCGGTTCCCTGAGAGGGCTCGACACAGCTGAAGAGCGAACACTGATAGTAGACGGGTCATGCAGCGAAGCAACAGCAGACTCGACCGCAAGTGGGGTATGAACGTACTCGGGACTGGCGCCGACCCTCCGTATGTCTTGGTGTGTGAGGTCAATTTTCTGCTCGTGATCAAGATACTGCACGCCCTCGCTGTCGTCGGTGTAGTTGGTCATGCGGTTGAAGTTGTCAGGATAGTTCTCCGAAAGCTGAGAGCTCTCTTCTAGCTCCCTTCGGTACATCTCATTCTGTTCATGGTTTTGTTCAAAGAACAGTTCTGCATCTCGGGGAGTTTTGGGCGTTTGAGGAGAGCCCATGGCGGATCTCACGCTCTCGAGGTTAACACCCTGCGGTCGCTTGCGTGTGCGGGCTGCTTTGGTACTTGCGGTCGACTCCAAGGTCCCAATGGAAAGGTTTGATGGTTGTCTCTCCACTTGCCTTCCTAGCGATGACACAGATGCGTTGCTGTGTACGGTTCGCAGATGCCTGGGCGAGCCAGTAGTGTGCACATCTTCACGGTAGCTGGCTTCGCTCTGGATAGGACTGAGGCCTCGAGTTGGTGTGGTGTCGATAATCTCGTAGTGTGACGCCTGTGTTTCCGAGCGCTCAATGGCTCGAGCCTTGGCTGCCGCTGCCGCTTCCAGGCTTGCTGGACCAACGCCTCTCGATCTTGATCCGTAGCTCCTGTCACTAATGGGAGACATCAATCGAACATCCTCGATCGAGTGGTTGCTATGCGAAGTGCGAATGGTACGTTGCAGAGCAGCCGGAGTAGTCCTGGTGGGTGTGTGCGGTGTCGGCGAAGCATACCCGCGCGGCACTTCTCGCAGCGGTGTCTCTGCACCCGTAGTGTTAGATGATTTCGATGTCGACCTCGAACGACCTTTTGTCTCAGTCTCGGCGGACAGAATCGAATCGCGAGTGAACTCAGAGCCCTGAAGCTCGCTCTGGATGAACGGCAGAGGCGGCACATCTTTCACGAACTCCTCCTGCTCTGCGCTTTCTGCTACGCTCGTGGACCGGCTTCGACTGGACCGAGAAGAGTGCTTCTTCCTATGTTTGCGCTCTTCTACTTCTTCTTCGCGAGAAGTATGCTTCTTCAAAGCCGCAGCAGTAAGCCCTGATGCACCAAGAGCAGCAATTTCCGCCTCTCGTGCAGCGCGGCCGCTCCTTCTCTTGTGTGAATTCTCTCGTGTAGTCGTCGTCTTGGACGTTGACTCTGCATAGCTGCGATCAGAGGTTGAGCCTCGGCTCGATCTGCGTTCCTTGCGGCTCGAGTTACCAGAGAGGATCTCGCCCGAGTTCTCATCGTCGCGGTTGAGTACAACTCTGGGCTTGCTGCCGTGGATGTTCGGTACGCTCGACGACTTGGAGACACGCCGCCTTGATGCGGACGGATCGCGCGAGCTTGCCGTCTCGACGGTCTCGTATGTGGCGCCGCTGTCACGAGACATGCGCTCGAACTTGTCCCTGTTCTTGGACGTGCGGTTTTCCTCTTTCAGGGCATTCAGCTCAGGCAGAATCAATCGCCGGATAGCATCCTCGACGGTAGCGAGCAGCTTGGGGTTGTTGATGGACGAAGTGCCGGAGACACCTGACCGTACAGATGCAATGCCAGATCGGCGGTCAGCGTTGGAAGAGAGCAGACTAGACTCTGTGGCGCTGATAGTGCTAAACTCCTCCTCACGGGGATCCTTGCTTCGTCTCCGAGACGACTTGCGGGGCGAACTCAGCGCATCCCTGCCAATCTTTTCAGTCTTTCTTGTCCTGCTCGAGGACGTCTCAGCTTGGGCCTGTTGCTGTTGCTGTTGCTGTTGCTGTTGCTGTTGTTGCAGCTTTTCCATGACGCGCTGCGTGATGCGGTCCTTGCTCAGACTCCTACTTCGTTGGTGCTTCGGCGCCTTGAGCATCTCTGGCGACTCGGCGACGTTGGAGTCGGTGAGCACGGTGTCCCTCTCGAGGCTTCTGCTTCGCCGGCGCCCTGGCGGCATGATCTCTGGTGTGCCCTCCAGCATGCTGTCGGCGGGCATGGAGGAGATGTCGGACGTCATGGGGATAAAGCGAGCGCCGCTGCTGGACAGGTCGCTGCCGGTGTTCAGCACCTCGATGTCGACCGGCGGCAGCGACGAGACGGTAGAGCCGTCCGAGTACTCCTGGGTGTGCGTCTGAACGACTTCGTCGCGGCTCTTCTGCTGCAGCGAGATGCGGCGGGTGTACGAGGGCTTGCTGCTGTTCTTGGCGGTCTGGGTAAGGTGGACCTGGTCGATGCCGTGGCGGCTCTTCTTGCGCGAGCTGGGCGTGACCCTCACGCGGACGCTGGGGCGGGAGCGCGTCTTGCCGTTCTCCTTGCCGGCTTCAAAGTACTCGATCAGCAGGCTCGTCTGGCTCGGGTACTTCTTGTGGAGCGAGGCCTTGGTGGTGTTGATGGTGACGGGCGTGCCGTCTTCGGGGATGCTGTAGGAAGTCCTGTCGGTGCGCGCGGAGACGTTGGTGTCGACGTCGTCGCGGAGAGTGCTGTCTTCGTGGTCTGCGGCACTGAGAGTCGAGGGTTCTGTCGGGGCGGGGAGGGGTGGTCGTCGTGTGTCAAAGCCCATTGTCGAATCCAGCAGGATTCTAGAAGACGGAGGGGTGGCCGGGCGCGGACATGGTCAGTGGTGGGTGACAGTGAAGGAGTGCGGTAGGAATGCAAGGCGTCATGCAGGTGCAGCGCAGTGGTGGAGCGAGCGAGGCGTGTCGCGGTGAATGCGCGCGCAGAGATGGCCGACGGGAAGATCTCGTACGCAGCGAGGATTGTAGTGCGTGGGCGGGTATGCAGCGACTGGCGTGGACTCAAGGCGGTCGTGGTGTCGAGCTGGAGGCTATGTTAGCATTGCGCGCTCCTCGCAGCCCATTGTATGGCGCAGCAAACAACAGCACATTGCGCCCAGGCCCATGCACAACTTCCAGGCGTGCATTCTCCATAGCAAGAAATAGCAAGACTTACCAGCAACACAGCCGCGGACGCTGTAAAAATGAGCGGCGGCACTCTCTCGCCGTCGCGGTGCGGTAACTTTCAAGACGTCGGTCGCTGCGGTGGAGAACTTGGAAGTTGCTGGGTTGCTAGGTTGCTGGGGCGGCTCTGCGCTACCAACTCGCGCTCGCCTGTACTCACCAACGAACTCTTCTCTCCAAGCGTCGTTCCCTGTCACACCAGCGCGAGCTCTCACACAAGTGGTAAAATCACGGTGAAAGATGTCTTCATTCAGCGCGACACAGCGCACACAAGAGTCTCATCCGGGCAGGGTGTTGCAATATCCAAGCTTAGGCACTCCCAGCCCCTCCACACGTTTCCACCCATCCAGCGTCCCTCGTGGCCAGTGTCCCTTGCACCTCACCACACACTAGCACGGCCTCGTTGGCGCCCGTCCAGCCCAGCTCCGTCCCTCTCAGAGATGTGGCTGGGAGAAGCTTTATCGCCCCCCCCCCCCCAAACCCCGTCCCTATGCATCAATCTCAATGTTGCGTCTTACTGTCGCATGTTCAGTCTCCACAGATCTTCCACACTTTCACTCGGTCGCTGTGGAGGTTAAAGGCGAGGTGGTGGACTGACTATGCTCTGCTCTGAGCTTCAGATCAGCTTCCCGCTCGTCTCATTACCGGGGTGGTGCTGGCGGGCGGTGGGGCGGCTGCTCCCGATTCCCCAGCGCCTTCTCAATGGACAGAACCATCCTGGTACACGTTCGCACTTGACAACGCATCACCACTCATTCTTCCCATTGCGAAAGGTTTGCGTGAAATGTAGCCGCAGCCCTACCGAATGACATGGTCAATACAAAAAGATCTTGGTATGAAGGATTCGGCGAGCCGAGAGCGGGATGTGAGTTGTCACTCTGGCTTTCAGTGTGCACTCAGGTGTAGCGGAGTCCTCAGAGCTGAGTGGTTAGAAGAGAGCGAGCTAAAGACGGGCAACCAGCCACTCTTCACCGGTACCTCTCACGTTCCCAAATCGAAACTTGAGGCTGTCGACTTCGCGGTGTCATCAGTCCAAGTAACGCCGGCTCCCCATGGGAGGATCGGGACAAAATATCTTGGAAGACGTGCTTGGCAACTTGTCGACAGGAGGCAGCAGGGTGTTAAAGGAAGCCTGGGCGTGTGATATACTGGGGGTAGCAGTCTTGGGACTGCAGAAAAACACTCACACTGCAGACCGTGGTGCTAGTGCTAGTCCCTCCGTGCAGCTTTCAGGGAGGCGATGACAGATAGAAACGTTCCCCAAGCGTGGTCATTATGACAATACTCACAGGCAGGCCCAGTGCGGGGGTAGGGGTGTGGCTGACCATTTCGGAGCTTGGAAATGAGGTGGCGGAGGTGGAAGAGAGGTGAGAGTTGAACGTCGAAGTTGTAGCAACAGTCCAGTGACGTGGAGGGCGAGGGGGTGAGGAAGGAGCGACAAAGGTGGAAGGCACGCCCACAACATGGGGCCTCGAACAAGCACAACGCACGAACATGGGCAGCAGAAACACGGTACTCCACGAGGTTCATGTGAACGACGAGGGGTCATCTTCAATATGCAACAAGATGTAACTAAGCTCATGTCCGTCCTTTTGAACACCCCAACGCCCTCAAATGCTTCCTTTCTTGATCTAGAAACGCTTGTTGCCAGGCTTCATAGGCCGTCTCCCCTGCTGCTGCGGCTGACTTCCATACGCTCTCCTGCCCTCGATCTTCTTGTCCCTACTCAGACTCGCGCCTAGGCTGATATCGATCCTGGGCGGTGTGTTGAAGCCGAAGCTCTTCGCCACCTTGACCAGATCCAGCTTGTGCACATCGAAAACTGATCGCAGCGAGTGCGAAGCGTACGCTTGTAGGTAGGATCTGTATCCGTCTTTGGCGGATTTGTTGAGGTAGTAGTTCTTGGTTATCAGGGCTTCGAGTTGGGATTGGATGTCTGTGTTTCCGTTAGCAGGCGCATTGTGTACAAAGTAGAACAGGAGCAACTTACTCAGGATCTTGTTGGCGGGCAGTTCAAACTCGACGAGCGGGACCCTCGCCTCCTTCAAGAGCTTCAAAAAGCCGATCTCGGAAGGAAGCAAGAACATCAGACTCCTGCCCTTGCCCTGCGAACCTCTGGCAGTACGACCGACACGATGAATGTAGTCCCTCGGGTCATCCGGGGGATCGAACTGGATCACCCAATCCACCTCCGGAATATCAAGACCACGCGCCGCAACATCGGTACAGATCAGTGTGCCAGAAGTCGCATTGCAGAACTCGAAAAACCGGTTTGTGCGCGCCTGTTGTTTGAGCTTGCCGTGCAGCTCGAGCACAGGGAGGTCGATGTAGTTGAGCAGCTCGGCGTAGAACTTTACAGAGTTGCAAGACGAGAAGAAGACGATGACCTTTTTCTTCTGGTGCTTCTTGAGGAAACTGAACAGCAGTCTGAAGCGTGTGTCCGAGTCGCAGATGACGTAGCCTTGCTCCAGGCCTTCGACTGTGGAGTGCTCCTTGCGGTAGTCAACGTTGATGTACAGCGGCCCCGGTTTCAGCGAGATTCGCGCAAGGTCCTCGACCTTTGTTGTTTGGGTCGCGGAGAAAAGCATGGTCTGGCGATCGGTGGGGAGGATCTTGATGATGCTGCGCATTTCGTCTTCGAATCCGACTTCGAGGATGCGGTCGGCCTCGTCGATGATCAGGCTCTTCAGATTCTTGAACACGAAGCCAGGAGTGTTGTGTAGGTGGTCGAGCAGTCGTCCGGGTGTTGCGATGAGCAGGTTCACGCCCTTGACGAGCTTCTCTGCCTCTGCCCTCCTGTTTGCACCGCCAATGACGATACCGAATGTCTGGGAGTGTTTCTCCATGAGTTCGCGTGCGACGCCGAAGATCTGCAGGGCGAGTTCGCGGGTGGGCGAGACGACGATGACACCAGTGCCGTTGCGAGGCTTGAAGCGCATAGCTGAGAGCATTTCGATCGCGGGAATGAGGAAGGCGAGTGTCTTTCCGCTACCGGTCTTCGCGGCACCGAGGACATCCTTACCACTGCTATGTGTCAGTATAATCTCTGTGCATTCTCTTGCGCCCGTCTCACCTCAGCAGCGGCGGAATGGTCTTCTGCTGAATCTCGGTCATGGTCTCGAAGCCCATAGACTTGATAGCTTCCATCGTGCGGTCCGAGAGCTTGAGCTCAGAGAAGAGCTTGGGGTCCTCGACAGTTGGCATCGATGTTCCCAGCGGCAGGTCGTTGGGGTTCGCGCTCTCCTCATGCTCATCGCCAGACTCCTCTGCGTCTGCCTTCTTGCCCTTCTTTGCGTTCTTCGCAATCTGCTTCAGCTCGGCGTTGAGTTGCGCCTCGTCCTCCTCGCCCTCGACTTCCTCCTCCTCGTCAGCAGAAGCCTCTGCGATAACATCCTCGGCCTCGGGCTCGGGCGTGTGCTCCTTCTTCGCCTTCTTGCGGGGCTTGTCGGCCTTCTCTACACCATTGCTGTGTCTTTTCGGCGCAGCGGCCTCGTCTGTTTTCTTGCTGCTGTGCTTGCGCTTGCGCTTCTTGGCTTCTATTTCTTGGGCGCCCATCGTGGTTATGCTGGTCGTGAATGTGAAAAGCAGGCCGTCGCGAACTTTTCGAGCAACTAAAAAAATGAGTGGAGACGGCAAAGGCGACCCTGAATCGCCGACGCGCCTTGCCCGATGGGGGTGGCAGGCCTTTGACCAATCACGCCGCGCTCAACCCATCACACGTCGCTCGCAGATTCCCCCACTGCACGACTGCCGCAAAGCTCGAGGCCGAGTGCTGCGCAATACCGTAGAAATGGTTACCTCCGATGTGGCAGTACGATCTGCGGCTATGGTGTTTACTCGTTCTTGTGCGCTCGACAACATGATAGGAGCTTGCTCTGCAGGTCGGCCTCCCGCCATAGGCGCAACCCACAGTTCTGGTATAGCAAGGCTGGATGCATGCCACAGTTGCTACCTGATTCTGGCGTGGGGCCAAGCGCACAGCCTCAAGAAGTCGTGGGTTTTTATCAGGCGCGGGTCACTTTTATGTCGAGCAGCTTGTGACTACAGTGAACAAATATCCGTTTTGAAAGAAGCATGGAGCCCGTCTCGACAGACTGGAGATGAACCTTCTCCGCCTCGAAGGAGAGCAGCGCGAGTCGAGATTACGCGGAGAGCTTGACGTGTTGCGACAAGGGCTGGAGAAGTGTATTTAGGAGACCATGAAAAAGCAATCTGCAAGCGAACAAAGTCGAACAAGGTGGGCCAGCAGACGTCACAAATGCCATCTACAGACTCTGGGCAGAGAAAGAGACTGTCTTGGAGAAGATCTCGGCAAGGTGTCAGACAACCTGCCTGAACGTACATTGCGCTCACACCGGATGCAGGCAAATCTAGCTTTGCTCTCTGCAGGTGAGCCTCGTGCCATATCGATAGCACGAAACAAAGCATACTCTGATTTCAGCCCATCAAAAGCTACGCATCATATTATACCGGCTACCAACGACCACAAAAAATAAACCTTCGAATTTTACAAAGTTGGCGTGGCAACCTTTGCAATTTTTCCCGTTCAGGAACAACAGCAGCCAAAACATAGAGAATACAGCACCAGCCGTCTACCAAGCCCAGAGATGGCCTCGCGCAACCAGAGCAAGAGAGGTGGATGACATCACGGAGCTGAAATTACTCATGTTGCGAGACGCCCGTCCTGACCAACCAGGCGGTGATACCTTTCGCATCGATCTACACGATGGCGAGCTAGGCTAGGGGCGACACAACACGACGGAGGCTGCTCAATGGTTTGTACATATTTGACCACAACATGTTTCTCAACAAAATTATCCGTTTCTCTGACAACGTGTACGCTCATTTGCTACCACAATCAATCACTTCCACCAAGACACGGCATATATTTCGCCACGACATCCATCTCGCCATCTTTCCTTTGATCACATGTACAACCTTCGGACAATCCAGTAAGCGGAAGCACGTTCCCCCCCGGCTCACTGAAGGAATTGCGACTACATCATGACCGGGTAGCGACTCCTCGCTCGGATCCTCGGGCCCCACTTGTAGAACACCCAGGGAATGGGCAGCATGAGTATCGACACAAATCCCAGAAGCGATGTAGCCCATGCTATGCCGAGCGTCGAATACACTGTTTTGCGGTCAAAAAAGGTCCCCGTGTGTCGTTTCAGAAGGCTTGACATTGGGATCGAACTTACTCTGCACTGTGAACAGCGGAAATACAGCCCCGAGGGTGTACCTGAAGATGCCATTTGCTGCGATAGCAGACGCGCCGTTCAGCGGTCCATAGACGTCCGTCATGTACAGCGCTGCACTTGTCTGGATGCAATATCAGTCCGACCGCACCTCACTCAAGTTCAAGGATGCGAGAATACTCACAAACAGACACAAATTGCCCCAAGCGAACGGCACACTCCCAACCAGCACAATAGCCCAATGCGCACCCTTCCCAGCACTCCATCCAACCCAGAACAATCCCACCAGAATACCCCCGCTCCCCATCATAGCGTTGTACAGTCGGTGCTCAGGCGCAGCATGTGCCTCACCTCGAGCGAGCGCCGCGCGATGTTGGGCTTGGTATATGAAGTGATCGATAAGTACACCAGTAAATCCACCCAGGAGGACGCCAAAGCCGATAGCGAGGAAGGCAAGACCGGATTGCGAAATGTTGAACGAGTAAGGTGGGCGCGCAAAGATGTATGGGAAGGCGGCGAAGAGGAGGAAGAGGACGCCGAAGGCAAAGGCGGTGTAGAGGGAGAGGAAGAAGACTACTGGCTGTTTAATGTCAGTTAATTGTCCATATTCAAGCTTTCAGGAAAGAGGTCGAAGGAAAGCTGACCTCGGTGACCAGCATGTGCATTGGCCGGAACAAGTTTGTGATGATTGACCGTTTCACTGCCGCTGCTCCGGGGCTGCCAGCTGGCTTGGTGTCAAGACCGAGTCTCTTTGCTCGACGAGCTAGGATGATGGGTTTGTAGGTCTCCTTCATGGGAAGAGAAGCGATGTACACGGCCATTGTGATGAAGATCATGCACCACTGTGTCCAGCGCCAACCCTTGTATTGAGCAGCAAAGCCACCAACTACAGGTCTGGCATAAGTCAGTACCTTGAGTGCGCCATGTTTTCAGTTCTTACTTACCCCAGTGATGGTCCCGCAAATGGAGCCATCAAGAAGACAGCAGTAATCTTCGCACGCTGATGCGGTGGGAACAAGTCTGCATTACTCCCCGCACCAACCGCAAGCGCCGGACTCCCGGTAAGGCCAGCAAAGAACCGGCACACGATCAAGCTAGCGAAGCTCTTGCTGAATCCTGCGCCGAGTGTGAACAGCATGAAGATCGGCGACGAGAGAAGGTAAACGATCTTTCGGCCATGCTTCTCACTCAAGGGGGCTGACATGATAGGTCCAAAAGCGAGACTTTATGGTCAATCAGAAGTGTATACTAGAACTCATGGCTTGAGGTTACCATACCCGAGTGTGTACACTGTGATACCTACCAACGCCGCAGTACGCGAGACGTTGAAGTCGGCCATGATGTCTGCGAGAGCTGGTGTGTACACCGAGGTGCCGAACGTGCTATATTGCGATCAGTACGATGGTAGAATGCAGGTCAAAAGTTGGGACTTACACTGCGAAACCGAAGAGGCCTGGTGTTGTGGCGTGGTAGACCCGTAGCCACAGTGGCCAGTTGTGCGGGTTATCTAGGTCATCTGGTCCATTCCAGTCAGTTACCCGGAGTGGTGATGGCGTGGGAGCTGTGTCTTGTTTCTCGGTGTCTGTCATGTCTGTTGACAGCGATTCGGCGCAGTTGGCGAGCTGATCCTCCCTTGATCCCTTTTTCTGTATATCAATTCTCGACATGTCGTCTGAGGTTATGCGTGAGTGCGATGAGGGTGTGAAGACCTCCTGCGAAGGGGTTTAGCTTTGTACTGCTCCGTTTGGCCCTCGTGATACATGTATCAATGTCGCTCCAGACGTAAGAGCAATCGTGGAGATGGTGCTTATCAATTGTCAGTGTGAATGTGCTGCACACATGCAATAACTTCCCCGCCCAACCTATGGCGTGCTCTTCTGTGCATACGGCATAAGGGCGGTTGCTTGAGTTGACAGGGCGTCTCTCGGCTCGATCAGTCATCAACATCTCTGCTCAGAGCGTAAAGACGCGGCTTCGGTTGGTGCATGTTGACAGAAGGCGCGCTATCCGAGGCGAGAACTTGTGTATAGTAATCAGCGCTGAACAGTGTCCCCCACCACTGACAGCCTCCAGCAACGGCAACGACTGGTGAGATATCGATTGCAGGGTAAATGGCTCTGTGGAAAGATCTGAAGCGAAAACGCTCATCTGATGCGCATGATGTTGATTGATGGTGTGTGTGAAGGGACGCGTTCAGTGAGGCTGTGATGACCTCATCCACGCTAACAAACTGGGCAGCGACGGCGAGCACCTCAACTCCTTTCTTTCCTTCCTTCCAAAACATCTGAACCTATGATTTTACCAGATGTGAACAATCACAACACCACTTTGTCCCAATAGTAGCTCGAGTTAGTCAATAGTGATGCTTATGCGAGCGTCGCTCACTCGTGTGACTACCTCCCGAGGGCGAAAATGCAGTGCTGAGGGCCGCCAATAGGCTCTGAGTACCTGCTAAGGCAAATCTTCTAGATGCTCACAGTCGTAGGCAACAACTATCTTCGATGGTTCATGAAAATACTTACCAGAAGGATTTACTGGATTGTGATGGTACCATGGGTGACTACGTTGGAGCGATCCAAATATTTGAAGGCATTTCTACATTGGCTTGCACGAATCACCTTGACTCTGGCGAACGATCAATAACTCGTTACTGTCGCCGAAGGCTCTCCAGAACAAGTATCGTAAACCTGAAGGATCTAACTTCCAGTCAATACAGCAGGCGTGGTAATTGCTTTCGTGGCCTGGAGTTTAATGCAGTAAAAGCAAGGACGCGGATTAACTCATATAAATGCTACGACCCTCAGTAAGTGATCGTTCTTGTATACACAACAATATTCCAGCGTCACGTCAAAACGGCCTTACAGATTTCGACCCAATCTGGCCTTCTTATATGACTTTGGTCCAGCTTATAGCACGATGGCTTTGGGCTATCTTGAATTGCTTCAAATCCATCAAATCAGTTAAAGTATGTTTGTTCTTCAAAGATGCCTTGGTATCAACACGGCTGACTTCAAGCAACAGAAGTACCCTTGATTCCATGTGATGATTTTAGATGTATTAGTGTATTTACACAAACCGGCATGTGCTCGGCCTGAAACTTGAATATGTACAGAGAATAGCGAGGAAGCGAGACTGGTGCGGCCGGGCCAGGATCAAACGGCAATCATCTCGAGAGCGTCAAAGCTGACACCTCCACTCAAATACCCGGTCGCAGTCTTACCAGTAATAACACTGATCTTCAACACCTGATACTCTCTCGCACTCTTAACCCACGCGCTAGCAGGAACAGTGTACTCGTACACCTGGTTGTTGCCGCGGTACGTACCAACAGTCAAGCTTCTAGTATCGCCCTCACTCTTCTGCGCCTGCAGCGGAGCAGCCCAACTATTGACGTTGATAGCCGGACGACCACCTGCCAGTCCTTGCGTCACGCCGATTCTGATCTTGAAGCTCTCGGCGAGCTGTGCATCAGTGAGGCGGAAGTACACGAGGTACTCGTTGTTGACATCCTTCCACATGTAACCGGGAAACTGGTTCGCTTTGCTGGTGCCAATGATGTAGTTACCGGGCTTCCAGCTAGCGAGGCGAGAGTCCGACGGGTGCATGTAAGTGGGCTTCATGGGGGTGTCTTCGAAGTTGAGGAAGCCCTTCGGTGAGCCGTCCCATTCGCCGATGCGCCAGACGACTGCGGCGTCTTGGGGGTCGGCGCAGGTGATCGTGTTCTTGATTGTGGTAGACCCTGCACTGATGGTGACAGTGCTTGTGTGGACCTCGAGTTCGCTTTTGTACACGTTCAAAGTGTATGTGCCGGGAAGCACCTTGTCAATCCTCCACGCGCCATTCGCACCGGCTGTTGCCCAATATTGCGCGGCGTCGCTCTTAAGACCAACGACATATTGCTGACCGTTCTTCATGTTGGCAAGTCCAATACCAGCAACAACTCCGCGCCTGCTAGCCGGAACCCACCCGTCAATACCAAGGTTGTCGAACCAGCTCCAGTCCGCTTTGCGGGCGAAGAGGTTGGCGTTGGGTGCAGCGCCACCATCGGTAAAGTGCAGAACACTTGGGCCTTGCAAGCCAAAGCGCATGACATCAGTATGTCCTAGAAATTTGATCAGCGATGGACACGAGACGTCGGTGAGAAGATGCCATACCCATGTTGTAGTGATAGATGTCGTACAAATCCGGTCCACCCGGTCCACCGCGCCTCACCAAGCTTCTAAAGAACGGTCCACCAGAAGCTTTCTCGTGGTTCGAGCGGATCATGTACATTCCTACATTCTTATTCGTGTATCCGACAAAATCATAGTCCATGGTACGTCCATACTTGTAGCCGGAGTAGTGCTTACTGTATGTGTGAGTGTTGGATGTGATCGCGTTTACATCGCCAGCCTCGACGACCTTGACGTTGTCAGGGATCCAATCGGTGTCGGAGGTAAGATCGTTGGTGAAGATATGGGGTGGAACGCGAACAATGTATCGCGAGACGGTAACGCTGGTGTCAGCCTTGTTCATGAAGATGTATACGTTCGGGTTGCCGTAACGAAAGACGAGGTCGTGCTTCAAGGTCTTGTATTCGATATTGATCTTGATGACGTTAGGGTTCGAGAATTGCTTGATGGTGACCGTGGACGCGCCCAGTCCAGATTCAACGTGCGAGTTCTTGCCGCCTTGTCCGTTGTACTCGACACCGCGGTATTCGATCGATGTCATGTCGCCGTTCGTCTTGCTGACCTTAACGACGAGGTTGGCGTTAGTGTCGATAACATAGTTCTTGCCATCATCGGTGTAGCCCCAGCCTGCTAGGACCACAGCCGGGGCAAGAAGGAAGGTGGTGAGGGTGGTAAGAAGTCTCATATTAAAGAGTGTAATGCCAAATTTGGCTGCAAGGAAAGAACGAGTGACTAGGCCCAGATTGAGATCTGTCAGCCCTGAGCGATGAACAAAGAAATGATCAGCCTGTGAAGAAACATTCTTCTTATGTTTGCCTACTGCCAATGCTCACTATCCCTTTTATCGGTGGCCGATGCTGACTCGATATTGTTGCGCAAGGCTGCGCCTGCCGAAGATAGCAGCTGTCTTACTTGAACTGCTCATGCTCCGATGCGAATAGTTGACGACCCATCAAATGTGGTCCACGTGGGGGGGAATATTGTTGCGCGACAAGCAAAAAACGTTTGCCCTTTCATTTCGACATCCGCTTTTGGTAGGTGGAGCTTTCCGCGGACGTTGCATGATTGGTCAACTGAGTCATGGTGTTTCACAACGGGCATGTGGAGATAAAAGGATCCGCAGGGATCGGGCTCCTTCGATCCGTCTCTAGTGTATGCGTAACGGTTTTTTGAGTTGCCTCCTGGATGTTGTAGGCTTACGAGCCCGAGCTTCTATCGTCCGATCCGATACCGTGTCCGTGCGCGTAATGCGCGGATTCGCGTAATGCGCCGAACCACCTTTTTGTACCCATACTTCACTGTACAATTACTCAACGCCACAATGACTATGAAATCTGCCTTTGAAGAGATAGACTCTATGATACCATGCGATAAGATCCCGTGGACAGCGCTGGCTAAAAAACATAAGGTTGTGCGCTCAACCCTGTCTCAAAAATATTGACACGAGACGCGATCGTGTGAAGAGAAGGCAATTGCACAACAAAAGCTCACTCCACAACAGGAGGACGAGCTTGTCAAGTATATAGAGGAGCTTACAGCTCGCCGTCTACCTCCTACAAGGGAAATGATAGCAAATTTTGCGTTGTCAATAGCCACAGAGCCAGTCAGCAAGAGCTGGGTTACCCGCTTCATCAACAACCACTCGATCCATCTCATCTCTCAATACTCAACAGGTATGGACAGCAATCGCCACAACGCCGATTCGTATACCAAGTACAAGCTCTATTTCGACCTGTTGCAGTCAAAAATCGTCCAATACAACGTTGACGCTGAGCACACATACAATATGGATGAGAAGGGCTTTA